AGTAGTGTCAGGGAAGTACCAGATAAACCGAGGCTGGCAAACATTTGAGGGGTGTAATAATTGACCGCGCTCGTGCCGGACCACTGCTGAAATATGATAGCGATGAAAGAGATGGTGCAGCGCAGAGCTATGATTCTCGATTCTCCCATCTTACGGATTTGTGTAAGCAGGGAAAGATTGTTCCTCCCGACAAAATCAGCACGGATCTCATTGAGAGTCAGCACGACGGCATCGTCATCCTGATCCTTTCTCGCGATATATGCGAGAACCGCAGCTGCTTCCTCGTAGTGGCCGCGTTCCACAAGCCAACGGGGAGACTCGGGTTGGAAAAGCATAAAACACAGGAAGAGTGCTCCAGGTATAAGTTGGATAATAACGGGCAACCGCCACTGCATTTGTCTTGGTGAGATATTGCGAGAAACGCTGTAGTTGACCCAATCTATGCATGATCGTTCAGTAAAATACCACAAGTCTGCGATCGACACCCACAAGCCAGCATATTTCCAATCGAGATTCCGACTGGGATGCCGCCAAGGCATCGACCGCGTATGGTTCTCGGAGCACATTCAGATATGTACATTGGCACCAAAGATGATAACAAACCAAGACCGATGCCAGCGAAGAAACGGGAGAAGTACAAGACTTTCAGTGCAACGTGTGGGGACATTCCGATTCCGATTGTTGACTGGATAATGTTTCCAACGAGGAAGATGACCGCGGAAGCTAACAAGCTACGCTTGCGCCCAAATCGACTTGAAAAGTAGCTTGAAGATAATGCCCCGCAGCTGATGTCATGGCTTTAACTGTATAAATTTTCAAACTCAAATATGCACTCACAAGGCTCCCGCTTGCAGGATCGAAATGACATTCCCGCTCAAGCTGGCGCGTGCAGAAGCCGATTCCGAGAGCAAACCGAAATACTTTTGGAATGATGGTAACACAAGAATACCACTCATTAAAGTTATATCCCAGCCAAAGCAGACAGACCCGGTTGTCGCTGAAAACGCAAGAAAGTAGGCATTGCTATACTGAAAAATGTCTTCAAGTTCCTTCTTCAAGGTCACGGCCATTGTAGAACAGAGGGAGTGAGCGAATCTCGTATACAAAGTCAAAGAGCGCCAGGGAAGGATTCGTGTCATGATATGAATAGTCGACCTAAGTTTAATATGATCCTGGCTTTGAATGAGTGAGTGTTTGCCAGCGGGCAAGGATCCCCGCTCGACCTACTATGTGATGTTCAAAATTTGCAATAGCGGAAACCTGGGCCTGACGCCGAACGCACCCCACAAAATTCCTTTTCTGCAGCGGAGGAGCCAGGCGTTTGGAGTCTCGCCAGGCTTCCAACATCTTCTAGATATTACATACCGTGTATAATTTCATGCTTGTTTAGGGGGTAATGTTCCCTATATGTCCATTGATGGCTAGGGCTTCATCCAACACCGTGTCGAGGGACGGCGATCAAGGATGTATTACAGGTGAAAGGAGCCTCGCTTGCTTGCGCGATGTAGTGGCCATCAGCAACCCCGCAGTCAAATGATTTAGGTCTCAAATGGATAGTCGCTGGATGGATTGGCACGCAGCATGGAGCGAGGTCTAGATAAGGGGATCGTCGATATTCTTTGCTGCTCATGGATGTAAGAAATTGTTCCTGCGATCCTTGAGTGTTACGGATATCGAACACGTTCAACGACCAGAGTTGTCATTATCGTAAGTAAATTCAATTGATGGTTACTGTGAATTATCGTGTCAAGACGTAATGCTAGATAACCAATATATAAGCTAGCCCTTCAAATCATATAGATGCGTAACAATAAACAAGAAATACACACATCAATTCATTTAATTTGCACAATTGCTGCGTTCATATGATAAGAGGATCCTCCCACTTTTGCGAAATCCGATTCCGAAGAGGATGACCCTGCGCTGACTCTTCCTCCGAGCGCGACTTACACTCCTCCGAAATGTCCCTAGGACTATTCGTCGGAAGTGCATCGATGGCTTTAAGCTCCTCCACGGAGACGGCGCGGCGCTTCCCAAGGAAGATCCAGCCCCCAGGTGCATCTTCCAGCGAGCGAACAATGATATCCTTCTCAAAGAGATATTTGATGTCTTCCAGTGGATACCCGGTCGTCTCGGGTATGAATATGTACGCCCATGCTGCCATTATTAATGAAGCGACACCGAACACGAGATACGTTCCATAGGTTATGCGGGCGAGCATGATGGGCGTGATTTGGGCGATGACGTAGGTAAACAGCCAGGTTGTTGCAGATGCGATGGACATGACGGCCATACGGAGATGGCCTGGGGCAACTTCAGAGCCGAGGACCAGGGGAGTGAATCCCCAGCCTAGGCAAAAGAAGACGCCGAAAAGATATATGGCGACAACAGAAACATACGTTGCTGGCACAATGACCCCGTTGGGGTGAACACCAGCGTACCCGCCTAACCATATCATCATCAAGCCCTGCGCTAGGCCACCATAAATCAGGGACCTCTTCCGACCCCAACTTTCGATAACAAAGGCAAGAGTTATGCATGTGACGACGAATTTAACGACGCCGTATATGCCGGTAGCGAATAGTGCCGAGGAAGTAGTCGAGAAACCGAAGCCGGCAAATATTTGAGGAGCGTAATAATTGATTGCGTTCGTACCGGACCACTGCTGGAAGAAGGTAGCGATGGAAGGGATGATACAGCGCAGAGCTATGACTTTCGATTCTCCCATCTTGCGGAGTTGTGTGAGTAGTGGCAGTTTGTGCTTCCCAACGAAATCGGCGCGAATCTCGCTGAGAGTCAACACGACGGCATCATCATCCTCATCCTTTCTCGTAATATATGCGAGGGCTGCAGCTGCTTCCTCGTAGCGGCCACGTTCCACAAGCCACCGGGGAGATTCAGGTTGGAAAAGCATGAAAAATAGTAAGAGTGCCCCAGGTATAACCTGGGCGATAAAGGGTAACCGCCACTGCATTGGTCCTGGTGAGATATTGAGAGAAACGCTATAGTTGACCCAAACTATGCACTATCGGTCAGGCAAAATGCTACAGGTCTGGAAGTGACACCCACAAGCCAGCATATTTCCCAGTCCCACAGAGACTTCGATGCTCCCGGTGCATCGACCGCGTATGGCTCTCGGAGCACATTCGGATACGTACGTTGGCACCAAAGCTGACATCAAACCCACTCCCACGCCTCCGAAGAAACGGGAGAAATACAATAATTTCAATCCAACAGCTGGGGAAGTTCCAATGCCAACTGTTGCCTGGATGATGCTTCCAATGAGGTAGATGACCGCCGAAGCTAGTAGGACAGGCTTCCTCCCAAATCGACTTGAAAAGTAACTCGAAGATAACGCCCCAAAGCTAATGGTGTGAGTCTAATTGTGTAAGTGTTAAACTGAACTGCGCTCACAATCCACCTGCTTGCAGGACCGAAACGATATTCCCACTCAAGCTGGCGCGTGCAGAGGCTGATTCCGATAGCAAACCGAAATATTCTTCAAATGACGGCAATGCGAGCACGCCGCCTATTAAACCGATCTCCCAGCCAAAGCAGAAATATCCTGTGGTCGCTGAGAACGCAAGAAAGTAGGCATTGCGGTACTGAATGATATCCTGGAGTTCCCTCTTCAAGGTCGTGGCCATCATAGAACAGAGGGTATATGTCGTTCAAAGGAGTGAGCGTATCTCACCCAAAGGAGAGTGTGCAATGGTCTATATCACGGTAGTGTGAATGGCCGACTTAAGTGAATCCCGGCTTTGGGCTAGCAAACCCCATTGAGATGGGCGGCATAGCTGGCATAGCTTCAAAAGCCCCACATATATTTCCCGAGAAGGTTACCAACCACCAGCATGCAGATACTAGCTGCATTTGGTAGCGTCGTTTCCTGTTACTGACTTGTACTGAGTGAAGATTGGTAGTTGCGCAAGAAGACCATAACTTACAAGGCTTAGCTTTGACAGTGCGTAGATGAACAAGCTGTAGCCCAACAATTTCAATTGCTGCCAAGACTAGCACTGACTAGTACTGTCAGTCGAGAACTCACCGCTAAGGCTTTCAGTTCACCAAGGTGATTGATTGGACACCGACGGAAACAAGCGTGACGTTGAACTAGAACAAATGCAGCAATACAACATCACGTAATATAATTCTTCACATGCGCACCAAACCCAAAACAAAACTCGTGAGCGTCCCTCAATTGCAAATTGCAGTATATCCAGCCCAGGACTCGGCACTGAACATAACTATCGGCTCATCACATTCCTCGGATCTATCAAGAAGCAACGATCGTCTTCCTCCTGCGAGAGTCACTCGACGTCAATATGAGGTTGATTCAGGCCTGCTCATACATAGACCCGTCCGCCTTCTGTTATCTTTTCGCGCGATAGGACGCCTGAAATTTGGCTTTGTCTGCCGATCGTGAGACTTTGAATCTCTTCAACATTTGAGGCGCATTGACTCCTTGAAGAACATGTTTGGCACCGCTAAACCAAGGCCTGGTCAGGCTCATTGTTAATTATATCAATATTATAGTCAGAGCTGTGAGGAGCTGTGACATACTTGTGCGATCCAGCGTGAGACCGATCTGGACAACCTAAGATTCAGTACGTCCGCTGATGACAGGCTAATAGGTCGGCTCGTATGATGAGTACTTGTAGTAGATATCACAAGTGTCAGGGACCATATTGAGATTCTGACTTCAGCAGTGTCGATGTGACCGCCAGATCAACCATGCTCAAGTCAGATCCAGTACTCTTGCGTATCGACTCGAAACACTCAAAGTCCAAGCGATGCATACTGCATATCGAGGGTTCCAAGGTGGTTGGCAACTCGATACGGCCGTCTCATGTACTCTCAGGCAGGAAGGTGTAGCTATACCAATATTCTGCGACCAAGGACATAAGCATACAATAAGTTTGCGTGTTTAAACAATCACCTTGTTGCCTTTTGGGTGCAAACGATGTTGACAAAGTTCATAGTTAGTGCTGGCATTGACAGCGCTGATAGGACGGGACGCACAATTGGAATTGGCGTTTCACTTGGCCATAATAGATCGACCAGAATTCGTCAGGGGCACCGCCCCCACCGGGTTCCTGTACTAAAATTAGTGTCTTGAAAGTAGTCGCAGTAGTCGCCTCCGACAAACGCGCGCGGGGAAAATTACGTAGTAGCCCTCCCAGGCCGAATACGAAGAACGTGTCTGGTATCTCTACACAGAGCGTCAGGATTCGTTCGTTCCCTAGAAACTCGCAAGAGCGCAGAAACGACACTCACAGAACTTTCACCAATACTCATGAAACTGGGAAGATGCACACTAATCTAAATGTGAACACGCTCACGGTACCGCGGTTCTCCCATAGAAGGGACTAATGAAGCAGTGCTGTGAGCAAACGGACTAGTGATGGTGCACTCCGGGACTAGCTGAGTGCGCTTTCGCTTGTGAATGCTTTCAAACGTTTCCTTTCGTCTCGTGAGTTGGTCGCCATTAGCGCGGCCCGTAAACATGCAAGTTCACACGCTCACCTTGATAAAGCTGGTAAGATCGAATGATCAGTTTTATCATCCAACCACACCTTCGAAGCAGCTGATCTCCCAAAATGCCTGGCACAGAGAGCGCGTTCCCAATTGATCTCAAGAAGTACAGAAAGTCTGTGTTGTCTTTCTTGTTGCTTTAAATTTGGAATGTGCTCAATCGGGTTTATGATGCGATAAGATTGACCCTTGACCCCTCCAAGCCTCAGTTGACTGCAGAGCAGAAATCGACGCTGCTATTCAACATCCAGCTTCTCCGTGATGCTCTCGTACTCTTTACTGCAACAGGTGCTGCTCGGGGAGTGAGCGGGCACACTGGTTTGTGGCATTGATTTCAGATAGCTTGCTTTTCGCTTACCATTATTCGTCTCAGGTGGAGCTTATGACACCATTCCGGAAGTGTGCATTCTCCTCAGCTTGTTCGAGGCATCAGAGAAGTACCTCCCCATCATCTTCGACGAGGCAGGTGTGTAGATGAATATATGCGCCTTTTGGACTCGACCTAATAATATATCAAGGTCACCGTGTCGCGACTCAATACCTCCTCTCTGCTCTCGATGGGCATATTCCCCCTGAGCATCTCCTTCACTACCGTGAAGCCAACTCAAAGTTGCCCGGTCACCCAGAACTGGGTTTGACACCTGGTGTCAAGTTCTCCTCTGGCCGTCTCGGTCACATGTGGCCCATGGTGAACGGTGTCGCTATGGCAAACAAGGAGAAAGTTGTCTTCTGTCTCGGTTCCGATGGTTCCCAGCAGGAGGGTAATGATGCCGAGGCTGCCAGATTGGCTGTCGCACAGAACTTGAACGTTAAGTTGTTGATCGACGACAATGACGTCACTATCGCCGGACACCCATCCCAGTACCTGAAGGGTTACGACGTCAGTAAGACTCTTGAGGGCCACGGTCTCAAGGTCTACACTGTCCAGGGTGAGGACATTGACGCCCTGTGGGGCGCCATTGCCTCAGTTGTTACCTACGACGGTCCTGCTGCTGGTGAGCCCATTGATTTTTCCGCACAGCTCGAGTTTTGATTATGGTTCCAGTCATCGCCAAGCGTCTTATGGCACCTGGTGTTGCTGACATTGAGGGTAGCACTCACGGACACGATGTTATCCCCGTAAAGTCCGCCATCAAATACCTCACCGCGCGCGGATACCCCGCTTCAGTTTCGGAGGGTATCCTCAACAACATTAAGCCTTCGGCCGTGCCGTACTTATACATCGGTTCCACCAAGGAGGTTGGCGCAAACCGTGTTATATTTGGTGAAGCTGTCAACTTGGTGCTGGACAAGCTTAGCAAGGAGGAGGCTGCCGAGAAAGTCATGGTTATCGACAGTGAGTTCATTAATTAAATTTAGGAACTTGGCTCACTTCAAAAAAGGTGATCTCGAGGGTTCCACTGGTCTCAAGGTTATCCACCAAAAGCACCCCGAGGTGTTCGTGCCATCCGGTATCATGGAACGTGGAAACTTTTCGACAGCTGCTGGTTTCGGTTTCGACGCCAACAAGTTCGGTGTCTTCTCGACGTTCTCCGCTTTCCTTGAGATGGTTATCTCTGAGGTCACCATGGCTCGCTTGAACAACTGCAATGTTCTTAGTCACTTCTCGCACTCTGGTGTTGATGAGGTGTGTGAATTATTGATGCTAGATCTGAAGCTTGAACTAACTTTTTTCAACAGATGGCCGATAACACCTGCCACTTCGGTATCAACTCCTTCTTCGCCGACAATGGTCTCTCTGATGTTCAGTCGTGGCTCTACTTCCCTGCCGACCCATTGCAGATGGTGGCTGTCATCCAACGCGTCTTCTTCGAGCGTGGCCTCCGCTTCGTCTTCTCCACGCGGTCGAAGGTGCCTTACATCCTCAAGGAGGACGGTACCAAATTCTTCGGCGACGGCTACGAGTTTGTGCCTGGAAAGGACGAGACGATCGTCGAGGGCAAGGCTGGATACGTCGTGTCTTTCGGTGAGATGCTCTACCGCTCGTGGGACGCTGTCCTGCGCTGCCGCAAGGAAGGCCTGGATGTTGGCTTGATCAACAAGCCTACACTCAACTTGGTCGATGAGCAAACGCTGAAGAAGATCGGCGCAAGCCCCTTTGTGCTGGTCGTTGAGTCGCTGAACCAGAAGACCGGGGTACGTATCCCATTCGTGTGGGGTAGGTTGATACTAACGTTACTTTCAGCTTGGTTCGAAGATGGGCACTTGGCTCATCGAGCGCCAGCTGACACCCAAGTATGGCTACATGGGTACGACGAAGGAAGGCTGCGGTGGTCTGTCCGAGCAAATTCCTCACCAAAACCTTGACCCTCAATGTTTGTCCTGCTCTTGATTTTGGGGTTGGTTGATGCTAACCGTGGAATTGTTACAGCGATCATCATGAAGATCAAGCAGTTGTCCAACTAGAAAAATATATTATAGATCCGACTTTTTCAAAAACACAATATTACTGTAATGCAATTGCAATTTGTATGGTTTAGAACCGTTGGTACTGTAGTCGATCGTGTTAAGCACCTATAGATAAAATAGTCAGTGATTTTTTCAGATGTAGACCGAGTCAAATAATAAGTCAGAGAACCGAGTTTCGACAGCAGTCATCTTTCGATGACTTTGAGACGGCACTTCCTAATTGCATTCGGTTGTAGATCATCGTGGAAGGGGGGAAAGAGAGGAAGAAATCAGTTTACTCACCTGGATAATCGATGGACTGTAAAAAAGTTGAAAGGAAAGAATTAATAAGGATTTGAATTTAAGCTCCGATCTAATAAAAGACGAAGTCGCCTAACCGCTTTCTCACGACCACAGCCGAGCGTCTCAGGGGATAAGCTGTTAGCAACTGCTAACAAGAAACCTTGGATTAACTTTGTTGAAAGAGTCGAGTTCATCAGTGGTGAGCTTGACCTCCTCTATCATCAAAGATTCATCATAGATTTTCCTACCTTTTTCTCATTTTTAACTCCATTTTTGAGCAACGCAATAGGCGATCTCCTTGTCCAGATTACTGTTTTATCTTGGATAACTACTTTCTAGCCTGTTGGGTTATGTCGTATATTCGGTCTTTGTTCAAGGGATATCCATTTCATCCTTTAACTTATCCATCCTTTATGTCCCGACCCCGCTCACATGTCTTCAGAAAATCTTCATGGACAACACCATGGCCAACATGCCAGTCGAATCGGCTTCTGCCATTGTCCAAGGTTCCATTTCTATCATCTCCGCATTTAATTCTTCGCTAACCCTTCCGGCAGACCTTAATGAGCCACCACCACTGAAACGCAAACCTGGTCGACCCAAAGGAAGCGGAAAGAAACAGCCTCCAGATCCTGCCATCATCAGCGAAAAGATCAAGCGTCCGGTGGGTCGCCCTCGTAAAGATGGCTTGCCTGCCGGATCTGTCGGCGCTCGGAAAGCAAATCATCAACGGAGATCGAGTGCAAAACTAAGTGCGGATGCGCCACAGCTTCCGCCTGGTGTGCCATTCCCTGGGGTACGTGTTCCGGTTTGATCATGGTTGCCGAGGCACTCATCCTTTGTCGATAGGCATATTATCCTCAACACCCCGGCATCCCACCACCATGGCAAGGATTCACCCCTCAAGCCCCACAAACCTCACCTCCCATCACGAATGGCAGTACAATCACGAACGTTCAACATCCTTCCATAGATCCGAACCTCAATCGCGACGAGTGGGCGGAACTTTCACGTACGAAGCCCAATGTGCTTATGCAGGCTCTGTTGGGAGCTATCGCTGCACCTAATCCTATGGCCAGCGGAGGACCTACTGTTGAAGAGGCTTTCAGGTCCCACCTCGCTTCACTCATGCCATCTCAAAATCAGAACAAAGATGCGCATCCTATTCCATCTCTTTATTCGGTTCTTAGGACTTTGTGGCTTCCCTCCTCCCCATCTTATCTATCTTTGATTGCACCTCGGACAACCGCCCGTGTCACGCACTCCGAGCACCGTTTCTTATACTGGGATCCGCTACCTCTCGTTCTTGCTGGCATTCATTGCACAGCGTGCGGGGGCACTCTCCAAAACCGAGGTCGCATCCGAAGTGGCCCGGTTAAAGTTTACGACCTCGACAAGCCCTTCTTTATCATCGGATGTGAATACGCATGCAAAAGTATATCCTGTATCGCTAGCACGACCCCCGAAGGGCGCAAGTTCGCCAGCACGGACGCATCTGTTATGCAGGGACTCCCTGTGAGGCTAAGAGAAGAGTTTCCAGCGCGGTTGTTGCAAGGTGACGCCGATCTGGGCCCTGGAGGCAATGTTTGGAATTGGCATGCTGTTGGCGTCTCCAAAACTCTTTGGAACATGGTGAAAGCCTGTCTTAAAGTTGGGATGCCAAAGGACAACATCCTTAGCATCATCAATTCCGTCCAGAACCCGCCTGCTGATGAGAAAAGGGACCAAGATCAGGAATATGATGTCGACGATGGTGGGGTGGGTGCTGATATTTTCCGTAGAGAAATTGACAGCAATAACCAAGTATGCATTTGCCCGCCTTCTGCCCCTTGTCTGCTAATAGCGCAAGCAGGACGCTATAGGCGAGTTCAGCGATGCGTGGAAGGGAGACTCTACTGGTCCAGAACCCGGCCCATCGACACAGAATCATCCCGCTATGGCTCAACCTTCATCATCTACTCTTGGTAGCGCCACGCCTGACCATCCTACTGCATCAGCGTCCGCCTCCGTGCAGCCGCAGCCTCAGCCTCAACCTCAACCTCAGGCACAAGTACAGGCTCCGCCGCAGGTACAGCAGTTTGCTTTTGGACAACCAGGCCCGTATGTCTCGTATGCCTATCCCGGGTACTCATACTACCCCCAGCACCCCCAAAGTCAAAGTGCTCCACCTCCACCAGTTTCTCAGCCGCATACACCAAGTGAGCAAAACGGGCTCAAGCGGGCGTATGGCTACGGAGAGAACAGCAATGAAGTTGCAATCCTAGAGCCCTCGCAGAAGCGAACTCGACACTGCTGCAAGTGCGGTTCGCAGGATTGCAAGGGTAAAGGTGGCCGCACGTTCTGTATGAATGCGTGTCAGGATTGCGGGAAGATAGACTGCAAGGGCCGGAACAGCAGGCGTCCGGACAAGGTGTGTTCGGAAGCGTGGAATTAAGTGTACGATGTGTGCTGGTAACGCGGGTCGTGCAATAAGAAATACAATGCGAATCACTTTCTTGATTACTCTGGGAAGTGTGATTGTTCTGTATTACTCACATTATATGCTACATGCCGTTGTGTTGGTCTCTTCTTTCCCTGTAGCATCTGCCCTCGCCTGAAATATATTATTGTTCCGGAAGATCATTGGAGCTGGTGATAAGGTAGTTGGTCGACAAGTGGATATCAAGCGGACAGAGATCCGCTCCCTTAGACGCGTATCAGACTGAGCTGTAAACATTCGCGGACAATGCTCACCACGGCGGAAGAAAGGAATAGTCCTTGAAGATTACTCGTCGCCATCGATGACAGTCGGAATATAGTACGTGAGGACGCCTCCTGCGTCAGCTATCTCGCCGATGTAGACATACAAGATAGCACAGTGATTATGACATAAACCTGCATGGACAAAGAATTAGTGAGAGGGAACATGCGCATGGGGAGACGTACACGCGATGGTGGTGGCGGATACAACATGGCTGTTCAAAAACTTGAGGAAGCTGCGGATGGACACGAGCACGCAAAACATTTTGTCAGGGTCAGGCTTATCCAGCGAATCGTCGTCTGCATCGTCGTCGACATCGCCGTCGTTCTCAGCAACCCCGTGTTTGGCTGAGAGGAGTTAGAAAAGATGTCATCAGCAGAGCGGACCGCGTTGCTCACCCATTGATGGGTTGGCGCATTTAACCCATTGTGTCTCGACTTTGACGGTGTCGGTATTGATGGACAATTGGAGGTTGCCGCTGTTGTTCGCGCGCAGTGCAAGTACATCTGAGAGAGGACGTAGCCTTTCTACGATAGTGCGGAGCTTTTGTAGAGAGGGGAGCATGATGTGAACCTGATGTGGGTCAGCTTTCACGGAATGCATAAATGAAAAGAACACCAACATCTGGGTCCGGGCACCGTGGTTCGTGTAGTTTATCACTCTCCGCTGGCCGCATCACGTCTATGCGTACATCATGTGCGACGCGGACTTTGCGTCCTGACCTGGACATCCCGAACATCTCGAAACTTAACACGGCCTGATCATTTTTCTTTGCAAGTTTCATGACAACTTCGTCAGCGTCGTACGTCGGGATGATAGCAGCTGCAACAGATGACGACGACGCTGATGAAGAAGACGATCGAAGAGCTGCCAGCAGGGCTTCTGTAGACAGTGTCACAGTTATTGCATTATTTGCATTGGACTGGATTCTGTATGATGTGAATATGGAGTCGATTTTTACGACGCTGTCCACGAAGATGAGATGCATGCGGTAGAAGAGATACAGGATGCAGCTCACGACCAGACTTGAATGCCACCCTCGTTCGCCTCATCGTTGCAGATGACGTGCATTTCAGTTTCTGTGAATTTCATGATACAATTTTTCTGCAGTTTTTCCACTGCTTGTATGAGACCTGAAAATAAATAAGAAGGAGGAAACATGTAGTATGGATTATTACGGACGATAGAAAATTGGGACATTCTCTACGGTAGCTCTGAAACGCATGATGGACGTTGGTAGCAGCGCGCGACGCGTAAATGGGACACGGTCACATGGGCCGGGGTGCTCTATTATAATCGGTATTTCCCGAAAGTAACCCCTCGAAATCATACTAACGTTTCGGATCCTTCTGGTTCAAACACTTGTTGACCGCCTTGGTCATCGATTTCTTTCTCTTCGTCCTTCCATCATGTCGCGAGAAATAGTGAACATACAAGTTGGTCCATGAGTATCTTCTTCGCGATCGTTGTTCTGACTTCAATTTTCGTTGATTTAGGTCGGGCAGGTGAATCGTCGTGCATGCCATTGGTCTGGGTTCGGGGTTGTTCATGGAAAATAACATTGCAGGCAGGAAACCAAGTTGGAGAGGCATTTTGGAAGATGCTCTTAGCAGAGCATGGCCTCGACGATGCTGGGGTGAGCAGTTGCTTTGAAGTTTGGGACTCGGTCCACATAGATATTAGCTGACATGGTGGCTTCATATACCCAGATGTACAAAGGCAATGATCCTCAACAAATCGCACGAGTCCGTCATCATCAAAGTGCTTACTCTCAACCTCTGATCTCTGTCGTTCATAGGCAGGCGTATACTTTACGCAAGTGGACTCTAGTGGTCCCACCAAGTACGTTCCGCGAAGCGTTCAGGTGGATCTCGAATCCGGGGTTTGCAATCGCGTCAGTATGATAAAATTCAGTTATTGTACAAGGTTCTGATTTTTTTACAGCTTCGCTCGGGGCCGCTGGGCCAGCTATTCCGACCAGATACGTACTTCACTAGCGACTCAGGGGCTGGAAATAACTGGGCGAAAGGATGTAAGCCTCGTGTTTCTTTGTACTTCATGATCTGATAATATTTCGTAATGCTGTTTAGATTACACCGAAGGTGCGGAGATATCGCTACCATCCGCTTCCTGAGACGCCTCATGAGGTTGAAACTCAGGGGCCGAGTTGATTGACGGCATCTTGGATATTGTTCGAAGGCAATCCGAAGCTACAGAGGCATTGCAAGGATTTCAGATAATTCATTCACTTGGAGGTGGTACTGGCGCTGGTCTGGGTTCTCTACTTCTGTCAAAGCTCCGGGAGGTCAGCCTTGGGAGCACCGCCTAGTTTGAAAATGCTGACCCGCGAATAGGAATTCCCCGATCGGATGCTTTCTACATTTTCGATTCTTCCTGCACCCAATGTCAGTGGCTGACATCTTCCAGGCGAGGCTGATGGCTGACGTTGAGTTACAGGTCTCGGAGACTGTTGTCGAAGTAAGATATGACTTTCATTTGCTGGCTGATTTGGCGCTGATGTGTATCAGCCATATAATTCCCTTCTATCTATACATCAACTGGTCGATAACTGTGATCTTACTATCTGTATCGACAACGAGGCTTTGTGAGAATTTCCCGATCTATGTCGTTCGATTAAATTTGATAAAATCAGGTATGACATAGCCGTCCGCACTCTTAAAATCAAAAGTCCTGGATACAAAGATCTCAACGAAGTACGCCCCACTGGTTTACATCTGTGTGCCATGGCTCATTTTCTATTGTAGCTCATAGCCAAGGTCATGTGTGGCGTCAGCACCAGTCTGAGGTTTCCTGGTCAGCTCAACGGGTAAGTAATCCCTGATAAACCAGTGTCCCACTTCCAACAATTTTCTCAGTGATCTTCGCAAACTTGGAATGAATCTTGTCCCCTTCCCCCGTGTGAGTTTACTGAAATGCCTCTTTACCCAGTCTAACTCTGTGCTAGCTGCATTTCCTCATGCCGAGTTTCGCTCCATTCTATGATCCCAAAGCTCGGACATTCCAGAGACTCTCTGTATCCGAGCTCACCTCGTCGTGAGTAAGACATCCGTGTTACCCGGTTGTCGCTCATTGCGCTACAGGCTGTTTGACAAAAAGAATCTTTTGGTTGCTTCGGATCCTCGGTTTGGGTATGTCATATGACATACAAGTATTAATTACTCACTAATATTCGTAATTCCAGTCGGTACCTGACTGCAGCTTGTATCTTCCGAGGCAAGGTGTCGTCACATGAGGTACGCCAATCGTACATGTTTATGAAATATGACGTTTGATTCTTTTCCGTAGGCAGAGGTATAGCGTATTACTGTCATAAAATCACACTACTAACGCCCGTGCAGAGCTCAGTTATGCAGCTGCAACGCAAGAATTCGAATCTCTTCGTGGAGTACGCAAAAGCTCTGGTCTAGCAGAGGCTTTATTGATATATCTCAGGTGGATCCCCGACAACGTGTCCGTTTCGCTTTGCTCTGTGCCCCCTGTGGGCCAACCTCAGGCAGCGGTAGCACTTGCGAATTCAACATGTATACAAGAGCTCTTCAAGCGCAACCTTGACCAGTTTGCCCTAATGTTCAAGCGCCGTGCGTTCTTGCACTGGTACACAGGGGAGGGTATGGATGTGATGGAGTTCACTGAGGCGGAGAGTAACACTCAGGATCTGATGTACGTACACATCTGTGCCTATCGTACATCACTGACTGTTATTTATTTTATAAATACAGATCAGAGTATCAACAGGTAATATTGCATGTTTCTCGCGATAAGACAGCTGATCAACTATGTATCCACAGTATCAGGAAGCTACAGTGGAAGAGGAAGAAGTTGGAGACGAGAGCGAGCAATAATATAGGCTGAACACCGCGACTTGGTTTATCTTGCTTTCGTCGTTGTCGTCATCATTTCAGCATAGATCCATTTTTGCAGCCTATTTTTATTTATGCACGGAGATACTAATTGTATCGGATTGTTTTCCATGAACCACGACTGATGCTCACAAGTCCTGATAGGCTTGTTTCTGCAGCTTTATTCATTGGAGCTCGTCTGAGTGTTGAATATTAATTTTGGTAAGTTTGCAGTTCTCATGAGTTATCAAAACTGCTGAGCGCTAGTGCTTTATCAGAATCGCGAGACTAGCGTGCTAAGAATACCGCAATGCATTGGGTCCCTGTTATCTGCTACTTCTCATACACGACAGTGTTGATTTGCCGATAACTCCCAGCGTCGTTGCTAATACAGCCTCTGTTTGGCATTCCATCAGCGCTCGATGCAAATGGGGGGTATTATCGGCGTTCATACAATGTGCCTCTGAACGCTCGTGATGTTGGGAGCGGCCCGTGACCAAAAAACGACACCCGTCCGATATCTATAGCTGCAAGGCTTAGCCCGAACGTTCCTTCAGCAATGGTTTCGACAATACAGTGGCCCGAGCGCTTTGCTGACATCAAGCGCGAAATCGTGGTGGGAACCCCCGACTACGAGAGGCGCTTGACTGCGTCTTGGAACGATCTTCTCCAGGAACTCGATCAGCGCACGACAGAGATTATCAATGAGGGCCCCAACGCCAGTCATTTACCATTTTCCCCTTATGAGTAATTAATCGTTCCGTAGTACATCCCTCAAGTCCATTTCCAGTACCTAGACACGCTGGTCCCTGAGCAGCTTGATGATATTCGACGCGCGGGCTCTATTGTCATCCATGGTGTTGTTGAAGAGAGCGATGCTGCCGGCTGGAAGACCGCTTTAGAAGAGTTTATCAAAGCTAACCCTCACAACGAAGGTCGGCCTTTGGTTCCTTAATGAAAGCTCATTCTCTCATTCACGGCCTGCTAATGCAGGTTTTCCTGAACAGGACAAGCAATTCTTCTTCCTTGAGTTAGGAACAGTTCCGATCATCGTTCATGGACACTGATTCTACTTGCCAGCTGGACCCAAGCACAAGTACAAGCACGCGTCCACCCTAATATTCTTAAAGTTATCACTTGGCTCAATAACCTTTACCGTGCAAAGACAGACAAGAAAATGGAAGGCGTCGATCTCGACATTCCGTTGGTATATGCAGATCGGTTCCGCATTCGACACCCTGGTGTGCAATGGGATGTCCACCCCCCTCACGTTGATGGTGTGCCTGCCTTTCTTGCAAAAAAAAACGGGTTTTAATGTGCATACCAGGTGGTTCCATCGAGCGCTGGGAAGACGACAACTTCCGGAGGTACTTCGCGGATATCTTGAGTGGCAATTGGCGTCAGCACGACCCCTATGAACTCGAGGGCCGCCTTGATGCCCGCGCATCTTTACATGGAAGACCTGGTCAGGTATGTATGTTGTGACAATGCTGTTAAATGCAACCTTACCCTTATTTCTCTCAGACAACTGTATTCCGGACCTTTCAAGGTTGGCTGGCTATCAGGTCAAACTTCCTTTCCTTGAGTTTGGATACGAAGGTTGATATCGATTCCAGTGAGACCGCTCCTACGCAAGGCACCCTGAAAATATTTCCTGATGTACTCTTATCAAATGCATACACCATCCTCCGCCCATTCTTCCGACCGACCGTCCCCCTCGGCTCTAAGGACATCCTCAATCCGAAGAACTGGGTGTTAGGTCTGTATACAATGACTTGTTCTATTGAGTGTTTTCCTGAGTAATGAATAATTCTAGATATCTCCACCCCTGATTTCCCTGGCATTCAGCCTCATGACAGTGGTTGGGTCGGACCACGACCCACCCCAGAATTGCACCCTCATCTCAGGCTAGAGGATACCATGACCTCTGTGCCCAAGGTCAACCCTGGTGACATGGTATTCTGGCACTGTGTGCGTCATGCGTTTCCTGCTCTTCTCCCTTGTTAATTCTCAGCACAGGATGTCGTCCACTCTGTCGTGCAGGATCACACCGGTTCATATAACTCTGGTGGTAAGTCTGATTCAATAAGCTTCGTGCAAACGTTCAGATCTGACCATTCGGTGTCCAGTCATGTATATCGCAGCTGTTCCGCAGACTCCTTAAAACACAGCCCACGTCAAGAAGCAGGCTGAGACTTTCCTTGCTGGTACTAGCTTCGCGAACGACGGGACGGGCCTCCCATACGCTGGACTTGGGAACTGACGCAGATGTCGTCCAGCCTATCAGCCGAATCGCCATGGGTCTACCTGTTGCTTTTGCATAGGGACGTGCAATGTGCTCTATGCCAAAATTGTTACTGTATCTATATAAGTCATTATCATCAATATATATGTACACTACTATATCATCTAGCTTGGACGCAGGTTGTTCAATGGTTATAGTGCATGCTGTATAAATGCCCAGATTAGTGGGATGTATACTGGTTCAGACACATGCCCTGCCTAGATGGATGGGAAGTATGGGTTCCAGCCTCCATTACCGCCCTCACCAAGTAACAGAGGACTCTGAGACGTTGTTTCAGATGTCGCGAAGTCCGCAAGGGGAGGGAGCGTCCAGAGTGGCGACAATTCTTCAGCCGGCGAAGGAAGCATGGAAGAGGACTGCATAACCCCTCCGCTTAGACTCTCACACAAGATGATGCTAGGGGGCAGAAGCTCCATAGGGGACGGCGTGCCAGGGAGCTCTATGGGGCGAAGATAAACCTTCGGCGGCTCACGCGGATAGGAGGTCTGCGGCGGTAGATTTGGCGGGTGATGCGGAAGTGAATCCTTGAGATTGTGTCCAGATGAAGACTTCATGGTTGGCATTGTGCAAGCGCGAGGGATGGGTTTCGAAATATGTACGGACGGTAGAGCCAGGCCAAGTCCAGCAGGCAGCTTCGATATCGTCATAGGGGTGAGCTCGTAATCCGGAACAGCGCGCGTGTTAGAAATAACATCAAGACGAGCGAGCGAGCGTTTGTGAGAGTTAGGAGCAGCGGCTTTAGTGGTAGCACTGAATGGGTGGAGGGACAGGATGGAAGCAGCTCGTTTGCGTTGCTTTGTGTCCACCCGTAAGAACTTGGGTCTTGTCTTCTGGGGGCTTAGGGGAGCTTTCATATTCGCCCCACGAACATCATCATCCGACTCATATCCCACATCCTCCTCGACAATAGCGGGGTTTATGGTGAGACGGAACTTGGACTCCTTAGGGGTAGCGTCGCTGAGTGCGTGCGAGACCTGCTCGCGGGCTTTGGATAGCTTTGCGGATGCCGCAGCTATGAAATCCTTGGTCTTTTGGGATGATGTATGCAGATTTGGAGAGCTTGGGGGGCTAGCCGAAGCCTCTGTATGTAAGCTGGAAGCATCAGAATTGTGGTAGAAGAAGGATGAACTAGATCTCGAAGACGACAGGGAGGTTGACGAAAGGCTGTGTGCCCGAGAAGAGCGTTCAGAAGATGAAGTTGAGCTGGACATCATGGTTTCCTGTAGTAGAAGTGGTTAGGTTGCATTCGCTCGCACAAAGCGACTTATTCATCATATCCTGGTCTGAATCGAAATATCGGGCAGAGCACTGAAATAGTTGCTTGTGATAATGATACATCGTGAATACAAAGTACGAAGTTTCTACCATTTTGCGTAGGGCAAGAACTTGCCACTGTAATAGGATATGATCAGATGACGACCTGAACAGGAACATCGGACAAGACAATGCAACTCACTCGAAGGTCAAAACAACACGGTCACCCTTCGGGTCAGGCTTCTTGGTAACGTTAACTTTGCAGTCGATCATGGACATGATACCGTCGCCAAACTGCAGAAACCAGGTCAACATAACTAGGAGAGTCGAATGTCAAATATCTCACCTTCTCGTGAACGACAGCCTGATTTTGATCGAATCATGAGATTGCGTCATGGATGAAATCAAACACGACTGACCTTGATGGCGTGACCATACACGAGGACACTCTCGTATAGACGATAGAGGACGGGATCGGTGGGTGGCATAGGTCCAAGGCCACCACGGTTAGGCCACCAGTGAGAACCAAGCTCACTCTGGATGCTAGCAGTGGGAAGGTCCAGGACTTTCGCAACAGCTTCGAGCTCCTCGGGATTCATTTTTGCCTATGGGAACACATAAACGATCGCGAACCCAGTCATAGTGTACAGACAAACCTGTCCATAGAAAGCTGCAGCTACCCAGATCTCATCTCTTCCGATTGCCTTGGAAATAGCTTCAAAGGACAGTCCTATTTCGTGTTAGAGAATCCATAACTCAATGTCGCACTCGTGTCCATGCCTCACCTTTCTTCGCTTTAGCCTCGAACAGCGCCGCAATGATCGGGGGCAGGTCGGCATAAGGCAGGTTGTTCGATGAGACAGTCTTCCCAACTACTCAGTCAAACTGTCACAATGAAAATCAAGAAAATATTACTGACAGGAGCTTGCGACATATTGGATGAGTGAGTTTTGGGTGAAATGATGAGAACCCAAGTAATCTATCTCATTTATATCTACGCGTGCACGTGACTCGAAATGTCATGAATGAAAGGGTGGGAAGGAGTTGGGGCCCCGTTGATGGCGAACTCACGGAACCACGAGGAAGCATAATTGCAAAGATGCGAATTTTCTCGTCTTGACTCGGATTGGCCCGGAGACCTCAGACTAAAATTTCCCAGTGACTTCATTAATACTTCTCAGCCCTCCGAGCCGTGTCAACGACGGAACGGAACGCCTAGGACTTCGCGTGACCAAGCGGAGTCGGTGTATGCACACGAAGGACAGGGTATGGGTGACTGAGGGTGTCATGCCTTGGTCTCAGATTTGGCCTTGGCGGAACGCGTAGGACGTCACGGAACTAAGCGGAAGGGTGTTATGCACACGAAGGACAGGCTATGGACGGCTGAGAATATCATTTCTTGGTCTCAGGTTCAGCCCGTTCGCCATTCACCGGTTTCCATATCTCTTTTGTCGCGTGCATGAACTCGTACAACTGTCCAAGTTGTTCTGCAGACATCTGAAACCATGTCAACTCCAGTAACCCAAATCCATAGATGAGCAGAATCCTAATACCTTTTCGTATACCGTGGGATCTAGTTTTTTAAAGCTTCTAGAGTCCGAGGGGTCTCGAGGTAGCTCATCCAAGTACATCTTCCACTGTGTCAGAAATCCCATGATGTGTACTGGATTAGTAATCTCTCTATGCCTTCTAAATTCTTTATAAACAACGTTGTGAGCTGGTGGTGCATTACTATCGTGGAACACATACCAGCTTTGACATAGTCGTCGCCCAGTAAACGCATTTCGACTGGAAGCCTCCGATGTGCCCTGAGTAATCTGCGGTATAGGCTACAGCATGTCAAATGCAAGATTTGAGCTACTCGCCATCGCCAAAATATCAGTTAGACATACGGAATTGGGGGGTATAGCGTGCCGCTCGCCCGGCGCAGGTCCAAATGCTTCGTGGTCACAGATTCTGCGAGGCGGACAAAAGTACAGTACATTATGCAGTTCCTTCGGTTTGCCTTCGGCCCTTTGATGGTTGGTTTCGTTCCTTCGTAGTACTTCCTATCGTGCCCCCAAAGTTATCAAGAGCAATGTGCACGGAAACCAGTAAGTTTTGAACCCCCGGTGATCGTATAAAGGTAGGAGGAGTGTCTGCCAGCCTCAAACGGAGGATATCTCTTGCCAGAGGAAATAATTGCGATTGAAGTAGGGCTAAGGTGCAAGTTACAGTTCTAACCGAAAATTCAGGGTGCCCAAGTAATTTAGTTTGATCACGTGATGATAAAGTGTATGTCAGGTTAAGTACTATGCAAGTCTGTAGTACTCTGTACTAACACGAACCAAACGCTTCATCCTTGATACCAACGTCTGTAACAATGCAGTCATAGGAATCCGAGAGAAAAAGAGTACGGGCTCCACATCATACATTGTGAAATTTGATGCTCTCTCGATGACTATCGGCAAAGTCATCGTGTCGCCGTACTCCCAGAGCACGTTCGTACAGCTCTATGACACGGTGATAGATAAGTACTGCCAATGTTCCTGCCTTTTCCATGGGCTTCTTCAGTAAGGAACTGGATAGTTGACATCTCGTGTCCTCACTTGAATGCAAACCTATTTCGAGAAGAGTCTTCAATACCTTCTGACGAAGAGATCCCCGCGGCAAAACCTTGATGCAATAGAAATTCTTGTAATCATCACTGCGGTAATTAGCGAGCAGAACTTACGATGCTCAAGACTTGAAGCTACACGTCTTCTCCGAATGAGAGTGGTCCTTTCCGTGGTTTCTTCGACTTTTTCTTCGATGTTTTCTTGGTGGCTTCACCACTGCCATCCAAATCTCCAACAACTTTCCGCTTGAGTTTGTTGGATTGTTGTGCCTTCGCACCCGAAGAGGAAAACGACAGACTGACAACCTCTTTGCGCTTCTTCGAAGAACCCACGTCTGGTTTTGCATCATCATCCTTGGTGTCATTGTCGACTGTCTTGTTGGTATCAGGAAGTGGTGGCAGTCCTTTCTCTAAACGGCAGTCTTGTCAGAAAGCGGGAAGTTCTGCAAGGTGGTGATACGCACCTTTCCGCCTCTCATTCTCTGCTTCCCTCTCTGTGAGATGCTTGCCTTCTTTCAGCACAACTACCTGAGGTCTTTCATCGACGTCATCTTCGTCTACATTTCCGGGGTCATCGTCAGGTCGTTCGGGTATCGCAGGACGGACAGGTATCGGTGGACGACCCGAACCGTCGTCATAGTACTGTGGCTCATCCTCGTCTTCGTCTGTTATGCCCTGAATTTTATTCTGAAATTTCTGTAAAAATGCAGGTACATGAGATTGGTATTGTAGACGAGATGAGAGCTGTTGTCGGGTGGGCTCCTTGGCAGACATGATGACCTGATATGCAAAATATATAACTTGTATACTTGGATGGCAGCACTTGTTTGTACGTATGTATTGCATATGAGTAGTGTTCCGAGTCCCTCTGGCCTATACTTCTTTATATTGATACGTGCCATCTTCCTTGTTGATCCAAACTCTATCATCTCCCTGCTCGAGGAAACCTTTGGCGTCCTCCATGCGGACGGCGCAGATAGTAGCCAACTTACCCATCATATAGATAATTAATCTCAGTCCTGAAGCCTGTCTGTGCAAAAGCATGCACCTTTGTGGCCATGTAAGGCGCAACAACGAATAGCTGAGCCCACAGAGATACGTGGGCCAGTGATATTAAGATCGTGAATGGCTCCTTGACGCTTGGATGTTTGCATATATATGCATGTTAGTGTATGTTTTGCCCTCAAGAAATGATGCCTACTGCGGCAAATGATCATGTGCATCTCGACCAACGATCTCAAAGCCCAGCCCAAGTCTGGCCATAAGCCAATGCTGGGACTCACAGGAACCTGCAAGTGTACCACGACCCTTTAGGATCTCTCAGTGTCTATGCTCAATCGCAAGGGCTACTAGTACTACTGATATGCCCATTTCCCTCGACTCTCTCGATGACGATACCCTACTTGGTGTCTTTTTTGAGTTGACAGTTCCAGACGTGCTCAGCCTGAGACAAGTAAGACACTTTCAGCTCAACCGAGTGTTTGCTCGATCTTACTCAAAATGTTAGACATGCCGTAGACTGCGAGTCTTCTCAACACAACAGATTGTATGGCAGAATATCGGTTCTTCCCAGATATTGCAGCAGGGGATACCCTTCTCAAAGAAAGCCCTCTCGAGTTTCTCTGTTCATGATCTGGAGTACAGAGTACGCCGAGCATACCATCTAGGGAAGGCTTGGCAAGCTCCTTCAATTACATTTCGCCCGTCTGGCTTCGCAGCGAGCCGAGGGGGTCCTGTTCAAGACATCCACTTCATTCCAGGCTATGATCGGAGATGGCTCATCACAGTCTCTCAGGGTATCTGGTCGATGATCACACTCTGGGACCGCCATACCTTGACGAGAGTCACTTCTTGGTCCCCCCAAAAGGCCGTCTTCTCTGCTCTAGCAGTGAACACTTCTGAAGACTCTGAAGCTGCTCTCGCGGTGTCACTCCACCGATACGAGTCTGTATTTCCCTACTGACCGAGATTATCAGTGCACTGAAGCATTTGCAGTTCCGTTGTAGTTGAGATATTAGCTATAACGTCTAAAGCGCCAAACTCTCCGCTAGGTTTTGAATGCATTGCCCGACACAACACGTTGCGTCAACCAATCGCTATGCACGGGTCCTTACTGGCCTTGGCAGACGACGAAGCCGAAACAGTAATATGGAACTGGAAAACGCAGGAGTACGCTGTCTTGCAAAGTCCCGTCGATGAGGACCTTTGGCGGGTATGTCACCCCGTCAATTTCCAGCCTCATTTTCATCATTATGAGATCTGTAGAACCAATGCACTCAGGTCGTCTTTGCATACAAGACCATTCTTGTCGTTAGAGCTCGTTCAGTCCATGCATTTGCAGAGCCAAAACTAGAACCACATCCTAACACATGCGTCCATCACCCGTATGCCCAGAGCACATTCGGCTGGGTGGACGGTATCTTTGTCTCTATTTCACCATCTTCGCCCAAGGACCCCACAGGAATGAAAGGGCAGCCTCTGTCGGTTCTTGTGCGCAAGCAGATTGATGACCCGTGGTCATCCACCTTCAAGATTCAACTCTGGACTTTGAGTCCGTCCAATGAAACTACTGTCGACGGGCCGCATTATATTTTCCCTCCTTCTATGACCACAGAAATGCTCAGTCCACGTCGGGGGGCCCTACGATGCACCGACATGGTGCTTGGTCCGTATGGGACTGCGGTCTGGGTGCAACCAGAAGACTTTTCGGTTGCGGGCCTAATCTTTTCGAGCAATATGCCTGTGCCACAGTCTCACGAAATACTTGTAGCGGTTGCCTTTCCTGGATTGCTCAATACTCAGGGTGAACCGCAGGTCAAGTCATCGTGGAAGAATCTCGGCGAGAATTGGACATGTCTTGATTACGACGAGGAAAGAGGCTGCATTGCACTAGGCTCGGTTGTTGGCGCTGTCACTATCCTAGATATTTAAATTTTAATCACTATCAGCCCATCTGACTCTATACATGGCATGCAACTAACTATTGGTATGCTTTTGAGCGACACTAAAGCCATGTCATGTCAAGCCATCGAAATCTCTTGCAATTGTCAAGTAGATGTGATGCTGGAAACAGCAATGGTATAGACTATACATATTTTTCTGGACCCATGCCAGTAATTTCCTTTCGTTCCTAGATAGGATTACCCCAGCAAGTTTTCATTGGAAGGAAAAGACTCGGTGAGTGCCCCACGCATAAAACCATTGCGCTCGGCGGTAGGTAGGAGATGGACCTCGATACTCACGTGTTCCACTAACATCATGCGAGTCGTCTATTGTAGGAAAGTGACTCACTCGATATCGGAGGTGGTCAGCATGGCCAGGTACCCGAAGTATCATGAATATGGATTTCTGTTTTAGATGTGACCAAGCCTCGTTTACCAATTGGGTTACGCGAGGCGGAAGAAGGATTTCATCGTACGGGCCTGGGCAAGGTTCGCAACCGGTCGCTGGTGTGTGTAATACGCTCACCTAAATATGAAGTCTCCTACTAGATGAACCGAAGGAAGATGACTGTCCTTTATATAGAGCCTAAAATTGTTGGGTTCGTCTCCGGTAGTACCTATCAGGTAGCCAGTACGAGGTCAATTTCTACTAACATGTCGCCGACACCTGGAGTTCGTTCCCTGGAAGGGTTCAGTATGATTGGCACTGAGGTATATCTTCGGGATATCCGTGAGCAAGGCCAGGACTTGGATACTACATCACCAAAGTGAGCCGGGTGTGGGTTTCTTGGCGAGATGGCTGACGGGGCATTTTCATAGCGTCATTTTGATATTCGGGTGGAGTATGCTCCTTAACCTTTGTGTTCTTGAAGTCCTTGTCTAACGAGTCGCGTCCATAGTGGGAGCACAATTCAGACATTTGCGGAATTACACCCATGCATATACCAAATTATATCCAAACGCGTCTCAAATCGTTGTTCGGTGCAATACCGACATGCTCTGGACTACAATTAGTACTAGGGTCAGCACCTCAGATTTATTGCTCACTATTATCTTGTCACCTCAGACAATGAAAAGGAACGGCGCCTCATGCCTGTAATCGATGCTTTAGAAGCATTGCATTGCTTGCCGTCCTCTTCTGCCCAAAGGCGTCCCCGAATACTAACCCACGTGTTTTCTAATGGTGTGTCCGCCCAGACTGAAATCAGAACAAGCTAAAACTTTACTAGGAGGATCCCTGCAAGTGACATGTCTTAGTCACATGCTACAGCAGAAATATGGTTCTGCATCCGTTCAAGGACCACTCACGAGCGCATTGATCCTTGACTCATGCCCAACGATTACCAGATTAAAAGCGCTCAAACTCGCGTTAAGCGCTATCGTCCGGAACCCAATTGTCAGATATATCGTACTCACCTTCGCGCATGTGATGTACTTCGTCCGCTTCGGCCTATCTCTGCTGCTCGGTAGCCAAATGATGTTGGTTGCAGATGTCCACACCGACATGTGGAATCCCTGCGTCCTGCCTTGGATGGGCATCCACACACCCCGCCTCTATCTTTTCTCGCGCAAGGATAAATTGATTCTGTGGCAAGAGGTCATGCACCATGCCAAGACAGCAAAGGAGCGCGGAATGGATGTCCGGTGCGAGCTATTTGAAGAGAGCGAACACGTAATGCACATCCGGGTCGAGCCAGAGAGGTATTGGTCTTCGGTACAGGAGGTCTGGGTGGTAGCAATGTCCAAGGAGAAAGACGAACAGAGAATGTCGCAAGTTCTACCAGCTCGACAGCAAATATTGGGCCCTCGGCAGCATCGCAGTTTCCTTTAGCAGTAGCAGCAGTCGTTCGTAATTGCCCACTACATCCGTTTGTTGTGTCTTTCTACAATCCGAATGCAGTGGCCCGAGCTGCGAGACCCATCTTCGGGAAATTCACGCGAGCGTGGGGTAAGGTTGGTGTTCTTGGAGACTGGCAGTGGGCATCTTTCCTGTGTCCTTCTTTGTCCCCTTGGTGGGCGATTTCGCAAAAAGCGTTCGAGCCTTGGATTCAACCGCCTTCTGTGGGCTGGGACAAATAACAGTAGTGACTGAATATATACTTGGGCGAGTCGGAGGCCTGAGCACTGATCGCCACGCCATTTGCATCCGAGGCTATTGGATGACGCGTCATACATTGCAGCATGAGCTTGAAAAACCAAGACAGCCAGATGAAACAACGTGCTAGTAAGTAGGTGTAGCCATGTTGATGCTATGACAGACTATACCAACATCTGCCGCAAACCTGTGACCCCGTCACTGCTTTGCGGTGCATCGACCTGCTTCCACGGTCGCGGCCTAGTCGTGCGTAGTCAGACCTTGAAAGCTGGAAGACAGTCGTTCCTTCTGTTTCAGGATAGCGACCGTTCCAGGCCTTCGGAAGAGATTTCGAGTCTCGGCTCAGAATGGTGGGACAACTTGAAGAGAGGCGGCTTGGAATATCCGAGTGTGAGCGTTGTCACATCGACGGCAACACTAACAGGCAAACAGTAACGTGGAAGAGCGTGCTTTGACAGCGTGCATTGACAAGAGAATAAGATGCAAGAATGTATGTGCCGAGCTATTATGATACTTGGAACGGATCAGTTCAGTTGTTCAACTGGCCCGGGACAAATAGCACGCCATCAGAGCAGGTCGCGTCTGTCACGTGGTAAACCTCAGTTTAAGTCTAACAGCAAAGTTTTACGTTTATATTTTTATGGTTAACCGTCATCGACGGCAGCGCTCGCGTCACAAGGCTGCCACTGAGCGCCAAGCTCTAAATTTCTTTGACAACACGCAGCATGGTTCACACTAGCCTGGGGAATTCCGAGTCGATTTCCCTGCGACACTGGTGTACTAACTATAGCAAAGTTCTCTCCTTGATGAAAGACGCCGAAGAGCAGCCTCACCATATCAGATGTGACCTACAATAGTACAATCAATCATAATTCTGGAGCGTGAGCAGCGCCTCATCATATGAACACCCTCTCTCATCCCAACCATCGTTTTCGCCATGGCTTCAACAGGAATCACGATAGATGAGGCTACCCTGATTTCCACAGTGCTGGAAGGCATTTTATACGGTGTGTGTCGCATTTTGTTCTTCCGTCCCATGCCCACTCAGCTAGAGATCCTCAGGCTTTTCAGTTCTCATGTTCATGGGTACCATCTGGGCATTGGCCCACAAACATGGCCCACGGGACATCAATCGCCCGATGACTGTGGTCGCAATACTGTTGTTGATACTGAGTACCGCAGTGAGGCCGCCTCTTACGTCCGATTCCATCTGTTGAATTCTCTCAAGCACATGGTAGTGGACATCATTCGTCTCGAAGACGGACTGGTGAGGTATCGTGACACGTTCCCCGGCGGACCAGTGGTATTCTTCCAAGATATTAGTCAAAAAACTTATGTGACTCAGAATGCAATATACGCCTTGCAAACACTGCTTGGCGATGGGGTGGTGGTATGTCCAAATTTTATAGGCCAGCTTAAACCCTCTGGGCTTAATACATTGTCTGGGGAAAGATCTATCGCTGTCATGTCGTTTGGCGATCCGTGTGGGTTATCATCCTACCAAGCATGATGTGGTGCGGCGCCGCAGGTTAGATCTCAATGGTGTTCATGGAGTCGTATGTTCTGATTTTGCGTCGAAGTGTCTGGTACCGCTGCAGCCTACAATGCTTTGCGGACGATTGACGACGGAAACATCTACACCAATCAGACTGAACAATGGGTCATGGCGTTCTTTACCTTGACACTTTCAACTAATTTGATAAGTTCAGGTAAGGTTCTGTGTGAACGCGATGTCGAAGTCCCATAACAACCTGAATTTGTCCAGGATTACTGGCATATCGTATCTGGACATTTGAACGCAATCTCTCTGCAATCCGTGCTAGCACGAGTGGTACTTTGATGCATATAGTGCGCGTGCTTGTGGATGCCGCTTTACTATACTCTGCGGCGCTCTTGCCCATGCTAATATGCTTCATTCGGTCAAATAATGCACAGTATGTTATAGCAGACATGGTGAGTATCACCGTTGACACCCATGATAAAATATCGCTGAGCCTGGACCAAATAGATGACGCCGATAATCTCGGTTACCTTCTACATGGTACTTATTCGCATCGCAATCGGGAACATCACCTACGATTACCCCCCAACAATCTGTGGTGCGGCAATCAGTGAGATTGACAGGGGAAACCAATATTTTATGAAGCCTTCGCAGGTTCGCATATCCCAGTCAGCACGCAATGACACATCGTATAGAGTGGGAAGTCAGGAAAGAACATTGATATGGAAGACGGAGACCATGGAAGGAACATCTTGCAATGTATAGTCAGCCTGAAAAAGTAAACTGCAGCTCTATGTAGTTGGAAGGGTGCTCGCAGCAAATCGCAACTATGACATCGTCAACCAATACGTGGACGCATTATCTATGATTTTCTGACAGAAATCTATAATCAATTAAGTATCCTCTTATCTTCATCTTTTTCCTTCGAGATTGCGGCCGCCCAAATCACCTGGACTGAAGACCAATACCTCTCTGGCTCGACCCGGATATGTGCCACATGCTCACTCTCTTCAAACAGTTCGCAATGTACATCCATTCCGCGCTCCTTCGAAATCTCAGCATGTTGCGTGACATCTTGCCACGGAATCAATTTATCCTTGCGCGAGAAAAGATAGAGGCGGGGTGTGTGGAGGCCCATCCAAGGCAGGACACGGGGATTCCACATTTCGATCCGGAGGTTTTCCATCAACATTATTCGCTTACCCAATAGCAGAGAGAGGCCGAGGCCGACGAAGTGCATGGTGTATATCATGCTGAGTACGATGAACCGGAGAATTGGGTTCCGGAAGACCGCGCTGAAAGCGAGTTTAATTGTTCTTAGGTTACCCACTGCTGGACACGAGTCAAGGATCAACGCGCTCTTGATGAACCCTTGAATTAATGCAGAACCATATTTCCGCTTCAGCATGTTTCCAAGAAGCGTCATTTGCAGGGAGCCTCCTAGTGGTGCATACAATGATCAGCTTGTTCCGCATTCAGCCTGGGTGAACATACCATTGGAAAACACGTGAGTGAGAATGCGGGGAGGTGGTTGGGCAGGAGAAGAAGATGGGAGACAATGCAGTGCTTCTAAGGCATCGATTACAGGCATGAGGCGCCGTTCCTTTTCATTGTGTAAGGTGACAAGATAACAGAAGCAATTAATGTGAGGTGCTCACCCTAGTACCGGTTGTGGTCCAGAATACGTCGGGATTGCACCGAACAACAATTTGAGATGCCTTTGGATATAACTTGGTATATGCATGGGTATAATTTTGCAAATGCCTGAGTTGTGCTCCCACTATAGACGCGACTCGTTAGACAAGAACTTCAAGAACACAAAGAGTAAGGACCCACTCCATCCGAATATCAAAATAACGCTACAGGATGTCCCGTGACGTGTTAGCTATTGTGCTATCATGGATATCAACTCACTTTGGCGATGTAGTATCCTGGCATTGCTCACGGATATCCCGGAGATAAATTCCAGTGCCAATTGCACTGAACCCTTCCAGCGACTGAGTTCCAGGTGTTAGCGACATGCTGGAAAAGATGAACCTCCCACTGGAGATACCCCAAAGGTGAATTTTTGAAACCCCAATGAAAACAAGAAGACACGTGTTCCTAGGTGAGCGTCACACAAATACCCACGGCCAATACGAACCACACTGGTGGCCCAGCGCTCCACTGGACTTGTAGTCGCAATCGCAGTCGTAGGCAAATCATGATGCTTTATACGAGATATGCTGGACTCGGAGGGTTGGGAGTGATAACTTGTACTCTGATCATTTGGCAGGAAGCCGGGACGGCCGCTACTCGGATTTATGTAATGCGCCTCAGGCTTGAGCTGCACTTGACGTATATTTACATCCAAACCTCTTGATCAGGGTGACCCGCACTTTGCTTTCACTCACGAGCACCTATTCTTTCATATCAATGTTGGAAGTGGTATAATTATGATTTCTCGAATTAAAAGAGTGTCGTGGTATGCACTGACAACCACCTGGACTCGGAGGTGCCGGCTGATCCACACCCTTCCAATCCCTCCCTCGACCGCTTCCCTATCCTGCGCAGAAGACCAGGAAGGTGCAAAGGTTTGGCTTCGCTCGTTCGAAGAAGCAAAAACCGTCCCGAAAAGTCTTGTCGAGCTTACTTTCTCTCGCAGTTCTGGTCCAGGAGGACAGGTGCGTTTTTCCGTGTATGAGAGTGCGGTGTGCTTAATTGATACGGGTTAGAATGTCAACAAAGTGGAAACCAAGGTTTCCGCGCGCTGCCATATAGACGCACCTTGGATACCAATGTGGGCGCGCGAGAGCCTCGTGATGACGGTAATTTGGATCACTTGGCAAGCAATCGTTAGGCTGAAACAATTTCATTCAAGCCGTACTACGTCAAAACATCGCATTCTTTACTGGTTTCATCTACTGTGTCTCGTTCGCAAGCACGAAATATCGATGATTCCTTGAGCAAAGTCTGTTTGAATTGTCGATTCTTTATCTCAAGTTAAACAGAACTTCTTTTCTCAAGATGCATACTATCGTGATGGACGCTGCAAAAAACTTTATTACCAGCGAACCCAGTGCAAAACAAAGACAAAGGGTCGCCAATCTAGAAAAGGCACACGACAGTCGAAGGAGACTGGAGAAGAATAAACGCAGCGCCGTGAAGAAGATGAGGTCCAATAAGGGATGGAGCGAATAGGATCTTGGTTAGTACGGTGCACGAGCTATCGGTACAAAACCTATCTAACTGAGTATTGAGAAGTTCATAACAGCATTCTACGTCGCGGATCTAATACTCAAATAACAGCCGATATCTTTAACGATATATGAGGAAAAGACGTAAATCGAGCAAATTAATTAACTCGGGAATCGAGTCATCGACGAGAAGTGCCACTTTATCCATACCGTGCGCCGAGCACACTTTTCGAGAAGCCATACATAGGGGGTGCTATATTCCCGAATGCAGCAAGGAAATTTGCATGTAATCTTGCAACCAAGGGGATTATACGAGAGCGCAGTAATATCGCTCCAATAAGTATGCATATTTAGTTGTATTACCACTATTCGTTAATGCCGTTCATAGTTGTGGTTTAGATTCTTCTCTAGGGTGCATACGAGGCGCTGGAACTATAGGGGTCAAGTGTTGCCTTTCATCCTCTTCTCTCGGATTAATTACAATTTTGCCTCACCTATAGCTCCAGCGCCGATGATATTCCCGTGACCTTGGTTTGGGTCGGACTGCCAGCAAAGCCGATTTGGTGCCTTAGATGTAGGTGGCTCCACACGCCTCGTTTTCTGGCAACTTTTTCTCCGCAGATCCCTGTTCCGCGGTAATGCATTTATGCCGCTTAAAGTTGCTTCGCGAACTCTTGGACTGGTATCCCTAAGCTGCATGTCCATTAATCGAAGTGTTCCTATTTTCGATCGCGGCCACACCCGAAAGTGCTGGGCCCAACTGCTCTCGTTGTGGTGAGCACGTCAGTTTTCCGACTTGATTTGATCGGTGTATACGTTCTCCACACGCCAGTTTTCCGTCCATATATGAAAACTTTCATTCAATTCAATGACGTGATCGATAGTACCTGACATGACAAGACACAATACATTCCATGGCGTTCACTACTCTCGACAGTGACGTATTCGAAGGATTATTGACACGATCAATGTTAGACCCCTCACCGATACGGATTGTTGGCACAGATATCTTTTGTCCCTTTGCGACAACTGGCTTGGGGATCCAGCATTCGCTAGAGGATTCGACAGTCCCTCAAGACATTGGACACAGTGGCTACATCAACACACATTTTGATATTGTGCGTCTTGCCGTACGAAATCTATTCCAACTTACCTGTAGAGCAGAAAATTGGTAGTTATTTTTTCATACGGCGGCTCCATTCATGCATCACTAGATGTTATGATGCATGCAAGGACTTCTGCCAACATGAATAACTGGATGTAGAGGACTCGTTCTACATTACAACCATAGGATGTCGGGGCGCTATCGATGCACAGGCGGGCAAGTATCAGTATTTGAAGGAGTTCCAACAGGTTGCAACTTGTTCCCCATCGTACAAGCTCTTCATCGCACAACGCGACATGTCTTCAACAGCAGGATCACCCTCTCGTTACTCTACGCGCGGCCTGTTCAGTACCTTTAAGCTAGATTGCAAGGCCGCTGCACTCGAGTTCGTCGGGACAACATTGTTTCTACTCCTAGGACTTGGCGGTATTCAGGCCGCCAAGGACGAGGCTGAGTCCAGCGGCACCACCATCGAACACGTGATGTACATCGCGACATCCATGGGTTTCAGCCTTCTGGTCTCCGCTTGGCTGTTCTACAGGATCACCGGTGGCCTCTTTAACCCCAATATCACCCTCGCACTGTATCTCGTGGGAGTGATAACCCCCGTCAGATTTGTGTTGTTCTGCATCGCACAGCTGGTTGGAGGCATTGCTGCATCGGCATTGTTGCTCGCGTTGACCCCTGGACCTCTGGCTGTCAAGTAAGTGATTGTTGTGGCATTGATTCCGCCGATTCTAACGAACGAACTCTGCGCCTCATGATAGCACATTCCTACAACAGGGAATTAATCCAGCTCAAGGCGTTTTCATCGAAATGTTCCTCACAGCAGCGCTGGTGATGGCCGTTCTGATGCTTGCCGCTGAGAAATCCCAGGTTACTCCGTTTGCACCGGTACGGATGGTCAGTATGTCTCACTATAAATAATGCTGAACATTTTGCATCAGATTGGCATTGGCCTGACACTGTTCGTTGGGCAACTGTAAGCCATCTACCCCGCTATGTAATAATATGACTGAAATCGTGCAGATGGGCCGTCTTTTATACAGGCGCAGCTATGAATACGGCACGTGCATTTGGACCCGCTGTCGTCACTGGGTTTCCTTCCTCTAGCCACTGGGTGGTAAGCAAATCATTTTTTTCACGGGCGCGGACCTGAACTTTGCCCTCGTAGTACTGGGTCGGACCCTTCCTCGGCTCCCTGCTAGGAACTGTCTTCTACGCCATGCTGAAATGGTAAGTAAAATATTTATGCTCGCTCAAATTTAAATTTACTGATGCCCATTGCAGGATGCACTATCAAGATTTGAATCCTTCACAAGCGTCCACGCATGAGATGGACTCGCCATATCCGATGGCCATGAGACCAAGTAATACAGAGAAGCGTAATGAAGATGAGGCAGGAAGGGTTTCTGGAAGCGGGTCAAGTGCAGCGTAGAGTTGCCCTCAACCTCCGAGGACTTTTGCTCAAACTAGGACATGTAAGCCGACCGGCGGCATAGTTTATAACTCACACACGCAGGATATAAACTAAGGCGAATTAAAGGTCACTCGCTCGTGGTTGAACCACCTTTTTACATAAAATAATTATAATTACATAAATACATCAGTTATTTAAGTTATTTTGTTTGATCAAGCCTTCGAATGCTCTACTTGATACTTACAGAGCTTCAGTCAGAATGAGAAGGGACTGTATTCTATTGGTCTACCTACGAAAAAATGGAGGCGCTCATTTTCACGAGCCACTACACGCCGGGCCTCATGATCAGGCTTGAACTCCGACTCGATGTCTTATGATGCTTATCGAGATACTTGAACTCGAATCATCACGGGACAACCACACCAGCATCATCAACTGAATCTGATTGGACTATGGACTTAGTCCTGTCACCTAGAGTCAGCATCCATGGGAGGGAGGACCCATCTCATGACCTAGTGCACTGTCTTGGCGCTGCTGTGCTTCGCTCTCCGCTCTTTCATATCTCGCCTCTTGTGCATGCCGGTAGACTATCTCCACTTTGTACCTTTTACATCCTTGCAGGTGAGTATCGTCCTGTATCTATGTTTAACTTCTTGCCTAAATGTGAAGACCAGGTGATCACTGGATTCATTTTCTGACCAATGACGATAGGAATGCGAAACATAATATAAGGGCGGAAGCACCTGCTCTTATCTGCTACTTTCCGCTATGGGTTTCAAAGACGCACTGGCGGACATTTCACGATATCGTAATGCATATACCATTGCCTTGTCTGCATCCATGGGCTCTATCTTCTTCGGCTGGGACACTGGACTCATGGGTGGCATTTTAACCCTGAAGTCTTTCCAGAGCTACTTTGGAATCAACATGATGTCCGCATCTGCTCAAGCTAATTTCAATGGAAATATTGTGTCGATTATGCAGGCAGGAGCTTTGTACGTTGTTATGAATATTCAATGCTTCGTCGCTGATTTGGGTGCATCAAAACCTACAGTTTCGGTGTCTTGTCAACTGGTTGGATATCCAGTCGCTTTGGGCGAAAACGATCCCTAATTGCCTCGGGGGTTATATACATCATTGGAAGCTTGATACAGGCTATCATTGGCCTTGGAAGCAGTCGGGTTGTTGCTCTCCGACTTTTCTTTTTCAGCCGTTTCGTTTCTGGCATCGGGGTCGGCATGATATCTGCTTTGGCGCCCTCATACATATCAGAGTGCATGCCCAAGCACATTAGGGGGAGGTGTACCGGACTTGTCCAGTTCTCTGACAACATCGGGATGATGCTGAGCTGTGCGTGTATATTCAGATAAAGCAGACTTCGGATTAATGGAAATTTGTTGCAGTCTGGGTGAACTACAGCGCTTCTATCAACATCCCGTACAGCGACTTGCAATGGCGAATGCCTTTAATAGTCCAGCTTGTGCCCGGCATCCTGTTCGTACTCCTCATGCTTCCACAGCCTGAGTCACCCCGTTGGTTGGTTGAGAAGGAACGTTATGACGAGGCAGCGGGGACCCTTGCATACGTTATTCGAACGTCAGTCGATGATAAATCCGTCCTTCTTACGCTGGACGAGATCAAAGCGGACTTTACCGGCAAGCAGAAATTATCTTTGCTTGCCCAATTCCGCATGATGGGAGAGTCGCGTCAAATTGTGCTTCGTTGTTTGATCCCCTCCATAACCACCTTCTTCCAGCGATGGACTGGTGCAGATGCTGCCAACTACTTTAGCCCACAGATCTTTGCTGCGCTTGGTATTACCGGTACATCAGCTGGCCTATTTGCAACGGGGATCTACGGTGTCGTGAAAGTCGTCGCAGTTGGTCTTACCTTAGCATTTGCTGTAGACAGCTGGGGACGCAAAAGGTGTCTCTTCGTGGGTGCTCTGGGGCAAGGATTATCGCTGCTTTGGATCGCCGGTTTCGGCGCTGTCCACCCGCAGAGCAATATTGTTCCCGGGAGTTATGTGTCTATCGTCGCCATCTACCTCTATGGTGTATTTTTCTGTCTCGGCTGGGGACCTTTACCATGGATCGTGGCAAGCGAAATCGCTCCCAATCATCTCCGTGCGGCCACACTTACTATCGCAATCTCCGTGAACTGGCTATTGTCGTTCACAATATCGCGCCTGACGCCGGTGATGCTGGAGAAGATCTCGTATGGAACGTTCCTGCTCTTCGGCGTGTGCTGCATGATCATGGCAGCATGGGTGTATTTCTTGCTGCCTGAGACGATGGGGTATGCATTGGAGGATATCAAGTATCTGTTTGAGAAGGATGTGATGGTGAGATCATTAGAGGATTCGCCTGGAGGACGCGTATTCCTTGGCAGGAGGCGAGCGACGCCTGTGGAGGAGATGAGGCGAACGGCAAATACGCGTGGTTTAAGTAACACTACGCGGAAAGGGGACGAGGAGAGTGAGAGTGTTGAAGTCACCGATCTGCAGATTTGATTTCCACCAATTGTTGCTAATAGTACATTCATATATCATATGGAGACAAAGGTTGATGTACATATACTGCTCGTCACCAACTTGAAGCTTCCAGCACTGCATGGGATATGGGATGTCGTTGGCTGCGTAGGACGTCCCCGGACAGCGATTGGCACCGTGCATAATTAATTCAGACGGGCCATATCTGACTCTGTCAGGGCATAGATATGACTATTTTCTACAAGTAGAACATACCCACTCATCTCGCACCCGAACTTACGGAGCCACAAGAGTATCGAGTTGATGTCGGCCGGCCCGGGGTGCCTAAGCCACGGTGCAGGTCAGTGCAACACACCAGGGTGATGCTGAAGTGGCCAGGTGGGTGGAAAGAAGTCGGCAACCTGAGAGTTCCCCACCAAAGTCACCTCCATACAACCCTCGAGTGCAACCAAAGCAGCTACGCCCATCGAGCACCCTATATTCCACAAGGGACACATGTCATGACTTCCCTATCCGTCTCCTTTGACGAAGAGGAGAATGCATGTTCTCAACGTGCGAAGAAGCTCCGTATGATGGAACCTTCATGGTTGCTCCTTGCATCCCCAGGTGCTCATGCATAACAACCCCTTTCCTTAAATACTGGCAGCCTCGCAAATTCAATCAATTTACAACTTCTCGTTCTGTGCACAAGGATCTGACTGAGAAACACCAGCCAGGGCTTCCAAATGAAAACAACAGCGTCTTCGCCTCGCTAACTGGGACTTGAGTCTGCGAACGCGAATGCGAAAGATATAGTAATGGCCTAAGGTTGGCCTAGGTCTGACTCAACACCTTGTCCTGTCTTTTTCAAACATTCTTCGGAAAAAATAACTTGAATACATATTACGACGAAATATGTGCCAAGACCCATCTTTCCTTGAAATACACTCTGCACCACAAAATAAATAAGTACCACGACGCAACTTGAAAATCAAGAAAAAAATCAAAATCTCCTGCTCCCTGCAGAGCACCAGACCATCGTTGACTTCATCGAGCATCTCCCGTGCTACACGCCACTGTCAGTCGATATATGCACGCGCTCCTGGAAAGCGATTGAGATCATGGCTGTTGCTGCGTCAGAGTCTGCCACGAGCCGAGCGTTATATTCCCGAACGCTTAGGATGAGGCGTGGTCCCAGCACAAAGAACTGTATGGCTCCCAAAATCTGAGTAATACCAAGAAGAATCTGTATTTCGACGGAAAATCGGTCCTATAGAAATGATGAACGCGGTCGCATGCAGAGGTCAGTGAAAGATTGACATACCGTGAAGAGCGTCGGAGACAAATCAATAATGAGGTAGAAGCAAGACGGAGCAACAAAGCTAGCACATTCAATCATTCAGCGGAAAAGGGAACCATATTCACAATATGAGCTCACCTCGCAAAGTAAAGCACGTGAGATTTTATCAACACCGTGAAACAATCGCCGATAATCCCTCCTGCCGAATATTGTCGCAGTTCACGGAAGTGTTTTACAGCAATCCAGACTGCGAGACACAGCGCGAGGACCTCCCAGATAGTGCCGAGTATCCAGGTAATGGAATCCAGAAGTGAGAAATTGTCTGCATAGCCAATCGTGCACGCATAGGTGCCAGAGAGAATGAGTTCCTCTTGTGTTCATCAATGAGCGCCATGCACGGTTTTCATTCACAATTGAGCGTACCCCCTGAAATACCCCTCATTGACATTACGGCGACCACTACGTCGAAAATGTTGACAGCCAAGCACACGACGACAAGAAATATCAGGATTCTTCTGGATCGTTGATACATGGCATGTAACCGAGTGATCATGATGACTGCAACGTGTTTTGGTCAATTCAATATCATAGGTCTTTTAACTGCACAACTCACCACATAGCATTGGAAAGGCCACAATATTCGTCCAATCCCACACGAAGAACAGAATCCGGCCTGAGAAATCTGGTGAGTGATGGGCCTTGGGTGAATCACACACTAGAAACAGACTCACATCTGGAGTAGTCATGATAATAAACGAAGAAGCTCGTCAAGAATGACACTCACCCCTACAGGGTGTCGCGGTTAATTGAATGGGAATAGTAGGCATCGGTGCAGAAGACTCACTGCATCTGTCAACGAAATCGTCGGAACACTGCCTGTATGCCACTGGTCAGAAGAAACAAGCACGGTGAAATCGAGAAGACTTACTCGGTATGTTCAGGCTGATAGTGAGAGATAGCAGATTAGCATGACACCAATTGTCAAGCCTTCTGAACATACACAGCATATAAAATTCCAAGATAGCGTACCTAGGATATTGTCAAGTCAGCAGAAATTCACAACAGGCAAGGTACGTACACTCAGATAGAGAACGGTCATCAAGGACCAACGTTGTTTCTGTCGCAAATCAATATTGTTCTTCTGGCGTGGAACTGTGCTCACCCAGACCAGTTCGACCTACAAACCATTCTTAGCGAGATGGCTGCTCAGGTCATAGGATCAACATACCTCTTGTCCGAAGATAAGGGCTGGAAATACTTGTAGGAAATCAGCAATTCTCTAATGTTATGATGCTCACCCCAATCATACGCCACTCCAACACTAGCGGCAACTGGAAAACCACAATCAAGGTCAGATTGAGACATGAGCGCCGAACTCTGACTGCTCTTCACGAACCTACAAAATAGCTGTTAACACGCTCAGAGTTGATGAGTGGCCAATAAATAGGGTCGTCTGAGATCAGGGTCATGCTGTTAGAGGATCGATGCGAGGGAGCGGGGAACTTGGTGAACATACAACGATGATATTCGTGCTAGATATACCACCATCCAGTGCTTGTATGACCGAAATGAGATCGAGGGATGATATCCGTTCCTGCCAATGGATATGATATCATGAAGTGATGCATCGGGCCTTGAATAAAATGCCCGTCATGCGAAAGTGATTGGATACTGAAAATTCGATCCCACTGGTCACCGCACATGGCAGAATCAGTTAGTGTTGGCGCGGCAGTGTCTTCCCTTCTATCGGAGTCATTCACTACAGGTACTAGTAGATATCTTATATCGTTGATTTCCATTCTAATAGCCAGTGTTGTCAGCCTGTACATGGAATAAATAATGATTTAAAGATGTGGGGCTCAACGTACGTAGAACGATTTGATCATAACCCATTTGCACAGGCGGAACTCGAACGCCGCAAAAGATGAAAGAACATATACATAGAAATGTTCGTGATTTCGTCACCTTGTTTCAAATCCTATTCTCACATGCTGTCATGGTGAGTGCAGCATTTTCGATTTGCACCGTGGAGTTGGTGTGGTGGTGACAGCCACCAGTTTTCATAGCCAGAGACATCATAGTTGAGACCCCGTAATTGATACCTGGTGTAGATACAACACCATCTCCAGCTTAAGATAGCGACATGGGGGAAAGAAGAGTGGGAAGTACCGTTAATGACTGCATGAATCCTGACTTCAACCTAGCTGCCAGCGCGCACCTTCAACACATAATCCAATGAAACCCGTTGCAAATGTACCACACTAAATCCATCATGCAGTCGAAGTCGAGTTCTTCATCCGCTGTTTGTACGCGCGAAAGCTTTGTCATTTTTTGACCGCTTTTCCTAACGTGAATTTTGTTTACACTTGTTTACAGTGTCAAATTTAAACTCCCTGGGATTCGTTCTCTCCTCAACGACTCGAGAAACACTGTACACTTTTCGGTTTAATCCTTACCTATGTTGTCAGCCCATACGTATCAGGCACTCACAGACGCAAGCGTAGCTGCATTGTGCGGACCAGTGGACGAATTAGATATCACTACTACCTGGCGGGTGTAACAGGATCAAACCAGGACGATAAGTTGGCTGAAGTTGTGGGATTGGTTGATGGTAAAGCATTAAAGAACCTAGTTGTCTTTAGCCTCCGATTTGGTCTTTGAAGATTTCATCATCGCGATCGATGTAGTTCGTCATTTTAATTTGCCAAAAGTTAGCCTGGGGTACGCGGCCTGTTCGAGAGAAGAGAAGTTAGACCATCAAAGGTCCACGAGTCCTCGACTACTGGAGACAGAATTCTAGAGGGCTCAAAAAAAAACTTGGAATGCTGAGCGAGCTGGTCAAGTACTCTTGGGGGACACATCAGACATAAGTAATGCTGGTGCTTTTGAAATTCAAATGCCGAACATGTTGCTTACTAACAGTTGGAATGAAGTGTCAACGAGATACCGTTGGACTGGGCACGGGCTGCAAGGGAAACCCAACTTGAAGCTTGAAGCTTGAAGGGCCAAACCCTCGATGGTGGGAGGCGATGTTCTAGAATATCTTCTATCGAGGACCATAACTGAGCATAACTGTAACAAATTTGGACTCCAGCCACTGCGCCTCTAGGACACCTGGCACACCAACGGAGGGACTGCTCCAGACTGCCCTGGTGCACCATACAAAAATAACATATTACAGCAAAGCAAAAGAGTAAGCGCAAATCGCGTATCCAAAGATCAAGCACCACCAAAGCAAAGAAATTGCACATAGATGGAGATACAGGAACAGGAAGTGACAGAAAAAGTAACATCACGAGGCAACAGGCTGAGCAGCGGAGACAGCTGGACGAGTGCGACGTGGGATGCACCAGAGGGCGAGGCAAAAGTTGCCCTAGCAACCATAGTCTTCTTCTTGAGGCTGTTGTTGTGTTGCTGCCTGATGGTGAGGTTGTGGCTGTGGCGTCAGGTTTGGCTGCGCAACAGGCTGAGCTGTAGATGAGAACGATTGACCAGCCTGAGCATTATTTTTCGCAGGGGGGCGCGCTATGTAGACCCTCTCCAGGTTCAGTTAAGTACATAGCAGAACGAGGGACACGAGATACAATGCTTACCTTTGTTTTTCTTCCGGCAGAGACTGTTACGGGCTGCGGGCTCGTGTGACTGCGCTTTGGGCTTTGTTGTAGCCCAATATTAATGGACCCACTTGCTGTCAGGCGATGTCGAGAAGGGATGAGGAAGTTCCAGAGGCGGCGAGCAGAGGATGGGCAGGGACCCTGGAAACGACGAGATGGACCAGATGGTGCCGAAGGACATGGCTGGGATGACTACAAGTTCTCATCATCAATACTGGTGCCCTTTGTACGCAAAAAAAGGACGAGAATTACCTGGAGAAAGTTGCTGTATGGATCATCTCCCCCCTCCTCTGTGAGAGGTTGTGTAGCATCGGCCTGCAATAGTTGTGTGAGTAAGGGAAGGGGTGTAATTCAATGCAAGGTACTAACTTCAAGGCAAGACGGTGGTGGTGCCTGGGATCGGGATTATTAATGTGCAGCTTGTCACCTTGAAGTATGGTTGTGATAGCACGTACCGAAAGCTCCGGGGCTATCTCATTCACCATCCACAAAGTGACTTTGTTGTCGTATCCGCCATATGCGACGTATCTCCCATCCTGAGAGAATGATACACACAGAAGGGTGTTTCTATCATCCTGGCTGAACGGCTGGCTGAACGGCCGACTGAATGGCTGACTGAATGGCTGACTGAATGGCTGTCCGAGTGGTTGTGGTTGACGGAATGGTGGATCCCATAGCTTTGCAATACTGTCGTCGTCCACACACGCCAGTGGATTTTGTTTGGGTGAAAATGCGACGGAATCCAGGTTGTGAAGCAATGGCGTTCGGTAAGGGAGTTGTCATCCTCATGGTCGAACAGCTGGTCCATTAGCTGAAGGGGCATACCTCCACAGCTCATGCACACCAGTGCACTGTGTGAATGTGAAAGTGCGACGGAATCCATGTTGTGGAAGCGATGGCGTTCGGTAAGGGAGTTGTCATCCTCATCATGGTCGAACGGCTGGTCGATTGGCTGAAGGGAGATACCTCCACAGCTCATGCACACCAGTACATTGTGTGTATGTGAAAGTGCGACGGAATACAGGCCATATATGTGCTCGAGGCGATAGTGTTCTGCGAGGATTTTGCAATCCCCCTGGCTGCTTGGCTGGCCGGGCCCGGGTGATAGATAGGACTCAATCTCTTCTGTTTTCCATAGCTGTGCAGCGCCAGAATCGCCCACACAGGCTAATACATTGTGTTTGGGTGAAAGGGCAGCAGAAATAACCAATTTATCATGCTTGAGTTGGAACTGAGGAAGTTCTACGCCTGCATTATTAATGTCGAAAACACGTGTGAAATTGTTCCAGGGGACATAAAGTTTTGCGCTGTCCTGCGACCACACCAACGTAGATGACACCACATAAGACTCCCCTCCGTTGACGGGGATGGCAACGAGCTCGCCTGTTTTTGTGTCCCAGATACAAATCGTGTTCGTCCCGCCTGATGCGATTCTGTCACCCGAAGGTGAATACACAAGAGCGCCCACTTTGCCATACTCCATCTCTATTGGGCCCACCTCGATATCTCCGCTTTTTGCCTTTCGAATTAAGATTGTTCCATCATTGGACCCGCTTGCAATATGGTCTCCGACAGGAGACCACGACAGTGACCTTACTCCCCCGTCCAAACGCCTTCAATCATCTTTCCGTTGGTCTTCTATCGCTGAATGCTTCCGTCTTCCCTCCCACATGCAATCGTCTCTCCGTCCGGTGAAAGTGCCATTGCCCATATGATTCCGCCCTCACTTTTCCAGGGTTCCCCGACCAGAAGTCCTGTGTCGCAGTTCCACTTGCGCATCGTGCCGTCCCACGAACCACTCACGATGTGGACGTTGTCATGCAAGAAGACGAAATCCTGGACAGCATTCTGATGGCCCTCAAATTGATGCTTTGGAATTGGCATCGCAGGGGATTCAGAATCAGAAGACATAACTTCCTCACTGACAGTCGGCGTCGCGGGAGACATAGCTCGTTTATGGTAAGCTGTCTGTGATCTGACACTGTTTATAATTGAAAACGGGGGGAAACATTGGCTAGTACTTACTGAATTCCACGAGACAGAGCTAATACATAGTCGTTTGAACTCGCTTCGTAACAGGTTCCATTTGTGTCAGGCCAGGCCATTGCCGCGATGCTCACTATGTTTATCCTCACGCGTGTCAGGACGCTATAAAAAGCCGAAGCACCGTGCACATCACCTAGTCACCACCACTTTTGTACAACATTTATAATACACGCAGACATGCCTCAAATTCTTATTCTTCTGACAGAAACACTCTAAACGAGCATAAGAGTAAATTTACCTAGGTCGATAACGAATGGACGACGGAACCGCGTTCGGACAAACCAAGAGTATTGGTGATATACACAGGGGGGACCATCGGGATGTTCGTTTGTCCAGGAGGTTACGTTCCTGACCTTATTTCCTCGCTGACACGATCCGGAGCTAAAACGCTTCCATGACTCGGACTTGCCAACTGAAGTCCTATCCCACATTTTTAAAGACTGTCTCTGCAAATCCAGTGACTTGTCGCCCCATCAAACTAACAAGCCCCGTTATCGTTGATCAGGCTCGGTGTGTGGTAGTACCAACAGTTTCATCTGTCACTTATGGTCCCGTTCAAGTGGATCGCAAGGACATCCACTCTAGTTGGAATTCAGGTGCCACGAGTATACCCACTCGACCCTGCGGCTATAAAACATTCTTCACCATTACATCAATCTCATCTCATCTCGTCATAGCAGGAGTGGGATACATTGACCCGATTCCCGGACGGGCGACACTGGCAATATCAAAGCCATTGCCATTAATCCTGCTGGCACACTCGCCGCTTCCGCATCTGAAGGAAATGATGCTCGTTGTCTCCCGCCTCCCCCTTTCTCCGACCTATAGAAGGCCACTGAAGAAGGTCTTGTCACTATCGTCCAGCCAGTATGGCTGTGACGCCTTGATTATCTTCAGTGCACAAAATCCTGTCCACGTTCCACTCGATACCACGCAGACTTGATTGAAGTCCTTGAGCTGTCCTCCGAGTTTCAGTCCCTCGCAGAGCAATTTGGTGCTTCTGATTGTCAAAGCAAGCTTGTTAGCATCCTCTGCGAGCTTTGGGATCATGTTGTCGACCTAGTGGTCCAAGTACTTGGGGAATCTGGAGTTCATCGTGGCTCGCGTGTTTGGTGGTGTCCCACTGCTGAGTTCACGCTTCTTTCTCTACCTGTAGCAGGACCGTACGTGAAGAACAGTGACAAATTTTCTCACTTCACATTTCCTCTCACACTCCCACTTTGGCGACACTCATTCGAGTCAGGGCTTCCAAATGAAATAATTAGTGTCTTCACCTCGTTAATTCGACCTGGGGACTTGGGTCTGAGAGCATTAATGCGAGAGATGTGGTAAGGGCCTAGGGTGACTGACGAAAACTGATTGCTAAATGCACAACACTAATTTCATCATGCAGCCCGCAGTTGGCATATCAATGTTTTGAATATGGGGCGTGGAGTCGTATGGTGCTCGCCTACATTATTATCGCATGAATGGGTACGATTTAGAGTCGATGTTTTGATCTATATATAATATACACGCGGGTGGACGACGCTCCAAGGTCATCATAAGATTATATGTTGTGGAGTATACGCTTCGTTCGCGAAGCCTCAATAACATGCACACACTACTATTTGCTGTTGATCGGCGTTGATGCAATTTAATCCTCTCGAACTCCCATTTTAATTTAATACCATGCCGTACTAGTACAAGGTACGAGCTCTTTTGCATATAGTGACCGACTACTAATGTAAGTATGTTTGAGCGAGCGAGAACGCAGAACGAGCATACACTGGCAGTACTACAAGCATCCATCATACTTCTACTGCCAGCACAACGTTCGTGTCATCAAGTAGTGTGCGATATGTGTAATGATTAACCTAAAGTCTCTTGTGACTTATTTAACGCACATATATTCAAGGGAAGGAATCAAGGCAACATATTCAGCTTGTTGTTCGTCCGTCGTCACTCCATCACCAAAGATCAGCCTCTCCAAGGGACAATTTGACCGCTCCAATAATGCCTTCAATGCCTCATGAGGCCATTGTGCCACTTCGCGAGCTTCAAGTACGCGTAATCTGGGGAGTGAGAGAGCATTGAACAGGTCAGGTAGTCGGTTTGTGACTACTACGGCAAAAGTGATGCATAAGGATTGAAGTTTGGTGTGCGTGAGTGGTTGTAAAGCCTCGGTTGCGTAGATTGATATGCCGATGGTTAACGAGGAGAGGTTGGGAGCTAGTTGGAGCAAGCGAAGGCAGGCAATTGGGTTGCATATGTTGATCTCGATGTTTGTCAGGTGAGATAATAAAGGATTAAACGCAGATAACCCCGTGAGGTCGAACCACATCCCAAGTAGCTGGAGACTGCGGAGAGTGAATGGCATGCATTGGATGAATTGATCAAGGGCCGGCGCAAAAGGACCGTACATCACCACGTTCAGCTGCCGGAGTGCTGGGAGGTCTTTTAACACGAGTGCAGGTTTCTCGGTAGTTTCAAAAGATACGATATAGATGGACGAGACTTGTTTGAGGTAAGGCTGAAGAAGGCTTTGTAGCTCGGTCGAGACATTTCCCTGCCACTGGAGTTCTAAAGAGATTGGACGTCCTCGTGATCGCTTGAGCCATGTGTCATAGCAGAAAGCGTTCCTCTGCCAATGTTCGGGAATGACTTTAACAGACAGTCTGCGCCACAAACTTGACATGCCCACAGCAACCTCCCTCCATCGCCGGCACACTCTTGTCAGTAGCATAGGAGCCAGGTTTGATGCGGGCGACAAGTGCTTGGTTTTCGGGAGACAATGGATGAAAATGTGGGATAGGACCTCGGCTGGCAAGCGCCAGATTGTCAAACCCAATAAAAGTCTCTTGTGCAAATTCATGGACTGCACAATTTCGTCCTCCTTCTCGACGAGTTGCTCATAAAGATCTTTAATACCGCCCATGACGGTCGCCATACCTTGAACGTCGTGCGCAAATGCACCCAACTGCTGCTGACGTTCCGTGACAATGTCACTGATGCTCTGGTCTTTGAGCTGCAGAGTAGTCAGTATTAGGGGAACTGGAGTATGGGGTTTCAAGGTCTGGAATCTAGTCTTCATCAATAACATGACATCCGATATATAGGAATAGACATACGACTACTGTAGAGATACGACACTAGCTTCGTCACGTGCAGCTAGTGACAAAGTCACACTTAGTGTCACAGCTTCGAATTACCCTGTGACCTGTGACCACATAGAAAATAGCTTCGCAAATTGTGATTGCTGCACCTTGTACCACAATTGTACCAATGTACTTGTCAAGGCTTCTTGTGTGATTCATATCTTATTGTAAAGTTGAGAAGTAATAGGTAGAATCTAGCTAGGCATTGTTGTTTTTTATATGTTTTTTTGTATGTTTTTCATATGTTTTTCTGTATGTTTTTACCACGTGTCACAAATTAGCTTCGGCCCCCAAAAAATTGGTGTGACAGTCACACCAAATAGGTTCGATTCGTTGATGGCTGTGACCCGTGACGAACCTAGTGTCGTATCTCTACAGTACTCGTGAACGTGCGAGCTGAAGAGAATGGTTAGGACTCTTAGACAGGGCTATAAAACTAATATATGTCACTTACGATGTTTTGCAGCGCACCAATGGTTTCCGAGACGGTGGAGAAATTGTCTTTTGAATTGGCTGCCTGCATTTTATTGGCTTAAACTTGAAAGTTGCGCGATGAAAGTTTGAAGCTGATGAAAGGAGGGTTGAAACTTTAAAGGGGGATTTGAACTGATTTGAAGTACTAATTCTACCGAGGTGGCTGTTGTAATGCAATCATCATGTCCACCGAAACCATAACAAAACGCCTGCACATATCTGGACTCACAACACCCGCCATCACACCCGCTGACCTTGCAAAGCGACTCGGCGCCTTTGGCAGGGTTATCTCGCTCGATGGTTTTGGGAAACTTGATGCACTAGGCCAACTGAGGCCTTTCGGGTACGCGACGATTGAAGGTCACAAAACAGACTTGGCGAGATGTAAGTTTTCTTTTCTTTTTCCAATTTCAATCTTGTTTTTATGGTTGATATTGAACAGGCGTAAATGTACTGAGTGGAACAGTATGGAAGGGCGCCAAGCTCCGTATTGGAGATGCAAAACCAGATTTTCGTGAGCGGTGCGTCTTCACTCCAACTCACTCACTGCCCACTGACCCGAAAAAACAGACTCGCCTCCATCCCCTCTCCACCACCCAAAAAACGCCGTGCCAATTCCAAGGTAGGTACCCACGCACCTGATATGTCACTGATCACGCCTGAGACAGCACTTACCCGAGGGGGGTGGAGGGTCACCGAGATGGGACGTGTGGTGAGAGTCATGAGGATGAGACCTGAGAAAGCTTTGGAGCCGCCCCGGGCACTTGCCAGTGCAGGGACCAAGAAGCGTGACAAGGATGGGAAACTTGGGACAGGGAGACGCAAAAAACGCGTCAAACTTCCCGCTACGCGTGCGCGCCGCCGGACGATCGATCCGACGCGTTGGGACTCAACACACCTGAAGGGTATCTGGTTGGATGCTGAGGTAGCGGGCGCAATGGATGTTGTAGACCACGCCAATGGGTCCGTAATACCGAGAAAAAGACATGCTGAAGAGGCCAAGAGCAGTGACAATGAACAGGACACTGAAAGCGCACATAGCACCGAGGATGAAGGTGATGACCACGAGTCCCCACCACCGCCCGTCCCAAAATCTATCGTTTCTCCACTCCCATTACCAGTGCTGTCCTCCTTTCCCACCGCTCGTCCACCCATCACTGAAGCCGCGACTGGAGAAATTCCCTCCCTCGCACAAGAGAAGCTCACCTCTCTCGCATTCCTTCACTCCCTTTTCGACAAAGACGGGGATGAAGGATGGGGTGGACAGGAGACCTTGTCTGATGTTGAAGATGCGCGTCTTGAGGGTAAAGGCAAGGCGAGGGAAACTGAGACACGGATGGATGTGGGTGGGGGCGATATCGAGATCGAGGAAGTTCCGCAAGCGAAATACGAGGATACGGAGATGGGATCAGACACGGCGATGTCTCCGATCAAATCGCAGTCTCGCCCTACATCCACGTCAGAGCCGTCTGCTCAGAACCAGAAGCAAACAATGCTAAAAGATCTGTTCGCACCGAGGGAGGAGGAAGGTGTGTGTTTGTTCTATTTATGCCTCTCGTTTTATTGTGCTGCTTCTCGTCCTTTTTACCTTGTCTAAAGCCCCTTGTTTCATTCCTTGACTGACTGCGACCCTCTGCAGCCGGATTTTCATTACTCGGTCATCTCGACCTCGATTTTGAAGAGGAAGACATTCTCGGGATTTCAGATCTTCCCCACCTCACTCAACCAGATCACGCGCTGGCTCTCCCCCACGCAGTCTCCATTCCTCGTGAACAACCACAAGTACATCCAACGCTAGACCCGAATTTCCCCTTCTTCTTCCCTCTCCCATCAACCCTCCGTTCGCGTTCCTCCAACACAAGAAATACACCTCAAGACATATTCTCCCTTTTCCCTTGCGGGAAGCAAGACAGAAGCGGCGAGCCTTTCTCCCGCACCCAAAATACCTCCGAAATCCACTCCCAGTGGGAAGCTCAAAAGGGTGCGCTGACAAGGGAGTGGAAGGCTCGGTGGAGAGAGGCTTCGAAGGGGAAGAGAGGGAGGGATGAGTGAATGTGTTCAAGTGAGGGAGTTTGGAGTCAGAAGGTTCTCGCTCTAAGAGCATCTCTGGGGTCTGTAATGCGGGCATCATGAAATAGTGTACTGTCTCTTCCTTGCTCTTCATCTCGCATCCGGAATTTTTGTTTGCTCCGCTTGCGAAGAAAGTGATCTTCCAATATAGCTTCGGTACTACTTATCCTGGCTCTAATACTCTCCGAGACCGTATAGTCAGAATGTGATCCATACTTCCACGTCATGTACAATGGGTCAGGGTAAATTGGTGCCGCTTGATCCTGGTAAGTGTCACCCACACTCGCAAAGAGTCAGACGGCATCAATTTCCCCTACGACACGACATATCGACTGCCATATGCGTGCGTTAGGCCAGGTATTGGAGACTATCACTCTCGTATTGACACGGCGGATCATGAACACGTCAATGAACATTGAACATAGCTTCAACCGACCTCGAAGACACCCAGTAACACGTCCCTTTCAATTACCTTACCGTCTCATGTTCGTCCCGCTGACGCCCAAATTACACCCAATTAGAAGCTTCAGAATGGGGGCTAATCCAGCCCTGGTACCGATGGTCCGCTCACAGCGGGAGACAGCATCCGCCGTGGAGGTGCCCCTCCTCCCGGCATCCCACCGCCCATCATAGAAGAGATCATAGCCCCGAGTGGATTGTCAGGCTGAGTGCGTGGCGGAGGAATTGCAAAGTACAACGTTGCTATCTCTTGTAGTGTCTAAATGATGCGGTTTGTGTTTAGAAAGGCTGACCTTGTCAAGCAAGCAATCATTATGTGACTTACCGCCCGGACCTCCTTGGTCGCTAAGACGCCACCTTTAGATTGGTATGTTCCACAAAGCCTTACCCAGCTCTCGCGTATCACTTTATTCTTCTCCCCACTCGCACGTTGACATGTCAAGACAGCGAGCTGGCAGAAGTTGAGCAAAGGCTCAGTCGTATGTGTGATTTCACTCGTAGGGGTGACAGGCAAGGGGGACTTCTGCAGTGGCGAAAGCACATTGGGTCGAGATGAAATCACCTGTGCAATAAACTGCGTGATGAAGGTGTGAGCTCCGACGATGTTGCCATTCTGTAGATATCTGCGATGGGAATGCCATGAACCGGTCGACGAAGAGAACAATATGGGCGAGAGGTCCTGACTTACGGAAGTGTGCCCCGCAGAGCAAAGAGCCCTGGAGCTCCGCCTGCTGCAGACCATTCTAACATCATGTTTGCTAGTAAACGTGCGCTATCCCTTTTGCCTGACGCAAGGAAGTGAGGCTCCGCCGCATCGAAGGCCCCATCTAAGCATGGTCAGCACAACGGTTACTTTGTAGATACTGTCATATATATACCTTTGTATAGCAGCTCTCCGACATAGTGGTGCAAATCCCGGTCACCTGCAGGACAATCACCATGCTTTGCTGACCATCTAAACGCGTTACAACGATCAGCCCAGGTCGATCCGATGTGGACAACCTTACGATATGGATCTATCAATGATCGTCTTCCTCCATGACCCCGATGATCCAGTCAGCGCGATGAGTTGCGTTAATCTCCCTAAGCATATCGAATCAGTGACGTATTCCCTTGCACGCGGTGGATCAGAAGCACATACCTCGAGACTCATCATCCACGACCTCACCCTTGCTTTCATATACATCTAGAAGGAACAGCGTCAAATCTGTTCCACTTCCTTGCTGGCCAACTTTCAGGAGCTCCCTCGCACTCTGGAAGAGCACGTCGATGGCAGTGTCGTACTGCCCAGACTTGTTGTACCGTGAAGCGAAGGTGCGCGCTTTCTGGTGCGCTTCGTAGGGCTGCCCCGACGCAACAAGCGGTAGGATCGCGTTGAGGGCGCGAGAAGATGAACTGGGTACGGCAGGCATCGCTGTGGTTAGTGGTGAAGGGTATGGGTATGCATCATTTCAGTTGGATTGCATATAGTGGTGTCAGGGGTCCCTTACTCCAAGTCTCCACCTAGACTAGACTAGACCACGATCCAAATCAAATCTACACAACAGACTATGGGAGACTATGGGATGCTATACGCCATCCATTGGTCCCCGCTATACTCGTCTCCACCCACCCAATTCTTGAGCAACCCCGCAACAACTGTTTTCGCCAACCATCCAACAAGGATCACCACTGTCGTAAAGACAGGATGGCAGTCGAGCACAACTGTGGTGGAATCGTTCAGTGAAGTGCAGATTCCAAGGAATTCAGACTACCACAAACCCCGAAGTCCAAATCCAGTCGCCATTCCACCTAAAACATTCCTAACGACCCACTCACGATCTAGTTTGTCCTCGTCCCATATTTCGAGGGCATGGGTGACAAGAGAACTGCTGTAATATGAAGGATCCCAGTAATATGGGGAACCCCCAGGTTTAGACGCAGAAGGACGCCATATGGTGAGCAAAAAGAGAAGGAAAAGCTTTGTGAGGGAAGAGTAGAAAATTGTGAGAGGGATGAGCGAGAATCTTAAGGTTGAAAATAAGGCATCAATAATTATAGCAAGTAATGAACCTCACTTGAACTGTTGTCGAACGCCTGATATTTCAATAGGCAAGATTCGTCTCCGTGAGCGAAAAAAAATCCGAAAGTGCAAGTACGAAATACGAAGCAAACATCACTCCTCCGTGGAATGCAATCGTTTCTGTACACGCTGTCAGCATGAAACCCACATAAAAACACATGTATGGCACCTATAAGGCATCCAACGAGGATCCGGAGGAAAATGATATTAGTTTCGACCGTCCACCGTGAAACATCTGCGGATATCTCAGGATCTAGTGACCATGAATACAATACGTTGCAGTCTTGGACGAAAAAAGCTTACTGAGCTGTGCCCACCGGATAACTAAGATAAATGAGCTTGAGTGTACAGTGGAACACATGGTTATAGACTTCACGTACACGCATCAACAGTGATAAGCCCGCACGCAAGCTTCAAAATGAGCCACCACCTGTCCTACAAGGGTACTCAGCGACCGTATGCCATCGGCAGGACTCAGCCATCCCTCACTTTCTCCCTTTGTCGGTTTTTCGTAGCAGCCAGTTTGTGCTCATCTTCCTGGCTTTCCTCGAGGCCAGTCTTGCTCTTTCTGAGGGACTTTCGCGGCTCCGTCCCTCTATTGTATATCAAATGTCTATACACTTCTCGCTTCAGCAAAATGAGGTCCAAGAGGAGTGTCAGGGAGTCGTGTTCAACATATGGATCTGCGAATTTCAGGCATTTGCTCTGACTCTCACGTTAGAATGAAACCAAAATGAGTGGTACCACACACTCACGCATTGTTCGAGTCTCAGGTTGTACGCGGACTCGTAAACTGTGTAGAGGTGGGATATGGAGTGCGTGCAAGTGATACAGATGGGCATGCTGGATCAGGAAAGTAACAAGGTTATGATCAATCCTCGATTATGTTACAAACTCTCGTGTTTCGCTCTGACACCGAAACAATGAGGAATGAATTTTGAAACGATGTTAGCCTCCTTTAGCTTTTTGACAACTGCCTTTTGGGGTCAACCCCTTGACTCAGATATTGCATTCAACGGCATCGTTTCACTAGATATAATGCTCTGATAAGAAGCGCAAGGTTGGGATACATTGACTCAATCGCGGTTTCCAAAGGCCTCCGCAGCCTCTCTAACATTAATTTCCGGACGATGGCCGTCGAGTACACCATTGAATTAGTGAGTCCACATCCTCTACAATCCAAATCAACGTCGCTCATCTTCTTCAAAGGCACCATCTCCGCCAACCCTGTTGAAGCACAAAATCATCTGCTTGTGGGACAGAGGTGGCGGACAGCGCTGCCGTGACGTCCTCAAACGCGACACGCTATCCTTACACCTCTGTAGCGTTCACGAATGCCAAGGAGCAGACGGCACCGCCCTGATGTGCTGGTGGGACGGTTGCGGACAATATATGGAGAAGGGCGCCATTGTCAAGCACATTCAAGACGTGCATCTTGGCGTAATATATCCGTGCCGGTGCGGTATGACGTTTGCGGGGAAAGGTAGCTTTAAGCTGCATCTGCTAGGCTGCCAAGTCCCAAAGAAACGAAGTGGAGCTGAACGCGTAGTCACCTTTGAACGACCGCTGTGAGTCGTTGAGGTGTTTGCGGCGATTCCCTGATTATTCTATTCACGTGGAAGGAAGTTAATGTACACTTACTATAATGAATCTGCGAGCAACCTCACGCAAAGAAATCTAGAGTATCAATTTCAGCATTTGCGAGCGAGCTCGGCCGGAGAGGTCTTTTCAGGTTTATATGCTCAGGTCGGTAATTGTCTGGTGATGAGGAAGTCATAGGCTTCCTGTAGATCAATACGCAATGAGTCAATGAAGCAGACGAAACAGACTTAGGAGCACTTACAGACTAAATGAACGGACCAGTCGCCCAGCCATGAATGGTAAGCCGTTCGCAAAGGGTTTGCGGGCATTGTACATGATCAAAGATTCTTGACGCGCTTTACCTTCGGTCCATGAGGTGGAAAGGAAGAACACGGCGCACGCAGAGAACTATAGCGGCTCCCGTAGAAATGAGAGCAACCACCCTTGGATATAGCGCACACGTATAATAACATGCTATTAAGATACACCACACACCATTTACGCGATGAAAGGGAACATTGCTTTCCTATCCCTCGGGTATTCGCTCCCAAACTCCTTCTTATATGCACGGTGCTTCTTAATAGCCCAAAGGTACATCTGGGACGTTGAAAGGACCACGAAGAACCATGCTAATCCGCGAACCACGACTTCAAAATAGATACAATGAAAAACAAGCAGCACGTACCAGCGTAGCTTCCTGTGAGAGCCGCGATGACCAACCATCCAAGGAACTCGAAAAAGTAGTTCGGGACCGAGACGAGGTTGAAGCCGTATCCTTGGGGAATGGCGCGCTTGCGGCTCCCTGCAGGTCGGAGGGTACGCAGGTTGATGTGAGTAATAAGATTAGAGATCTCGGAGAACTACACGCAGGCAGGCGTTCAATGCGGGTCACAATGTACACAATACCAAGGTACACACCAGCCAGATAGCAGCGCCTGCTTGAATATACAGAGGATCATTGCGAACTGTTCCACGGATGTAGGGCGAGGTAGCACCGTATACAGGACTGTAAATGCTGTACGCAAGGGCAAGACCTTATGTGTAATCAGCTTGAATGCTGTCTCCCACTAAGCAAAGACGTACCACTTCCAAGGTGATAATGAGCAGAGCTACCAAACACGCGTCAGTCTACCACAGCAACATATATTCTCGAAACGCGTACTTCTTGAAGATATTCATAAAGGGCATAGTGGCATGCGAGAAACGATGCACGAATAGCGTTTCTAGCTCACGTTTGGCGAAGTGCAACATGACAAATGCTAAGACATAACTGATCACGCTTGAGCACAACATTGAAACCACGAAAGTTGTGCATGCAAATACCGTTGAAGCATACTGTGCTGCACAGGACCACCATAGAATATCTCAGGGAAGTAATAAATCGCTGGGTGGATGAACATCGGGCCAGCCTACAGATGACACGTCAGTAACTCACAACCAGGAATCGCACAAGACGCTCACATATTCAACCAAGAATACAGTTTTCCAGCTCACTTGCGCGCCGAGGTCTTTCACAGACAACTCCCCGCCTTCTACCACACCAGCATCCTTCAGCGTAACGTCATCAGCTAGAGGATTTCTGGAATCCTTCAGGGTAATTTTTTGGCGGTCCAATTGGAACTTGAAAACATTTTTAAGTGACTGGCTGCATGGACATGAAATAACTTACTTTGGGATACTTTTTCGCTATCGCATTCTTGACATCTGCAATAGTCACGTCCTCGAGTTCCTTCCCTGAGAGCTCCACGACCATGGGGAGGCCACGAGCTAGGGCAATTGGCTTCCCAGCGGCAGACACGTTAACGGAGACCATGATTGGGTATAAGAAGTTCTCCGACAGTTCTAGTGCTCCAGCAGTTTGTCAGTCGGGCTAAAGTCGCTACGCGTCGGGAAGAAACCGGCATCTTTTGAGTTGCCGCGTTGGTGCTATTTTAGGACATGTTTCCGATCACCGGGTTCCAGGTTTGTAGTAGAAAAAAAAACATATTGAAAAGTAATATTTTACAATAAGTATACGAACCTGCTGTACAGGAGTACGAAAAAAAAAGGTATGGATATCAAACCTATGACAATCAAATCTGGAACTCGGAGACTTCAATACACTCCTCTTCATCCCCCTTTCTCGAACTGTCACTCGAATCAGGCAGATCTGCCCCTCCCCTCATTTCCTCCACAGGCGTCGCTCGCTTGCCTCCCAGGAACAAGCGCCCACCAGGCGCATCCTGTAAAGATCTCACTATCACATCCTTCTCAAACAAATACTTGATATCCTCCAACGCATACCCCTTCGTCTCAGGCAGGAAGAAATACGCCCACGCTGCCATGATCATGCAGCACAAGCCAAAGAGCAGGAATGTCCCGTACGTGATGTTCTCGAGCATCACCGGCGTCAGGCGGGATATCGTGAATGAGAACAGCCAGTTGACGCTGACCGCGACGGTAAGTGCGGCTGCGCGGACGTGATTGGGGGCAACTTCGCTGGCTACAACCCACGGCAGAGGTCCCCAGCCGATACAGTAAAATACTGCGTAGAGGTAGACGGAGATGATTGACACGTAGCTCGCAGGTACAATAGTACTCTGCGGGTGGAGGGCGCCGAAGCCGCCAATCCAGAGCATGGTCAAACCTTGTCCTATGCCGCCCACGAAGAGGCAAAGCTTGCGACCCCAGCTTTCCACAGCAAATGCAAGGGTAAGACCAACTGCGACGACTTTAACGAGACCGTAAATCCCTGTTGCAAATAGGCCAGATGATGTACCGGTAATACCGAGCGCGGCAAAGATCTGCGGGCTGAAGTAGTTGATAGCATTTGTACCAGTCCATTGCTGGAAGAAGGTGAGGATGGAGGGGATTAAGCAGCGAAGCGCCGTTTGACGTGACTCTCCCATCATGCGGAACTGAGTGACCAAGGATGTTCGCTGCCTGCCAACGAAGTCCGCTTTGATCTCGTCCAGCGTAACAAGGACAGATTTGTCGTCGACTGACGTTCGGACAATATATGCAAGAGTCTTTGCGGCCTCATCGTAGCGCTCCTGCTCGACCAACCAACGGGGTGACTCTGGCTGTGGAATCATAAGGAGTACGAAGAGGATGCCCGGGACGAGCTGGACTATTAAAGGCATACGCCATTGCATGTCGCTAGATGGGATGTTGATAGAAGCGCTGTAGTTCACCCAGACTGCAACGAAATTCTCATTAATCCAATGTCACTTCATATAAATGCATACGTACAGCTCAACATCATCCCGATATTGTCAGAGAACTGGACAAGGCCGGTACACCTCCCCCTAATATGTCTTGGCATGCACTCTGATATGTATGAGGGAGCCAGAGCGGACACCATGCCCACCCCGATGCCAGCAAAGACACGGCTAAAATACAACACATTAAGAGCGACAGCCTGGCTGCTTCCGAGGCCAGCGACGGCCTGGATCACGCTTCCGATGATGTATATGAGGCCCGAAGCAATCAAAGACCGTTTCCGCCCAAAGCGACTGGACGCCCAACTAGTCAATAGGACACCGAAGCTGGAAAATTTAAGTGACATGAGCGGCGAAGTGCTATATATTTATAACAACGTACATGCATCCCGCCTGCATAACCGACACAATATTTCCATTGAAATTGGCTTTAGCAGATGCGGATAGCTTGTCTATTCCAAAGTAATGCTGGAAAGATTTCATGGTTAAGATGCCACCCATGAGTCCAGTGTCCCAGCCGAAGAAGATAGAGCCCATAGATGCAGCCAAGGCGATGGTGTACGCATTGCGATAGCGCGAAACATCTTCCAGTGCGTCTTTGAAGCCCATGACGGAAAGCAGGTGGTGCGAGGTGGTGCGGGGAGAAGTGATCATGAGCGCCCCCACCTTTATAGCCCCCCGCATTCCCATATGTATCCAGTGGTCACCAGGTCGACGCCTGGTGTTCACATTTCGAAAAAAAAAACTATAAAAAAACATCGACACAGGTCAAATACAGGTACAGTCCCTCCGGATGTCGGTACGAACTTGCGAACGGAGCCAAAGTATAAGCGCGCAATAGGAGGCAATAGGAGTGACAGTTGAAAGCAAGGTCCCGCCCCCCTCTTCGGAGTTCCTGGAGGTTGTCTCATGACTCTGACATAAATTAGCCACAAGACCAACATACTTACCGGTCCGTTACCCCGACAGGTAGTTCCAATCAGTTTCATTTGATTCGATGTCATTCATTCGATCATAATATCATTATGAGCTCTGGCTGTCCCGTGGGGTCGTGATGGAATTTATTGGGGTATCCTAGGGTAGCCTTGCAATATTGGAGATGTTCGGAGCAAAAGCCCAATGTCAACCGTCTTATCTTGTCAGCGACTGGAGACTACAACGCAGGTGGACGCATGCGCTTACTCGAGCATTGCACAGAGTACTTACATAGATAGCTGATACTAAAGGTTAAAGACCGAATTTCACTGATAACGCCGAGCCGGTGAATTGACCGGCAATCAAAATCCCAGAACGATGAGAACTTCTGATGCTCACCGGCAGCGCTTTCAAGTTGGGCCATTGCCATCAGCATGATCTTTAAATCTTCTGTACATAGAGCCTCAACACTCTTTTCAACTGAGCTTCCACAGGCTCTACTAAACAGTACGACACCCTTCTTGTTGCGAGACCGCAAAACCCCAAAGTCTAGCTTAACTCTTCACAGGATGCCTGTCTACTGCCGTGTCACCTGTTGAGCTGGCCCACGACGAACACATACCTGCAGATGGAAATCGATCGCATAGACCACTCCTAATACTACATGGGTTCTTGTGAGTCTCGTTCTCTGCTGTCCATTTCCAGCCCGTGGTCATGAAAACGGACAGTGGTTCGAAGCGCAACTGGCAATCACTCTCCAAGGCATTCATGCGCGACCTCAGCAGACCCGTATATACCCTCGTCAGTGAGGGTCCCACTCTGCCCTATAGCACGACTGACCTCATACTAGGATTTGCGAAACCACGGATCTTCACCGCATGTCAGACCGATGACATATACTCACATGGCGGCGGACATCCTTCATTTCTGTCAGAAGCACTCATTGCGTGATATATCGCTTATGGGACATTCTATGTGTGCTCTCTTTTAACAATCCGCTGTGTTGAATCACTCATTCTATGTCAGGGGCGGCAAGGTCGCAATGGCCCTCGCATTGCATCCCGAACTACCCTCTAACTTACTCACAGACCTGATAGTGTCTGACATTGCTCCCGTCAGAGCCAAAGTCTCACAGGATACCGTCCAACACATACGTGCTATGGAAATAATAGAAGCAGGCAACCTCTCCACGAGGAAGGAAGCGGATGAAATCATGTCTGAGCATGAACAGGTGCCTTTAAACTGCACTTGCACCTTTCAGTATGCTTATAATGCCCTCTAGGATCCAAGCGTCCGATCATTTCTGCTTACGAATCTCGAGATCAACAAGGCAGCGCCCGTGAAATTCAAGATCCCTATCGACATTTTGAAAGAAGGCCGAGCAGAGATTGAATCTTTCCCTTACGCGCCTGGGGAACGAACCTGGGATAGTCGTGCCTTGTTTATCAAGGGAAAGAAGAGCAAGTTCGTGTCAGCTATACAGAAACATCTACGCCAGAACCTGACTGCCTTGACAGATACATTAACCGTCACAACATCCCTTTAATCAATGAATTTTTCCCGCAGAATCAGTTGAAAGAGCTTGACACCGGGCACTGGGGTAAGTGCAACCACCATCATCCGTCGCGAGTATCCTTGATGAAGCTTTTGGTTTGTCCAGTGCATGCTGAGCGGTAAGTTGTCCTCGAGTGCTACTCTTTCTGTTGTTAACGTTCTTCAAACTCGAGACCAAATGAATACAAGAAGCTCATCGTAGATTTTATCAAATAATAGACATATTTCGAACCACAATCTACCATTAGAAGTTTATATCCTGCGTGTGTGAGTTATAAACTGTGCCGCCGGCCGGCTTGTATGTTCTAGTTTGAGCAAAAGTCCTCGGAGGTTGAGGGCAACTCTACACTGCACTTGACCCGCCTGCAGAACCCCCTCCTGCATCATCTCCATTACGCTTCTCCGTATTACTTGGTCTCATGGCCATCGGATCTGGCGAGTCCATCTCATGCGTGGACGCCTGTGAAGGATTCAGATCTTGATAGTGCATCCTGCAATGGGCGTCAGTAAATTTGAGTGAGCATGTATATTTTACTTACCATTTCAGCATGGCGTAGAAGGCAGTTCCTAGCAGAGAGCCGAGGAAGGGTCCGACCCAGTACTATAAGAAGGCACAGTTCAGGTCCGCGCCCGTGAAAAATATGTTTTGCTTACCACCCAGTGGGTAGAGGAAGGAAACCCAGTGACGACAGCAGGTCCGAATGCACGTGCCGTATTCATAGCTGCGCCTGTATAAAAGACGGCCCATCTGCACGATTTCAGTTATATTGTTACATAACGAGGTAGATGGCTTACAGTTGACCAACGAACAGTGTCAGACCAATGCCAATCTGATACAAAATGTTCAGCATTATTTATAATGAGACATACTGACCATCCGTACCGGTGCAAACGGAGTAACCTGGGATTTTTCAGCGGCAAGCATCAGAACGGCCATCACTAGCGCTGCTGTGAGGAACATTTCGATGAAAACGCCTTGAGCTGGATTGATTCCCTGTTGTAGGAACGTGCTACCATGAGGCGCAGAGTTCATTAGAATCGACAAAATCAATACCACAATAGCCACTTACTTGACAGCCAGAGGTCCAGGGGTCAACGCGAGCAACAATGCCGATGCAGCAATGCCTCCAATCAGCTGTGCGATGCAGAACAACACAAATCTGACGGGGGTTATCACTCCCACGAGATACAGTGCGAGGGTGATATTGGGGTTAAAGAGGCCACCGGTGATCCTGTAGAACAGCCAAGCGGAGACCAGAAGGCTGAAACCCATGGATGTCGCGATGTACATCACGTGTTCGATGGTGGTGCCGCTGGACGAAGCCTCGTCATTGGCGGCCTGGATACCTCCAAGTCCTAGGAGTAGAAAGAACGTTGTCCCGACGAACTCGAGTGCAGCAGCCTTGCAGTCCAGCTTGAAGGTGCTGAACACGCCGCGGTTAAAGTAACGAGAGGGACTGGCTGCTGAAGACATTGTTGTTACGATGAAGAAGAGTAATTCCTACACCTTATACCCCGCTGAGCCCCATGACATCACTATGATGATAGTACTCACAATGATGATAGCACTCGAGACTTGCTCAAGACATTTCACCTCAGGCTGATCGAGCGGTGGCAATGCGCCATCCCCTATCGGACCATCTTGGCATTGCGGTCATTCGTCTGTACTGCAGCTGTGATCTGTCGTGCGCCTTCTGAAAACCGGCGACCCTTTGTTTTCGTTCAGCTGGTAATGATAAAATTTGGCCGCACCCTAACGAGAGTAAGGTTCTTGACATAAAAAAAATCGGACACAAGGAGATACAGAATTGAGAAGTTGAACAGACCTGTAACTCCCAGATAACCATCCATCACACCGTTGGAGCGGAGCGACCCATCGGGGTTCGGACCGATCGGGTTTGAGCGAGAGCAAGGGAAGAGCTAGAGCGAGAAGCAGGAGGAGCATGTGTCAGGAGTCCGGCGGAGTTGGGGGTCACGATAGCAAATATACACGCATGTACAGCATGGAGACACAAATCATCATCAGCAGGTTTCCTCAGTTCTCTCCAGAACGCAGTGCTGACCAGTCCGTGCTCTCTCACGTGGAAAACGGGAAATATGTTGCAAGTGTTCTCTCTGACCAGAACTGCGAGGGGTTTTTGGCCTCCTTGACATGAGTACAGCACATTCCTGATTTTTTTTGCGCAGGACACTAGGGACTAGGGAAGTGTCCTAGGGATGGTTGGTGAAGGCGTGGATCAGTCGCACCGTGCCTTTGGGCGAATTTCAGTGCATACTACTTTGGGATTCGAGCAAACATAGGTAATCATTCGAGTGATGATTCCGGCAGATTCCGGCACGGCCTACACAATGTAAGCGTGTTTCAGGTCTGTCGGTAACCTCGGCAATTTTCACCAACATGCGGTTTCCAAACTATTAAGGTAAATTACAAGACCAGAAATTAGAAAAGGAACTCACCATTTGGGCACTACGGGAGATCGCAACCTTGTACTTGGCATTTTCTATGCCACGCACGCAGCCTGACTGTACATTCGGGATAAACTCTCCCTGACGGACCAGGCCGGGGAACTTTACACCTCACAGACCAGGCTGGGAGTGGATCATCAACCAGTGCTGGATTAATCTCCATCCCCGAGCTCAAGTTTCTGCTGGGTGCGGTTCGAAAAAAAACATCAGAACAACAGAAAGCAACGTACTATTGACTGTCTCCAGGGCCGTCGAATGAGCTGCCCAAAAACTGTATTTGAAACAGACCATTCAAAGTTTGACAATCATGCTCCGAGAGTTGTTGATAGCCTGATTATGTAAGGCCAGGAACGTTGGGCATTGGGCATCGCTCTTGCCAATCATGCATAACGGTGTGTGGTCAGATTCCAGCGAGTCCTGTCGGCGAAGATAAAGTCGTTGCCGTGCGGTAAGACCACAGTGAATGCGGTATAGGCAGGCAGATAGGCGGACACAGCTTTATGGCCACAAGTATGTACCGGGCAGACATCAAACTTTGCTTGTGTGCGGAAGTAATGGTACTCTCACAGAATTCATCTGAGCGAGATGATCGCATTCAGTCGGCCATCAGGAATGGAAGAAGAGTCTGATGCTAGCTGATGAAGGATTAGTGCATCTTGATGTCAAGGTAGATGCCATGTGTTAAATGCTCCTGTGCAATGCGAGTGGCTTACGGAACTGCAGGCGTTCGAGAGATTCAATATAGATTGGCGCGATTGGCGATAGGGACGAGTTTCCAAGTAGGTCAGAATAAAACCATACTACGTCGCAGAATATTCGAAGTCGGCCGAAATACAATTGTCCGCTATTGCCAGTGGTCAGTCTACATGTGCTGCTCAAATTTATGAAATTAATTGCATTAACACCACCAGTGACTGATAAAACGAAGCTGAAACCTGAAACTGTGTCAAATCCCCGTCATTGGACGCCACTTCCGCTCCTTCGAATACCCGGCAGGGCTGCGCCGGCGGCTAGAAGCGGCGTCGACGACATAGATGCACTTGGTGTGGTTACATCCCCGCTGATGATGTCTTGTATAGCAGCCTCCAGTGCGTCCACTCGATTCGACATTTGCATCACTTTGAGATGGTTTAATTCATGGGTTCACTAGCAGGTCACAGGAGATTACAAACGCACTGTGATCAAGAATCTGAGACGACATGGCGTCAAATTGGGTATCTAGTTGTTCAAGTAGTGTTTCGACCTGTAAGCATTGTTAGCTATCACTTGCTATTTGGGAGGCTGCAAGAGCAGGAACGTGTAAAACGCACGAAAGCTGTTAACTCATGGGGGCTGGATATTTCGCCAGGGTTAGTAGTGATGGCCTGCTTTGTGGGAGTCTTGGATCCCGATGTAGAGGGTTGTGGACCTGGTGAAGCCCTTGCTGGCGTTGATGCGGGAGTAACTTTCAGTGGGAGCGCTGTCGACGGCATTAGACAGGATCCGTTCAATACAAGAGCAGGACTAGGTAGTAGCACTGTAGCAGCGGGAGCAACAGAAGGGTAGCATTACGTAATACCGAGTTGCTCGCCCGTGACCTCAGTTGACGATGGCAGTCGACAATGGACATACTTCCCTATCCACAGTCCACTCCGGCTCGAATGCAGCTCTGCCTGGCGTTGGGGCATTCGTAAATTTTTTACAGAACTAAGATATCTAAATTTGCAACAGGTCAAGAAGCTAGAAGATCATGAGAACTCAAGTCACGGTAACTTGGCCAGATCCGATTGATTACCAGTGATATGCTCACTGAAACTTTCGGCATTTACTCCTCGAAAAAATCTGTTGTTGCGTGCTTCTGTCACGTACATACTTACTAGAAAATCATGCAGATACATGTCGCAGATGTCGACGAAACACGATCCGTCCCTAGCGGCTTATTTGAACACCTTCTTTCAGACTGGATGCAAATGAAAGGTCAGATTCAGGTAGCAGCTTATTTTTTGCTATGTTTCATGACTGGCGCTTTGTCAGGGCAATCCTCTGAAGCTAATACATTTCCACGGAATACATATCCGCGGAGCGTGGAACAATCACACTCGACCGGCGGTCCCGGTTAACCCGCAGCCTCTTGCTTGCGGTGTTGGGTACAACTTACAGGTGTGTTTGCCCCATTCAAGAATTGAATCGATTCCAACTACTCAACAGCCCAGACACTTTGTACATTGAGACAATAGATCACGATCCAAGACGAGTACCTTCGAAACCATACCTGTTCCGGCAATGTCATTCTGCCACTTCCGATCGCACGCGGATTTTGTCGGTTCCGGAATCAAGTCTTCAGTTCTTTTTGTACCCCGATCTCGTTAAGCTGTGGAGCCTGTTAGGTGTTGCTGATCAGAACATCGACGCGCGAAATCAGCTGGTATATCATGTATGTGTTCCGATTCGGATTTTGACAGATCATGGCTCCATGAGGCATACCATAATGTGGTGTCCTGATACGGCACGTAAGTGGCATTTTTAGGTTCCCGGATTAAATTTCATTTTGCCTTTACACCTAGCTACATAGTAGACTAGACTGCCGTCATGACAGCTGTGCAACACCGTGTTTTCTTGAAACGCCTGAACTGCGATCCCCCCAAGTCTTTCACCACTATAAAGACCTAAAATGTTATCTGGCTTTTCACTCGTGCCTCCTCTTGTTCCGTCCTGCATATAACTCACCCCGACACTCTCGACACGAGCCCAACGAGTTCCATGGCTCCTACTGCAACATACACTGGCACTTATTCTGACTTCGAGACTGCAAGCTTTATTTTACCTGATCTCATCGGCGATTGCCACTATCCCCTGAGACTGAACCCTGACTGTCATCCGGTGTCTCGCGCTTCTGAGCAATGGCTTCTTCACGGAGCATGTCTCGCAGAGCCCAGAATCACAAAATTTATGGGATTGCACGCAGGTGAACTCACTGCGGCTTGCTATCCAGATGCAGATGCATTTCATCTTCGAGTCTGCTCGGATTTCATGAACTGGTTGTTTAATATGGATGACTGGCTGGATGAGTTTGATGTAGACGGTACATGGGGAATGCGTGAATGCTGCATTTCTGCGTTTCGCGATCCCATCAACTCCCAAACGGAAAAAATCGGTGGAAAAATGTGCAAATCGTACGTCAATTTATTCTATTACGAATTTTCACTGTAGATTAACGTCTGTATACTAGGTACTTCAGCCGCTTTAGGCAGACTGGGGGCCCCGGCTGCACTGAACGATTTATCCACACAATGGATCTGTTCTTCATTGCTGTGGCTAAGCAGGCGGACGACCGTGCCAAGGGACATGTCCCCGATCTTGAATCTTACATCACCTTGAGGCGAGACACGAGCGGCTGCAAGCCTTGCTTTGCCCTCATCGAATATGCAGCTCGGATTGATCTCCCCGATGAAGTAATGTCGCATCCAGTTATCATGGCCATAGAGGAGGCCACCAACGACCTTGTTACTTGGTCTAACGTAAGACCTTACTATGTCGTCAAACGCTGGAGCACCGCTGACATTATTTTCGACAGGATATTTTCTCTTACAACGTTGAACAGTCTTGCCATGACACGCACAACATGATTGTTGTGCTCATGCATGAACAAGAACTGAACCTGCAAGGCGCTGTCGACTACCTTGGCCGGCTGTGCAAGGGTTCTGTCCAGCGCTTTGAAGACAACCGTGCTATCCTCCCCTCGTGGGGAGAAGAGCTTGACAGACAGGTGGCTATCTATATCGAAGGGCTGCAGAACTGGATTGTTGGTTCGTTGCACTGGTCCTTTGATTCCACCCGTTATTTCGGGAAGGACGGGCATGCTATCAAGCAGGACCGAATCATCAAGTTGCTACCCAAAAGGCCCTTGTAGGCCGACTCTTGTTACATCGGTTTCTCTAGGTAAGATCGTTTTGACCTTTTTCGCTGCACAATTCTAACTGCGGTTTATTGTAGAATGCTACGTCATATACGTCTTACCATGAAGCTGGATATTTACTTCGGATCTATAACATTCTTAACCTCCTATGCTCAAAACGTCTTCGGCCTTCGTAGTTTCATGTGTATTCTAGTTCCCATGCAGCGTCTTGCGGTTTGATGTGTTTCGTCCATGCCATTGTGCGGCTTTGTACTGATACTCATGTATACCACTGTATGTAGGATAGTCTGACATCCTTGTGCAAATAGAAGCTGTTGTGGATCTCCACAGAAATAGCCTGAAGGCGGGTATTGGTATCACCACTCCTCTACTGCTTCTACTTCTCCATTTACTAATCAGGGCTCGCCGCAGTGATCAATCACATGTTGCTTCGCCCTTCTCTGCTCGGTGCCTCCGACACCATCAACATTCTCAGGGGTTACTTCATCTAAGTTAGTCTAAGGCACCATCAATAACACCCTCGCGAAGTCAGAATTGAAATGACGTACCCTCCCACGGTCAGCACCTGCCTCAATTAACATTACTGCAGCCTGTGCATGAGCCGAATCCATAGCGAGATGAAGTGGGGTATTGCCTGAGAATAGAGTCCTGATCTAATATAATCAATCAACGCGATTATGTACCCACCTATCCGATCGCCCGTGTTCAGTCGTAGCTTGGCAGTTGTTGAGCCTTCTGGAGGATTGATCAGGAGGGCAACGAACCCCGTAGATCCTGTCGTTGCAGCTCGATGCCTAAGAGAGTTCGAGTGAGAAATTTGATGGCGTGTAAGCGTTGACGATCTCACAAGGGCGTTTGGTTCGCCTTATCTTTGGCGTTTATCTAGTCGTCACTCAATTAATGCCTGCGAAGCACCCTCGAGGAAATCACATACGTCTGCTCCTCTTTCGATCAGGAATCTTCCGATCTGTCGATGTCGACGCCATTAGCACAAACATGTTTATGATAACAACACCTACATACGTCGATGCGGGACTTCGATGCCGCGTAATGTCTGGGCGGTCCAAATCAGACCAGTCAAGATAATCTCCGGCGGGAACATTACTGACAGAGGAGTAATTCCCTTGTCGTTCTTTCTGTTTACGTCAGCCCCAGCACCCACAAGCTCTCGAACAACGTCTTCATGACCTGCGCTTACTGGACTCGCAGAGAATGAGTGCACTCTATGCTTTGCATATTCAACTAATCATACCAGCTATGTGCAAGGCCGTCCAGCCACCTCCATCCACGGTGTCTATTACATCTGAGTTCTTCGCAATGAGATAGCACGCGATCTCCGTCGAACCGCTGGACGCGGCCCAATGCAGTGGTGTTCTACCATCCTGGGGGCACATGTAACAGGCGTTCCAAATCACCAAGATGAAACAAGGCTGGCTCACGTCATCAACAGCATCCACAAGCTTTGGGTTCTCTTCTGTCAACGCACGAACGAGGGCGGGTTGATCTAGAAGATGGAAAGTCAGACATGAGTAGGGAGACGCCATGGAAGCGCACTTTTTTGAGCGGCAGCATGGATTGATAATGACATCTTAATCGTTGTGGTGGTGAAGCAGAACCAATGAATGATTACGCGGCTCGCTAGAGCTAACTCCTAACCCTATGTTATGGTCACGAGGATATATATGGGACATCTGATTATCAGATTGTTTGCCAAGCCAGAACGGAGTTCAACGGACGTTGACAAAGACTAAATGACTAGAAGTCGAAACATCCATGCCATTAATTGTACCTTTCGTACCGGCAGGGGTGCGACTATACATGTGTAAGCACGGATCACACCAAGGAGGGCGTACTAGTTGCGTAGGCGACGGTACTGCTACCTCTCCCGTGCATATATAACCAAGGGAAAAGAACGGGTGCTCGGTACTACTTAAAATCCTAGTCCGTTCATGCACGATCGACACAACAGACGGTCACAGACCGCTCCAGAGTCAAAGCCTCGATAGACTCGAGTACAATGCACAACGATAACGACTTTGTGCGTGAATATTGACCTGTTCAAGACGTTTTGTTGACGTGACCTGGTTATGTTTTTTTGACAATGACTTGAATCTTCAATCCAACCTAACGCCCATTTTACCGAGCGAAGCAGGTCGTTACCCATGGTCTACAAGAAAATGTAAAATTGATGCCGTCAGCAGAGAGGACAGAGATTGATAGCATTGAGACGAGCGATCATGAACGAGCCAAGATTACTAGACGCGTCGCAAGTAGGAAACAGGCTAGAACGGTGCCTTTCCATTACTCTAGGTTTTCCGCTTCGCGGCCTGCCCATCATGATGTTGCGGCTTGCTTGCGTTGCTCGAGGACGACTTGGACGACGGGCGAACGCGATGACCTGCATCATTACGCTGGGCTCCAGTTCCGTTGAAACCATGACAGGCGAGAGTCTCAAGACAAAGTGGAAGAAAGCTACCGGGAGTTGCAATATTGGTATTGCGAGTGGATCGATGGCGGCAAACTTGCAGCGTCAAGTTCGAAGCTCGGATTGATATTTTGGATTGGCATAGGTACGATGGACACAGGGAATTACCCTTTTTCCAATAATCTTCTGGGACACCATCGACCGTTTGGCAAACATTGCAACCCTGCAAACGATTAAACTCGGAACCGCGGGTGGTACTCGTCGCATTTCCAAACTTCGAAAGTTTTATTTCCAATCTTCAAATGAGCTAAGGCTACCTGGTTGGATCTCGATGCTAAGAATGGCTTACGACGATCTGGCTACTATTGCCAGAAGTTCTTGCTGATTATGCCTCGTGGTTCTAGCGCCATTAACGCGAATGCACACAGTGCTCCGATTTGCATCCCCTGAAGTCTGCTAATGATCGTGATCGATCACTTCTTTCGTATTTCTCCGAAGCTCCTTGGAGTAGCCTGGTACTATGGCTACTCATGACAAACAACATCAATGGCGAATCTGGGCGGTTTGACGTACGACGAGGTAGGTTCCAGAACAATTTGTAGTTGAAGATCCTGACATCGTAGGGGTGGAAAGTTACACGTCTAACGGAGCCAAGGGTTTGTTCGCAAGGCGAAGTATCCACGGTCGAACTTGCAGCTCGAGGGATCCAGCCTGTTTTCAGGTGAGGTTAGCCGGGGAATCAGCAATCTTCACCCGCAAATCAAATGTTTATCACTGCCGTCACAGACTACGAGATGGTGGTGTGCTGCCTTCGTCAAGAAGAGCGCCTCGCCGCCGCGAGTGACATTATACTAGTGCATGTACCTTTGCAAACCGGTGGTGTGTCCACTTTGCAACCATTCTGGGCTGACGCGTCTTTCTTTTCGGTGATACCCGAGTTGAACAGACCAACTCAGACTAGTCCTGCCGATGCTGCTTTCCAAAGTTCGTGATGGCCAAGTAGGGATATCGAAACGCATAGAAACGCGTAGGTCGCCTCATCAACAGGAAATACTGTTGTGCGTTATTAGCGCCCGAATGCATCAAGCGTCGATTTCACCACGTGCCACATACAGTCACGGGCAATGGGACCAGCTGCGTTGCCTTACGTTTGATTACTATATTCCTGGCTGGTGTTCTTTGACTTTCGGGTGTTTCTCTATTCCGCAGCTAGTCCTTGGTCTGGAGTTGGCTTGGTGGAAATCGTGTTAGAAGCCACTTGCCTAATCCCGGCATGATGGCACGTTTGGCCATCCATCGACCAAGTCATACAGTCGGCAACAGAAATTCGATGGTCCTCTGGGATTTTGCTATCTTTCACGCCTAATCGGCAAGGAATATTGATACACATGTATGACACGCTCCATTGAAGGCCAAGGCCCAAGGCCACTGGCAACTGGCGTACATTTGATGGTCATGGTTTTGTTTACCAACTAACGAAATTTTCACCGTCCAGGCGCTGGCACCTCGCCAGCCCACAAGGCTGAAGTCCCTGCCAACCGGTATTCGGAAAGCTGGAACGATGGCCATCCTGGCAAGTTCATTCATATTATTTAAACTGATGGTAGACTTTGACAGGATTCACCGCTCCTCAGATACTCCAGTCTGCTCAAAGCAATACTGCACAATCATCATAATCGTTGCTTCACTGCCTATCATGTCAACGCGCTTTGTGAACTCTTCGAGCCATGGAGCATCTGACTCCTCTAGACCTGTGAGTTGTCAATCTTATGACTGTTTCATCGTCGCGACTAAATCGGCGCTTGCAGGTTCCCCATTATGTCAATGAGACGTTCCTATGTCTGTGGAGTGATGCAGACTATCCACAATTCCATTGCGACGCCTTGATTCTTGGCACCAATACTCCCGCTCACCTACGTGAAGTTCATGGAATTAAAGGCAAAGACAGTGATCTCTTTCCGTGCATGTGGGAACATTGCAATAAGGTGGTCAAAAGGGAGAGTATGGCGAGGCACGTCGAGGAAGTTCACATGGGGATTGTATACCCGTGCGAGCAGTGTGGACACACATTCACGCGCAAAGATACTCTAAACAAACATACGAAAACTCGGCATTAAATATTAAATACGGAGCCTTGTAGCGTGTGTCCAGCCTGGTCAATAATTTCCTATGTACTCAATGGCTCTTATGGCATTTATCTTTTATATCACAACTTCAGTTAGTACTTCAATTGGTCGGTGTCCTCTTCTATTTACCAGGTTGGTAACGGTCTTGTCAAATTTGTACAAGATGCCTACCCTCAAATGCGGTCCGGTGGATGTGATCACCTCCCTGATGTCCCAACAGCTTCAGCTATGTATCATCATGGTAAAGCCAGCGTTGTTCCGAAAAGCGCCAAAAAAAACCTTGTGAACGCATTTTCGAACCTGGATGCATTCGCATCGTCCAGGTTAACGACTCGAGTCGGTTGCAAGAATATTTAATGAGGTCTGGCTGGCGCATGTTGGCAACATTTCAATGCGGGCTCGGGGGTGACAGGGTCTGAATCCAACGAGACACATCCACCTAACCATTTTATCGAACGAGGTAGGTCACTTGCAATTGTCGGATGTGACATCATTGGTGGATATTAATCACGCTTAATGGATATTACCAACATTAGTACTGTACAGAATTCATGCATATGAATGAGCCCACGGTTGGAAATTCCTGGTACGAGCGGCAACCTCCGAGTCGTGCAGATCAATCAAGAACAATGCCGCCTTGCTGACGTGGCATTGCAAGGCAGGCAAGGATAATGAATATATGTCTGTCGCGGTGACCTGCGGTGAGCTGAAAGATCTCTTTCAAAAGTTCGAGATTCGCAACTTGGCAATTGGAGATTCGGAGTTACAAAATATTAATGTTGAATTTCGCGGATGGATCGCCGATGACAAACTTCTTGCTTTTAGTACCCTCCAGTAAGTATCTGTAGAGTCATTCATTCAAAATGCATTTGGAGTGTACATGAGTGCTGACGGCAACCATTTTGTTCGTAATTTTCTGCCAGGCCATCGACCATTTGGTAACCCCAATGACGATGATCGATTGGGAGCCATCTTCCAGTTTTCGAAGTTTCATCGATTTGATTTGTCGATGGAATTTGGCGCCCAGGCTGGTCGTCTCTCGATGCAAATTCATATGACGATCCTGCGACCATTCTGCCAGAAGTCAGTTAACACGGACGGTCCGGGACGGATGAGACTGCGCCAATTGCGATAATCCCGTCGATGTTCAATTTTCTTCTGTCCCAAGTCCAACTTGAATGTACACAGTGGTGTGACATTGTATGCAAACCCACAACGTTTGACATCGATGACAAGGTGGGTGGCCTCCAGAAGAGCTTCTGGTCGTTCCAACTTCGCAGGGCCAGAGAGTCGCTTGCCTAACGAAACACAGAAGGCCAATGATTTGTCTGCGCGTTTATAAATTCACAGTTAATCTTGCAGTGATTCAGTCTATTCTCAGCTGAAATCCGTTGGGGAATAAGTGATGCTCACCTGCAAATTATGTCTATAGTACGTCCCTCTCCCTCACAGACAACTGCGAAACAGTGATGTAATGTATCGCCTTGATCCAACAGACGCTCACAGAGAGCGCATCGCATCGCGCGGAGCACATGATCGCGGTGGCATGGCGGTGCGTTTATGTTCAACAACACCCGAGCTAATTAGACCGCCAACGGTTCCGTCGATGCTGCTATTCGATGGTCTGGATAGCCAGTAGGGATATAAAAATGAGACCACATCAAAAACCACGAGCGTCATACGTCAGCTACCAAGTATTGACGCCCTGATAACGTCAAGGACTAATTTTACCACGCGTAATACACAGTGCCAAAACCTCTCATTTTCCTTGCTGGTTTTGAAATCTAGTGTCATCATGACTCCGTTTGTTTCTAGTTGGTTCGCAGCCGTTCCTTGGCCGGTTGGTGGGTGGAATCATTTTGTAAGCATACCTAATCCTGTCATGGCACGTTGGACTTCCCTCGGCCGGGTTAGGTTTTTGTTGATGAAATTCGATGCTTCTCTAGGTTTTTGTAATCCTTAACGTGTGCTCGGTGGCGACATTGATACTCGAGGACGACATGCTCCATCGAAGGCCAAGGCCACTGGCAACTGATACACATTTGATGGCTATGGTTTGGTCTTCCAACCAATGAAATTTTCACAGTCCAGGAGACAACCATCTGGCACCCCACCAGCCCCCAGGCCATCAGACCATGAGGCTCTTGGCTGTTATTGGGGGATTTAGAATGATGGCCTCCTGGCAAGCTCGTGCAGAATAATACAGCCCTCGCTCAGACACTTCAATCTGAAGAAGGACGTCACAACCATCGCCTCCAACACCACTATGTCGTACATCCACACCAACAACGGATTCCCCCCCGGACTGGAACATGTAAGTTTTATGTCTTCTGATCGGGCATCGCTGCCACTAAATTGATACTCGCAGTCGGACCCTTCTCTGGACCCGATGTTCCTGTGTCAGTGGATCGGACCAGATGGATCGTACTGCAACTACCCACTTTTCCCCCGCGAACTTTCTGCTCACCTCCTTGAATTTCACGGAATTCGTGGTCCAGATAACTTGCGCGTTCGTTGCTTCTGGAATAATTGCAACAAGGAGCTCAACAAAGAGAGTCTGTCGAGGCATGTGGAGGAAACGCACCGCAGGATCAAATATACTTGCGGCGCCTGCAGCAAAACGTTCACGCGCAGTTACAACCTCGCCAAGCACCAGAACAATTGCCCAGCTCAACAGCAGTAGATGTGAGACCTTGTCATGACTTTCTTTCGCATATGACGGACTGATTTGAGGTTGCAGTATCATTTCGGTAGTCTCATAAGTCGGGTAGATGCTGGGAAAAGGAACCATATGGTGGATATTCGAAGCCTTCGTGATTGACTAACTCAAATGTGTCTTGCATTTCTGACGTCAGTTTGTGCTTCTATGGACTTGTGTATTCCTTTATTCCATCTACCCCAGTGATGAATGGTTTAATTCTTGTATGAGTCCATATATTTGAATTGGATGTTAACAGCGGTCATGTTGAATTTTGATGTTGCGCACATCCCTGCCTGGTTTATCTTTTGGTGCCATGCGGGCGGAAGCTTTCTCTACTATCGTGTCCGAAGGGTTCGGATGCCCTCCTATCTAACCACGGGCGTCAACATACTAACTGGAACGTTCACTTCGCCTGACAGTCCCTCGAATGACTCAAATTGACGCCTGTGTCCATACATAGGCAGACCATCGAAACTCTTAAATAACCGAGTGAAATCGGTCAGCAGGATCATAGAGCAGCTAGCTGAAACCAACACCCTCCCCCCAAGACTCGTACATATCAGTCAATTAGCCCGGCCTTCTGCCTCGCAACGAACACCGATGATCTGTATGACGGGAAGCGTTCTGGAGGACATTTTTGGTGAACAAGTTTCTCCGCATCTAGGTATTGGATTGACATAATATCGTCCCTCTTTCGACCGTGGAGCAATTCGTCAGCATAGGTTGCAAAAATATACAAGAGGTCTCCTCTGATCTGCAAAAATTCAAGAGCAAGGTGCTGTAATCTGTATGAGAACGTGACAGGAAGGGGCTGCATCATAGCTGACCTTGGGGATCGATTTCTGCAGAAAGCGCTCTAGTGACACCCTCGAGCTGCATGTTAGTCAAACATTTTTTAGATCCGCGGGAAAATTGACCGTGTCGTGTGGAAGAGCATGTATTGGTGATGTTGAATGTTCAACCTTGGAACGAAACACCTTTCTTGGCATTAGTTGAAGCCGAGGCTGCTCGGATATTGTAGGAGTCTGGAATCCAAGAGGACTTTCGACCGTATAGGCTCCGAGCTGCAGTCAGCCATCAACATCGCCATCAACACATGAAACAAAACAGGGAAGACATACGATGGCACCAGGACACCCTCCCATAGTAATTATTAAAACATCCCACAAGCTAGCTTCTAGAGACTTTGTCGAGGTATCATCACTCGATCCAGTTTCGAGCAGCTTGGGGAGGTAGACATTAAACATTGTATACGCTGGGTAAATCCCAATGAGCCTCTCGCACCCTGCAAGACACGAGATAACCCACCTAATGACATAAAGAAGGGCACTAGCACTGACTGAGGGATGCACAACTACATTAGAGGATAGAATGGCGGGAAGATGCACAGCTTTTCACCTTACAGTGGTGTTTTATATGCTGTACGGTCTCAAGTTTGTCAAACAACTGGGATCTAAAATTATCACCGATTTACCTTTCAATTTTTTCATCACGGCCTGGGTGCTGATTCGAGTTGCAAATCGTCCGCTCGTTCATCTGAATTCAAAGCCGGCAGCGATGTCCTAATGGCTGGCAGGGGCTACAAGGTGTTGGATTGTCTTCTGGGCGGGGGTAGGGCTTCAAACGAGCAATATTTTTAATTTTTAATTTTTTTTAGATGGTAAAAGTTCGGAGAACATATGAACAGCAACATGGGCTATGAAGCAAACGATAGCTAGACACGAGAAGCCATATTGCTGAATGGTCGTTGTGTTGCCTCGAGTATGCACCGAAGCGTAGTTCACAAATCTAGAGTGATTGGAATTGGGTAAAGTGTATGATTGGGGATTGTGGTTTGCAAAGATCAAACCAGCCAAAATGCTGTATTGCGACATGAACCTGTGAATAGGCGATTAGCGCCGCCTCGTGGTGGAATGCACGCCTTCCACCTACAAAACATAAAAACTCGCCTACCTTACCAACTTGCCCCGAAACAACAAACCAGTAGACCAACAAGTGAGTGCTGAGCGACTTGTTCATCCCCATAATTGATCACCAACCGCAGGAGAGTCAGACTGTTCCACCAGATTACGGTAACGAGCTATGACTTCTGAATCCTCTGTAAAGCCCACCCTCGAGGAAGCTTCGGCCCCAGAACAATCAAAAAGACCAACTCCAAAGCAAACGTTTGAAGGACACGAGGACAGGATTTGGGATTTCGTCTTCTTGCACGACAATGTCCACGTTGTGAGCGGTTCTGAGGACGGCACGATGCGGAAGTGGAACTACGACACAGGGCTTCTGGTCGGACAGCCGTGGAGGGGTGATGGTAGAAAGATATATGCACTGGTGCTTTCACCAGACGGGAAGATCATTGCGTGCGGGAGGGATGATTGGTCTCCCAGCGGGGGTCATCTTGCCAGCGGATCAAAAGATGGAACAATTCTGATTCGAAGCGCAAAAGACGGAACAGTCGTGGTGGGCCCGATCAACACGGCGCGCATGTCTGTAAATTTCAATTTGTTCGTGTTTTCAACACCAAATCAGGGACACTACTCCATTCTTTTGAGCACGACTATATTTTGAATTCCGTCGCACTTTCACCCAAACACATTAATGTTCTGGCGTGTGTGGGCAATTATGGTATTGCTAAACTATGGGACACAGAGACCGAGGTTTGAATTTGAACCATCAAACTGCTGCTTTGTGCCCTGCCCGTAAAAGCTCCCGCTGTGAGTTATTTACCTTATCTCTCGCGTACAGTTATAACACTATTCTAGTTTACGTGGATTGGGTCAAGTCAGGATGGAAGATGGATGACCACTGGAAACCAATGTCCGTTGATGCATTCACGATACGAGCCTGTGGATTCGGCTACCTCCGTGGCCATGCAGCCGTGCAGGTGTGTCCGAGTTTTCTTTTCTTGCTTCTAGCCTCTCTATTTCTGTGTTGATCTATGCGCTTCATGTGTTCACCTACAGATCAACCACGTCAGGTGCATTGCCATGCGTCGGGGTTGCACTACCCTTACTGCGCATCCTTTTCAAATTATCATCCGATGACCGTGGCAGAGAGGGCTACTGAGGATGAAATAGATGTATTAGAGATCAGACATTCGGGGGTGCTTGCGGGCATTTGCAGAGGTGTGTCGTTGTATTTTGACGTATTCCATTTGTCATTTGTGAGTTCTGATGTCATATCGATAGAGCGTGACTTTGTCAAGAGACCTTGGATGAGTTATCAACCTATCGCACCCTAGGGCCTGTGCCAGCGAGTCACTGATGTTCATTGAGAATTATTAGAAGGCTTTTCAATGGCCACATCACACCTAGGACTGTTATAGATCGAAGAACTACCTGATCCAATAGAACTCCTGTTGTGGCAAGAATATTTCGATGATCGCATTCGAAACAAGTCTCTGATGTACAAATAGCATCTCGAATTCTTATATTGTTCAAATATTCCACGCGCATCACGTTGCTTGCCGTTCAACATCATGATCTTGTTCGATTCAATCGGGAATTTCAAACAAACATCATCCCTATAATGCCAATTTTGATGATATAATTGCTGGATCTAGCACGAACCCCATCGTTGTTCACTCACCAAGTTGCCCACTCAGTCACACCCATCCCTCGAATATGACCCAAGTTTCGAATGATCCCAGTTGGTGGCCATTCATCAATTGGACTCGTTTTTTCAGCTATTGGATAGGTTCGTGAAGACCCCGTCGGATGCTGCTGCCGATGTCTCAATCTGACATTGACCTCGGGTTCTCAGTTGCTGCCTCTGCCGCAGTGATATACGATTGGGGTGAGCCGAAATCGCATTGAAGAACCATTGACATTCTTATGGTATTTCCAGCACTGACGCTTGAACAAGAGGTAGGTCGATGTCGTTGCCGGTGCAGCCATCTCGCTAAGAATCATTATAGGTTGAACTGGTCTGGGTGAGCAGAATCCCATATCAGAAGAACAGCAGGTAATATAGAGCAGAAGCAACGCTGGTCCCTCATGACTGTTATGTTTCTCGCCGTTCGTAGCTTATATTATAAGTGCAATTGGCAAGTTGTGCTGACTCCAGAGTTTTCTAGATACGCTACATCGGAATAACTTATTCTATGTATGTTTTCAGGGCTTGCAAGGCAGCGCTGTGCTAATAAGCTACCTGTTACGACCAGCATTGGCATGTTGTGTATGTTTTATTAGATTCACTGGTTGTTTCTTCTGACCAGCGACATACAGTCAGCCTTCCGTCAGTCTTGACGACAAATGTAGTGAGGATCATGCACTGATACCTGCCATTCCCATCCAACTAACCCTCTGTGCTCCGATGTAGGGGTGAGTATTATTCTTGACTACATAGTTGGTTCACCATAATGACTACAACAGTTGTGAGTTTGTTTTGAGTATCTGATCCTATGGGGGTTATCACTAATTGGGTGTCTCAGGCAAGAATATGGCCTACACAATCAGTTGGACCAATGTGGTTGTAGCTACCATGCTAGGCGGTGAGCTTCTCAGCTGCGATACCTCAGTGTTTATTTGGCTGAAATATGATGACAAGTCATCGTGATTGCTCGGTTACATGCCATGTATCAGGGATCCATAAAGATGCTTATATTTGTCATTGTCATCTTTCTGGCATTCAAAATCGCCTGCGGAGTAATAAACGCGATAGGATCCAAGTATATTATAGGGGGTAAGTTTTACTCATTGAATGGAAGAACAAGGCTCACCAGATGAATACCAGAGGAAATGAACCTTTCTGGCACCTATGTTTGCGGTTATGACTTTGAGGGAAATGCCAGGCTTCTGATCATAATGGTTTGGACGCTCAACACTGCATGGGAAGTTATCGCACTGTGTCTTGCAGTTCATATTGCTGTCAAACACTTCAGTGACTTGCGACAGTTCGGACCATCAACAGGACCGACCATCGGGAGCTATTTCACAGTGTTGGTAAAATCGCATGTACTTTACTTTGCAAGGTGGGCCCGTAATTTAAATGTGGTTATCTTTTTGCCCCTGAAGTTCGGTACATGCTAGCTTTGCTATTGTCTCAGGCCTCAGCTTTATTGAGCTCTCTTCAAATATCTTGGTGCGCCGATTTGTCCCGGTCATCTGGATTCTGCATGTAACCACTGTTCATCATTTCTGCAGGACTCGACTCCCATAGGAATTGTGATATCTAGTGGTGCTCTTGAAATCTTTTCGGTCATGAAGATGTTTGTGCTGGGACCACGCCTTATCCTTAGCATTCGGGAATATCATACTAAGCTCGTGGCTGACTCCGATGCAGGAGCTAGCATGCCTTCGATTGCCTTCGAGGAGCGAGTGCACGTGTCAACTAGCATTGGTGTATAGCACAGAAAATGCTTTGGCAATTGCTCTGCAGGGAGGAGTACTTTTGATATGAGATTCTTCTTTTTTATTTTCCAGCTGTATATTTGAGGGGAGAATAGTCTGTATACGATATTACAAGTACAGCACTGTACATCATAAGCATAATACATGGCCGCCCGTTGTGGACTCTTTCGTCAAACTCAAACCAAAATTACAGGAAATTCGGACATTACCGAAATGCGTTCACACTTGAATTTTGTGCATGTTGTGCCAATGTCGTGCATCGTGAATTCAAGGATCAAGGTGGTCTCTATAACACTAGCGCGCCCAAGGAGTTTCAAGAGCTAATGTTTCCTGTATGCCGGTTCTAAGTGGTAAGTACTGCACTTCCGAAGTTAAGGGAACATATGATCATGTCGGAGCGATCAATTCAAAGAGTTCCTTCCAAGTTGCAGATCCGACATCGTGCTAAGCACGGCTTACGACGGTATCCCAAAGTCTCTGCTGATTCTACCTTGTGATACTAGTAGCATAATTAACACGAGCGTAAAGTCCTCCAATTTCAATTTTGCGTCTTCAGCTGACACAATCTCTTTCCTGGAGTTTCGTCGATGCCGTCATCCGATCGTCTTTATTGCCAGTAGGGACATCAAAACCAGATCACCTCGAGGATAGCTAGCGTTGCGTGTGAGCTGCTATTAGCATCCGACAGGGCTAAGTACTAAGTAAGTCTACCGTGCGTTAAGTATGTTTGGCCAACTTCTTTGCTTTGGTTTGTTTCCTGGGTTGTATTTGATAGGGCAACGCTGGCATTGACCTTTGACTCAGATTTTCGGTCCCTAGCTGGTCTTTGGCTAGTTGGCTGAAAATCGCAATGAAGTCACATCTAATTTGACATGGCACGGTTGGCCAGTTTTTATTCTTGTCCAAACCATGCTTTCACTGACTGCATTCGATCCTTCTCTTTTGTAGTTCCATGTACTTGGTGGCGTGCGTCGGTGCCGCGCCGCTTTAAGGCCATGCTGGCACCTGACACACATCTGATCACTTCAGCGTCCAGGCGCCATGGTCTGGCGCCCTCCCCCGGCTGAGATCTCAGCCTGGAGGGGGCCCGTACTACTGTCAACCGCACATATCCACCAAACACACGAAACTTTCACCGTCCAAGTCCATTTACTTGGCTCGCCGCCAGCCTAAATTATGGGACGTAGTCCTTCCGAGCTGGGATTCGGAGAGTTGGAACGGTGGACCTCCTGGCAAGTTCGCTCTGAATAAATACAGTGTGCTCAGACACAAGTCAGCATAAGCGCCGCCCTTAATAACGCCATGTCGTATAATAACGGGTTTTCATCTGTAAGTTTTGTCTTCTGAATGGGTGCAGCTGTAGATGAATTGACATTTATAGTCGGTTCATTCTGTCGACGAGATGTTCCAGTGCTATTGGACTGGTGAATATGGATTACACTGCAATGACTTGATACGTGGACGTGATATGTCGACTCATCTCCGAGAACGCCACGGAATTAAGGGCGCAGATGAATTGCGCTTCCGCTGCTGTTGGGAAGGATGTGTCGTGGTGATTAAAAAAGAAAGCCTTTCCAGACATGTTCAAGCTGCGCACCTCGGAATCTTGTATCCTTGCGATACTTGCAACCAGATGTTCACGCGCACATATAACCGGGACCTCCACAAGAGAACCTGCCCGGCCCCGCAGCAGTGAATGTCAGGACTTTCCCTCCTGTATGACCAGCGCTGATTCTGATATTTTAGGGAGTAATCGGTGATGTCGCTTCAGTAGTCAATGGCGTTGGGTAGAAGCCGGAGCGGGCCAGTGTTATTTATATTGTTTAAATCCTTTTATTGTTGTCGTAAGCTGGCCTAATGCCGACAGTGTTATTGATATAACACCTCTTGTTTGACTTGTTGGTGGATCTTGCCATTCCTAGCGTAGTACTGCATTTAGCATGGCATCTTGACCCCAGTTAGTACTCCTGTGGATTCATGTACCATATACAGCGTCAGTATGCTATTTACCCTGTTGGTAAGATGTTTTAGCATCTTGAACAGCAAAATTAAAAGCGAGTTCAGAAAGAACTTGCCGAATTTTGAATGTACATACTAACAATACTTGCATTATGCCTATCTCATCTCCAGTCATTTGATGCCGTGCAGGCGGCTTTTGTTCATCTCCGCTAGATTGGTGTCCGAAGCATTCAAACCTCCTATCTACAATCAGAGTTAGGCCCTGAGTCAAGGCTAATTGTGCCGTCGTGAAGTGTGCCTTTTACTAAGAATTATAAGCTACTTGACCACAAGTAAATTGACGGTCTAAACAGGCTTACTTTCGTGGTAGGCATGTGTTTGCACAGAAAATACCATTTAGAATGTACTCGCTGAATTGAGACTGTTCCAATGGACTAAATCTGATGCAACAAAACGAAGAGTACACTCGTGTCCACAGTTTAGGCGTATTTCAACTGCCAGGATACACCATCGATGCGAGACATGAGAGACGGCAGTGTGCACGCCTTTTCTGCTTGCGCCATGGATAAGTAGCTCTTGGAACATAAGAACCACAAAGCCGGTAGTGAGGGTTCTTGGCATGCCAAGCATTTTCCTGTCGACTTCCGTTTTAGATCCCTCTATGATGAACTTGAAACGCCTCGCACTGATGCGGACGGTATTGGCGAAAATAGCTGGAACAGACAGCGAGATGATCTTGAGATCGGTGAGCGCTCTGTTGATAGCTCAAATCGCATTTGTATGTGGTAAAAACTTGAACAACTCACATGGAATTGTTTATAGTGCAGTAGAAGTGAAAGGCGTGAACACATACTATGAGATCTAGCTGGTACTGTGTTATGCGAGTGAACTAGTGGCATTTGCTTCCGAGAACCGGGTGCAGTGTACTGTGGGCCACATGGTCACGTGGGCTGTAGTGGGTGCCACCGTGACCTGGGTCCTGCAAAATATCAACCAAACCTCTAGTAGGCTTCCACGAGGCTAGAGTGCTCTATAGATCCCGGTGCACCTCCACAAACTGCGGAAATGCTGCCAGTGTATGCGCTTTAACAAGCCTTGTAAGTAGGCGTGCCGTATGCCATGGTCAAGGTATCCAAATCCGAGTCACCTGTGGCCTCAGGCTGACTCCTGATCGGCCGCATCCATATTTTATCCTACTCGTCCAGGGTGTTAATTTAAAGGTTGCAAATAACTGGTGGACCTGAACTGTCTCCACGCTGCCCGCACTAACCGCTCAGGACATTTATGATATTAATACCCACTATCATATCTGGACAACTTGAAGGCGCTCATCCAACCAGTCGTTCCTTTCAATTTGTACCATCACTTGATCAGGGCACCATGGGCTCAGATAGCATCGAGTCGACCTCCGAAAAGCAAATCGTTCTGAATCCGAGAGAGCGAGCGCGCATTCTGCGCAAGATCGATTGGCATCTACTACCTTTCTTAACGGTATTTTACCTCTTGTCGTTCTTGTGAGTGTAATGAACGCCCGTCTTGTCTGATGCTGCTTCACATTATATGATGTTTTCAGAGATCGGGTCAATGTTGGTAAGTTGGAACATTTACAGTGGACTTCCTGCTGAGGCCATCATCAGGAAACGCGAAGGTTGCTGGTATGTCCACAAACCTGAACTTGACCGGCTTCAGGTATAATATTGCTGCGGCCGTCTTTTTTGTGCGTCGTGTATTACGCATATTTCACCAAGTGCTGAATAACTCTAGATCCCGTACTGTTTTGCTGAGGTCCCCTCGTATGTTGGATATCAAAAGTAGCGAGTCTTTGCTCACTGTTTGTATAGGAACATCGCACTCAAGCTATTCAGACCATCGCGATGGAGTACGCTCACCTCTGCCTTGTTGTTTCTCTCACCATCTAATATCGATCCAGTACCATCTATCATGGTCGCGTGGGGTGTTGTAATGACCCTTATGTGTCTCGTCAAATCATACCAATCACTCGTTGTGTGCGTGAATCGTGTCTGCATAGTGGAGACAGACGCCATAACAACATTATGACAGAGCTCGAGTGTTCCTTGGTTTGACAGAAGCAGGATTATTCCCTGGAATAAATTACTACATCTGCCTTTGGTATCCACGTTCGGAACGGTCCAAGCGCATCGCCATATTCTTCTCCTCAGCAGCAGTCGCAGGTATGCAATATTTTAATATATGTCAGAATCTATATTTGTCTAAACTTATCTTTGTTCATAGGCGCCTTCGGCGGACTCCTTGCGTAAGTCGCTTTATTTTCCCGTTAACCCGTCGTTGACCTTCACGTGTCATGCATACAGGTATGGCATTGAGCGGATGGAGGGGTAAACAAGTTGCTTTCCTTGTCAACCATCACTGATTCACCAATTAGGGTCGGAGGATTGCATGGTTGGCAATGGATTGTATGTCTACATCTTTTAAAACCGAGATCTTCACAAATTTATATTTTCTGCTAGTTCGGCTTAGAGGGCATTGGTCAGTCGTGCCAGATCTGAGGCGATTCGAATGCTCACCTTAGAGCTCAACCAGTCACTGTCCTCGTTGCATGTTTCTCTTTTTTCTATATGCAAGATGTGAGTTCACAGTTAAGTTGTGCGTCACTTGTTGATTTCCACTACTTAGTATCCTGAAACGGCCAAGTTTTTGACCGAGCCAGAGAGACTATGCATCATGAATATGCTCAAACAGGATGCAAATAATCTTTCCACTCGATTTGATACTCAATTCGTCTGGCAAGCCATAAAAGATTACAAGACTTACGTCCAAATTATCATTTATATGGGGTACTCACTCTCCCTGTCATATCGCGTACATGAACTGAGTTCTTCATCAGGTTGCTCGTCCCTGGTTATGCCATTGCCCTATTTTCACCAACCATCATCAACGAGCTTGGCTACTCTGCTGCGAATGCCCAGCTGCTCTCAGTCCCCCCATTTGTTCTTGGCGCTATTGGAACAATCATAGTCGGCATCTATTCTGACAAGCACAATCTTCGTGGCCCATATATCATTGGTGGCGCTCTTGTATCTCTTGTGGGATATATCCTGCTTTATTGCAGCGTACGGGCGGGCCCGTCGTATGTTGGAGCTTGTCTGGCTGCTGCCGGAGATTATCCAACCGTCGCCATCGTGCTTGCTTGGTCAGGTTCGAATGCAGGAGGTGACTTAAAACGTGGAGTTGTACTAGCGATGGTCATTGGTCTTGGTAACCTTGGAGGGTACGTCTTGTTATTATACAATACATAATGTCAGTCCGCTCATGCTTGTCCTAGTATTTGCTCCTCCTTCATTTATATTGATCCGCCACGTTTCCACATTGGGCATGGCACTATCATGGGGTTCCTTTCTCTTGCGTATGTCTCATCAGACTTCCGAACTACAACATGATAACATACTTTTGTAACAGGATCGTAATGAGCCTGTTCGCTATGTGGGACTATAATCGGCTGAACAAAAAGAAAGAAGCACAGTGTCTGGCAGAAAATATCACCGAGGAAAGAGGATACGAATTTAGGGACATGGGCGACAACAGTCCCCTTTTCAGGTGGGCTCCGTGACTCATCCACAATGCAATCTTAACTGATGAGTATGCAAGGTATACCATATGAGACGTACCGACTGTCCTTTTTGAGCACTCCTTGATTGCGCACATCAGCTTGGGATAACGAATACCTACGTCTCATTTGTGATACTACCGGCATGAAGGAATATCACAGATACTTGTCAATGATTCTTCGCAAATAGGCCTGATGATCAATTCAGAAGGCACCATAGAACATGATCTCATCTCACCAAATAACTAACAGACCAGACGTGTACTCAAGGTGAGCACTTGAGTTGCCACAAGAATCCGTTACCGAACCCATTTTCAAGTGTGGAAAGGAGGTCCGAGAAACGCAAGAACCTGCAAAGTGGCCACAGGTGTGAGCTGGCAGTACAAATTATGGTGAGCTGCAAGTGAGTTGAACATTATACTCAGGTACCCACCCGGTTTATTTCAGACACGCCGGCGATAAGCAACTTCGTGATTCGAACCTTCATTTTCCACCCGAAAACACATATGGCAAACCCTGCACGGTTCGCAACCAGATAGCAACCTATCACTAAACAAACGGCGTCTCAAACAAAAATGTCCGAGTGGGAGCTTCCGTCACAGGTTCACTCCCGAGGTCGGCCATGGTTAATCACAGTAAATGAAAAACATTTAGGGCATGAGTTTGATGAAGCAAACAACGGCAGACAGTCGAATATGGTACGCTAAATTTAGTTCGCGAGATTTCTTCGGCCATTAATTACTTTGCTTTTACATCACTAATGCCGGGGTCATTCCAATGAGTCGAAGAAACAGGCAGGAGATATCGAAGTTCGAACGACAACAGCGACGAGTATCACCCAATGCTTGGCGACGAAGTAATACAAGCAGACGTTGTCTATGATACCTGGGAACGACAATCGACTATCCCACAACGATAGCGACGATGGGGTAACAAATCAAGATACAGCCAATGCCTCAGTAATGTCAGCAACTTTGAAATACTGTGCAACTGCTTCTCATCGTATAGGTATTCTACGATGCAGGGTATCCTAGGTGTCCATCCACGTGGACGATAACAACAGGCAGGGTGCCCCTTAGCCAGGCGGCAGAACATGTACACTGAATTTAATTTGGGAGATTCCTTTGACCCATTCTTTGACCGCTCACTCGCCGCCGGAGGTCGTGCGAGTCGAACAAAGCAAACTTGAAGCAGGTTTCCAGAAAATGGCAAGACCCCAATATGTGAACGACAACCATGAGGCCTAGGATTATGTTGGACGACGTCGATGGGATAACATGCCTGTAAATTACCAATAGAACAGTAGCTGTGCGTTCGCACGGAACACGAGAATTTAAAGGGCCCCAGTCTTTCCACAGTATTCCCTCTTCCATTTCTTTAGAGAAGTTAGGATTGAAGAACGTCCTGGTAGAAATGATAAAGTCGAAAGTCGAACACGATAGCCTTGAACGAGATAGTGGTGGGAGTATGACACGGCTGAACCTCGGTCATGAATGCAGGTCGTGCAGTAACACTTGATATATGTAGTCGCTTCCCATTCAACGAGCCCCTCCTATGATACAGGTCATCCGAATCTACTCAGATAAAAATTCTGCCCCTCCCGCACATCCTCCCCTGACTCAAAAATGTGAACCCGACCCGGATTGAACGGATGACCTTGAGGATGTAAGCCAAAGCTCTGGAATCTCACGCGCTACCACTGTGCCACGGGTCCATCCGTAGCCGCCCTGTTTCACGAGCGCCAATATGTGGAGTATGTGAAGCTTTACACCTAAAAAGACTATGCGCTAAATACATGTGCATGGCAGATCAAGTCCAAACGTGAATCATGTCCGTCTACTTCCTCGTGAACAGCGAAAATCGCCGCTTCGACCCCCGCGCACTGTCCCCGTCTAGGTTCGTCACCGATGATGCTGGGCTGTATTGTAAGTCCTTGCGCTTCCGCATGAGGAACAGGAGTGAGTGTGGCCGTGAGGGCGGCGCAGGGGGTCGCGTCGCCGTCGGCGTACTCAAGCCCGAGGGCGTTGAGGAGCCAGAAGAAAGAGGGTGCAGCGTTTGTACGTGCGACCGCGGCGTAGAAGGCGTATTCAGTGATGTGTGGGACCACAATGGCTCCGGTTGGAACGGAGGGAGAGCGAATGAGGTATAAGGCCCCGTGTCCGATTCTTCCGATGGACGGGGTACCCCTGTTTCTGGCTCCTCCTCCCTCGGCTTTAACGATATACTTCTCTCTGGAAGAGTAATGTCGTGGTGAATGAGATCGAACCCTTCTAATAGGTTCACAGCGTACTCAGGCACGCGGACCGAGTCCCTGTCTAGGTCTGCAAGGATCTCCGTATGCGAGCGTGGCGAGGAACTAGCGTAGATTGTTGCCACGCCGCCCGAAGGCGCTTGTTGTGGCGTCTCCAATGGCACACGTGATACATGTGATGCCCCATTTGAAGACGTGGATGCAATGGATAATGGAGGAGTCGATGGCCGTGTGGAAGTCATCACGTCATCAGTTTGGTCATTAAATGGCAGCAAGCGAGATGAAGGGGTCGATGACTGTGACAAAGATGTAGAAGAATATTCCGCATTGGAAGGACCCATATTTCTGACCAGCATGGAGGGTCTAGATGGCCCGCTTGCGAGCCGTGGTTTGCCAGAGCGTCTGAAAGGAGCAGGTGGTTCATTGCCAATTGATTTTGGACGGGCATGCTGTGTTGTAAACCTCCGAGTGGCACTGGTCGACGGGCGGAGTCGAAGGGGTGAAATGTCGCTCATGGTTATCCGGCGTGAGAAGGTGCAGTCGACGAAAAGAGGCCTGCACTTATGGTGTGTGTGTAATGATGTCCTCGTGGGGGATCGTTCGAAAAATCTAACAAGATTAGCCCGGCGCCTTGCCTCGTTGTCGAGGGGTGTAACTGGAAGATTCTCGTCAAACCTTCCTTGCTCCGGTGCACCCCTTTTCAACTTGAGTAAAGCTAAATGATGACTCATTTGGCGAACCTCGCGGTCTGCTGCAGACTGCCGTCGTTCCGCCATCCAGCGATCTGATTGCAGGGCAGCATAGCTCTTGGGATCGACCGCTCTATCCGCGAGACAAGCCCTTAACTTGGCAGCACGGTCCCTGGATTCATTCGCACGTGTACTCAACGCAGCCGTCGCTTTTTCCAAAGCAAGAATCTGAAGTTCTCGAGGTGACCGTTCGCTTGTGCAATTCTTAAGCGCATACTCCAAGGCCTGTTCTGCTACAGAGTAACGCCGTTGGCGACGTAATGAGTCTGTAGAGGATCCACAGATGGACGTAGCCTTGTTGAAGCGGCCAGGCTTCATGGTGGGACTCGGCCTGCCACATGCGCGGCTGGAATTAGGTGTGCTAAGCGTTGCAACAATGTATAGTTCAGATGCGGTTTGTGTGCAACGTGAAGAACACGTACTGGTATACGTTAGCTGATATATCTGGAGAGATGGCGCCCTTGAGTGCAACTGGAGTGTTCAAGTTGGTACGCTCCTGAAAGCAAGTGAATCAAAGAGTTCTCGTCAAGTTGATCGTTACCTACACGCAGAACGCGTTTCATGTCCGTTATTGTATTGGTGTTGATTCGCAGCGGCTGTGGCGGATGTAAAAGATGGGTCTTTGCCGGCTCCGATGCATCAAAGTGTTCGTCATTCTGATCAAAGATCTTCGGTTCAATCATGATGGGGACTCAAGGATATAAATCGTGATGCTGGGAAGTGGCAAAGCTATTGCACAAAAAGACAGGAAGCAAAGTTGGCTCAGAGAGCGGTATATGAGGCTGTGCAAGTCACCGTGGCACTTGCAAAGTGGCATGCAAGTACATGCCACTTTGGAATGCCGGTAACACCGTGACGGACTTGGAAGTCTTACGGAAACCCAGTGGAAAACACCTGGGAAGCCCACTAGCTCTCGTACTTATATCTGAAACGGTGCAATTCTTACGGATAACAGGAACAATGCTTTTCATTATCAATGATCGTGATCAGATGGTTTCAGTTTGATTCCGGACGACGTGTCGCTCCCCCAGATCACATGAATAAAAAAAAACAACCACGTGTCCACACGGGGCAGCCGTGCTGCTTGATGGTAGGTCTCTTCTCCGAGAAGGACGCAAGTGAGACAAGCTGGCTGATAGATATCCAGCATGGGTACATATATCGTGACACGGTCTGTTCTTACAGCTGTTCGTACATGCATCACGATCTGCCGAGCACAAGATCTCGTAAGCCCTTCCCGAGCTTCTTTACCCTGCCCTTTATCCCATTCCTGCGGTGACCTGTCTCCTTGAACAGGTAGTCCCCTGGCTCATCAGGACCATCTTCCCTTCGCCATCTTGCCAAATTCATCCGCATCTCCGTCTCGCCGCTTAATGAGAACCCCGAGTACAGGTTCACAGGTACCGCTTGTCCAGGGAGAACCATTGACATGGGCCGTGAATCTCGACCAAACTGCACTGATATACGCTCTCCACAGTCGAGAGATCTCGTGGCCCGTGGTGCGTAATCGTAATCAGATGGCATGGGAGAGGGCGTGCGGGAAAGGGAGCTGGGAAGCCCAGGGGTGCCAGGGCGAGACATGTTTTTACGGATGGCAGTATAGTATGGCCGGCTGGGGTGACCGATTCGGACGTGAGGTTCCGCGCTGACAGGAGTCGAAGGTGCGGGAGAGGGTGTACGTGCTACTTGTATTGCACGTGGCACAGGCGATTCAGCACGATCATCAAAGGCGGGGGAAGACTGTTGTGATCTTGACCGACATGAGAACGAGGACATGCGCTTGAGCGATGGCATGGCTTTCTTCCTTCGTAGTTTCGGGGAACATTGTGAAGATGCTGACACGACGGATAGTAAGGAGAGAGCGCGAGCGTGAGAAGCGCCATCGGGGTATACTTCGCCGCCAGCGGCGTGAGGTGGATCGATCGAAACGGAACTAGTGTTCGAGTGTGAAGTAGTTTCTTGGATCATGAGTGATTTGTGTGACACGTCGTGAGGAGTGGCGCGCGCGTGCGCGGACGACAATGTTGAAAGAAAAAGAGCGGGCAGTTTTCGACGGCGTCGTATCGATTGTTCCTTCGCGGTTTCGTGTTTGTATGGTCCATCCAGAAACTCCTGCTTCTTGGCGGGGGCCGTCGAAGGGCACAACGTCGGCTGCGAAAAAAGAACGAAACAAAAGGGTCAGCAATAAGTACAACCCTGGTTCTATGGAGGTATCAAACGGCATGCAATATTTACCAAAATTGGTGTTGCTGTGGTGACGTCGTAGAACATGCCACCGCCATCTCCTGGGTAATTGACTTCGACATTTGGCATGTCATCCACGGCAACCAGCGCAACATCAGGCTTGTGTGAATACGCGAGCTCGCCGTCACACGAGTCCAACACTGCCGTAATTCCAGGTACCTGAAGGCTTTCCATGCAGAACATGAGGTCACCTTGAGGAGTCACAGGACCAGCGCTCGAATTTGTGGAATCTGCCGAGACCCTCTTTGGCATGCACTTGACTCTGGTTCGCTCGCTTGTGCCTCTCAATTGAGAAGTCGTCTTAGATGGTGCAGTTATTCTTCGCGGTCTTGGCAATTTCTCCTCGAACTCTTTCTTTGCCACCGCGGAACTCCATGCACACCACAGACACATAGGGATGAGCGTATTGGAAAAGCCACAATGTGCACAGGCAAAGAGAGGCCTGTTCGGGCAGAGGTGGAATGAAGGTAGTGAATCGGATGCACGCAAGTGCTGGTGAGCACAGATCCACGATTAGTGATCATGATCCTCATCGATATATGAATGTAACTCACGGGCTTATTTCGTTTCCATTCCCTTCGAAGATAACGTCGCGGAGTTGCTGATGGGTCCATGCAAAGGGGATCGAGGGCCGTGTAAAGGTTGAGATATCGTCACTGGTGCGATCTCGAATGTGCGCGGGAGCAAGCGGTGTGTCTGAAACTCTAGAGCTCTACTTAAAAACTAGGTCCACGAGGCCAAGGTCTGAACAAGCTGAACAATTAGTCTGAATCACAAGCACGAGTGTGGCACGGAGAGGTTGCGTTTATCGAGGCATCAGTGACGCGAGCACAGGCATATCGATCATGAGACTGAAACCGAAGTCGCAGATCGTTCTAAAGCACGCGTTTGGAGCGTGCTTGCGGCCTTTCTGAGCAACATCGTGGCCTCCACCAAGCCTCGGAAAGGTCAACGCACAAAAGGCATGTCAAGTCACGCATGTCTGACGTAATGCAGACACTGGACAGCCACCAAGACCAGTGTAAGTATGTTCTACTGTGTAGTCGAATGATTCTGATAAAGCGATTACTATTTTGCGTTGAAGTTTGTAAATTTATTTGCATGTAGCTCAGCCGGTCGGAACTCTTCCATCAACGGGCTTCCAAGTGGTTCGAGAAAGTAGGAAGTGATACCCTTAAAATTGTAAGTGCTTACCGAAAGCAGTTCAGGCGCGTGGCGAAGCTTAATCCCACAAATGGTTTAAGAGATGCACGCACCTGGTACAAACATCCGAGGGCGGGACGACCTATACAGGTGAGAAGAAAAATGCAATTGATGGATTGCGAATCCAAATTGTGATGCTGGACAAATGAGTCCATAAGTGAGAAAATGGGTGTGTCGCGGTATATAATTCGCTAAACCTATCAAGATAGAGTTAGCGTCAACAAATGAAAAGACATAATACGAGCTCACAGCTTGGGAACTGCCTTGTATCATACGAAGACAGTGATAGCCCCTCTCTTCTCGTCCATGACCCACTCCCCATCAATGAGCTGGCTCACATGAATGTGCCCACATCCGCCAACAGGGCAAGACCATTCATATTCAGCTTCTACATTGGAAACTTTTGCTCGACCCTTCCCGATAGTCTTTGCTTTCACGGGTGGGCGGGGAGCAGCTCTAGATCGCACGCGGGATGGGCCAGGGCCAGCGGGCGAAGGTCCAGATGGATGAGATGGAAGAGGGGGACGGGGACGAAGACGTGAGCGAATAGAGGAGAATTCAGGTTCAGGGAATATGTTGAAGATATCGGACTCTGTCTCCTTGCCTTTTCCTTTCACAGAGTGGGTGGAATAGGCACCAGGTAATTCGAGTTCGTCTGTCCCCTTTGCTTTGCCTTTGCCTTTCACATCAACAGTGTCCAGCAAGTCTGAGATGACAAGAGGTATCGGCTTCATCAATTCCTCCACGCATTTTCCGTCCAAAAGATGTCCACATCTTAAACCCCACAGTCTTCTCTTGGCTCTGTCCTCTGCAACATCAGCAGCTCCCAGCATCAATGGATCATGACACCGAGGACAGGCAAGCATAGTCTCGCCAGAACGACTACTGCTTGAGCTGGAGGAACCGGGGCTATCGATATCGAAAACAGGCGCAGATGTCATGACTGATAACTCGAAGTCATGCGTAAAGCCAGATGCAGGCTTCATGGGATGGGTATACTCCGGTTTATAATCAGGTTCAGGAAGCCGCCCTGGGGCATTGAAAAGACGGAGATCACCTCGCATCAGCCGGTCACCTGGCTCATCATGAAAATCTGCAGCCCGGTAGTGACGGAAGCCATCATCATCATATAGCTCGTCTTCTTCATGACCAAAGAAGTCTAGAGGGTTCCACTGCATGAACACATCCGCTGGGATACCGAAGACTCGGCGGCGGCGGTCGACGTTATGTGATCGTGCGGGGGGTTGCTCGAAAGCTGCTCTCGCACGTTGAAGCAATGCACCGCCAAATCCCATCACAGGAACGTGGTGTGATGGTGCAACGGCAGGAGCGGGTGCTGGAGGACGCTCGATGGGCGCTGGGGCAGGCCTGATGTTCGTTTCGAATGGAAAAGGCTCGGCATGGGGAACCACCAACCCAGGAGCTGTGGGAAATGGAGGTGGTCTTCGTCGCATAGGTATAAACCTCCTCGGTATCTGCGGAACAGGTGGTATCGCATCAAGCTGTGGTGGGGGTGATGGTGAAAATATGGGCGCTCCTAAAAATTGTTCAGGAAGAGATGATGAAAAAGATGTGTAGGACTCACTGTGAGGTCTGGGAGCAGGCCTGGCACTGACGAACTGTATATCGTCATCATCGCTGTCGTTTACTGTTATAACCTCTCGCTCGATTGGCACAGAACGACCACTCTCCGATACCCTTCTTCTCCGAGTAGGTGGTCTCGATCCGATTCGAGCTACCTCCTCCACATCGAAGAGGTCGACGTCGATGATTTCAGGGGATTCATGACCTCGTTGTTCTGGAATAGCAGATATTGGACGTTCAACAATTGCTAGGGACATCCGGAACTGCAATATTAAGGGTCTTTTGGTCTTTGTCGTCGTTCTAGGTTAAGCATCGGTGCCACTGTTCACAAAGCGATAAATGGGTGTTACATAAGCATAATGAGTGCACGGGCCAATGCCAAACAGTTGCCAAATTGTGGCGGTGTATAAATTCTTCCTGTGGCTGATCTTTTTCTTTCTTCATCTGCATCATGTTCTGTAAGTATCAATCTCTGTCGTTTTATCATCTAAAGGATGACTTTATTCTCTTCCCCGTCCTACACGACCATGCCGAGAAATAGAGCTGTTCGTTCGCAACGAACACGCGTTCTTCGGAGCGCACAGTGTACTTGCCAGTGCCATTTTGTCTGATTTTTTCACTTTGATCTACTCGTTTTCGTTCTGTTCTGACCGACTCTTCAGTTTTATTTATGTCCTCGTTCACCCCGTTGCATCGTCCTCTAGGTGAGAATCGATCTACATTCAAGCTTTGCATCGCTGCGCCAATCCATGCACGATGAAAATTTTCCGTTATTCGCAGTTTCCACTTTAGCGCCCTCCGCCAGGAGTACTCCCCCAATACTGAACGTTTATACTCCCCCTCGCTGTGTGAACCCAAAAGCATAGTCGAGCGTGGGCCGTCCTTGTGGCGCGCTGAACGGGAGGTGGGGGTCGGCGCAATGAGGGTATGCAGTCCTTCCAGGATGTCTGATCTTTCACATGGCGCAGCGTGCATTGTTCCTATAGAAATCCAATGCTTACTATTTTTCCAGGTTTCCCCAAACAAGTCCTATTTGTATGTCGAGTTGCTGCCTTGTCTTCTGTAGAGCTATACCCGTCATCGACTATCAATATTTTTGTGTGCTGTCTTTCCGTTGTGAACCATAAAAGCCTTTTATGATCTACCAATTGCGTCTGCAAACTTCACCCGCAATGGTCGTCAGCGCCATGATCTCACCTTGTGTTTACCTGTGCCCGACCCGAGAGAGGAAGGTTTCTACCAGGCGCATGGGGGCGAGCAGCTGTGCGTGCAGTTGAATATCCTGGTCCAGTGGCATAGCTTATCTGATTATTTATCAGAGATGATAGATGATACCTATTTTACGGTTGTGTTACGACCATGGAATCTGTCAGTTGTTTTTTTGTCTCAGGCATGAATTGGGCCATCAACGATTCCCGATGGGTGCCTTTCGACTGCACAGGATAAAGGTGACCCTAGAGAACAAATTGATCCCTTCCACTTATGGCCCGCACCGAGATTCTTGCTTTCTGTAAGGAGCACGACATGACCCTGCAGGCTTGGGCACCCTCTGGGAACGAGATTCAATGATCCCGAGATTGGTACTCTGGGGAAGTGATACGACAAACAGCCAACTCCAATTTTGACTCCCTGCAGAGTGTTGGCCTGTGTTAATGTCGCGTACACTGCTTTTAAAGAGCAGAATTTGTGCCGTTTCGTACGTCAGCATCCAAGCAAAGAACGAACGATATCAAACGCGAACGTGTGTCACATCGCATTGGAAGGAGAGCGCAACAACGTGGAGTCCGAAGAAAGGTGCGTGGCCCCTATCACCATTAGGGTGCTGCTGAAAGTCGAACGTGACGGCCGAAGGATCGGGGTGCGGACCCTGCTAAGGCTGTATCCAAAGGAAGAACACGTGTATCAGCGTTTCAAATGCACATGAAGAATCGAAACTCAAGCAAAGATTTCTAGCGATCGGTCATCAATCTCACCAAGGGGGCGGTCATCAGTTATCTGCATGCGAGGTACGACGCCAGTTGAGCTTGTAACGGATCTTCAGTCGACTTTAGTAGATATAACGCTATGATGGTGGCGTTCATCACCACAAGGCTGTACTCTGAGGATAATGAAACATTGTCCTCCGATCGCGCGTTCCTTTGACAAAGTTACGCAGGGTCCTTGAGCGCTAATTGACACACTCTTGGAGCGATTGGTCGCTACTCATCTCAACATGATATCAGCGGGCCCATCAGTCACAGCAGGAGTGCAGCTTATGCCTCGTGTCTCAACAGTGCCATAACGCGGAACCCAAAGAAGCACCGATGACAGCAAGGAGTTGGACAACTGGTGTGCCACGCTGCGCGGGCAGGTGCCCTATGAGGCTTGGTGTAATCCTGTCTTTCAAGAGTGTGCCTCGAACCGGATCCAACTTACTCCCACAACAATTTGATCATGCATGTATCGTCATGCCCGTTGGCCTGTCAGCCTGACTGTACTATGAAAGACCGCACGTTGTCTCTTATCTGAGCTTCCTTGCAGATGACGCGAGCTTCGTTCACGGATCGCGTTCCGGTATTATTGTTTGCATTTTGGCTTTCCAGAGCCGCCTCGAACTTCACGTTACCGGATCCAATGACCTACTCCGAAATCAAGATCTGAAGCCTGATTGGATGCACTGGTACGTGGCTCGCTCCTCTTGTCAGTCTGACCATATTAATCCGCATGTTTTTGCCTACCGGATCTTCCCTGGGGGTAGCTGTAAACCCCGTTAAACATACCTCCTTCGTTTGTCCTAGTGCACTTTGGGCGCTCCGTTCAATTTAACTACTCGGAGCCTGTGCGCTACCCAGCTCTAGGTGGACTTGGGTTCCGGTGTTTCGAAGGATCCGGACCATCGGTGCCAGCTGTCTGGCCTGGCGCACTTTCACCCGCCGAGTTTATCTGTCCGAAAGTCGAATAGAATAAATCCGACAATCGCCAGCTGTACGCGAAAGATTTCATTTAGCAAAACCGATTGCATCTTGACGCAATGGAATGATCGTCGCGGCCTACCTCCCAGCAGTACTCTTCGTACTGGACGTTCAGCAGGCACACAATCCCGATATAACCTTCGGTTCATCCTCTCTGATATCAATCCCCAATGCCCATTTGCCTCGCACCTCAATCCACACCGGTTTTGTTGATCGATGGCGCTTGTTGGAATGAAAAGGGCTGACAAAAAGTTCGTTGGCCTCGAGGAGCCTCGAGGCCGGCACCCTCGCTATGAAGAGTGTGGAGAAAAGAAGCTCCGCGTGATATCGGATGTCATGGTTTCTTGTCGAGCCTTCATGATTAAAGCGATCTCTATCATGTTCAGCAAGCAGTTGCGCCATGGACGTACTAAACCATCCTGAGGCGCACACCATATACCAAGAGTACACCCGTCCGCCACCTTGCGGCCTATTAAATCCGATGACATTTGTTTCTGGCAGATATTCCCTGGGATTCCTCACCAAGTCAGCCCTAGATGGGCCAGCGACATTTCCGGTAAGCTTTTGATGCGATTTTCGAAGCAAATGCTTGATCACACGCATAGATCGTTCCTGATCGTGAGTCATATTGTCGCGATACCACTGCTAAGGTCACGTTCGTTCTTATTGAGAATGCGACAACAGGGGTCAATCTCCCCATTGGAAGTCGCCGATCACCCTATGGTTCATTCGGGATCTTGCTGGGGCTAGGAAAGATCTGATGACGTGGTCAAGAGTAAGTTTACCCATGACTTGCTTTCCTAACTCATTCAATAGTGAGCAAGCCTGAGAGACACATGACATGATATTCGACGCGATCACGGACGAAGGAAGCTATGACTTATGGTCCGCAGTCGATTTCATCACCCGTGGGACGACTGCGCACGTATTCATGAAGCACAAGTCTCTCCTACCGTACCATCTCGGGGCTCATCATTGGGCCTTGATTTTCTTGTGGAATAATGCATGCAGTGACTTGGCAGGGTTACAAAGCCGTCTATCGGAATGCGGGGAGGCGATGCCCAGAACAGTCCAGAACTCAACCCGCGAGCCATGGAAACCTCAACCAACAATAGCCCAAGGGTGTATAGTTATGCTGTGTATGATTTTAAGTCTATCATAGGATCAGTGCGGACGGCGAACTAATATGTCCTTTTGACTCCGACATCATTTAACAGCTATCCACACGAGTACAGACTGCTCGGATCATCGAAGCAGCGCAAGCCCAGCGAACCTGTGAATGAGACCACAGCTCCGAATATACGACGATCGCTGCAGGTTTGCCTAAACCCTTCCGGTACTACCTTACGAGAAAAGCCTGGACATCTATTTTTGCATAGATGGAACCAATACTGAACTCACTGCCAGCATAGGGCAACGTCTCACATAAACGGCATATTATTAAAAGACAAACTCATCTTTCAAATACGGGATTACCGTGACTTTGATAAGAAGGGGGACGGTGAGGGCATATGTAGTCACCACCTTAATTCCAAATTCGCCGGGATGCAGTGGTGCATGCGAATTTCTCGAAGGCGCGCTGACCTACATTCATCCCTTGTATCGATGACATCTTTTACGTCTTGGCCTACGCCGCAACGTCGGTTTCCTATGGGAACGCGTGAGCGAGGATGGTAGGCATTGCATACGCAGTGGGACCTCTGGTACTTACCCGCGACGAAGTCGCTTGCCGTGGATCACAAAGAATCGATGCCCGCGGGCGCGGGGAATTTGCGCGGATATGAACTAATACTTATGAGAGGCCGGGCACCCGCACACTCGTGAACTGTGATCGAACTCGGATCAGATTCAGACACCTAGCGCTGGAGATTATAACGAAGACGGCACCAATTGACACGATAATGGTTAGGAGAACGAGGTATTCGATCCTTCGGACAGAAGCGGGAACGTGGATTAGTGCGCACTGCACGGTGAACGAGTCGATCCAAAGTTGATCAGATAAATTACTACTGCTGGCATCGCGGGGTCGGTATAAGGGAGTAGTAAACGTTGAGAAAGCCGCTGGCCAGCTGCAGTGCTAAGTCCTGGAAAAGGCTCCTAGCTCAATTTGAGCCGGGTCTTTCCATGTAAATTTCCACCAATTAGAATTGTTCAGCCCTCACAAGCGAGCGTCAACGTAAAACTTACTATACTGTACTAGTAACTTGGCTTGTTCAACTCTTCAAACACTGAGAACCAAACCTTGCGGAGTCATTTGGACGGACCAGAATGAGCTGTCCATAGGTACCCGTTGGGAAGAGTTCGAGGAAGGATGCGACCTTATTTGGGAGAACGATGCCCCCCGAAACGGTCCATTTTGCAGTGTATCTCAGGCCAATCTCACTTGGCTCCACCTCCAGATCTCTCCATATCTCGGTCAACGGCGCTGATGGGCCACCATATCAATACACGTAGAGAGAGTCCTGAAACGAAAAGGCCGCTGGTCAGATATCCAATTCTTTTCTTTTCTTTATGTTTCCTTGCTTGTGACGCTATTTCCAGGAACTACAAGCTTGTCGGCGTTCTCGTAATGATGTGGTCATTAGTACGGACTCCCACCACAGCCGGGAAGAGATGCGAAGTACGCGGCGATCACACATTGTACGTCGATTTATCACCTTTAAGTATCTGTCCATTGGCGCCGATATCTGAGATGAAACACTCAAATACCCTTCTGCGATTCTCGAGCACCCACCCGAACACCCAACATGCTAGCTCAACGCATGCTCGCAGGTCCTTCCGCTTCTCTTTGTTCTTTGTCTCCCTTTGAGCTGCTTGATACTCCCATACTCGAACGTATCGCATTCTACTTGGCAACAGCTCGGTTCATTGGACCAATATCGGAATTGGTCCCTCTCTTGTGCACTTCTCGCACTATCAACTCGTCACTCAGTTCTCGCAGTAATAGTCATTTATATTCTCAAATCTTTTGTCAAAAGTTCGATTCAGCTGCAGTATTACGTCGCCTGTCATGGGGACGCACTACTGTTGAACGCATGTCTGAGGAGCTTCGCAAGCGCAGTACCATATTAACTCGTATGCGTCATTGGAACGCGGAACATTTTGCCTATCTTCAGGAGGACCTTTGGGCGGTCTATCTCATGATGCTCGAAAATGATGGTAAAAATATGGCTCAGCTGTGTATCTGGGCAGAGCTTCCGATGTGGATAGCGGATGTCATTGAAGATAAATGTCAAGTTCCTCGAGAGCATCCGCTCTCATGGGTTAACGATATCGAAGGCACCTCATTGGTCCTTTGGCTCCTGTGGATGAGCAGCAGCAAAGGTCAGCTGCTGGCATGCCAACCCTTATGTATGTTTTGACATTTCCATCAGGGAGCGTCAAGAATGAAGACCCTAGGGTACGCAATAAAATATTAACTAGGCTTGAGCCTTTCCTTGTCCAAGGACATCGAGTGCGTATCACAATTCATTAATCGTCCCTGAGTGCCCACATGTAACATTACGTGCAGTTCTCATCTGCGTACGCTCCCGATGCGTTCTTCTATCTGCCTCTTTGTGCAGAAACCGAGGCTGCAATCCCATGTACGACAGGTCTGCCGCTTCCCATCGCCCGCGATTTTGTGCACTATGGTCGAAAAATTAGGCTCGCTGCACCGCCTTTGATACCAGCTGCCCTCCTGAACTATGTAGTCAGGTTGGAGGTGCGTTTAGATGATAATCCATTGCCGTCCGCAGTGGCGCAACTTCCCGAGACGAGGGCGCAAGCTACTGCAATGGGATTGTCTCTTCCACGGCTCACACAGGAAGACGTTGTAGATTTCCACTTTCACACCCGCACAATTTTTTTCGGGGACTATAACGGCCTTGGTAGCGAGCGCCTTGATAGTGAATGGTTTCGAATTGTATCATGCCATGATCCGTGGGCTGTGGATCGGCCACTTCGAGGAGTCTTCTACCATCTTGGGTCATTAACTGGACACTGGAATGGTCGCGCTTTGGTACGTTCTTTCACGTATTATCGCCCTGAAAGTTAATCAATCCCTGTTGAAGATTCCGTATATGCAGGCTCACATTGACGCTAACATGCCTAATCGACGACCCTCAATACATGGCATGACTTTAGCACACGAGCGTATATCTTGTGTGTTCAAGGAACATCATTGTTTAATCCCCGACGAACCCATTTCTGCACCTGTCGAAGCTCATGGGTGGGGCGAGGATATCCTCAACGCTTGGTTGCCTCGTCGGCTGGAAATCAAACATGGAGTTGTGAGTTTTTTCTGTGTTTAGTCGTGCGCAGCATTAAAAATATAATAAATAGGATAGCTTGACACTGCATGATCCGGAGGCTGGGAGGACCGTACGCTATGAAACATATCATGCTGATCGCGAAAACCCTTACTCCAGACCGTTCAAGAAGAACTCCGAATGGCATCGTGATTCAATGGTTGTAGGCGAGGATTCACAGGACGAACTGGACGATGATTATGAGGAGGTCTGTGAGGAAAGATCTAGTGGCGTTACTGACATTATCATCACGGGAGAGGTCAGACCTCCTTTCACCTCGAGGTGATGGAACCTGACAAATCCGTGAATTTTTTGCAGACGTACGATCGCGAGAGCCCAGCGTGGGGTTCTTTCTCCTTCATTGGCCGAGTAAGACCATGGGATGGCTTCGTTGTTCTGCTGCGGCGGCCAGTACGTGAAAGAAGGCCTGATTTGCGTCATTCATTTCAACTGATTCTTTGAACCAGACACATGCTGCCCATGCGTACCACGGCCGCTGGATATTCAAAGGTTACATACATGAGCGCAGTCTTGTTGGGCGCTGGCGTGAAACTGGCACCCCAGTCGACCAACTAGGCTATGAGGGTGGATTTGTTCTTTGCAAGGTGGATGAAACCTTCATGGATGTGGTTTGAGTTTGCGATGACTCGGATGACTTCGCCCTGCGGCATCTGGGGTGTGTTGTATTATGATCTTCATGTAGCCATATGCTGTACATCGTCACCTAATTGTATTGCCTAGCATGCATTGTATCAGGATAGATGAACGCCGTCGTGGCTAACCATTCATTTCTGACTACTATCCCAAGTCATAATTCCTTTAATGGATCACTTAATACATATCGGATGCAATGCATTTATCGTGGTATTCTGACACCACAAACATAAGCACCACAAGCGAGGACTCAAGCTGATCCTGTTCGTCTCTCGATAAACCCTCTGACGTTAGCATGGCCCTCCAGAGTACCAAAGAAGCACCGCTTGGCCGCGTTCTCCCAAAGCACAACATCCAACTGTTTTGCATACGCTAGCACGTATTCATAATCGGCTTGCGACGCGAAGTCTTTGTAAAGATAACCTTAATTTGTGTTTCAGCTGGCGTGAGAAGAGTAGCAGAAAGACGATCCTTACCTTCTGCAGATTTCAGCCGGTTCCTCTCAAGCTCCCAGAGCCTAATCTGGTCCTGTACAGTCACAGGCAAAAGGGGGTTCTATTCAGGGGCGGTGAGCAACGAAACCGCCCTGTGAGGATGGTTAAATAGATACTCACGTTCTTGCGCATCTGTGGATGTGCATGCGTTGTTAGGTAGCTAATGATCTGTCGACGGCGATCAGGCTCGTTACCCAAACTCGACTACAATCAGAAGAGAACACACCTGGTCAGCCGAGATTCCGTTGCCCAGTGCCTTGCGTACACTTTCACGCGTGAGCATTCCCACAACCAAGTTCGGAAAACGGTATTTCATCGTGATGAACAAATTGAGGACAGCCGTCTGCAAGGGGTTGTCTTCCAGCCGCCGGAGACATGTAAACTCAAGTGCAAACATTCAAAAAAATAACATACCTGTATACGCATAAATCCGATAGTTGGTTTCTAAAACAATGAAGCCTTGTTGCGCGGCCCCTGAACTTAGAGCGATCGTCCCTGTACCGTCCGCCGTGCGGGAGCCACCGGTAGAATGCGAGCTCGGTAAGGGAGGTGATGACGAAGTCAAAGTTGTTGCCAATCGTGTGGGACTGAAACGTTTTGATGAAGTCTGTAGGCAGTGGAGCACATTTCGTGAAATGTGCCAAAGATGGTAAAACTAGACGGCTCCATACCTTGCGCTGCCACACAAGCCCATAGTCTCGAAGGTCTTCAAGCATTGCCTTCTGTGTTTCACTCAAGGGTTCTGTCGAATATTCCTGATACCAAATGAACGGCGCCCCATCAGCTAATTGGCGCGACCACATTATATTTGCCTCACCCGACCTAGATCCATGGTCGACAGCATAAATAGAAAGCTAAGCACTTCCACGAGGTCCATTTGCCTCTCCTGGAGATAAGTCAGCGTCACCGAACACAACGCCTCCTATCAGCTGGGAGCGCACCTCTGCCATGTGCAAATATTGTAACAGCAAATTCCAAAGTTGGTCATGAGGTGAGTGGAGGAGGAACTGGAACCCCGATGAAGTAATTTGTAGAGCTGGACCACTATTGATAAAGAGTAAGCACACGGAAAAAAATCTTCACACAGAATACACCCACTGAGCGGTGTTCATCAAACAACTCCGTTGAAGCAAGTACAAAACTCCTTGGGAAGGTTTGGTAGGATTTTGACCTTGACCAGACGACACCATGTAGTGAAGGATAGTCTACGAAGTTGTTAGATTACTTTTCACTAGTCGGTCACTAGCTCACCTCCCATCGTTCGAGCGCGTATGCGTCTAAGTTTTCAATGTTCGCTGACTGTCGTTTGCCGTCCTTCTCGGCAGGGACTCCAAAACTTCCCGTATTACCTCTTCAAAAATTTATTGGCATGATGATTGTGCTTCATTTATAATTCCAACGCACCCTCCTGTAATAGCTTGCCTCAAGCTAGATTTGAAAGTAGGGTTTAGCGCTAGTTTAACAGCTGAGTTTTGGGCAATGTGGAGTCCAGTCATGACAGCAAGGGCAGAATCGTACGCGCTGGGTGCATGCTCATGAGTATGAAGCGTTCGCAGCCCATAAAAACGCACTTCTTTCCCTCAGGAAGGACCCAAGCAGACATTGTCGCTGCAGAGAGGGCACTTTCCAGCCAGAGTAGGTTCATTATGAGCTGCCGCTCAATTGGCCCGAGCAACCTAGAAAAGACGTCAGCTTAAGCATACACACAATACAAAGATCCATCACCTAAATATTGAAAGACATGACGATGGTCGCTGATAGAGGCGAGTTAACGTGGTTTGTGACTGGGATTGAAGAAACGGAAGGAGTGGATGAGGCGCATGTTGAGGCTCGATCACATCTGTGCTTTGCAGCGACTGGACAGGCATCCTCAATTATATTCTATCTCGGGGTCATGGAGGACCAAGCTTAAGCTCAAGGAAGGTGTCACCGTTGCAGCCGGCAGCGATGAACGGCGAGCATAACGAGAACGAATTTAGGGTTAGGGTCATGTCACGGTGGCGGTTCCCACATTAATCGACACTGGTTGCTCAGTGACTCACTCAGTGAGTCACCTAGAGGTCACCGGGCTCAGTCAATTTCGTCATGTAGAGCCTCGGACTTGAATGGTCGACCACTCGTCTGAATACCCAAACCTTGATACCCTCATCCTCCGGCCTAACTCATGCATTGTGCACTTCTTGCCTCCGATGTTGAAAGCACTCGAAGCCCCTTCCCTTCGTCAGTAGGAGCTCGTTGGACCGGGCACGGGCTGTAAGAGAAACCCGAATACCAGAGGCCGCCAGACCTCTAAGGCGGGAGGCGACGGCTCATCTAACATCGAGGACCGACTATGCACGGCAACCCCATTTCGCCAGGACCCTTGGCACTCTTACCGACCTTAGTATATACATCGTCTTCCCTGCTCACAATGCAGAGGGCCTAATTGAATGGCTTGCTGTAATTGCCTCTTGTTGAGATCGTTCGTCTGCAGAATGCTTCGGACCCAGACACCATCACCTTGTTTGTCAAGTCGATTCTGGGTGCTTGGCGGCCCTGTGCTACATTGGTGGCATTAGGATACGAAAATACATCGTGGGCACACCTCCAGCACTTAACGCTAATCTCGCCATCATCTGAATTGGTTACAGGCGCTGTTGCAGTTGCTTCTAAGCGGAGCCAGAACATGGAAAGAATAATTCATACTAATGAGCAATCAGCGATCACCCCCGCTGTCCCCAATGATTTTACAACCAAGTTAATTTGAAACAAGACCTCTGCGATCACAACCCAGACTGAACCTATCTCCTATAGCTCGCTATCAGTTTCCATCCAAACGACACGGTTGCGAATGAGTAGCAGTAGTGGCAGCCTTGACCTTGGAGTTATCTATGCAATATCGTGCTAGCAACCAAGCATACGATCAATTCAGTTCGACTGTCACTCCGATCAAATATTACTGCAGCCCGAAGCCTATCAATAGTACTAGCGTGAGCGCTTGAACCTTGGCTGACATCGTATTAGGCAGTACTACTGCATGCCAGCGTTCAATACGACTTCGAGGAATTCCCCAGGAACTGCTATCAACCCACCACCATTTATTCTATAGGACATCTGTTCCCTGCATATAACACTTCACCTCTCAACTAAGCACCTTAAAAACTGATGGGCCTGTATTGCAAATAATCATCTGACAAGTATCTGTGATATTCCATCATGCTGGTACTGTCACAAATGAGGCGTAGGTATTTGTTAATCCCGAAGTGCAATCAAAGGGCGTTTAGAAAGGACAGCTTGAATTAGCTGTATGTCTCATATGGTGTACCTTGCAGGTTCATTAGTCAAGGGTGCGTTGAGGATGAATTATGCAACCCACCTGAAAAGCGGACTGGCATCGCCCATGTCCTTGAATTCGTATCCTCTGTCCTCTGTGATATTTTCTGCCAGACACAGTGCTTCTTTCTTTTTGTTCAGCCGATTATAGTCCAACATAGCGAAGACGCTCATTATGATTCTGTTACAAAAGTATGTTATCATGTTGCAGTTCGGAAGACTGATGAAACATACGATAGAGAAAGGAATCCCATGATGGTGCCATGCCCTATGTGGAAACGTGGCGGATCCATATAAATGAAGGAGGAGCAAACACTAAGAAACCCATGAGCGAACAGACATCGTGTATTTATGATACTATGACGCACCCTCCAAGGTTACTAACGCCAATGACCATCGCTAGTACAACTCCACGTTTTAAATCGCCTCCTGCATTCGAGCCTGCCCAAGCAAGAACCACTGCAACGGTTGGAAAATTTCCCGCAGCAGCCAGACAAGCTCCAGCGTACGACGGGCCCGCCCGTACGCTGCAATATAGTAGGATATATCCCACAAGAGATACAAGAGCGCCGCCAATGATATACGGGCCACGAAGATTGTGCTTGTCAGAATAGATGCCAACTATGATTGTTCCAATAGCGCCAGCAACAAATGGTGGAACTACGAGCAGCTGGGCATTCGCAGCAGAGTAGCCAAGCTCGTTGATGATGGTTGGTGCAAAGAGCGAAATGGCATAACCAGGGACGAGCAACCTAATGAAGAACTCAGTTCATGTACGCGATATGACAGGAGGAGTGAGTACCCCATATAAATGAGCATTTGGACGTAAGTCTTGCAATCTTTTACAGCTTGCCAGACGAATTGAGTATCGAATTGAGTGGAAAGATCATTCGCATCCTGTTTGAGCATATTCATAATGTATAGTCTCTCTGGTTCGGTCAAAAACTTGGCCGTTTCAGGATACTAAGTAGTCGAAATAAACAAGTGACATACAACATAATTGTGAACTCACATCTTCCATATAGAAAAAAGAGAAACACGCGACGAGGACAGTGACTAGTTGGGCTCTAAGGTGAGCATCCAAATCGCCTCAGAACTGGCACGACTGACCAATGCCTTCCAAGCAGAACTAGCAGAGACCATGATTTAGTAAATTCTCAGTTTGAAAAAAATGCAAACATGCAATCCATTGCCAACCATGCAATCCTCCGACCCTAATTAGCAAATCAGTGGTGGTTGACAAGGAAAGCAACAACTCGCTGGTTTACCCTTCCATCCTCTCAATGCCATACCTGTATGCATGGCATGTGAAGGTAAATGGCAGGTCAATGGGACAACAAAGCGACTTACGCAAGGAGTCCGCCGAAGGCGACTATAATCAAAGATAAGTTTAACAAATATAAATTCGGGCACATATAATATTGCATACCTGCGACTGATGCTGCGGAGAAGAATATGGCAATGCGCTTGGACCGTTCTGAACGTGGATACCAGAGGCAGATGTAGTAATTTACTCCGGGAAATAATCCTGCTTCTGTCAAACCAAGAAACGCTCGAGCTCTGCCGTTATGGTGTTATAGTGATTGGCTCCACTATGCAGACACGCTTCACGCACACAACGAGTGATTGGTATGATTTGACGAGACACATAAGGGTCATCACAACACCCCACGCGACCATGATAGATGGTACTGAATCAATATTAGTTGGCGAGGAAAACAAGACAAAGGTAAGCTTACTCCAGCGCGATGGTCTGAATAGCTTGAGCGCGATGTTCCTATAAAAATATTGAATACACACTCGCTACTCTTGATGTTACACAAACGAGGGGACCTCAGCAAAGCTGTATGGGATCTAAAGTAACTCAGCACCTGGTGGAACATGCGTAATACATGACGCACAAAAAAGACGGCTGCAGCAATGTTATACTTGAAGCCGGTCAATTTCAGGTCTGTGGCCATTCCAGCAACCGTCGCGTTTCCTGATGTCATGGGCTCAACCGCGATCGGCAGGAATTATGCGGTTTATGTTCCAACTTACCAATATTGGCCTTGTCTCTGAAGGCAGCGTATAATGTGAAGCAGCATCAGACAGCACGGGCATTCAGCAGACTCACAAGAACGACAACAAGAAAAATATTGTCACGAAAGGTAATAGGTGCCAATCGATCCTGCGCAGAATGCGCGCTCGTTCTCTCGGATTCAGGACAATCTGCTTTTCGGAGTTCGGCTCAATGCTATGATCGTATAACGAACCCATGGTGTCCGCGATAGTACAGTTTGAGAGGAGAGACTGGTTGGGTGAGCGCCTTATCGTCCAGAGACAACGGGTATTAATATCATAAATGTCCTGAGCGCCAGTGGCCCAGTCACTTACCACCTTTGAAACCAATTTACCAAACGAGTAGGTGGACGATCGAATGCGGTGCCAACACCTTGGTCGCCATGATAGTGTGATACATCACACCTACTTAAAGTCTTGTTAGAGCACACCATCCGCACAGGCAACATCCCGCAGCATCTGGAACCTGGACTGCACTTGAAAGGGATATAGAGTGTGGAACACTCTACCTAGTGAGGCCTAGTTCACTGATTGCAGGACCCAAAATGTTCAAACAACGACGGAGTGATACCGTGGCGTTGCGCCCGTGTTCTCTGAAGTAAATGACATACACTGAATAGGCTGATGCCATTGTATCGCTCCATAACACAGTACTTACTAGCTAGATACTATGCGGTGCGTGTCCGCGCTTTTCGTTTCAACCGCACTATGGAATTCCTTGTGAATCATCCAAGTTTTTTTAACCACACACGAATCCGATTTTAGATGAGCGATAAATAACTTGAACTTGGCGCTGATCTCGGAGCATGGATCACATCATTCCACTGTTCCAGCGCAGCAAATACCGGGCGCATGATGCGCGCATCAGTGCCATGTGGTTCAAGCATGAAGGGATCAGAGATGTTGCGAAGTCGACAGTGGAAAGGGCAATGCCAGGCGGCATGTCAGGAAATTTTTCGTCAGAATTAAGCCTCTCAGACCCCCAGGCGAGGGGTGGAGTAGCAAGCTTAGTCAGCTACTCAACGTTCGTAGATGCTCCGCTCGATGAGTCTCGCGATGATGGTGTAGTCTAGCAGCAACCACGCCTACACTATGAACACGAGTGTACTTATCGATCGTCCTCTCCCATTTAATATCTACGTCTCAGTGGATGATGATTCACGAACCCAGACGCTGTGCACAGTGCACTTTCAGTTCAGAATTATCGTGCAGTTTGTTTATCATGCATACCTCCGACGCATACCTGTTCTACCTCCTTCCAAACCTTCGCAATTCTGGGCCATTCCAATTGCTTGAGCGCTGGTATCAATACATGGACATTGTGGTCATAGGCGTACATTTTTGTCCACCGCCACAGCCCGCCACAGTCGAACCGTTGCTCATGATGATGCTCGACATTGAAAATCCCCCGCTCCCAGAAAACTTCCCCATACCCGGGCCTGACATACACCAAAACATCGAATTTGACAACAGGGCCGTCTGCGTCTTTGCACGCGTTATTGGTATCAGCCCCAGACCTTACCTGTTCTCCACATGGCGATTCAGTCAGAGAGGGACTCGAAGGGGCTATCCCTCGTCTGGGTGCCCCAAACTCTAATCCTCATCCTCCGGCCCAGCTCATGCATTGTCCAGTTCTTGCTTCTGATGTTGAAAGCACTCGAAGCGCTTATCCTTCGTCACTACGAGCTCGTCCTCCCGTGATCCTGCTCACAGGGTCAGCGGACAGCAGAGGAACTGTTTGAGTAAATGGTTTACCGCAATCGCCTCTCGTTGAGATCGTTCGCCTACAGAACGTTTCGGACCCAGACACCATCACCTCGTCTATCAAGGCATTTGCAGGCGCTTCGTGCATGGCACTCGGCGGCCGTGATATTGCCTTCGTTTCCTGTGCCTTTCGGAGTGTATCTGGTGCCATATGAGACGAAAATACTTTATTGGCGCAGCTCCAGCATCTGACGCTCAGATCTCTCCATCGCTTGAATCGTTGAGAGTTGTATGCAGCTGGCTCCAAGAACACGAAAGAATAAATTCACAATGTATCGATTGAAGAGTCTAATAAAGTGTCTCCAAGCTTCTTGAAATATTATCAGAAATTGCAATCGCTTGTTTGTGAATGAAAAATACGTAGCGGCAGCCTTAAGAGTCGATAGAGGGCCCAGGCAACATTTGGTGCAAGATCCGGTTCGAAAAGCAGCCGTCATTTATGCGGCGCTGTGAGCACTGAGCCTGAGGCCTAGTGAACCTCGACTAGCATCGTATCAGGCAGCAGCTACTTCCAACCCATCGCCCTTTAATCTAGACGCTTGTTCCCTCCATACACATAAAACACCTCCCAACTTGATTTTTGGCAAGTCACTTACAAATTGGATCATTCACATTCACAATTATACGCAGCGCACGCCGGATCATGGTGCTTAGTACTGCTCGAGAATTGGCGAACAGTGGTTTCTCCCATAACATGGTTCCTGAAGAATTGCTTTCGACCCTTCGACAAGAAGTTTGTGCGTTAGAAAGTAGAAGGAAAGACCTGTTGGCCCGCCTTGAAGAAACGACCACGTCGCTCGTCGAAGTTCAATCACTTTTGACAAGAAAAACGGTGCAAGCACATACAATTCAAAACCTTCTTGCACCCGTGTCTCGTCTTCCAGATGAGGTCCTGTTGGCTATATTCGAAGAAGCAGTGCGAACTCAGGAGCAAGGACAAATCACACGGACGGAGATAGCCATATCCTGCACTTCGCATCACTGGAGACAGATTGCGGTCAATGCCCCTCGGTTGTGGAACAGCCTCTGTATCAGGGCAGAGGTTCCTGTCGCTGTTTCACAAATCTACATTTCCCGCTCCGCGAGCATTCCTCTTACAGTCGAATTCCGTGAACGTGAAGCCGCTTGGCCCGGCGCAGATAAACGTAGCATGGCACATCTTGGTTGTGCTCTTGATGCAATAATGCCTTCGGTCCCTCGTTGGCGGCGTATAGTCGTTCTGCACAGATCTTACCCGTACTTTACGCATGTCTTTCGGGAACTTCGAAAGGCACCCCCCTTGAAGATGCTTCAGAGCATTTCTATGAGATCACCGGGCGTATGCGGACCATGTCCGCTGTTGCTTGGTGAATCGGCTCCAGCCTTGGAGTCACTTGAAGTTGAAGACATGCCCCTTCCACCCCCAGTCACGCAGACTTTTGATGCTGCCCGTTACAGCGTTGCAGGGCTGACCACGTTGCGGTTGCGTGTGCGTGGTATGGGAGCTGGAAGCTCCCATGCAGCAACCGATCCCTCTGCTTTCAGAGCATTGATAGGTTCAGCCCCGATGTTAAGCACCCTGGAAATCTATGGACAACCCATAAACTTTGGCCAGGAGAGAGTCAATGACGAAGACATTCTTCCCCTGGAGATTCCTCGTCTGCGCACTCTGGTCCTTCATCCAAACACGCAGTATCCTCGCGATTTGCGTCACTTTATCTCGGTGATCAAAGCACCAACTCTCCGTCACTTTGAGCTAGTCTATCCTGACAACGCTCCGCCTGGACAAGATGTATCCGATCTTCTATTTGACCCTTTCCCACTAACCAGATTTCCTTGTGTGGAGACTGTGCGTCTTCATAAAGCAGTTAACGCGGACACAATCTCGGCATTTATGAGTGCGTTCCCGGTCGCGACTCGCATCAAACTCGGCAATTCGGATGCTAGCTGGCTTTTCGGAGACCTAACTTCTAATAACACGCGCAGTTCGCGGACCTCATCGCATATCCAGCACCTCACTGTCATTTCTCCACTTCACAACACATTGCTACAGATGTACAAGTGGCTTCTCGGTGCGACTAGCCAAGCCCATCGGTTACCGATAATAACACTAGAAGGGCCCATCCGTGTTCTCGACTGCCCTGAATTTCTTACCCAATTTTCGAAACTTGCGAGCTGCACGGAAGTACGGCTATGCGGCGTTGACCTCTCCACGTTGGGGTAGATCGCTTGGCGCACGCGTCTATCATATAATTAGTTAGTTAGAGGTATGTATGCGCCTTGGCCATTCAGTGATACTGATCATGTACATATCTGTCTGCAGCCTGTTCCCCAAGTCGTAGCCCTACGCTGTGAATACAATAATACACGAGCAGCTTGATATTCAAGCGGTGTAATTCCTTTCCAGCCTCAAGTGTGCAAGATTGAATGTATTTTCGGACCATCCCTCCCATGTTCAGCTGTTGATTTTTACTTCATGGACTCCTTAACATGTCATCTTTGATACTCTAGGGAATCATTGCCACCGTCAGATTTCGCATTCTACATACTTGGATAGGCTGGAAAACCCGCGTTTTCATAGAATGCCTGCCATCCGCCTGCTGAGGGACTGTGAATGCGAGTCTAGGTGATCGTGGCGTTTGTTCCATCGGACAATTTCGGCTCAGGATATGAACACGAGCTAGCTTCACAGCAAGAATAATGATGAAAGCCGCGAGTTAGGCTCGTTGCTTGTGGACTTTCAGTGACACGCAGAGACACACTCGCGTAACTTGCCGAGCAGGCTGTTGGATAAAAGGTTCGAATGATGATGATATAGAAGTGAACGATTCAGAAGAACAACAGGTGAGCCCCCTTAATCATTGTTACTGTGGTTGCTATCGGTACTCAAAAGGCATTGGTTCCGGTCAGTATGTCCGACAACGGCCTGCTGCGCTCTTTTACCATGTCAAGACCTTCGCAAAGACCCTGCCAACCCAGTGTTGGCAAAGAGCTTTTTGAAGTGCTGCAATCAGAGGCAGCCCACCTTGAAAGGAAGGAGCTAGAACTCACATCACAAATCGGGGCTCTTTCAGAGGTTTTGGTCTCTGTTCGTAGCGCGCTGTCTGCAATACGCACTCGGGCAAGCGAATGCATAAAGCGCATTTCTCCGGCTACTCGCCTTCCCGATGAGACTTTGCTTGCAATTTTCGAGGAAGCAGTTTTGAGCCAGGACGTGTGCTCACGGAGAAGGGTTGAAAGCGCGATATCATGCGTGTCGCATCGCTGGCAAAGGATAGCTCTGCACACACCCCGGCTGTGGACCCGGGTCTGTGTCACCCCTGACACAGACGAGTGTGGCATGAAACTACACCTCTTGCGATCCGCTGCACTTCCTCTTGATGTGGAAGTCTGGGGATGGTGGGATTACCGGGATTCGTTCACCAGGCCTCATCATTTCGAACATACCCTAGCTGCAGTCCTCCCGTCCGCGTCTCGCTGGCGTCGTATCAAAATAGGCGCATCCTGCGACACCATTCTCACGAGTCTTTCCTTTATTCTGCGTGCCTCCGGGCCTTTCGACGCACTTCAGCAAGTTGTCTTCAAAGCCCAGCAGCCCGGGCAGATATGTCCCACGACTCTCCTTATGGGAAAATTAGCACCCAACCTTCGGTCCATTGATGTCGAAAACCTAGTTCTGACAGCGCGCTCCCCTTGTTTGCACCGTGATGATGATTTTAGCTGCTTCATGGGCGTAACCCATCTTACTCTTCGACTCCATGAAGGAGATGCGAGGGCTCTAAAGACGATTACGGAACTTCAAGGCTTCCGTGCATTGCTTTTGCGAATGTCCAATTTAACCTCCCTTTCTCTCTACGGAGAACTCATTCATGTCACAAACCTCGAGGACGAGGGCAACATCACAGTGCCTCGTTTACAGACCTTGATTCTTCATCCTAGTACTATCCGGCCTCGCTATTTGCGGAACCTCGTTGCGATGATCAATGCCCCAGATTTACGACACTTTGAGCTTGTCTACCCAGACAGCTTTACTCAAGGCCAGGACATCTCTGATCTACTTCTCAATAAGGGATGTGAACAACCCACACCAAGATTCCCTGTAGTTGAACGTCTCGTATTAAACAATGCCGCCAGTATCACTGCGGCTGCCGCGTTCATCCAGGCTTTCCCAGGAGTCGATCAACTGACTATTTCTGGCGCCGACGTCGGGATCTTCAATCAGCCAACCTGGGAAGCGACCGGAGGAAGTTGGAGAAACATCACAAAACTGGCATTACGCTCTTTCCAACCGGATCGCCTGACCCTTGTGGTTGATTGGCTAGATGTCATAACTAGCAATGGCGAAGCTCAAGCGCCATTGGTCCAGGGGCCAATAACCGACTGTCCCGTTATTCTGCACCTCTATGAGGAGCTTAAGCGCTACACTCAAATCGAACTGCTCGATTCAAAATAGCTCTCTGAATAGTGTCCCGAGGGGATAAGGACATACGCGTACAAGAATGCGTTTCTTTTTGGGTACATGTGATGGAACAAAGTATCGTACCTCGTTATCTAATTTTGTGGACAGGAGATATGCAACAACCGAGGGTAAACCTTGAAATCATGACGTGACGTGATTAAATCGTTATATGGTGCCGTAATTCATGCCGTTTTGTCTGGGAGTTTGGTAGCAATCTTCATAGCGAAGATGCCCATGGTGACGAAGATAGCATACACAGCATAACCGCCCATAAGGTTGTGCTGAATAGAGTATGCAAACATGGAGGTAGATGAGGCAGGGCCAATGGCTCGAACGATGGATGCTGTCATTTGCGCAAGACCATTGGTAGCTCCCAATGATCGCTTATTTGGAGCTGCTGCGGTGATGAACATCAGGATACAACCTGCAAATTCAATGAGCTACGGCAGGGGAAAGACCACTCAGAAACAACCGCACCGAATGACATATCCACGAAAATACCCAGTACCAGCGAGCACGTGAGTGAAAACCAGACAAGCCGGTTGATTCCATATTGGCATGCAATCATGTTGGTGATCGGGAATAAGGCGAAGATAGGAATAAAGCACGCTTCGCAAAACCGAAAAATGGTCTTGGGGCCGAATTTGTTTATCAACGGTGGAAAAATTATTGTCTGCACGACACCGTTGACAATACCGAAAGTTCCCATCCACAGACCAATAGTGATAGGATCAAATCCGAGGCCACCCAGTTCGATCGGCGTGGAATAAAAGAGTGGTTGAAGTGCAAACATTGCTATTTCTAGAGTAGCAATGCAACCATAGTTGATGACAGGGATCAGCACGGATGGGACGAAGAGCGAACGCATCGACACAGGTGAGTCATCGATGGCATTTTCGGGAACGTTGAGGGCTTCGCCATCAAGAGCAGACACGGATTTCTCTTGCGTCTGTTGCCTAGGCAGGGTCTGAAAAGTCACATGAGGCAAGATCTTGTCAGTGCAAAGGACACTTCGTACCTCTTTTAAGAAGAATAGAATCGTCAGGAAACATATGACCGCAAATGCTGCAGCAACAGCGCTAGGCAGGAAATAAGGAAACTGCGACCAAAATGCACCAGGGAATATGGTAGGAAAATGATGTTGAGGGTGTTCAAGAACTCCACCGATCATAGGACTTTAAAAAGTATATGTCAGCCTCTGGATTGAATGCGAGGAAAGGGTTGTTACATGCCCAATAGTAGCACCCAAGGACCACGCAACTGGCATCAGGGCGAAGCCTTGCGCTATGTTGGTGGAGTCAGTGAGTTCACCCATCATACTCTTCATGACTCCAATGTTGCCATTCAAGGCACCAGTAATGCAACGACTGTGCTTATTCAGAAGGCAAACTTAACTGCAAAAATTGTTCCTCACCTAATAATCAGCCCCAACAATGTCCTGGATAACCCAAAACAAAGCATTGACAGGGAGAGCCCAAAGATTCCTAACAAGAGAACAGGTTTGCGTCCAATACGGTCCGAAGTACGGCTCCATTGCAAAACGGTCAGTGCCTGAGTGGCAAAAAAGAGTGACTCCTATCATGGATTTGATAAGGTTTGAGTGGAACGCGGAGATGCTATGACAGGCGCAACTTACGATCAGCCCCGCATAATACCCTAAACGATCAAAAGAGCGCATCAGATGATTGGATTGTTACGTGTAAAAGGTTATTACCCACCAACTTTTCGCTCATCGCCGCCAGTGATGTCCAACTCACTGACAAGCTAAATGTAACATTGAAAAGTGTGATTTCGACGTGGCAAAGGATACTGACCTGATTGATGTAGGGATAGATAGATTGAGCTGCAATTGGCTCAACCAGCAGTGCCAGCAACAAAATTGAAATCTGAAGCTTTGGCAAGGGAGTGGCCTTCTTCTGGCCTTGCTGTCCTGCGTCGAGAAGAGCAGTGCGCTCATTGACATCGATGCCAGAATCTGAAGGCCCTGTAGAAGAAGACATCCTCAACAAGTGACAGGCAAGGTTAAAGGAACTGGTTGGCGATCCCAGTTATATATACGCCGGCTAGTCGAGCGGCCAGAAGGTGACATAAAGAAGTCAACCTGGGAGATGCTGGATAATCAGGAAGGCGTTTCGATTCACAAACCCAGGGGAGCTTGCCCGTGGAGTAAGATCCGACAAATTTTAGAACTCCAATTGTGTACAAGTTTAGTCAAACAATTTGCTTTAAAAGATGACAACCGTTACATCATAAACTCGAACCCCTGTCACCAGACCTGGATTGAACCTGCAATGTCTAAATTTCAGATTACATGTCAAAGACGAGGTAGCAACATGAACATAAGTCAGAAAGAAGTGTATAATCAATGCCGCAGCTAAGCAACAGCTTCTAGTTGATAATTGTGATATGATTCTCATCCGCATGCTACTAGTGAGAAATAGAAGTAAGGAAGGGAGCTCACGTCGGTGACCTGAGCATCAGCTGGTAAGAAGGAAATATCAGCATTGAGTCAATAGATGCATCAGATGATAAGAATATCAGGAGGGGGTGCCCGAAATAATTGAGCTGTGGCGGGCCCTTTCGGCAGTGATAATACGAAGACCGTCGTGATGATACATCATATGTAAAGTAATGACCATCAGATAAGGCTCACCATCATGAAATCACGAAGCACGCGATCGCAGCATGAGAATGGCTTGACCGTCAACCCTGAAACGAATTTGCATCAGATACGAAATCATTAAAGGCGAGACATGAGACTCAGAACGTAAAAATACAGCCAGGAATTTACATCAATAACCCAGTGGGGTATCAGGCGGTAATTCCTTTTTGACATCCCTGCAACATGATATAAAGAGTAGTGCTTACATTAGAATCGAATCCGGCTTCATGGGGATATAGCCCTGGTCCTGGAGAGAAATGATGAGTACAGGCTTAGAAAAATCGACACAGAAGAGTAAGGGATCAGTGGATTGACAGAAAATTGAAAGCATTGGGCCTATTTATGAAGGCGCTCAGATACTCTAGTTTGAATGAAATGTTTCATCGTACAGAGACAAACCAATACGCGACACGATAGGTAATATAACTCACCTAGGCTACGCCCAGCTCGGGATGAATATCTTGATGGGAGTTCGTTATCATGATAAACAAGAGCCCTGTAAAATCATTGAGTAATAGGTACACATGAATCTGAGCGACTGGACATTCAGGGTAACTATGACAAAAAGGACACATTGTGCCATGAGACACTCGCCATGAAGTGGAAAATATCATCGTGGAAGGAGGTAGTTTAATCATAGTGAATGGTCACTAACCTTGATCATCATCCCGGAATGACTACGCCGCGAGCGTATTGAAAGGTGTTAAACCATCCTTGACGTCGTAGGTCTGGCCATGAGACTAATCTTTGACGAGGTCGACGGAAGTGAAAAAAATCATAAGGCAGTGTTTGCCCGTCGATTCCAAATTTTCAACTGATTGGTTTAGGGCAAGTTAATTCGCATTTTAGGCGAGTCTTCAAACTTCAAGCGGCAATTCCCGGCCTAGGTACAGTTCGAAAGACGCAGATATTTTGACAATAACATAGCGCACGCATGAATCGTTTCATTGACTCTACAAAGTAAGTACTTATGTATTAAGTACTCTGATCCGGGACGTTGTGGAACTTCATCAATGTCACCCCATATGTATGGCTCCATGCAGATATCTGCGGTGCGTAGCCACCCGATGTCCAGAATTCTTGGTACGGCATCAATTCCCAACCTTGAGTGTGATCAGTGGGATAGATTCCCCATTTTCGAATCTAGACACGGCGCTGTGCAAACGTAAATAACTGTCAAAACATTGTGTGGGTGTACAGCGGGTCATCCTGTCTTATTCAAAGGACGTAATCGAAGGGTCAGTCAATGGTTTTCGACCCATTGGGGTTGTATAACGGGGACTACTGAAGGACCGGACATATCAGAAGTGTCTCACCCGCACTAACTGATTTCCCTGATCGTTTGATTAGGGGTGGTCGCTTCTATAGAGATAAGGCTTACTTGTTGAAGACTTCGAGTATGGAAGGGTGGTAAGTTCCGCTGCCTGTTCCATTCGATGGCTAGTAAGAATGTCCCCACCATATGGCGTAGGTAGTTAGATGGCCTTGTGCCTCGTATGTCCGAGGTCAGACGACCTGCTTGTTCTAATCGCCAGGGGAGTTATCAGAGTTTGGACCCGCCCAATTTAATCGAGATGAGCTTGGTTTAGTTTGAGTGGTCTGCACACGGTTTGAAATAATAGAGGCTTGGTCGAACACGACATCGACGGTTATGATCCTCATTACGCCATCGCTTTACAGGATGATGTTTAACATGGCGCAATGGCGACGCGATGACCATTTTCCAAGATCCGTATTGCTTGACCGATTTCAGCAAACCAACTAAATCCCTTTTCATAGCCGCCAAAACCCCGGGCAAACGGGTATTTGAGCCGGCGTGCCAGCGACGTGTATGGCAACGCCTGCACATGTAGGTGCAGGTGATGTTCTGAATTAAACGGCGGTATATGGAAGCCCATCCTTCAAAAAGATGATGTCACGATTAGTATAATTCGAGGGGGGATTGACTCACTTCCGCTTTGGCTCTGGAACATTGAACGTATCCAGAATGGAATGTCCTATTTCCTCCATTCTCCGAACTTGGCTCCAGATGAGATATTTAGCTGATGTAGCCGGTACAGAAATGCTCACGCATGTTCACATCCTTCTCGGTCAATTTCCTGATACTTTCTGATTGCAACATGAGCAAGTAAAGCGGGCAATTTCGTGAAGCTCACCAATGTGGGTCTTTGGGATGAGTTGAATATGGTGTTGCGCCGATGGACGAATGTCCCGAAAGGCAAGAAATTCCTCATCCTGGACCATCATCATGATCCACGGGTCAAGCCTAGGCTCATCAAAGTCCCAACAACTGACAAACTCGCACCTCCCATACGATATCAAATCCACTCCGGTTTGTGGAATAGGCTCCACAGAATGTACACACGACTGAGGAGTTGCGGGAAGTTTGTGGTTTTCCGATGATCCAATGAAATAGTCCTTGCAACATAGTTCTGCCAGTGGTATCGACTTGTCCGAAGAAAGAATTTCTATTTTTAGAAATAACTGTTGTTGAGTTCACCGCTTCCGAGTCCGACGCGAGCCACTTGCCAGCTGCAAGGTTCTCCAGCTCTCAAATCTCCGTGTTTATTCACCACCACACTCCCCGCATGAACTCCCAGATATTCCAGCGCCAGCTGCATTGAACCGCGTCATCTTCCCCAGCTTTCTGAAGTTTGCCGGGCATCCTGTTTATTTGCCAGTTTCAGGCATGTCTGCATCTCCAGACAGCACGCACACAGCTCTTTTCGGCGAGGAATCTACTTTCTCTGGAGAGCCACATCCTGGTATTGAACCATCTGTCTCTTCCGACGCCTCCGACAACGAAATAGACAGGTGTTCACATATCACTTCCGTCCTCGCCGATCCATCCGGGAAAGCAGGTATCATAGACAAATTTAAAACAGTCGTAGCCTGGCATGCTCGTAGGACACATGATGCTTTACACCCAGCAAAGCGAAGAAAGGTATGTGCTAGCTTATTGATGTGGAAATGCCTTGTTAAATAATATTCGACCCCCCTGTTTTACAGGTATCTTCACCGACCTGTGACACATGCAAGCAAGCACTCTCCCGACCGTTCGTCTGTCTGCACTGCTCATTTGCAGGATGCTGGTCAGAAGGTCACATCACTAACCACCTGAAAGAGGCGGGACATACGTTTTGTTCGTTTTTTGCGCCACCGCAACTTTCGCCTTGCTGACAATTCTAAATCTGCTCAATCCAGGCACTGATGCAAAATCCGGATCAGTCTTCTGTTCAGAGTGCGACGACTTTGTCTTTGATGACACCATCGACGAATTGCATCTCTCCACCGTTGTATCGGTCGAGGAGCAAAGAACGAAATTTCAAGGTAATTGGGCGTGACACATTCGCAGGATAACAGGTTTTAATTTACGTCTAGTGGCGAAGAGAGGCCGAGAGCCATATCAACCGTGGATTCCGACAAGCGACGAGTCCACTGCCCTGAAGTATATCGCCACAGTCCCCTGTCAAGGTCCACTCTCCCATTACAAGTCAGATTAAATAATTTGCTCACACCAAATAGGTCGCCGTGGGCTGCTCAATCTAGGGCAGACATGCTTTTTGAACGTCATTCTCCAGTCATTCATCCACAACCCGTTATTACGGAATTATTTCCTCAGTGATAGGCACAATAGCAGGCTGTGCAAACACTCAGACTGCACCTGTTGCGAAATGGATAACCTGTTCACGGAGGTTAGTCATAATCCGCATTGTTCCTGGCAAACTTTGATTGCTAAAGAGAGTTGAAGATATATTCCCCTACCAATACCCCATTTGGACCCACCTCTTTCCTCGCCACAACATGGAAAGTTTCTGCCGAGATGTCAGGCTATGCCCAGCAAGACGCACACGAGTTTTTCATCACCGCACTCAACCAAATTCACGGGACATGCCGTGGATCGACAAATATTTCGTGTAACTGCATCATTCATCAGACTTTCGCCGGCCAGTTCCAAAGCGATGTTACGTGTGAGAAATGCGGAACCGTGACGAGCACCATCGATCCGATGCTTGATATCAGCCTCGAGTTGAGGTCAAAGTCTGGGGAAGCGGCTGCTGACAACACGCTTGCGAGCTGTTTACGCAGGTGAGAAGGTCCATTATTATTATTGGCTTGAGTATTGACCCTTTGAAAGATATACCAAACCGGAGAAATTGGGAGCAAGAGAGTACAGTTGTAGCAAATGCACGAAAGCCTCTCACGAGGCCGTGAAGCGTCTCAGCATTCGGACATTACCACCGGTTCTCAGTTTTCAATTCAAGGTTCATTGATATACCACATGAGCGAGGTAAATTGATGCTGACATAGTTTCAAGCGATTCGAGCATAAAACGTCTGGGAAAGCTGCACCGCAAAAGATCGACGCTCCAATTCGAATTCCAGTCTCTATTAATATGGCGCCTTATACGACTCTTGCTATGAATACAACCGGAAAGGACGGTGAAACAGGGTGAGAGGTCTTTCCCAAATAAACTGCCATTGATTTTCTGATCAACTCCGTGAATAGCTACCCAGGGCCTGACGCAATGTATGAGTATGATCTATTTGCAGTTATTAACCATGAAGGGCAAATGGATAACGGGCACTACACGAATTTTGCTCGTTTTCAAGACGAGGTGAGTGAACATGGTGCAGTCGTGTTCGCATAGTTGTTGACGGTGTCCAAGTGGTACCGTTTTGACGATGAAAAGTATGTAACTTATTGTCCTCGTCCACTGCGTGATCTCACCTTTAACAGAGTGGCTCCGTCGACGCTCAGTGACTGCCTAGCCTCAAATGCTTATATGTGCTTCTACGTCAAGCGCCATCTTGACTACAAACCTCATTTGAAACCAACGTATCGGCTTGCACGTGAAAACGACATTGTCCGGGAGCAAGCGATGGAGCGAGAGAAAGAGGCAGCACGTATGAAAGAAGTGGACGATGCCCTGATGGCGATGGTCGGTGGAGACTGAAATGGCCCCTAAAATGCGAAGAGGACACAGAACGATTGTATTTATAGGAATCTAGTGGTCGTTATTAACACAAGGAAAAGAAGTTTAGTACGAGGTGAGAGTAAGGGGAGTGTAGTAATGGAACAACATGGGGAAAGGAAAACAAGTTCGTGATATGCAAGATACAAAGAAATGGGAGTACCCGATATTTCCAGAGTGAGGTCGTCGCGGATTTGAGGGGGGGAGGAAAGGAAAGGATGGTAATCAAGGAATGATATCATAAAGTTCGCCATCTCTGACCCGGATCTCTACCACTTCTACTGAGTCGTAATCAGTCATCGAAGATGTATTTGACGTCCAGGAGCTAGAAAAGCCTTTCGAGTTTGGTGGTGAGGTAGATGCAACATCTGTAAGATAAATCATGCCGACAATAAGCCTTCTGTCCAGAAAGCAGTAAATGAACACTGAATGAGAAACGCACATCTATCTTTAATGTAAGGGGGGACGAATAGATCCTGTATTTAGAAAACCGGTCAACTGAGGCTCATAAATTTTTCGATAAATGATACCGACCTGGTTCCATACAAAACCTTGGCTCTTCTGAATAGTCAAGATTGGACGAAGTGTGTACGTCGGGCGGCGCTCTCGCTTGCGATAATGCTTCTTTGTTGGCTCTTGCTCAGGGTCAAGTGCTCTTTGCTTGCCCTTCATATCCTTCTTAAACTTGGCAGCATTCTTCTCATCGTCAACTCCATGTTCACCTCGATCGATCTCCATGTTCTGCGTATCATCCTGCCTCTCAGTATTTACGGCATGATCACCGTCAGAATCACGGTCGTGATGGGCGTAGTCTTCACCGTCTTCTGAGCAGGACTCATCTTCGGAAGGACTGTCATTGTAGTCTTCATCATCATCGTCAGATGGAATTTGTTCATAGCAAGCCCAGGTTGGAGGAGAGGAAGCACGACCGATGGTACGGCGCCTGAAGTATGAGGAGTAAGGAGAGTTTGGGGTAGGTACTCCTGGACTGGTCATCGCGGTATAGGATAAAAGAATAACAGGTTGAGGTTAGTTGTATGTATGTGTAGGTTCAAAACAACGTGTGTGTGTGCTGTTCGATGATGTGAATTGGAACCAGTGCTTAAAGCAGTGTAGTGATAGCTCGAGAGTGACTACTGTGACGAACTGATATCTCCTGCATGCACATGTTCCCACAATCCCACATATAGCAACTATCTAAGTGACTCGAATTCAGTCAGGACGATCATGATCAAACCACCGCAGTCATGATCTCTCAGATATGACCCTCCCAGTGCATGATATCTGCTCGTGGCAGAGCCGTATCCATGTCCTACCCACGGCACTGTAAGATCGTGGGAGAGCGTGATACAACATTGATCGAATAAGTACAAGAGGAACAGCGCCCAATATCATATGATGGTGTAGACACCGTGTAGTAGCATGCGACATCGTGCCGCATCAGTGGAAACAGCATCACTGCAGGTATTGGAAAGATGCGAGCGCGTGCGAGGGCCAGCAGAAAAGAAGTGACTTGTCATACGGGTCTGCCATTGGGGGAGAAACCTGTGAAAGTCGAGGGGGACAGCATGTGAGCCTATTAGGCATTAGTGATGTGCGAGAAAAAGGTTTCTACGCACTATCATTGGCGGTGTCGCGGTCACCTTGTAAGTTGGCCTGCCTGGATCATGATGTGTTAGGCTGTATCGGCACTTGAAACGCGTTCGAGCTGTGGATGTCTTCACAGGGACTTGGAAGAGTCTGAAAGTCCTATTCGATTCGGCCTTATTACACTTTCAGACTTTCTGCTGCTTCGACATTCCTGGGACTGAGGGAACTGCACGGCAAAATGAAGTCACTGTTTTGGTGAGTATTATTAGGTAATGTTATGTCAGATATTACCAGATTTGGATGGATTTCGGGCAAATCACCCTTTGGTCCCAGCAAAACATTTACAGCAAGCGCAGATCATCTGTAACTTATAAGTCGTAGTAGATCACCATCGTGCTGAACTGATGGCGGGCACAAAGTTCGCATACGTGCGCAATTTCGAGCTCCCAGACCCACTGTTACCGGACACCTATCTAGTCTGTCGTCTCGATGGTCACTCTTTCCACCGGTAAGTGAGCATCGGAAGCCGATCGAAGGACACAAAGCCTAATTAATGGCATCGCGCTCTACAGGTTCTCGGACGAGCATGGATTTTCCAAGCCCAACGACGAGCGTGCGCTCCAACTCATGGATCACGCCGCAAAGAGCACGATGATCGAGTTCAAAGACATCATGCTTGCATTCGGTGAATCCGACGAATTCAGGCAAATATAACCCTTTCTCCGAGTCACGACCAGCCAGTTTCATCACTCATCATAGCTTTCTCTTCCGAAAGTCGACCAACCTTTATAACCGACGGCATTCGAAAATACTCACCATGTTGACGTCCTACTTCACATCGTGTTATGTGTTCAACTGGTCGCAGTATTTTCCAGACACACCGCTGCGATATCCACCGTCATTCGATGGGCGCATCGTCGTGTATCCGACCGAGCGTGCAATTCGAGACTACTTCTCATGGCGGCAAGCTGACAGTGGGTCTATATCAGACTATCGTTCTGCAGAGACTGAGCTCAGCTGCTTGTCAGCATAAAAGCCCACATAAATAATTTACACAATACCATATTTTGGGCTCTCATACAGAAAGGAGGTCAAACTACTACAGAGGCTCATGCCACGCTCAGAGTATCTATTTTCTTCTTCCATGGCTGTCATACAATCATTGACAAATCTTCAGGGCACCGTTTCCGCGACTAAGCACGAGATGCTGTTTTCCCGGTTCGGTATCAACTATAATGAAATCTCACAGAGGTTCAAGAAAGGCAGCGTTATAGTTCGAGAAATCGTGCGTCTAACTGGAAGGTACTACATCGACTGCTGCTCACGTTAACATATAGGTAGCTCCTAAATCATCCGACGAAGGCGAATATCTAGAATCCCCCATGCCTTTGGCTAGCTCAGGGGTCAAGGAAGAACGCGATGAGGGCCTCGAGCCCTTAGCAGCGTCTGATCTATCGACAGACATACCTTCACATCCACAATCCATAAACGAAGGTGATGAGATGCCACCTTTGGACCCTCCGCGTCAAAAACGTTCCAAGGCGAAGAAGAAAAACAAATTAGAAACTACAGTAGAGGTACTGCACTGCGACATCATCGGCGATGAGTTCTGGCTGGCCCGTCCACATTTGCTACAAAATTAAGACGGCGTCCCAGATACGTGTGCCATTGTCATTGTCAACGCTGGAGCCCAGTAAGAAAGTAGCAGCTGCTTCGAGAAACGCAGGCTACGGCCCCACGAGGGAGTAGGGCTTATCATACATCGCAGGTTTGTGGCCCTCAATTAAGTAATGTTATGTACACTCGCCAGAAAAAATTTGCTGCAACATCTTCGTCGATATCTATGACTGACATAGGCGCTTGACTTCTAGGTGTGTTTCTCTGATCGAGATGGCTGTGCAGTGTCGTCGGATTTCTTGTGTCCCACCACACCAACACTTCTCAGAAACACGAAGCCAAGAAGTGACGCTGTACTATCGATAAGGATGCGCAAATCCGGTATTTGTTTGAAATGCCTACCAAGAAGATTCCACGAAGCAGCACTCCATTGAGCAGCCTTGTATGCACTCAGATTCGCCGATGCAGGAGCATTCGTCATTTGGGAGTTCAGAGTGACTCCCAGCTGAGCGGACTCTTTCGTGACAACGCTGTCGAATACAATTGTGGATATGGTCAATCCGAACGCAGTCCCGAGCTGCAGGCAGTAGGTTAACATTGATATTAGGGAGGGAAACAAAAATATGGCCAGGCAACGCACCTGCATCATAGTCTGAAACAGAGCTCCAGCAACGCTCTGCTCGTGTTGAGATACCGTTTTCGCAATAAAGATCGTTCCAGATGCAAAAACAAAATCGGCGCCACAAACAGAAAGTATTGTCGATGGGAATCCGAAAGCCCAATATGTCACGGAGGGGTTGATGACCGCGAACAGAACACAAGAAACAGCGCTGAACAACGTTCCAAAAACTGTCGGAAAATTGTAAGACAGTCCATTTTGCAGGGTCTTTAGTATTTGACGGACCGACGAATGCAACAAGTGGAAGTCTTCCTATGAGTAATGCAACGACATAATTGCACAACACCCCCGAAATAAACATCGGTAAGAATCGGATCATGGTTAGTACTGGCGATAATAAAAGATAATTTTGGTAGTACAGCTGAGGATAGTCGAGCTTTTTAGAGCGAAAGTGCCACGAAACAGAATTTACTCACCTGAACCCAAAAGGTCCAGCTGCTGAAGCCGCACATGTTGAAGAACGCAACACATATGACCACTGCCAATTTACCCTTGGACCGAGTCCATAACGACGGTCTCATGAGCGGGGGAGGCGTCCACGCCGATCGGGGTTTGGAGGTATCATCTGCAATTTTTTCTAGGAAATGCTCCCATACAACGAAGGAGGCAACCAAGAAGATACCGACGATGAGAAGAGCGATGATATCTAGCTCTACCATCAAGATGGATTCAGTAGAAAGACAGGAACAACCTTACAAGGGGTTTTCCAGCCCTGCGGTGCGAGAGGTCCTTGGCCAAGAACAAATACGATAAACACAAGTCCGGATGTCACTAGAACTGCGCCGATCCAGTCAAGGCGCTTGTCAACCTCTGTGGATTTTTTATCGGCATCGAAGGATATCAAAGCACCGATGCAACACATCGCTGAGAATGCGGCAGCTACATAGAAAGTTGCACGCCAGTGTTGGCTATGTTCCGTCAGCTCACCAATAGTGCGATCTATAACGTAAGTATATACCTCGAAAGTTGGGTAACTGTACCACCGACTATCATTCCGAAGGCACCACCTATAGGAGCACCTGCTGCAAAAGTAGAAAAGGCAATTGACCGTGCACGAGACGGCGGAAATGCGTGTGCCAATATACCCACCTGGCGCAGGTGTGAGGGCCGTTATTGGATTCATACTATCAGTACATACCGCTGAGGGGACCGAGGCAGCTGCCCCGAGGCCTTGGAAACCTCGTAGAATGATGAGGGTCTGTCCGACTGAATTTCTCTGTAGCAAACGCATGTGTTGAATAAATTATTGCTTACCATTGACGCGGCTTCCACCAAGTGAAAATACGAGTTGAAATAAGGAGCCGAATATGAATGCCTTCTTGCGACCATACAAATCAGCGATCCGCCCGAAGAACAGGAGGAGACACCCCTTATTATCGTGCAATTGGTGAAAGGTCGATGCACATAAACGGATATACGCACTGAACTCAAAGAATATGCAGAAACCAGCCACTGGAGCTGATCTTCTTGAATCCCGATGTCTTGGCCAATAGTTGGCAGGGATATAGAAACCGACGTCATATTTGAAGTCTGATGTCATGAATGTAATAATAATTCAGGGATACGAACTTCACAGACATACCTGGAGTACCAGAGCAAAAGTACAAGTCACGACGATCAAAACAGATCGAAAAGTACTGCGCTGTGGAACTTTGGGGGTGTACTTCTCTATCCCAGTTCCATGCGGATCTTCTGGTTCTTGCTGGACCGTATCATTGGAGATGTTGAAGGGTGGCCTTTCTTCCATTAGGACTCCTCCGAAATTAATGGTGGTCTTTTGTAGAATGAGCTGTATGTGGCGACTGCGATCTCCCGCATGCCTACACTATGTTGGCACCGACCACCGCAGAAGCTGGTCTGCCGGATCAGAGCGGCTAAGTATCTATAAATAAAAACCGACAGTCGCAACATCAGTGACTGAAATATTGACGAGTGGGTATTTGATTTGTCGCGGAAGTGACCGCGGAGACGTGAAGAGAGATGAATGCAGAGCTTCTATCACCATGTAAAGGTTTGGGATTAAGGTGCGCAAAGCGACGAATGCATCGCCCGTGGATCCACTGTTTATCCCTTGGTTTGCATGGGATTTCTATGACCGAGAACAATTGCGTCAAGTTGATGTTGAGCGTCAGTTCGTGCTCATGCGCCCGACTTGTGCATTTGCCAAAACCATTGAGCCCTGTTGAGCCAGATTCGTGACATTTTACGTCTCTGCTCAATAACCAATTGAAGGGCGGTGATCGTTCATGTTAGTCTGGAACGAGAGGGATGATAAACTGCCTTCGGCAGTCGCCGAAACTGAACACTACACCTGTCACCTATAGTGTGATGCGCTTGTGATGCGCCAATGCGATGCGCGCTCCCACCACGCCTACTCGTATGCGTCGATATGCTTCGAGGTACCCACAGTCCGAGCTTATACGTGGTGCAACTTGCACGTCTTTACAAGGCGACATCGATGTTGGATGTGACTTGGAAGCTGGTGATATTATATCCCTTGATGGAAAGCCGAAGCCTCGTTGTTGAAACACGTTGAACTAGCATGGTGTTTCAAGACTAGGGACGACCGCCTACCTGTAAAAGGGAAATTCAGAACCTGCCTCCGACGCAATCCAAGATAATTGCTTGTTCAGGTCTATTTGGACATACTGTTCACACTGCCATCTTGAATTACCTTGTGAGGCATTTTCTAGAGTTCCCATGGTCAGACGCTCTCAGTGAAAGGGAGCTGACGTACTCATTTCGCACAAGGGACCTTATCCATAGGCAATCCACGACCTCGATTGCTTTCAACCATTTCACAGCAAGCGACTTTTATTACTCCCTTTGGTAATTTTCGGGGTGTAAAGGTGAAACATGTCACATCTGTCCGCCGTGCTTAAAAGGCGGGCCCGCCTACTGATATTTCCAGTGAAAAAAAGCCCACAAGGCCTCACATATCCTTTCCGTAAATCCTTGGCTATTTTTCTTAGATTTCTTAGATCTCCTTCGACCCTTGGGACCTCCCTTGACCCCTTCAAGGTACATTTGACTTATATCTCGGAAAACGCCGTTACTGATGATTTCTTCATTTTTATCATTATTTTTATTACGTCATATTCACAATCTTTGATCACGGGACCCTCCGCGTCGCGTCTTCACTCCAACATCCACATTCCGTTGTTGTCAAATTGTTTGGTTTGGTGGGTCCCGGCCGTTTTTTTTCACGATGTCCTCTACAAAGTTCCATGCCTGGCGGATCGCAATTCAACACCTGGGGCTTGGCCGGCGGTCTACCTCATCTCGGCGGTCTTTCACTCAACAATTCAGTCACGATCCCGCGCTCACATAATTTCTCGGACGGGGAGTCCGACTCTGGCACTGCCCGCGCCGGCAACCAGGTCGGAGCCACCCATTTTAGCCATGGCTCTCGAAACAGAGGTCAAGTTCTGGCCCCGGACTATTTTGATGACACTCCATATGTCCCTCCTCGGGCAGGCCAGTCCTTGCCGCAAGGATACCCAACACACGCGCCACATGCCAGTGAACACGCACACACTAGAGCTCACGGCATCCCATCTGTGAGTAACCGTATCTCCTGTACAAGCCATAGACTTAATTCCTTGTTCCTCCCACTGCAGTACCCAAGTCCCGCGGAATCTCATCTTAGCGTGGACAGCAACTGGAGCAGCTCATCATCTTCTGACCAAGACCTATCTCATTCTCAATATCAGCAATATAATACATCACTCCCCCGCCACTCATCTTCTAATGAGCCACAGCACCCACGACAGCATCTACAGCAGCATCCACACTACCCAGCTTACCAGGGCCTTAATCGCCTTGGCCTCGAGCATGCACAATACCCAGTTCACCCATCTTCCAGTGGCACCCCCATCCAATATAGATCTCCATATCAATCCGACAACATTCTTGCTCCCGAGTTCTATGACCAAATAAATCCGGATCTCGCCAATCACTTATCTCAGACACATCCCGACTCGTCGTCGGCATCACTATCTAGTTCCCATGGGTCGCTATCGACATTCTCCGTCGCTGCTACCGCTGATGAGAGGTCTAGGCACCTTCTCTTCGAAGACGCGGGTCCTTATCTGCGCGAGACGTTGCACATACCACCATACAAGGAAGTCAACTTGTCGGCCCTTCCGGATCCTCCTGAAGGGGAGAAACCAAATCAGCCATATCCTATACTTATCAAGCTAGCAATTTACGGAAGCCCGAACAAGCAGCTCACTCTCCAAGAGATATACACAACGCTCGAGGATCGTTTCCAATGGTTCAAGGTTCGACGACACGAGAAGGCTTGGAAGGTGCGTTCGCGTGCTGATTCCGCATCCACTGCGCCTCACGTTTTTGCACAGAACTCGATTCGCCATAACCTTTCCTTGAACAAAGTCTTCAAACATGTGCCACGTGCCATTACAGAGCCAGGGAAAGGAAGCTATTGGCAACTCGACTGCTCTGCCGGCGAGGGCTACAAGCGCCCTCGTAAGCGCCGCAGCAAGTCTGCTCGAGCAGCACTTGAACAGGGCGACGATGCCGATTCTTCGTCGGAAGGCGATACGGAGGGGATGAACGCACCTGCTATGTCAGCGGGTTCGAGTCACGCTCCAAATCATCCTAGCCCCGTAGCCTCATCCGATGACTCTTACATCGATCCCGAGTTGCGACCAGGAACTCACATTGTTGGCGTAGGTCGAACCCGATCTACATCGCGCAGGCCCGCCGCCACTAGTCCATATCCCGTTCCTGGTTCTTCTCAGCAGTCACCAAGGTATCAACAGACCCAGTTGCCGCCTTATGGAAGTCCAGAACCAGCCCCGAGATTCGGTCAGCCGTCATTTGGGCAGGGATCGTCATTCGGACGCCCGGGGTTCGGCCAGGCGCCAGCAGTCAGAGTTCCTGTATCCTCAGCATCTTCGTCCTCAGCATTCGTGGCGTCATCTGCCGCGACGTTTGGTCCTGCTACAGTGACATCCTCCCGTCCGCAACATGCTTTTGTGACCCAAGATCGCAATGCGCCTCTTAGGCAGCCCACTCCCAGACCGGGTGTCGAGTACATGCCTGAGGGTGTCTTGCCTAGTGCGAGACGCGCTCAAAGTTACCACCAAGGACAGTATCCGTCATCCCAGGGGTCTTCATCATCGCAACAGAGCGGCTCCAGCTACTCTTCTGAACCTAAAAGCAAGGACAGGACGATGTGAGCGCCAGTGTTTCAGACCGATGATCCCGCGCTCCTGCATGTGCGGGGGATCATCGAAAGTCTTGCGCACATATTCTTCATGCATCGGTTTCTAGTGTTTCATCAGGTCTCCCTTTAATGTGTTCTTCTCTCTTCTTTCTGCCGTCCAATGCGCTCATAATGAACTTCCTTGATGATGTTTCCTTGTTTTTCATCCGCTTGTTTTCTGCTTGTTTTCCTCTTCATTCCTGCTCGATGATGTGATATGGATTCGGAACCTCACTGCAATGTTTGTGCCTCACGTGCTCACGACCCATCTACTTACATCCCTACAATTGACTATCATCCATGCATCAATAATCACTATGGTCTGGTTCACAAAACTGTATTATTCAAGTCCCTATCATTGTTCCAAATATATATCAAACTTCATCTGGACTGGACTGATTTCGTTTGCTAAGGCTTCTCCCTCGGTAAACAGATAAGCTCGCGCATCTCCCGAGTTTCATGGTAATCCTCTATAATTCAACAGGTATATTTATAATAAACAAGTCCAATAATAGTGGATGAAACACATGAGGAAGGGGTATCAACACCACGAAGACTCCGAAAGGCCATATTAAGCACAACCAATCAGATCCGAGGACGACAGGTCTGGAAGCAGTGGGTGCACTATCGCGGGAGAATGAAACATCAATCCGTCTTTCTCGGTGTCCAATTGCCTGGACCGAATCCCCTAGGTCCCAGTGCCTCGTCGACAACATGCATCATCGCGAGGACCTTCTCGTCCTCCCATCTCTTACCGACGATCTGAACTCCAATAGGCATACCCTCCATCGCTTTAGGATCGTAAACGGGATTCTTGCCCAAGTACATGCGTGAATCGAGCATTTTCGATCGGCCCGAGGCGCCTGCCACGAAATCTGCTGGTAGCTGGTCCGTATCTGGGTTCACGCGCGTGACTGGTATGGTGCCGACGGGAGAATCAATGACGTTGAACATGATAGTCGCGGCCGCGAGCGGGGCTAGATATGTGGTACCCCTGGGAGACTGTGAGCATTGCAACCAAGTAGGAAGGCACTGAAGCTCACCCGTGAGGTATCGCTGGAAGTGACTGTACAGGTGCGATGATCCCGTCGAAATTGTATTTGTCCCACACCTGGGGTGTGTTAACGAAGGAAAATTTCTGGGTGTCGACAAGCTCACTTGTTCATACCAGGCAGCATTAACCTTATTGCGTCCGTCGGTCAGATCCGTGAATTCCAAGACAGATTTCTCTCGTGCCGCCGAGAAGAAACGTGAGAAAAGGGAGTCGCCCAAGAACGTCTTGGTGATCCAGCAAGCCAAATTACGCACGAAGGATGGTAATCTGGGGCCCAAGGTGACTAGGAACAGACTGTCCTCCTGTCAGTCGGATGATGTGAGCTACAGACGGTGCATCCTTAATTTAGACTTGCCATAGGGTCAGAATCCAGATATGACAGCATCTTCTTATAACCGTCAGATGAAGCGAGTCCGAGGAACACCTCCATCGCAGTTGTGTCTTGATCAAATGTCAGGACAAAGAATGAGGATAGGTATAAAAGCGTACGCAGAGGAGAAGCAAACTCGATGCATTCGTGTCCCTGCTTCCTGAGTGCTGAGACTGTCTCCAATACTGCTCGCTTGCATGCAGGCGATGATTCCAGCAAGCCATCTATTATCCTGTAAGCAGCAAATCACGAAGCACGACCAAAATATATCACGTGTACCTGACAGGTAATAACCAAATCGAAGCTTGGAAGAGAGCTCGACGGGTTGGTACGGCAAAGGAATATTCTGGTGAGCCGGGTCCTTTTGACCAAAGATAGTTTTGCAGAATAATTCACAGTCCTCAACAGACCTAGCAAATAGTCAAGAAATGAGCCAAGAAACGCGGGTAGCGACTAACCGCGCCAAAGGCCCAAGGCAAGATCGAATTGCTTCGTATCCAGGCCGGCAGCCTGTAAGATAAAGCAGTTAAGACGCCTCGCTTGACAGCATCGAGAGCATGTCCAACCTTGTATGCCAAAAGAACTGACGCGTTCACCCGACGGCTTCATGGAGTATATGCCGCAAAACGATGCCGGAATGCGTAAGCTTCCTCCGATATCAGAACCGATGCCGAGGGCAGATCCATCCATGGCAAGCAAAGCTCCCTCTAACACCAGACACTGTTATTTACCGGGATATGAACAAGCAGATAACAAACCTCCACCAGAACTGCCTCCAGATGTAAACTTGTTGTTCCATGGGTTCGTCGTGCGACCCCAGAGAGGATTAGAGCATTCGAACGCGAACATTGTCTGCGGTACATTAGTCTTCACGAAGATGATGGCACCAGCAGCTCTGAATTGAGTAACGACCTGAAAATAACGATGAAGGAGAGAATCGGCGAATGCTATGCTAAGAACGTACGAAAGCGTCTTTTGTGCCCGGTTTATTGGCCCACGCAGTGAACCCAATGGTCGCGTCATATCCCTCGATAGTGTCTATAACATGGTTCAGAAATGTATCGGGTGTACATGAAGCGACGTACACTGATCCTTGAAGCTGACTGGAACACCATGGAAAGGTCCCCGCAATACCTTTGTGCTCGCAAATTCTGCGTCAAGCTCCTTTGCTTGTTTGCGGGCGTCTTCATATAGAACTGTGAAAGGTATCAGGATGGAAATACCGGAAGAGAATGGTGAATCTACTCCCCTTCTGTGAGACAGTTCGTCTCGGCCTGAGCCATGGCCGATCGGGCAATGTATGCCTCTAGGACTTGAGAAGAGGTCCATTCTCCTTTAGCTATCCTTTGCACGATTTCGCTGGCTACAGAAGTCACGACGGGTATGCACCTCTGAACGGAATGCAGAACTAACCCGTTGCTTTGGTATAGACGTCATGATCGTTCACCAAATAAGGACCAGCGAAAGCGAGCGCCTTGTCTCTTGCATTCCGCTTTGATGTAATGATGCTGTTTCTTTGGTCAGAGCTTCTCATGGCTTCAAAGATTCGTTAGCTGTGGATAATGGAGTGAGGGAAAGGAATACGCAACCAGCTGGTCGAACAGCCAGCGGTTGGCATATGTCCACACTGAGGCCGACGCTACATCATTCACACAGTGCTAATTATGTGCATGTGATTCCTTTGTGTCGTCGCCTTCCAGGAGGAGCGCGTGCAATTCCTAATGCCTATTTCCATCGCAGTACTAACGTGAACACCGCGGCAACACCGCGTTATACTCATACTCATGCCACTCTTCGTTATTATTATAACTTTCACATTGCTTTCGCACCCATCTCAGACCTCCCCGGGTCTTCCGCAAATCATACTACGCACGACGAGGTCCATCAACCTTCGTTCCAAGAGCTTTGTCAACCTCTCAATCATCTCTAGACGCGTTCCCGTTGGTACAATCGAGGGGTTGATGTCGGCGTGAGCTTGAAGATTACGAGTGAGCGCGGTATTCGATAATAACGGACATGCAGAGGGATCAGTGATGAGAGGTAACCCAGGGTCGACGAGGTACTGCTTGTGTAGGTCTACAAACGAGGTAAGTTACGCTCAATGAACAAGAAACACCCAACTATCGATGTATTTCTCGCATCTGAATGGGATTTCAATGTCAATGATGCGATCCTCGGTGTAGATTACCGCTGCGAGCCGACGAAAACCAGGCATGCAGATTCCAGTTGCCTGAATCGAAAGATATCCAAGGTTGGTGAGCAGGATTATAGCTGGTATTGCATCGTCGTCGATCTTCGGATTGTGTGCAAGGCTCAGATAACGCAACTTCTCTTTGAGGGCGACCAGCAAGAACACCCTAAATCGCTCCTTGGACCTACACCAAGTGGCACCTCCACTGGGACCCCGGAAAACCTCTAGCCGACACTGCGATCGACAGCGTCAGGACCGTCCACAGGCCTCTCGCCTTAGGCGCAAACCACCAAAAACTATAATAAAGACCATAAAAAACCTAGAATCCGCCCCACTAACATGCCTGGAGGTCGAAGGAGCATCAGCGTAGGAGGAACCTCCCCACCAACTTCGCGCACAACATCCCCAACAACAACACCAACATACGGACTCAACACTCGCAAAACCACCAGAATTCCTCTCACACAAGAATCAATAGAAGCCCAATCAAACAAAGTCAAAAATGCTGCCAGCGGCAAATCTTTTCTAGAATCGAAACTCCTCTGCCACGTCAACCAACCATTTACGTTAACTCACATAATATCCATCCTTTTTCAGATCACCCAAATGTCAAGCTCCACTCCGGTCTCAGTAACAGCAGCAATCCGAGCAGTAGCGTATATCCTGAAAGACCACATAGCATGCGACATAGCGGAATCAGCATCAAAACAGATTACAGACATCTTCAAGGACAATGTCACGGCCAAACTAATCGATCACGTGGTAGCTGCAATCTCCCCGCAAATCGCACTCATACACAACGCATCTCAAGCACTCGACGAAACCTTGGAAACAGCATCCGCATTGCATAAACTGATCGAAAGAGAACATACTGAAAAGGAAGATAATATCAAAACGGCAGCTGACCGTATCGAAGAAAAAGCAGATCTACTCTACGACTCTTTCGAAAATTTCCAGACCGCCATCCAATCGCTAACTCCCTCTTTAGACGTTACCCAGGAAAAATTAGACCTCCTCTCAAAACAATATCATAACCCGCCAACCCAACAAACACCCCTCCCTGGCCCAGCTGACCGACAACTCTATAGCTCTGCAGTAGCAACGAACATCCCATCACCGGCGGACAGAGCATTAGGCCGCGAAGCAATCCGAGCACGCCAAATTTTATTAGATCCTAGTCCAGAAGAAAACCTATTCCCTGCGGACCTCCCACAAACGGAAACAGTGAAGAAACTGAAGGAAGCAATAACCAACATCGAAGACCCTAGTAAACCAGAAGGAAACCTACGATCAGTATCTCGTCTGCGAAATGGAGGTATCATAGTGGAATTAGAATCCGAAGCACTATCCAACTGGTTGAAAAGCCCCAAAGGAATGAAACTGTTATCAGACCAACTCAACAACACAGTATCGCTCCGCCCTCGTCTGTATCCAATAGTAGCTGAATACCTCCCCATTCATCTTCAGATCGAGCAGAACACCTTCCTACGCAAAGTCGAGATAGAGAACCACCTTCCGGAAAACTCAATCGAATCGGTCAAATGGATCAAACCAGTCCACCGTCGCTCCATCACCCAGAAGAAGGCTTTCGCGCTGATCCAACTAAACGACATCAAGGTCGCCAATGAGATCCTAAGGGAAGGAATCTGCATAGAGAATGAGCGCATAGAGGTGAAAAAGAACAGAAGGGAGCCGATCAGATGTGCGAAGTGCCAACGCTACGGGCACATCGCCCGCACCTGCCAAGCCACACACGATACTTGCGGTACATGCGGTAATCAGCACAGAACATCAGATTGCAACGCTTACCGGACAACTCGATGCATCAACTGCAACTCTAACCAACACACAAGTTGGAGTCGCGCCTGCCCAGAATTCCGCCGCCATTGCTCCCTCCTAGACGAGAAACACCCCGAAAACAGGATGCCTTATTTCCCGACGATGGACCCTTGGACACAAACCATCAAACCCCCGCCGCCACCACCATCCACGAGAACGCCTCCCCCGCCACCAACATCCCATCAACCACCACCACCCCCGAATCGTCCACGCAACCAACGTCAAACCACCCTCGTACTCACCTCCCAACACCGCCCTCTACCCTTGACCCTGCAGCCAACACAAAACGCTCGTTCTCAACCCCAACCACGATCCTACTCCCCATCATCATCCCTAAATAGATTCAGACCATCATCATCTCACCAACCCTCGCTCTCCCCTCAACGCCCCCAAACTCCCTCAATGCACGAAGCCCTCAACCTTCCCCCTCTCTCTTCCTGGGCCGACGAAGAACCTAGCGCATCTCAAACGCTCTCTAATGAATAGACACAATCCTCGCCCTCCCGTCAGACTCAACATATGGCAGCAAAACCTAAATACCTCGTTAATAGCGCAATCCTCCCTCCTCAACAGCCCCGAAGCCGCAAAATGGGACATCATGGTCCTCCAAGAACCCCATATCAACTTCCTACGCAACACCACGGCCAACCACCGGTGGCACGTGGTATACCCGACCCAACACTTCACCCATCCCCACCAACGCACAAGGGCAATCACACTCATTAGTACAAAACTTGACACGAACTTATGGAAACAAATCCCGTTCCCTTCCTCCGATGTATCTATAATCCAAATATCGGGCCCCTTCGGCACTTACTCGATATTCAACATATATAACGACGGTAACTCACAGAACACGCTGACTAATATTAACTCTTATTTAGAACGTAACATCAACACCATCAGACCAAACGAAGACAGTCAAATGTTATGGATGGGCGACTTCAACCGTCACCATCCATTATGGGAGGATATACGGAACAGACACTTATTTAACTATACCACCTCTCAACCGCTTATTGACATGCTAGCTAACTATGGACTACTCCAGATACTTCCCAAGGGCATTCCCACTCTCCAATCGACAAGTACAGGTAACTGGACCAGGCCCGACAACGTCTTCGGGACCGAACGATCCATCGAAGACGTCATCACCTGCAAAACGGATCCATCGCTACGCGGTCCCTGTACCGATCATGTCCCAATACTTCTATCTCTCAATCTAGAAGCCCAACGCTCGGACGCCACGCCAAGAAGGAATTGGAGGGCAGTGGACTGGGACCTCTTCAAGGAACACCTCAGCGGCCTATTATCTACCCACCCTCCCCAACCATTAGCAAGTAAGGACGAATTCCAACAGGCCGCTTACCGTCTCACCAAGGCTATCACCGACACCATCGAAAGCCACGTCCCAACGTCCAAACCGTGCCCACATTCAAAACGGTGGTGGACGCACCGACTCTCGCAACTTCGAAAACAAGTCCAACACCTCAGTCGGGCCTCATACGAGATGAGAGGCATTCAGAACCATGAATGTCACTCCGAACTTAAGAAGGCAAAAAAGATATACGCTAATGAAATCTCGGAAACGAAGAAAAGCCACTGGATTGAATGGTTGGAGGATCTCGAAGGGAACGACATATGGACCGCAAGTCGTTACGTCTCCTCAACCCCCACTGACGGCGGACAAGCAAGAATCCCCACCCTAGTGAAAATCCTACCGGACGGATCCACGTTAGAAGCAACAACCAACGACGAGAAGAGCAGGATGATCGCTGAGTCCCTCTTCCCCCCTCCCCCCGAAGCTGACCACATTCCCGCAGACTATTTATACCCCGACCCAATAGCCCCATTCTCACCCATCATCAAAACCCAACTCCTCAAAGCCGTCTCCAACCTCAGCGCCTACAAAGCGCCGGGCCCGGATGGAATCTGTAACATAGTATTCAAACAGTGCATAAGCGTCCTAACCCCCTACCTTCTCTATCTTTTTAACGCAGTCTTCAATCATCGAACCTACTACGAACCTTGGCGACAATTCACTACGGTAATTCTTCGTAAGCCAGGCAAACCTAATTACACCACGCCTAAGGCGTACCGTCCTATCGCTCTCTTGAATTCCACTTGCAAATTGCTAACGGCAATAGTGGCAGATCAACTAACTTATATTCTAGAAAAACATCAACTCCTTCCAAGAACCCACTTCGGCGGGAGACCAGGCCGTTCGACCACCGACTCGTTGCACCTCTTCGAACACGTCGTCAAAAACGCGTGGCGCTCCCACAAAGTCGTCTCAGCATTATTCCTCGACATCGAAGGGGCCTTCCCCAATGCGGTGACGAACCGCCTCCTTCATAATATGCGCGCTCGCCGTATCCCCCGAGAAATTGTGAACTTCACCGAACAAGTTCTCAGGGACCGCAAGACCCAGCTTCGATTCGACGGATATACCTCCGAATGGATTCCGATCGATAACGGGATCGGCCAAGGCGATCCGTTATCTATGATACTCTATATAATTTATAATTCAGATTTAATAGACATAGCTAACCAACCCACAGGCAGACAAGCACTCAAGGAAATGACCCTCGCTTTCGTGGACGACACCGCACTAATCGCAATAGGACGCAACTTCGACGACACGCACGCTACTCTCAAGAACATGATGGAAAAACCGGGAGGAGGATACGAGTGGTCAAAAAACCACAACTCTCGTTTCGAAACGTCCAAATTTGCGCTAATGGACTTTTCTTTGAATAGGAACAAACCCCGCCCAACCCTCACGCTGAGAGGCATCAACATCCGCCCATCCGCCACACACCGTTTCCTAGGAGTAGTCCTCGACCAAGAACTAAGATGGAAACCCCAAGTAGACTACGCCCTGGCAAAAGGCACAGCGTACACCCTCCAGTTCAAACGGCTCTCCACGATGACCAAAGGCATTCCGCTTCGCCTCATGCGGCAATTATTCAACGCCATCGCCATCCCGAAAATGACCTACGCGGCCAGCCTCTGGTTCTCTCCCGCATTCAAGGAAGGATCAGACGAAATGCAAAGAGGATCCCTAGGCATAGTCAAGAAAATGACGTCAATCCAGAGAATCGCCACCCTAGCTATGACCGGAGCCATGAACAGCACGGCCTCCGATGTACTCGAAGCGCACTCCAACGTCCTCCCCATCGCACTCCTCCTTCAAAACATTTGCCACCGCGCCATCATCCGTATTGCCGCCCTCCCCAAATCCCACCCTCTCCACGATCCGATCAGACGAGCTGCAAGATACTACGTCGCATCCCATAGATCATCTCTACACCGCCTCACACGATCCTTCGACATAATCCCCCATCAGATCGAATCACTGATACCCGCAAGAATCCCACCCTCCTCGGTATGCCCTTACAAAACCCACATCTCTCCCTCCAGAGAAGAAGCCATCGACGAACATACTCACCTCACGGATCAGATCCAAGTCTTCAGCGACGGATCAGGAGCAGAAGGAAGAATCGGAGCAGCGGCCATTCTATTTCACACTGGCAGACAACCGAGAACGCTGAAATTTTATTTAGGTACCGATAAGGAGCACACTGTCTACGAGGCAGAAACGGTAGGTCTTACCCTTGCAGCGAAGCTAATATCAACAGAACGCCATCTATCATTTCCCCTCTCGATCTCTATCGATAACCAAGCAGCGCTCAAATCAGGTGAAAACGCATACACCACGTCAGGCTCTTATTTAGGAGAACGGTTCAGAAGAATGATGTTGAAGCTCTCGAAAGACCATCCAGACTACGACGTCACATTGAGATGGGTACCAGGCCACGAGGGAGTGCATGGTAACGAGGAAGCGGACAAGGCCGCAAAGAAAGCTGCGGAAGGCCCAGCAAGTAACAGCCCCCCAGCTCTCCTACCACGATACCTGAAGAACAGTACACTCCCCCTCAGTCTATCGGCACTCAAACAAGACCACCGCAGGAAGATGCAAATGAGATGGACCCAAATATGGGAGAAGTCCCCAAGATTTGAAAGAATGAACAGGCTTGATCCCGCGCTACTCAACAGATCATTCGTAAAACTAACCTCATCTCTCCCGAAACGAATCACAGGACTTCTCATAGGCCTCCGCACGGGGCATATAGCTCTCAACAAGCATCTTCACCGTCTAAATAAGTCCCCATCGCAATTTTGCCCCCATTGCCCTAGATCTACCGAAACCGTCCACCATTTCATCCTAGTCTGTCGCAAATACAGAGTTGAACGCCATACATTAGCCGTCGCCATCAGGAAATCATCGAGTGCCTTATGCGCTTCTTAAATTCCTTAATTCGTCAAATAAGGCAAATTTAAGGCCGTTTTTTACACTTAAAATAAGGAGATCCATTTCCTTACATTAAGGAAATAAGGAGCTTTTTCCTTAAAATCAGGCAGATAAGGCAGTTAAGGATACTATTATTTCAACCAGACATGGGGCAACCAAAGTAGCTTAAGGCGAAAAAAGGATGACAAGGTGTTCTATGAAAATGACGAAAAACAATATAGAAAATGTGTATGACAGCAATTGATGAATAGCGCGAGCAGCGTTTGAAGCGATTGAAGCGATTGATGATCAAAGCGGGGAGACAAGCGCACATATAGTAGCCGACCAAGTTCTGTCAAATATTATGGTGTCAGAGCAAGAAAATGCAAGATAAAGAAACAAATACTACAGATACGAATGCGTGAACGTGGATTCACAGGGATCCGACTTTCACCGCCGAGAGTAGTGTCTTCGTCTTGACCCCGGCGGCGAGCACGCTTCATGTACGGTTGAGATCGTTCAACAATTTCTCTCACGCGGTCGAAGGGCAGCTCCTCAATTCGCTCCATGTACGCAATCGTATCAGTCTCCCAATTGCCCGAAGAGAAAGCGGTGCCTGTGTGACTCATTTTGTTCGTGGCGGGATTGAGCGTTAACATGACCTTGTGTCTCCCATTGTCCGAAGTATCTTTCTCGATGAGGTCATCGCGAGCCAAAATAAGTGCACGCTCGACCTGCAAATGATATGTTAGTAAGTTTTGTAAAGGCGATGGAAAACTCACGGCTGCTGTGGTCAGTGCAAGGGCTGTTGCATACCCAGGTAACCCAAAGTCAAGCGAGTCGCACTTCTGGTATCCTTGGATGGCACTGAGGTGAACGGCAAAGGTGCGCAAAATGAATTCCGATAAGAAAGCTCCAGGCGAGTCTTCGTTATCTGGATCTTCATACACGAAGCGTGAATCTTCGAGTTGATATTCGGCGTATGCTTTCCGCGCCTCCTTGGTCTCGTATTCATCCATCGAGACGAAAAATGTCATGAGAATGGTGACAGCAGTGGAGCCGAAATATCCTCTCCACTCAGAGAGCCTTTGGCATACCTGCCAGCATAGTAGTCAACTAATAGTACTGGAATAGGGATTCACTCACAACATTGAAGGCGCCATTGCAGCCATCGACCTCAAAGTCTCCAGGTTCGTTATACACCGCGTGGTAGATATCCTCGAGAACGTCTGAAAGTTCGTTGTCGGGGATAGTCCACGGATAGCTGCCATTTCCGACCCAGTACATGACCGTTGGAATAAACATAGAACGAAAGGTCGTGTTCTGAGCACCAGTGGGCAAGTGGGCATTTTTTGGCTTTTCTTTCTTGAGATTGAGTGTGCGTGGCACGCGTCCATTTTCGGTTTTGATGTACTTGGATTTCTGGTCGTCCGTTACGGTCTCCATAACGTTAACTGACATCTGCAAGGGAATTCGTCAGTGTGGTCAGGCTACCAGTGTAGATTCTGCCTACAGAGGACGTGAGCCGACTGTTTGACACTTCGTAGACCTAAAAGATTCCAGAATCATGGTAAGCAATTCATCTATCTCACAGGGCCCACTAGTACTTACCTCAGGCTTAATGTCAACCTGATCCGCCATGTCAACATCCTCATCCTGAACATCAGCGTCGGCATCTGGGTCTTCCTCCATTTCATGCTGCTCTTCGGGTTCAAGGTCGCCCAAAAAGGCCGCGGACAATCCACGTTTTCGTCCCCTCGGTGTGTCATCAGCATCCTGAAAAATATGAACAATGCCCTGCCTTGATTCAAGTATCCCTCATTCGTGAGCATGGATTCACTCACCTGTCCACCCTGACTCATAGTCATACTATCGTCATGATCTTCAGGTAGGTTGTCGTCTTCGGCCCATTCCACATCATTGTTTGCGATCACTGAAAATTCATTAGCGATGTACACAAAATCAGACTGTACCTACCACTGGTACGCGCACTTGGTGGCGCAGAAGGCTTCAGTTGGGATTTCGATGCCACACTTCTGGCCCACTTCCCTACTCCCGCTCCCTCTGAAGGTATGGATGATTGAGATGCGCTACATTTTAGTGAGTGAAACACGTCAAAGTAATAAAGAGTCAGCTCTGATAAAAGTAACATCGCAGATTCACAGTCAAGTTGAACTTACAGCGACTTTCGGACTTTCCCATCACCAACAGCACTTCCAACACGTGTTTGACTCAAGGATGACACACCGGTGTTGGACACCTTTCGACTGGCATTGACACCATCCTTGAAGGTGAGTTTTAAGCCTGGGTGTTTCTTCTTGGGAATGTCGGTGCTTTGAGGCTCTGGATTTGCCCCAACAGCTGTATAAATGGTATAGAATTGGTAAGTCTTTGCAACAACATTATAGATTGTGTAATGCTTACGCATCTCCTTGGGGTTTTCAGTTGACGCTGTGATTGCCTTTGTCACTGGGCGTGGCTTAGGCTTTGGTCTGACCAAGTGTCCAGGGCCAGCACGTTGAGCCATCTGCTCGATAGCCATGGCATCTTCCTTCGCAGCGACCTGCTTTTGAGCATTATCCAAGGCAGTCGTCTTCGCTATTTTCTCTGCTGCTATCTTTTTCTTTTCAGCCGCAATTACTTCCTTCGGGCGCGCTACTCGATTCGCTTCAAGAACTATCTGTCCGGGATGTTTGTTGGCATTCCCAGGGCGTGTTGCGGGACGAGGCATGTGTAGAGAACGGAGGGGCAAGCTGTTGAAGGAACGTTGGCAGTGAGGCGTTGAAGGAATATGGACGCTAGCAGAAAAGTGGCAATGAATCGCAGGTGCCAAGGTTGTTATTTATTCAATTGAATATGTCATAATTTCTGATTCACACACTTGGCACTAGTCTGCATCCTACATGCTCCGCTTCCTCGTATCCATTGCTGCGACCACTCACCGCTCAGCATGGCCCCACCTGTCACCAGGCTCATTTGTCGGTTTCCTAGCTGCAACAGGGTCTTCAAAAACAAGTCTGGCCTCACTCAGCACACGCATACAATGCACGGCACCCCACAAATACAGCGAGACCTCAATTTCACGGCTCCACTTGCAGGTCCCGGATTTATACCTCCAAGGAGTCGTTCTCCCACACCAGAAGGTGAAAACCGGGCTATCAACGAGGATTTTCATCAAGACATAGCGGGTGAGCAGGAGGATGCAGGTTTTGTACCTGAGGAAGGTACTTGGGTGGACATGGGGCGGTTATTCCGCACATTCCATCCGCACCTCACAGGTGAGTGTTTTTCAAGACGTCCATCATACTAATCACTCAGGTTTTGACTTAGGACTCAAATGCGATGCTAACGGGTCATTTATTGATCAGGATGCACCCCCACCGCCTCTCACAAATGCACCCCCAACCGACTGGACACCTTATAACGATCGAGCGGAATTTGAGACAGCAGAATTTTTATTCACGCGCAATCAAATGTCTGCAAAGCAGATTGATACACTTCTCGACTTGTGGGCCGCAACTCTCATCAAGCACAACGACGCTCCCCCTTTTGCAAACCATAAGGACATGTACGCTACCATTGATGCAACACCATTTGGCGATACCCCCTGGAAGAGCTTTACAATGTGCTACAGCGGAGTTAAACCCGAACGAGACGTACCGCCGTGGATGGATGGACAATATGATGTGTGGTATAGAGATCCATTGCAAATGACACGCAGCATGCTGGAAAACTCTGCCTTTGATGAAGGAATTGAGTTCTCCCCGTATCGTGATTATACCGCCGAGGACAAACGGTACTGGAAGAACTTCATGTCGGGTGACTGGGCGTGGAACCAAGCGGTACGCTTTTATATTCACATTTTTAGCACACTAATGGTCGTCTCCAGGATATTATTGCTCAAAATGAGGAAAATCATGGTTCAACATTCGTGCCATTGATTATTGGCAGCGACAAGACTGTCGTTTCTGTCGCTACTGGCCAAACTGAATATCACCCGCTGTATCTCTCAATCGGGAACATACACAACAGCGTACGACGGGCACACCGCAATGGCGTTGTACTCGTTGGATTTCTTTCGATACCAAAATGTACGTGCTTGTTATTATTCTAAATATATCATTGCATCATAACCTTCATTTGTTTAGCTACGAAAGAACATAACGATGACATCAAATACAGAAACTTTCGACGGCAATTGTTTCAGCGGTCCCTTGCCAAGATTTTCGAGTCTGTGAAGCCCTTCATGGAAACGTTTGACGTCACACGCTTTCCGGATGGGCACTTTCGACGAACGGTGTATGGCTTGGGCCCATACATTGCGGATTATCCAGAGCAGTTGATTCTCTCTGGCGTCGTGCAGAATTGGTGTCCGCGGTATGTCACAAGATTTTCTTTCTCTTTGTAATGACTCATTTGATCATAATAGGTGTCTGGCAAATAATAAGGACCTCGATGGTGCTCAACCTTGTCTGCATCGACGCGAAGCACACACCGAGTTGCTTGTCGAACGGCTAACATACAAACAGGCCTGGTTTGAGTATGGCATCGTTGCCGATCTCATTGTAAGTTGCTCGCTGAAACTCGCCAGGTCCAATCTCACCTGTCTAATTGACTAGCCGTTTACGAACGATTTTCCTCGAGCAGACATCCACGAGCTCTTATCTCCCGATCTTTTACACCAGATTATTAAGGGGACGTTCAAGGATCATTTAGTTGATTGGGTAGGTGATTATTTGGAGGCCACACATAGTGCACGTCATGCGGCTGAGATCATGGATGACATTGACCGCAGGTATGCAAACAATTGATATCTCGCTAATGACTACTAACGATGTACAGGATAGCAGCAGTAGCCCCATTTGCTGGGTTGCGACGCTTTCCTGATGGGCGTGGTTTTCGGCAATGGACAGGTGACGATTCGAAGGCTTTGATGAAGGTATGCTGGAGTATTCCCTTCCGAACGACACGCGAGCTGACTCATTCAGGTCTATCTAGCTGCAATCGAAGGCCACGTTCCTCAAGACGTGGTGCGCACATTCAGTGCATTTCTAGAATTTTGCTACATTGTAAGGCACGAGGCTCTCACTGAAGATGATCTTGTAAAACTCCAAGATGCCCTCAACCGCTTTCACAAATTCCGGGAGATCTTCAAGGCAACTGGCGTGGTCTCGACATTCTCCCTTCCACGTCAACACTCCCTATGCCACTATGAATTACTGATTCGACTTTTTGGGGCACCCAACGGCCTTTGCTCTTCGATTACGGAGTCCAAGCATATCAAAGCGGTTAAAGAACCTTGGCGCCGATCTAGCAGGTTTAATGCGCTCGGACAAATGCTACTAACAAACCAACGCCTCGACAAACTTGCAGCCGCTCGCGTACAATTTGAGGCACGTGGTATGCTTCACGGATCCTGTCTGTCCAATGCTTTGGGAGAACTCCGGAGACGTGAGTGATCATTGATCTGACAATTTAGTCGTTCTCATCTCTCAAAACAGGTCAGAATGTTCATGAAGACAACAACTCAGAATTGGATGACGACACTATGGCTGATATGGCGCAAGAAGGTCATAATGGGCGGCTGCATGTCCACGAACCTCAAAACCAATCTGTTGAGGTGGATGCTGGCGAAATTGTTGATGGACCGACCGTGGAGTCCCACGTCAGGCTTGCGGCGACTCCTCGTATGTTTATCTGTTTACTCCTTGACCCTTTCTGACAATACACAGGTTGTGTACGCAATGTGCATACACTCAGCCTTGAGCTCGACATTCCACACTTCCCTCGGATGATTCAAGAATTTATCCACGATCAGCGCTATTCAGAAGACCCCAACCCTCCTGAGTTTGATCCGGCAACGGCACAAGTATTCCTGGGGAAAGTGACCCTCTTCAATTCTGCTGTAGCGTTGTTCCATGCACCCAGTGATCTGAGTGGTACAGGAGGTATGCGTCGAGAACACATCCGGGCAACACCATCGTGGCGCACTGGCGAACCTAGGCATGATTGTATCTTCGTCAGTATGGGTACTGGCTTTGACTCTCCCATAGGTGTACTTGCAGTCGCGCGGGTCCGGTGTTTTTTTTCTTTTAACTATCGGACGTCATACTATCCTTGTGCCATAGTTCATTGGTATTCTTATGCGCTCGAAGGACGCGATCCCGACACAGGAATGTATGTTGTCACACCAACAATGACCGACGATGGTATTCCAGACATTTCAATCATTCACATCGATTGTATCTTTCGCACCGCCCATCTCATTCCGGTCTATGGCCCGGACTTCATCCCAAAAATCAGTCCGCATGACTCGTACGACATGTTCAACTCGTACTACGTCAATAGATACGCGGATCACCATGCTTTTGAAATAGCGTGACTTGTGGTATGTCCTTCCATCTTCCTTTCTCGAACTATACACTTATTCAATGTCCCGCGTCTGAAGGAGATTATCAACATTGCCACCAAAATCCCTCCCTCCCTCTATACTCGAGCCTGACATTGCCGAAGAGAGTCTGCTTGCCAAGAACGTCGAGCAAGAGCTCGCATATACTTCATTGTGTACCATGACGGCAGCCGTGGAGATCTGGTATGACCCAGACCCAAGCCTCGAATCATCTTTTTGCCCTTTCGGTGGAGCAACAATGTTGCCACCAAAATCCCTCCCTCCCTCTATACCTCGAGCCTGACATTGCCGAAGAGAGTCTGCTTGCCAAGAACATCGAGCAAGAGCTCGCATATACTTCATTGCGTACCATGATGGCAGCCGTGGAGATCTGGTATGACCCAGACCCAAGCCTCGAATCATCTTTTTGCCCTTTCGGTGGAGCAACCAAGCCTCGAATCATCTTTTCGCTTACATCCACGACAGCGTCACTACACCATTATCCAACGACATATGCGGGACGGTCCAACACAGTACAGTCCTCCATACCTGGGGGCAAGACCGTGTACAGCAGTCTTTTCACGTCGAGCAAGAGCTCGCATATACTTCATTGCGTACCGTGACGGCAGCCGTGGAGATCTGGTATGACCCAGACCCAAGCCTCGAATCATCTTTTTGCCCTTTCGGTGGAGCAACAAAGCCTCGAATCATCTTTTTGCTCTTTCGGGGGAGCAACAAAGCCTCGAATCATCTTTTCGCTTACATCCACGACAGCGTCGCTACACCATTATCCAACGACATATGCGGGACGGTCCAACACAGTACAGTCCTCCATACCTGGGGTCAAGACCGTGTACAGCAGTCTTTTCACCCTCTACTTGCTCGGTTCTACACGTTAATGTTATATACTAGTACATCGCGTGCTTATTTTTAACGATTTAAAACAATGTATTAATGTAAATAAACCGCCTTAATTTCACTATTGCCTTGACTGCCTTTGACTTACTTATAATGACCTCGCCCCTTAGAATAATTTGAACAAAGGATACAAACAGTGACTTAATCCCCTTAGCCGCCTTAATGCTATTTTTAAGTAACTTAAGGTGGGAAAAGGCACTCGATGATTTCCTGATGAAATAGATTGGCTCTCTATCTTTCAGAAAGCGTGTTACACTGGACTGTAGTAAAGGTTGGACCCCGCAAATTGTGTCGAAGAAAAGGAACAAGTCTTATTGTCTTCATTAGTATTGTCTGGCTCGCCAAACTTCTGCGAGCGAATCGTGGCCATTGCTGTTGGCAGCGTCAGAGGTACAACACCGTGGGAGTTGAAGTTGGTGATGTTGATAACGAGTAGCTATATTCACCTACCTCAGCATTTCTCACGCCAAAGAGAGTCGATCCACCCCGGAATCCTATATGAGTCGAACTACTCTCACCAACTACTCACGCGCATATGCTCCTGCAGGCTGCACCGGTACTGGTACCAGGCCAAATTTGACAACTACTAATTCTCCCAATATTCATGTTATGTGGGGTCTTTCCGGGGACTGATTACGCCCGGCTCCGACGAGAACCTTAATGCTACTTCAAACTCCTCTAGCTGAACTCAGTGATCAAAATAACTTCGTGCCGCGTAATTTCTAATGGACCTTTCCACTGACAACCCTGACGCCTCCATCTGACCTGTAGTTGCGCCTTAATTGGCGATCTTCCATTCATCTTCTTCGGATTATCAATATCAATTTGGATTTCACGTTGCGCCCATGTCAAACCCCGAAATGGGGGCTGCAGTCACGGTTTATACTGTTCTACTACCAGCCTGTGGCCTTTAGCGGACATTCATATATTCATACATGGTTACTAAAAAGGCGTGACTCTTTGAGGAACAGTATAAGTAAAGTATACCATCATTTCCGTGAACTCGTCCTCCAAATCATGTCTGTTCAGCCCGCTGACATTGCATACATACAAATCTTTCCTCCCATAGGCATTGCTCGCCTAGGAGACTCTGGGTTCGATCTGAGCACCGGAAAGTCAGATGGCGACATCGATTGGTTTCTCCCTTCTGAGATTCCTGGCACTGAAGATATGCCCGCTGATCTAAATGGCCGGTTCAGAGATGCAAAAAACCGCATCAAACGTCAGGTGAGACTAGCAGTTTCATGTCTCACTGAGGTTCGGATCGCATTGAACGCGATATACAGGCTGTTCGTTTCCGTGTCTATGCATATCGCTCCGACGGCACCATACTTGGAGAAATCACATCAGGAAACTCCACGGGGTACACCATTACTTGGAGTGTTCACGTCGCTAATCACAAAGCCTCATACTACGAATTCTATGGTATGTCCCCTATACATGCGACTCTCTGAATGTTATTGACATTTGTTTCACTAGGCCAGGATAGACTGAGGGGCGGCCTTAGGAACCCCGATGTGCAACCTCTCTTGGTATGTAGACCTGTCCACATCTATTAACACTACCAATACCCCCTCTAGAGCCCTGAGAAGCGGTCGGATTTGATCGTCGACTCTGAAGTCCACACTGTACCTACTCCCCTGCCACGGGTAGAACTGACTGGTTCTTTTCATGGTTCTCAACAAAATGCAGTGACCGTTCATCTGGGCGAAATTCGCACAGACGAGCAAGGGCGCCTCATCTTCATAGGCGGAGCTGGCTACTCCTGTTCTGTCGCAAAGCCAGGTGTTCCGCACTTCCAACCCGACATTATTTCGGAGTTTGATAGCATCGACTGGGTCGACGACACCTGCGACGGCTGGGTTGACGTCACAGTCACATATGCAAACTTGAGGTGAGCCAGATTGTACGACTCTACCTCTATAGTTATTGACCGAAGTCATTTCAAGCTTCACTGCACTCCAGAAGTCGACTGTCTTAAGTGCACCACCGAAGTTCGCATGGGGTATTCCGTCTCCCACCACGATGTATGACCTAATTGCGGATATCTATCACAAGAAGACGGGCTGGGAGGACCACGAGCACACACAATTCTATCAGGATATATGGCCTGTCATGCATGGTGCTTATGCACTTTCGTGGGTCAACCGTGAAGCGTACGATGGCCATGGTATGTTTCTCTACGACTTTTTCTGCAGACGCTAACGGTCAAAACGGATAAGGCGTTTGTGGGAGGGGAAATTTTTTGACTATGAAAGACGAGCTAGCAACACCAGGGCCAACGACTGAGGCAACTCGACTGCTCCGCGAACACATCTTCAACCGCCTACAACTTCCGGACTACGGAGACAAAGATCAAGCCTCCACCAAGTATATGCCTCGGCTCTCAGGCAACGAGTGAGTAGGAAGTTTACCCGCATATCCATCACAATGACAAAAAATTTCAGTGGCGATGCACTTGAACCTGGCCAACCCCTGAGCGAAGGTGAACCCATAAAGCGGTTCGCCACAGTCACTAAGCTGCAGTACGAGCATTTTGTCAAGTGGAAGAACGGTACTTTCCTCGCCGATCCTGCACCGTGGAGCAAATATAATTCATTTGACGAAGTTCCTACGCCTCTGCAACCATTATTCTTGACACGTGCGGCTCTAGAGCACACGGTGGGAGAGCCGCTTTACCCAGGAATCGAGGTGCATTGGACTGCGAGAGAGACGGAGATGTACATCTTCAATGCCCCTACAACAGACCCTCCTTTCCGCTTCAATCATGAGAAATTCCCGCCTGGCCATATCTGCCGCGGTCTGAGTCTGCCATGGCAGAGCGACTTTGACCAGTGCAACACCCACTGGTGGGTGTATGTTCTGTTAGACTCAATCTTGACTAACCTCAGACATCAAAGGTGGCCCTCTGCTCGTCCCGATGATGTGATCAACATCCGTGACTTTGCGTCGGAGAAAGTCGTATCTGTGGACAAGTTCGTCAAGGATATCGCTCCGAAAAGGAGACAGTGGACCCGTGGCTTGCGAGATACTCCAGATTGTAAGGCTACCTTAAGTGGATAAGCATCGTGCTGACCAACTTCGTGCAGTTCCTACTGAGTATTACCCAGGAAGCACAGACATGGTTCAGCACTGGCAAAAGCTCGGCTTTGTGGCCAAAGTTCCCGAGATAGTGATTGGGGGATATAAACTGCCTGTCTGGGTGGAGAACGAGCGTATGCACATTGAAGAAAAACCTGTGTTCCAGCTTCCCTTCTGAGGCTTCAGTTATACCTGTATCACCTACGTACTTGTCTGTGTACTTGAGTGCGAAAAATGTTGACTATTCCCAAAGTAGGAGAAACGTAACTTACTTACTTTATAAGGCAATCATCCGACAAAGAGGTGCTGCCTCGTCCTGACCCTGCTCCGATGATCACATCCATTCCGGTCAGGTCCCACGCAGAACACCAGAGGCACAAGCAAGGCACAGGATGGTAGATGAGTAGTTCGAAGTCGCCTGAGATTCCACAGGTCGATTTATTTCCCACCGGACACCTGCCTGCTTTCCTACTGTGGTGCAAACCCGAGTGAGTTATGGATGAGCGCTGAGCGCTTGAAGGACCATTGGATATGTGCCACACAACTTGGCTGTACATCCAGCGGTACCTCAGAGTCAATGAACTGAACCTTGATCGTGTTGAATTCGGAATGTCCCAGACGCACGGACTCGTTGGGACGTTAGGACTAAAAGGAGACTAGTACGCTTCTGCGAAGCGCTCGCCGCTTGGTCAGTACTCGGTCACGAATGCCTGGCCATTTGGTAAGTCACCCTAACTTACCTTTTTCGCACCCACTAGGTTCTCACTCATACGTACTATCTGAACGCCGCCCATGTTTTCCTGCCAATAGTCAACGACTTCACTAGCCATCGATAAAGACAAGCCTAGAGCTTTCATGATGTCCCTGACGTCTGACGAAAGCACTTATTATTTTGATGGTAGATTCATGCGGCACATTCTCAAGTATTTTGATATTCTTATCATGTCGCACAGTGATCATCGTGGGGGGTGGTGTTGCTGGTTGCGCAACTGCTTTAGCTCTCTTTCGCACTAATCCCGGTGCATCAATCCTGATCCTGGACGACGCCAACTCCAGCGTATTCAAGGTGAATTTTCCCGTCTCTGCCATGTTTCAAGTTGCCATTCGCTTATATCCATCAGATCGGGGAATCGTTACCTGCTGCCGCAAAACCCATTCTCGCGTCTCTTTCTCCCCAGCTTCTTGACGAACTGTCCAAAGACCGCACTGATAGCGTTCAGATCAAATGCACCGGCAATGCTTCGGCTTGGGCAACTTCTGAGCTGGAAGAGACATATGCAATGATGAACCCATTCGGCATGGGATGGCACCTTGATCGAGCTTCGTTTGACCAGATCTTACGCGACACTGTGGATACCATTTGCCCAGGCTCCGTCTCGCTTGTCAAAAGCACATTCATTGGGATCGACAAAGTCGACGACAACAACTACTGGTCTATATCGGTGAAAATGGCGTCCGACGACAGAAAAGTGTACCACTCGAAATGGGTTGTTGACGCATCAGGCCGAAAATCATCGGTTGCTCGCAAGGTATGATATCATTCCCTGACAGGGAAAATTCCACTACTGAGGTGCTTTCCGAAAGCTAGGCTCAAGAATAGTGAAGGAGGACGCTCTTCTCGCATTCTATGCCGTCTTTGTCCCCCCTCTTACCACTGAGGATCGAGATTACCGAACGCTAATCGAAGCCAGCGAGTCTGGGTGGTGGTACAGCTCCCCACTTCCCAATAACCGTCGAGTCGTTGCGTATCATACAGATGATACTGACCCGACTTCAAGGGATGCCCGCAAGCATGACGGATTCATGAATCTTCTGCATGCAACTCAGCACATATCACGTCTCATCTCCGAGGGTGAATATGACATCCTCTTTGATACAGATTCCAGATATCCCATATGCACAGCGGCGGGCTCTTCCCGCCTCGAGCCACCTTGTAACATCAGCAAACGTGCAGATGGACCTGGACGGTCTGGATGTACTGGATCCAGTCCTCCAGGCCTCCAGATTCGAGCCTGTGCGCAGATGAATCAGCCATGACCAGACGGTCATGCCTGGCACCAGATGGTGTCCAGGCACCTCACAGACCGCCACCAGATCACTCGCAGGCACCTTACAGACAGCCGGATTTTCAGTAGAAATCCCTCGTATTTCAGTAAACGAGCACAATGTATCATATTCAAGACATAATAGTATACAGACTATCTGTGAGGTCACCAACATCAGCCTAGATATTTGTTAAACGAAAATGAGACTCACCAAATGCTGAAATCTTCATCATCCAACAATGGGATGGCGTCGCGAATGTCCATCGAGTCGTCATCACCGCCGTCAGTCATAGGCAAACGGCTCCACAGAGAATCATCGCCCACAAGCTCCCACATTCCATTGAGAACCTGATCCCACTTCTTCTCCGGAAGCTTGACTGTCTGTGCAGAGTATTGGTTAGCCAAACTACCCCAGGCAGCATCGAAAGCCACATTTTTAGCAGGTGCGGTGGTGATACCAGAACGCTTGGCATCCTTAGCTGCTTCTTTGGCCGACTCGCCGTCTTTATACAAAAATAGTGCGCGGTGTACCTGGGAAAGGCAGTAGAGGATAAGTTCGTGTGACCACGTGAATCAACAATATGAGACTCACCGCAGCTGCACACATACCGAGCGCACCCGAGGGCTTACCGAAGGCTTGGAATGACGTGCCACAGCGCTTTGCATGGGTAGCGAGCAACTCGAGCAGCATCGGACCCAGCCATGACCCTTTCAGATTCTGTAGTAGTAGGATATTAATGAGAACTGCCTGATTGTAAAGTGACATAGTACTTACCTCAGGATCCAAATAAATAAAAGGAACACGCTTTTGACCGTCGATTTTGTGAGGGAGAAGAGCTTGGATGAACTGGACACTATATTCACTACGACACTGCTGGCAAACGACGTTGGAAGGACTTCATGTCAGGCAACTATGCATGGCGCAAATCGGTAAGATGATTTTTTTTCGAATTACGTCCGACTCTAATATTTTGCTTGTAGGATACAATATTCACAAACGATCCATCTACCGACGGCGCAATGTATGTGGGAGTCATTCTGGGAAGTGACAAAACCACTGTCTCTGTAGCCACCGGCCATGTCGAGTACCATCCCCTGTACTTGTCTATTGGCAACCCGCATAATTCTGTCCGTCGAGCCCATCGTAATGCTGTGACACCGATAGGCTTCCTTGCTATACCCAAGGGTGAGTTTACTGTTTAGTGTCATACTCATGGCTGATGATTTTCTTCACCAGCGGATCGCAAATACGACAACGATGTTCACTTCCGAACCTTCAAGCGTCAACTATACCATTCATCGATTGCTGCCATCCTTCAGCCACTTCGAGCCCCCATGACAACCCCCATCGTCCGTCAATGTCCAGACGGCCACTTTCGCCGTGTGATCTATGATCTAGCGGCTTTCATAGCGGATTATCCCGAGCAAGTTATGCTTGCCGGGATAGTCCAAAATTGGTGTGCAAAGTGCACTGCATTGCCCGAGGACCTTGATGGAAGCACCGCAGAACGACGGACACGAGAATATACCGAGGTCCTAGTGGAAACACTCACTTCAGACGTGTTGTGGGACCAATATGGGATCGATGATGATGTGGTGGTGCGTCTGTTACCATTTTGTTAACTTTCATTGACTGACTTAAGTATTTGTGTGCCCAGCCGTTCACCAATGATTTCCCGCGGGCCGACATTCACGAGATGATTTCCCCGGACCTGCTGCATCAAGTCATCAAGGGTTGTTTTAAGGACCACCTCGTTACTTGGACCTGCAAATACCTCGAGGAGATCCACGGGGAAGCACGAGCGAATGAGATCATCGACGACATAGACCATCGGTGCGTGAATCCGGTTACAGCCTGAGTTGAGTACTGAATAACTTGTAGTATTGCTGCTACACCTGCTTTTCCTGGGCTCCGAAGGTTTCCTCATGGTCGCCGGTTCAAGCAGTGGACGGGGGACGATTCCAAGGCTTTGATGAAGGTATGTGCACAAATGTGTAGCGTGACTTCGATTGCTGACTGTTGTATACTTAAACTACTAGGTTTACATCCCCGCCATAGTCGAATATGTTCCTGTGCAGCTCATAGAGTGTTTCAGCTCTTTCCTCGACTTTTGCTACCTAGTCCGCCGGTCTGAACTTGGTGAAGATACCATCGACAAAATTGTTGCAGCGCTGCAGCACTTTCATGAGACGCGCGAGATTTTTCGGGAGTCTGGTGTTCGGCCAAAGGGATTTGCACTCCCACGGCAGCATTCCCTTGTGCACTATGTCCGTCTCATTCAGGAATATGGCGCACCCAATGGCCTTTGCTCATCAATAACCGAGTCTCGCCACATCACCGCTGTCAAGAAACCATGGCGTCGTTCAAATCGTTATGAAGCACTCGGTCAGATGTTACTTACTAACCAACGCCTGGATAAGCTTGCGGCAGCTCGTGTTGAGTTCGTAGCTCGTGGTCTCCTTCCACCATCTCACTTGCCTCCGCCGACTCGCAATTCCTTTAACTTCGTAGACGGTGCTGATGAAGGTGCAGAAAATGATGCACCAGATATGTATTTGGTTGAAGGCTCCGTGATACTAGCTCGAACACCTCGTATGTATTTTTTCAAGTTGTGATCTACTATACTAGTACTGATGCAGTCGCCCAGAACGTGGCTACCCACGATCACTTGAAACCCTGGCAGCACATATTCGGCAGCCGAAACTCCCCCTCCTTGCTCGTCACTTCCTTTTCAACCAGTTACATCCCAACTATGAACATGATGTGCACCTGATCCCCGCGGATGAACTACCCATCATTGACACTCCAATTGCTGTGTTCCACTCCGCAATAGCCACTTTCTCGGCTCCAAGCGACATATCTGGGACTCACGGCATGCGTCGCGAGTCAATTCGATGCACTCCGTCGTGGCGCCGTAAGGATCCACGACACGACTGTGTCTTCATCGTCGAGGACCAGGAAAAAACTGGTATGAGGGGCATGATCATTGGCCGTGTTAAGCTTTTCTTTTCTTTTCATTTTGAGGGTGTGACATACCCTTGTGTGTTGATCGACAGGTTTTCACGGATGGGGAGAGGCCCAGATTCAGTGACGGGCATGTGGAAGGTGAAGCCCGAGATTACTGGTGCACACGGAGCTCGTGTTCAGTCTGTGGAGCATGTCGATACCATTCTTCGAAGTGCTCATCTCATCCCCGTCTTTGGCAGCGGTCCCCTCCCCGATGGTTTTCATTTTGCTCATTCTCTTGACGTGTTCAATTCTTACTATGTAAATAAGTATGCAGATCATCATGCACATGAAATTGTGTTCTAAGTATACATGTTGTATCTAATGTACAAGGAATTCATGGTAGGGAGTAGCTAGTAGATCTCAATCAAAGTTTTGCTTCAGTCAAGTTTGGCATACGTGAGAAGGAATAACCCTCCAGGCCGCCAGACCATCCAGGTCGCCGCCAGGACGTCCAGGTACATCAGGAAATCATCGAGTGCCTTTTCCCACCTTAAGTTACTTAAAAATAGCATTAAGGCGGCTAAGGGGATTAAGTCACTGTTTGTATCCTTTGTTCAAATTATTCTAAGGGGCGAGGTCATTATAAGTAAGTCAAAGGCAGTCAAGGCAATAGTGAAATTAAGGCGGTTTATTTACATTAATACATTGTTTTAAATCGTTAAAAATAAGCACGCGATGTACTAGTATATAACATTAACGTGTAGAACCGAGCAAGTAGAGGGTGAAAAGACTGCTGTACACGGTCTTGACCCCAGGTATGGAGGACTGTACTGTGTTGGACCGTCCCGCATATGTCGTTGGATAATGGTGTAGCGACGCTGTCGTGGATGTAAGCGAAAAGATGATTCGAGGCTTTGTTGCTCCCCCGAAAGAGCAAAAAGATGATTCGAGGCTTTGTTGCTCCACCGAAAGGGCAAAAAGATGATTCGAGGCTTGGGTCTGGGTCATACCAGATCTCCACGGCTGCCGTCACGGTACGCAATGAAGTATATGCGAGCTCTTGCTCGACGTGAAAAGACTGCTGTACACGGTCTTGCCCCCAGGTATGGAGGACTGTACTGTGTTGGACCGTCCCGCATATGTCGTTGGATAATGGTGTAGTGACGCTGTCGTGGATGTAAGCGAAAAGATGATTCGAGGCTTGGTTGCTCCACCGAAAGGGCAAAAAGATGATTCGAGGCTTGGGTCTGGGTCATACCAGATCTCCACGGCTGCCATCATGGTACGCAATGAAGTATATGCGAGCTCTTGCTCGATGTTCTTGGCAAGCAGACTCTCTTCGGCAATGTCAGGCTCGAGGTATAGAGGGAGGGAGGGATTTTGGTGGCAACATTGTTGCTCCACCGAAAGGGCAAAAAGATGATTCGAGGCTTGGGTCTGGGTCATACCAGATCTCCACGGCTGCCGTCATGGTACACAATGAAGTATATGCGAGCTCTTGCTCGACGTTCTTGGCAAGCAGACTCTCTTCGGCAATGTCAGGCTCGAGTATAGAGGGAGGGAGGGATTTTGGTGGCAATGTTGATAATCTCCTTCAGACGCGGGACATTGAATAAGTGTATAGTTCGAGAAAGGAAGATGGAAGGACATACCACAAGTCACGCTATTTCAAAAGCATGGTGATCCGCGTATCTATTGACGTAGTACGAGTTGAACATGTCGTACGAGTCATGCGGACTGATTTTTGGGATGAAGTCCGGGCCATAGACCGGAATGAGATGGGCGGTGCGAAAGATACAATCGATGTGAATGATTGAAATGTCTGGAATACCATCGTCGGTCATTGTTGGTGTGACAACATACATTCCTGTGTCGGGATCGCGTCCTTCGAGCGCATAAGAATACCAATGAACTATGGCACAAGGATAGTATGACGTCCGATAGTTAAAAGAAAAAAAACACCGGACCCGCGCGACTGCAAGTCCACCTATGGGAGAGTCAAAGCCAGTACCCATACTGACGAAGATACAATCATGCCTAGGTTCGCCAGTGCGCCACGATGGTGTTGCCCGGATGTGTTCTCGACGCATACCTCCTGTACCGCTCAGATCACTGGGTGCATGGAACAACGCTACAGCAGAATTGAAGAGGGTCACTTTCCCCAGGAATACTTGTGCCGTTGCCGGATCAAACTCAGGAGGGTTGGGGTCTTCTGAATAGCGCTGATCGTGGATAAATTCTTGAATCATCCGAGGGAAGTGTGGAATGTCGAGCTCAAGGCTGAGTGTATGCACATTGCGTACACAACCTGTGTATTGTCAGAAAGGGTCAAGGAGTAAACAGATAAACATACGAGGAGTCGCCGCAAGCCTGACATGGGACTCCACGGTCGGTCCATCAACAATTTCGCCAGCATCCACCTCAACAGATTGGTTTTGAGGTTCGTGGACATGCAGCCGCCCATTATGACCTTCTTGCGCCATATCAGCCATAGTGTCGTCATCCAATTCTGAGTTGTTGTCTTCATGAACATTCTGACCTGTTTTGAGAGATGAGAACGACTAAATTGTCAGATCAATGATCACTCACGTCTCCGGAGTTCTCCCAAAGCATTGGACAGACAGGATCCGTGAAGCATACCACGTGCCTCAAATTGTACGCGAGCGGCTGCAAGTTTGTCGAGGCGTTGGTTTGTTAGTAGCATTTGTCCGAGCGCATTAAACCTGCTAGATCGGCGCCAAGGTTCTTTAACCGCTTTGATATGCTTGGACTCCGTAATCGAAGAGCAAAGGCCGTTGGGTGCCCCAAAAAGTCGAATCAGTAATTCATAGTGGCATAGGGAGTGTTGACGTGGAAGGGAGAATGTCGAGACCACGCCAGTTGCCTTGAAGATCTCCCGGAATTTGTGAAAGCGGTTGAGGGCATCTTGGAGTTTTACAAGATCATCTTCAGTGAGAGCCTCGCGCCTTACAATGTAGCAAAATTCTAGAAATGCACTGAATGTGCGCACCACGTCTTGAGGAACGTGGCCTTCGATTGCAGCTAGATAGACCTGAATGAGTCAGCTCGCGTGTCGTTCGGAAGGGAATACTCCAGCATACCTTCATCAAAGCCTTCGAATCGTCACCTGTCCATTGCCGAAAACCACGCCCATCAGGAAAGCGTCGCAACCCAGCAAATGGGGCTACTGCTGCTATCCTGTACATCGTTAGTAGTCATTAGCGAGATATCAATTGTTTGCATACCTGCGGTCAATGTCATCCATGATCTCAGCCGCATGACGTGCACTATGTGTGGCCTCCAAATAATCACCTACCCAATCAACTAAATGATCCTTGAACGTCCCCTTAATAATCTGGTGTAAAAGATCGGGAGATAAGAGCTCGTGGATGTCTGCTCGAGGAAAATCGTTCGTAAACGGCTAGTCAATTAGACAGGTGAGATTGGACCTGGCGAGTTTCAGCGAGCAACTTACAATGAGATCGGCAACGATGCCATACTCAAACCAGGCCTGTTTGTATGTTAGCCGTTCGACAAGCAACTCGGTGTGTGCTTCGCGTCGATGCAGACAAGGTTGAGCACCATCGAGGTCCTTATTATTTGCCAGACACCTATTATGATCAAATGAGTCATTACAAAGAGAAAGAAAATCTTGTGACATACCGCGGACACCAATTCTGCACGACGCCAGAGAGAATCAACTGCTCTGGATAATCCGCAATGTATGGGCCCAAGCCATACACCGTTCGTCGAAAGTGCCCATCCGGAAAGCGTGTGACGTCAAACGTTTCCATGAAGGGCTTCACAGACTCGAAAATCTTGGCAAGGGACCGCTGAAACAATTGCCGTCGAAAGTTTCTGTATTTGATGTCATCGTTATGTTCTTTCGTAGCTAAACAAATGAAGGTTATGATGCAATGATATATTTAGAATAATAACAAGCACGTACATTTTGGTATCGAAAGAAATCCAACGAGTACAACGCCATTGCGGTGTGCCCGTCGTACGCTGTTGTGTATGTTCCCGATTGAGAGATACAGCGGGTGATATTCAGTTTGGCCAGTAGCGACAGAAACGACAGTCTTGTCGCTGCCAATAATCAATGGCACGAATGTTGAACCATGATTTTCCTCATTTTGAGCAATAATATCCTGGAGACGACCATTAGTGTGCTAAAAATGTGAATATAAAAGCGTACCGCTTGGTTCCACGCCCAGTCACCCGACATGAAGTTCTTCCAGTACCGTTTGTCCTCGGCGGTATAATCACGATACGGGGAGAACTCAATTCCTTCATCAAAGGCAGAGTTTTCCAGCATGCTGCGTGTCATTTGCAATGGATCTCTATACCACACATCATATTGTCCATCCATCCACGGCGGTACGTCTCGTTCGGGTTTAACTCCGCTGTAGCACATTGTAAAGCTCTTCCAGGGGGTATCGCCAAATGGTGTTGCATCAATGGTAGCGTACATGTCCTTATGGTTTGCAAAAGGGGGAGCGTCGTTGTGCTTGATGAGAGTTGCGGCCCACAAGTCGAGAAGTGTATCAATCTGCTTTGCAGACATTTGATTGCGCGTGAATAAAAATTCTGCTGTCTCAAATTCCGCTCGATCGTTATAAGGTGTCCAGTCGGTTGGGGGTGCATTTGTGAGAGGCGGTGGGGGTGCATCCTGATCAATAAATGACCCGTTAGCATCGCATTTGAGTCCTAAGTCAAAACCTGAGTGATTAGTATGATGGACGTCTTGAAAAACACTCACCTGTGAGGTGCGGATGGAATGTGCGGAATAACCGCCCCATGTCCACCCAAGTACCTTCCTCAGGTACAAAACCTGCATCCTCCTGCTCACCCGCTATGTCTTGATGAAAATCCTCGTTGATAGCCCGGTTTTCACCTTCTGGTGTGGGAGAACGACTCCTTGGAGGTATAAATCCGGGACCTGCAAGTGGAGCCGTGAAATTGAGGTCTCGCTGTATTTGTGGGGTGCCGTGCATTGTATGCGTGTGCTGAGTGAGGCCAGACTTGTTTTTGAAGACCCTGTTGCAGCTAGGAAACCGACAAATGAGCCTGGTGACAGGTGGGGCCATGCTGAGCGGTGAGTGGTCGCAGCAATGGATACGAGGAAGCGGAGCATGTAGGATGCAGACTAGTGCCAAGTGTGTGAATCAGAAATTATGACATATTCAATTGAATAAATAACAACCTTGGCACCTGCGATTCATTGCCACTTTTCTGCTAGCGTCCATATTCCTTCAACGCCTCACTGCCAACGTTCCTTCAACAGCTTGCCCCTCCGTTCTCTACACATGCCTCGTCCCGCAACACGCCCTGGGAATGCCAACAAACATCCCGGACAGATAGTTCTTGAAGCGAATCGAGTAGCGCGCCCGAAGGAAGTAATTGCGGCTGAAAAGAAAAAGATAGCAGCAGAGAAAATAGCGAAGACGACTGCCTTGGATAATGCTCAAAAGCAGGTCGCTGCGAAGGAAGATGCCATGGCTATCGAGCAGATGGCTCAACGTGCTGGCCCTGGACACTTGGTCAGACCAAAGCCTAAGCCACGCCCAGTGACAAAGGCAATCACAGCGTCAACTGAAAACCCCAAGGAGATGCGTAAGCATTACACAATCTATAATGTTGTTGCAAAGACTTACCAATTCTATACCATTTATACAGCTGTTGGGGCAAATCCAGAGCCTCAAAGCACCGACATTCCCAAGAAGAAACACCCAGGCTTAAAACTCACCTTCAAGGATGGTGTCAATGCCAGTCGAAAGGTGTCCAACACCGGTGTGTCATCCTTGAGTCAAACACGTGTTGGAAGTGCTGTTGGTGATGGGAAAGTCCGAAAGTCGCTGTAAGTTCAACTTGACTGTGAATCTGCGATGTTACTTTTATCAGAGCTGACTCTTTATTACTTTGACGTGTTTCACTCACTAAAATGTAGCGCATCTCAATCATCCATACCTTCAGAGGGAGCGGGAGTAGGGAAGTGGGCCAGAAGTGTGGCATCGAAATCCCAACTGAAGCCTTCTGCGCCACCAAGTGCGCGTACCAGTGGTAGGTACAGTCTGATTTTGTGTACATCGCTAACGAATTTTCAGTGATCGCAAACAATGATGTGGAATGGGCCGAAGACGACAACCTACCTGAAGATCATGACGATAGTATGACTATGAGTCGGGGTGGACAGGTGAGTGAATCCATGCTCACGAATGAGGGATACTTGAATCAAGGCAGGGCATTGTTCATATTTTTCAGGATGCTGATGACACACCGAGGGGACGAAAACGTGGATTGTCCGCGGCCTTTTTGGGCGACCTTGAACCCGAAGAGCAGCATGAAATGGAGGAAGACCCAGATGCCGACGCTGATGTTCAGGATGAGGATGTTGACATGGCGGATCAGGTTGACATTAAGCCTGAGGTAAGTACTAGTGGGCCCTGTGAGATAGATGAATTGCTTACCATGATTCTGGAATCTTTTAGGTCTACGAAGTGTCAAACAGTCGGCTCACGTCCTCTGTAGGCAGAATCTACACTGGTAGCCTGACCACACTGACGAATTCCCTTGCAGATGTCAGTTAACGTTATGGAGACCGTAACGGACGACCAGAAATCCAAGTACATCAAAACCGAAAATGGACGCGTGCCACGCACACTCAATCTCAAGAAAGAAAAGCCAAAAAATGCCCACTTGCCCACTGGTGCTCAGAACACGACCTTTCGTTCTATGTTTATTCCAACGGTCATGTACTGGGTCGGAAATGGCAGCTATCCGTGGACTATCCCCGACAACGAACTTTCAGACGTTCTCGAGGATATCTACCACGCGGTGTATAACGAACCTGGAGACTTTGAGGTCGATGGCTGCAATGGCGCCTTCAATGTTGTGAGTGAATCCCTATTCCAGTACTATTAGTTGACTACTATGCTGGCAGGTATGCCAAAGGCTCTCTGAGTGGAGAGGATATTTCGGCTCCACTGCTGTCACCATTCTCATGACATTTTTCGTCTCGATGGATGAATACGAGACCAAGGAGGCGCGGAAAGCATACGCCGAATATCAACTCGAAGATTCACGCTTCGTGTATGAAGATCCAGATAACGAAGACTCGCCTGGAGCTTTCTTATCGGAATTCATTTTGCGCACCTTTGCCGTTCACCTCAGTGCCATCCAAGGATACCAGAAGTGCGACTCGCTTGACTTTGGGTTACCTGGGTATGCAACAGCCCTTGCACTGACCACAGCAGCCGTGAGTTTTCCATCGCCTTTACAAAACTTACTAACATATCATTTGCAGGTCGAGCGTGCACTTATTTTGGCTCGCGATGACCTCATCGAGAAAGATACTTCGGACAATGGGAGACACAAGGTCATGTTAACGCTCAATCCCGCCACGAACAAAATGAGTCACACAGGCACCGCTTTCTCTTCGGGCAATTGGGAGACTGATACGATTGCGTACATGGAGCGAATTGAGGAGCTGCCCTTCGACCGCGTGAGAGAAATCGTTGAACGATCTCAACCGTACATGAAGCGTGCTCGCCGCCGGGGTCAAGACGAAGACACTACTCTCGGCGGTGAAAGTCGGATCCCTGTGAATCCACGTTCACGCATTCGTATCTGTAGTATTTGTTTCTTTATCTTGCATTTTCTTGCTCTGACACCATAATATTTGACAGAACTTGGTCGGCTACTATATGTGCGCTTGTCTCCCCGCTTTGATCATCAATCGCTTCAATCGCTTCAAACGCTGCTCGCGCTATTCATCAATTGCTGTCATACACATTTTCTATATTGTTTTTCGTCATTTTCATAGAACACCTTGTCATCCTTTTTTCGCCTTAAGCTACTTTGGTTGCCCCATGTCTGGTTGAAATAATAGTATCCTTAACTGCCTTATCTGCCTGATTTTAAGGAAAAAGCTCCTTATTTCCTTAATGTAAGGAAATGGATCTCCTTATTTTAAGTGTAAAAAACGGCCTTAAATTTGCCTTATTTGACGAATTAAGGAATTTAAGAAGCGCATAAGGCACTCGATGATTTCCTGATGTACTCACCAGGTGCGCCCAGGCACCTGCACGTTTGCTGATGTAGTACAGCAGATCCTGAAGGAGCAAGGTGGGTTGCTGTAGGAGACGCTGCCATGGCATTCGATCCTCTCTCGTCGCAAGGTATGATCACGGCGATGAGAGTGGGTTGTGCTGTAGGCACTGCCATCGCACAGGAGATTTTGGCACCTGGGTCAAAGGATTTAACCTCTGGGATACGGGAAATCTACTCTCAAGTTTGGTCCAAATACGTCAAGGAAAAGCGGTACTTTTACAGTCAGGGAAAGAGGTTTAATGGAGAATTCTGGAGAGCAAGAGAGTAAGGTGCTCGATTGAACATCGTTGCGCCGACGTGCGTGAGAGGTGTATGATAGGCGGAGTATAGGTTCATGTATGTTATAATCATGTTTAGTAGATCATTATCAACTAAGACTGCAAGTCTACCTTACCCTCTTTACCGTCTGAGTCCTGAATAACTTGGCACAGTTCCCGCTAAATATTGACCGCCGTCACTGGCAGATGTTCGGGTTTGTGCCAAAGTGCCAGTCTGGGCGGAGGACGAGCGCATGTTTTATTTTTTTGATGACAGGCGTAGATATTTCTGGCATCCCATGTCAAACTTCGCGTCTCAAGCTTGAATACCTAACCTGCATCACCTGTCTGCCAACGTACATTAGCGAGCAATCAACAATGTTTAGTTGTCGAAAACAAATCATTCTACACAGAAAGGTAAATAACACGCTATCATAATGGCAAGCTACAGGTACAGATGAGAGACTCAACAGATGAATTAATCAACGAACGAAGTATTTCACGAAGACTGCGCCTCTGGGTGTTCGTCAACTACCGCTAGGCGAGATGTTCCTGCCTCCGGCTGTGACTGACCAGCCATTGATTTCAATTCAATTGCTTCGAGCTAATCCACTTGAGGGTATGTATATGTCGTGTAAGCTAACTGGTGCGAGTTGGGTGAGAGGACAAGGAAAGAAGGAAAATCAAGATCGAAGGAAGCGAGGAGTTGGCGGGACTCGAAGGCCCAGAGTTTGATGGATTGGTCAAATGAGGAGCTGGCGAGGAGAGCGCTGTCGAATGAAAGTGCTAAACCAATCAGATTCGGTGTGCCCTTCGAAGGGGGTTCCGACAGTCTCCAACGTCGAGGCGTCGAACTTGTAGATTGTTGGGGCAGGCATCCTCATTTGTGAATCTGAATGCGGCCAAGATGTTTTTGTTTTTGTTTGTCCAAAAAATTGGCACATATCCGAATCCTAGAAGTTCACTGGGTTTCCCTACACTCACGTCCAATTTCTGCGATTGAACTTCCCAGACCTCAAGGCATGTCCCCGGATCCGACTTGATTGCGAGCTTCTTTGAATTCGTCGAGATTCGAACTGCGCCCACGTAATCAATGCTCTTGAATGGACCAGCGACCATTTTGCCATCCTCCAAATTCCATATCTGCGCTGTCCAATCTTCAGCCCCACTCGCCAGCAGTTTGCTGTCCATGGAGATATCAATACAGGTGATCTTTGCTGAGTGGCCTTCGAACGTTTTCACGATCTCCGTCTCAACCTCACAGGCTTTCAGCTCCCCGGTTTCGTTATCTCCACTACCAGTGACAACCCATCGACTATCACTTGATACCGCAATTGCCATTACCTCCTCCTTGAAAACATCCCGCGCTTCCTCAATCTCCTTACCCACCTTCAGATCCCATTGCCGAACGGTCTTGTCCCAACATCCGCTGATCATTCGCTGGCCGTCAGGAAAGTAGGACATGGACTGGATGAACTCTCCGTGGCCCTTCAAAGTCATTGTCGGTGTCAAAGCCTTCGTCGATGTGGAAGCCATGGCCGAGTCTCTGTGAGCGAAACCGTTGAGTAGGGTAAAGGTGTTCTTTGGATGTGTTTGATGTTGCGGTGCGCTCTCCTCATGCGCTGTGGGCCTGCCGTTGATCGTCATTTGAAGATCCCTTGCTCGAGAGCACTTTGCCTCTAGTAGAGACGATTGTCAGTTCATCCGCGCTGGAACTGATGAGAGTTGATGTTACCATGAGGCAAGCAATGATAGAGAAGGAAAGCGTGCTACAACGTGAGTACTGCTGTAATTTGTTTCTCCTTGCTTTTGGCTCACAGCCATGAACAAAATTCCTGTGCTACAACGCCAATCTCGATTCTCTTTCCCACCCGCCAGTGTTACTGTGTGCCCCTGGCGTACCTGAATGGCCCGATACTGTAGCATTCAACCAACCTATATTCAACCTTTCCGTTGTTCAATCTTCGTTTCAATTTTGCTTTGTACGCCAGCGAACGCATGAACAGTTGCCATTGACGTTGTACAGGGACAGCAGAGACCACCTTTCCTCGCCCCATTGCCTCAGCCATTCTCGAATACACGTTCATCCAGTCTTTCTCACTTTCCTGGCGCCCTTCACTGAATTTTGAACGTATCTATAATGCTGCAGTGCAAAAACGAAGGGTCCATCCCCAGAATTACAAATCTTCAAAGCGACGCGAGAATCATCTTGCAACCAACAGTCTAAGAACCCTCTATCCATGGCCACTGCTGCGTGGCCGACGTATGACTAGGACGGAGCACCACGCTGATGGAAGTGATGTAGAGCTATATGGGGAGAGAGCGTCTGATCACAGCGCTAGCACTTGCGGAACACTCTGCGTGAAATTTGGGTGTGCTACACCTGCAAACTCACGAGTGGAATCAGTCTATCACTTCAAAAAAACATACCGCTATGATCTGACACATCAAGGCCAACAGCAGTGTCAGGCTGCATGGTACCTTTAACCAGATTTTTCGGTTCGTAGCGTGAGCACTAGCCTTCATCTAGAAAGATGTCTCTCTGAAAGAATACCCGAGTTTCGGTCGTGAGACTGGCGCAAGCGGACAACCAGTGTACGATTACTGGGTGGCTTTGTCAGCAGGGAGCTGCACCTGGGGATGAGGTACCCCACTCTAGGGTTCTGGAGCAGCTTTCGCTGTGCCAGTTCAACCTGCTCTCGAACCCTCGAATAATGGTAAGGTGGGGCATAATGATATGGAGGAGGTATGAGTAAGAGGTTGTCTGGATAATCTCCCTGCGTACCAAGCACCCTTCGGCCACCATCTGATGCTGAGAAACATCGGGTGCAGATGGAAGAGGAATAGCCGGAGGCCTCATCATCTGTTGGATGACAGGAGGCACACCAGACCAGGACCGGACACCGTATTCGCCGTTCTGTAGGCTGTAGCAGCCGGCCTAGGTGCCACAGGCTGGTATCAGTTGGATACCAGCCCGTTGCACCTCGGCTGGCGCAACTGAGTGTATGGTTGATACTGGGGGTGGGGTCGATGCTGGAGGTGGGGTTAATGCTGAAGGTTGGGTTCAAACTCAGGGTATGGTTCAAATTTGGAGTGGCGTTTGGGCTGGGGCCGGGGTTGGGACTGGGGGTGGAACGTTGTCGGCGGTGCTAGCCACTAGCCTGTGCGAGGACCAGATGAGTGACAGCGGGTGAAGTCAGTGCACAAGAGCAACACAATGCACAACTTAGATAGCAGATGCGAAAGGAAAAATGCGATCGATGTAGAAGAGGAAAGGGATACAAATGGCAGTATTTAAACTATTGGAATACTTGCCACTTCAGTTTGTTGAGTAGTGGCTCGGATGCGTTCCTTCCTTTGTCACTTAGACCGCAACTTTTTACCCAGACTAAGCGACACAGATACAAAGGAATGCATGAACAAAGCTTCGATTCTGTCAACGGATAATGGTACAACATCAGACCACTATATTCACCCACACGGCTGCGGAAATGTTCAATCAGGTCAGAGCAACTTTCCCCTTTGGCTGAGTATGATCTTCGTGCATATGTATCTGACAGATACTGCCGGCAGTCAGTAGCATCGAAAATTGCATGCTCGACAATCTGATTGACAAGATTTATCAACATAAACGCATCGGACGCGACATCACACCAATGAATATATGTCCAACCACTAATACAAGGGCGCTTCACTCCAGTGCGTCCAAGTGGCGTCGCATATCCGGGCCGCTAGGAACAAACCACAAGTCCGCAGGAGTTCACACGGACATCGAATGCGATCTCCGTCCCCAGGCAGCACGCAACCTATCACAGAACGGTCAGTCATCGTGCTCTTAACAAGCAGATACAACTTACTGCCACCGGAACAAAGCATTTCACATTAATTTACGACAATTGGGTTTGCAACTCAGAGACGGGTCTCTGCCGGGTCTTGCCTGCTTAACAAAAATATTTGCATTGTAGGTAGTCCATGTGGAAACCGACAGGTCAGCAGTGCACGTGTGGCAATGTGGCCCAACCCGACGAGCACACCACCGTGACGGTCTGCCGCACACTCTCAGCGTCCGCAAGCGTGGAGTTAACTTCATGCATGCGGTGGAACATGTGAAAGGACCACGCGATCGAAGGTCAAGGTAAAGAGACGTACTAAAGTCAAGCGTGACGAGTAACTTTGTCTCATAAATCACCTCGCAAATGTAGCATCCTTCGCGGAAGGTAAGGTCGCCGTGCACCTGTGGAATTTTGGCGAGTCGTCGTCGATTTGATATTTGATGTGACTTGGAATGAATGTGTAAGGATACATTGTCTGCCCACCGTGCGCTTGGGCATTCCTACGACGGATCAAAGTGATTGTGTATCCAACAACTCCCAGTAAAACCGGATAACCGCAGCATAGATGGGTCTGCACAAGCCAACGCGTTTCTTTCCCGCGGGCCGTTCATCGTTGCGATCAGGCCATGGGTGACAGGTGCGTGTCTTAGCGACCCGGGAAGTGGTTGTTGATGAGGGAAAAATTGTTGTTCCACCGTATCCACCGGATGAGGGGTTGGCATGTCAGGGAGGGGACTCATACACTGGACTACGTGAATAGAGGTTCCCTACGCATTGAACATTCGTGTCTCTTGTAAGTTCATTGTGCCGTGGTCACCTTCACTGTTTTTGTGAAAAGTTCGTAGGAAACTGATAGCGGAGTACGTACTACATTCGCTTAGTAAGCACATGTATGTCGTCCGAGTTCTGACAAAAAAACCTTGAACTCATACATATGATCGCCATGTCAGTGGTTATGTTATCCTGCAGTACGTCTTTCAAAGTTTGTTGCCAATGTTTCCAAATATTGTCTGCGGGTGTTTCTACACCGAATCAGTCTACTGTGACTTCAGAAAGGTTCAGGTTGGCAAGTCTTGTCGCATTCCACGTTCTGCATGACTCGATGAGAGCGCTCTCGTTAATCGAACCAATTCCACGTCCCTTTCCTCGCCATATAGACGACTTCCAACACGACCCCACGCGACGCACACCTTCCCATATCCTGGTCAAAAAAACCGCCGAGTATTTGGAATGCAGCAAGGGAAGACCGAAGTCTCGCATCTCACACTCAAGAAGGAACGACCACCTCCATTCGTCTATTAAGCTCAGGATCATTCCCCGAGCCCGAGGCAGCCACAACTAGGGCATGCATGGGCGTTCGACGCGGAAAATTTCCGGGGACTTCCGCTTCATCGACAACACAAGTCTCAGCAAAGCTGTCGGATTTCCAAATATCTCCTCTCGAAATCGTCACCCACACAGACCGACACCACATGCTCATTAACAGCAGCAGACACTGTCTCTGCCAAAGCATGACAACCCTGAAATGCTCCAGTCTATTGCACCACGTTACATTTCACATCCGTGTCACAGGCCAATCACGCAGCAGCTGAGTCAAGAAGGCAAATTCCAGGCTGTACTTGAATATTCTAGCGTTCTCTACATGAAGTGTGTAGAGGACCGTGCAGGCATTTGCGAGGTTGCTGCTGATGGGCAATGTTTTTTTTACTCTCACCTATTTCATTAATCTTCCTAAACAGTACTACACGACAAGATTCTCGGCCAGCGACCTCTTACATTCCTGTTCGGTGAGGAATGGCCTTATTCCCAACTCCCGTCGTATCTTTACCTGAACTTTCCAAGAAGAATCAAAACTCGCCTATATATACGTCTACGAGAGCCATCCATCGAGACATTTTGGGTGGCACGCTTTCAGTTCCCTGCTATGTCGTGCCTACTTCCGAATCGCTCTCATTCGGCGCGTTCACGACTCAGGTGGGTTCGGATATATATCCCTGCGAGGATGCGAGTGTTGACAGCCGTGATCTGATTTCGACTTGCAATTTTCAGTCTCAATCTACGACACGACCGCCTGGCCTCCAGTCGCCTGCTGCCGCTTCCACTAACCTCAAACCACATATCAACCTGGTAGTCTCTTCGTGTGGATCATGCATGAAGCCGATTATCGATGTTCCTCTTACACTGGGTAAACAGGTACGTTCAATTGCTTTTCTCGTCCAAAATCACAATCCACAGGAGCCCAGATTAATACTGGAGAACTTGGAAGCAGCCGCTGGCGCTTTTCAAGTTGCCTGTGAATCAGCTTCAAAGGCGTTCCCTGATAGTTCAGTTGCAATTGTAGTCCCTTGTCGTGTCTCGTATGGTCGCTACACCCCTTGAATCGCATCTCATCACGAATTGGTGACATTCTATTTCGCCCAACCAAAAGCATTACGTGGATTAGCGCGCAGGACTTCCGGGATATTGATCTCGGTTTAGCGAAGGTACACCGCATGCGCGGATGCACCGTTGATCCAAATCTGCCAGAGAGGATAGAATGCAGCTACTGGTTCGTTTTTCACAGAGACAATATTAATAGACGTTATTCACTCCGGAAGCTCTTACTACAAAATAGCAAAGAACCATCACTGATTGAGAATGTGCTGAATCTATCTCGTTCATGTCCTGGATTCCGGATTCGAAGTTTCAAGGACGAAACAATATACAAACGACACGTATCGATGTGCATAGAACACGGAATGCGAGGAGCGACATGTAATCTACACTGCGCGGGGGATGCCAGCGCACAATGCTAGAAGCAAAAACAACAACGGTCGTTTCCATGCGTCCCGGTATTAAGTGAAGGGGTAACATAGTCTTCCTCACGGATATATTCATTGTCAGGGCCGGGAGCACCTGCTGCAGCATTGCGCTGCGATTCAATGAATGAGACCTCAGTGATAGCAGTAAAAACGAACCAAGCACACCAATTGACCCGGCGCGAGAGGGACATCAACAATAGGCGGAAGTGCATGACCTGCACGAACAGGCCACCAGGTTGATATATTTTGTAGGCGGGTAGCAAAGGTAGTGGGCGGCGTGGCAGACGATCGGGTGGTAGGTAGTGGTTGAGACTGAATGAAATGTGAGCCAACAATGTGATACCGGTAGCGGAAACTCACGCCGGAATTGATATCCAAACGTCCCTGAGTTGTGGTGCGCCCTGAGAGAGAGTGGAGTAGGAGCAACGTAGCAGGAAACTACATCGCGATTATCCAGTCAAATGAGAAATGAGCAAAAAAGGGGGACATACATCTAGAGGACCGCGAGGCTCAATATGATTGCGAACAGGAGGAATTGTGGCCGTACGAGAAGAGAAGGGAAGAAGTTTGCGGAGGCGAAGTAAAATGGGTTGCTGTGGGTTGATTGTAGGCGGAGGCCTCTGCACCGTAGGTATGGCGGGTATCGGTGGTTTGCGGTGCACTGCAGGAGGACGACGAGTTGCGTCAGACTGCAATGATAACAATGTATGAGTGGTGTAATGAGTAAAAGAATGAGGCACGTACATTTAAAAGATCATGGAGGGTTGACTTTTTGCGTGCATTAGTCTGTAAGGGAATATCAGAACACGAGCAGTAGATATTTTCGGGAAATGCGTACACGGGCCTGAGCAAGCACATTGGGCGGAATATCGCATATGTAAATGTTGTACCCATCGTTGTTCTTATCGTAACTCGTGTAAGCTAGTTTGCACGAGTCAGGTGAGAGGGTAAGGGTATGGGGAGGTTGAACGTCGAAGGAAGCGAGGAGTTGGCGGGACTCGAAGGCCCAGAGTTTGATGTCATCCCCAGAAGAGCTAGCGAGGAGAATGTTGTCGGATGAAAGTGCTAGACCATTGACAGTTTCGGTGTGCCCTTCGAAGGGAGTTCCGACAGTCTCCGACGTCGAGGCGTCAAATTCGTAAATTGTCGAGGCATGGTCATCTTCTGAGTCCGTCAAGCTGGATGCGGCCACGATGGTTTTGTTTTTATTTGTCCAGAAAATTGGCGCAAGCATCACACGCCCTCCGCCAATTTCCCCTATGCTCGCATCCAATTTCTGTTTTGGAATATCCCAGACCTGAAGGCACTTCCCCACTCCTGAGTTGATTGCGAGCTTCTTCGAATCCGTCGAGAATCGAACTGCGCCCACAAAATCACCAAACTCAAATGGACCGGCCACGAGTTCGCCGGTCTCCAAGTTCCCACCACACCCTGGCAGGAGTATCCATACTCCTTAGCCATAGTAACAGCATAGTTTTTGATACTCACCAAGGAATCCCTGGTGCTTCCTTTATTGATACTCTTCCAGGGAGTATGGTCCCTTCAGGTACTTCCCTTTATTCATACTTTGCTGGGGAAAGGTAGCACAGTTCCTAGCGCAGTTTCCCAGGCCCCACTGATCGGGGTAGATCTTACTGGTTCTCGTCCCTAGCACAGTTTCTCAGGCCCCACTGATCGGGGTAGATCTTACTGGTTCTCGTCCCTGGATTGTTTCCCTTTGTGGGCTTAAATATAGATCCTCCCCATCAATGGGCTTAAATATAGACCAACCGCCATCAAATATGTCGTCCCAATTTGGTAAACACGGAGAGTTGTTGAAAACATTAAACATAGCATTGCTATGCCATTGGGAACAGATAGGTGCTAGTTTATTGTTTGGAACAGATAGGTACTAGTTTGTTGTGTCAATAGCATGTAGTTAATCAGACATTAATGACAAAATACATCAGAATCACAGAAAAAAACATATCCCATTAGATAGCGGTATTGCACAATGACTGGGCAATGAGGCCAGGAACAATGCTCCAAATTGAAGAGCAGTGGTCACGCATCATCCTCCGAATGGCAGCTTGCCGATGTGCATACACTACTGCACCTTCATTCTCGATGGGCCCGAGCCACGTCTTGGATGTTGCACGTTCCACCCACCAGGCCGCATGCCAATCAAAGAATGTGAGAACGTGCCGCATTTCCTCTTGCAATAATTCTACCTCCTCGGACCATCGGTTAGCACGTGCACGAGCCTTGCACCACTCAATGCGCATAGCTGGAAAACAGGGTTCAGAAGAGAACTGGCTGAGACGGTGGGGGACAATGAGGTGAGCTTACCATCTGAAAGCTCTTCCTCTCCGGCGCCATAATGTTGCTTCCAAATCCATGATATGGAAACTAATCTTCACCCCTCAGAAATACTTTCCCCTGCTGCTTGGTCCTCCGTCATTCTGCGGACATCCTCTTTCTCGAGCACCGGGAACTCGGCCTTCCAGTCAATTTCAAGAAGAGGCTCAGCAAGAGCACTGAGGGAGGCCCAAGCAATGCGATATTTGGTGGCAGCAGTGTCAATCTTTTTCTGCACTGTGTCGATGATCCCACGTGACCTCGTGTGTCTGCGTTGACCGGTAATCCAGTCCTTCTTGAAGCCAGTAAGATGATGCTTGAGCCGCAGGTGCTGATGAAGTTCATGTAGTGCCTCGTGTCCCTGAGCTCTGCGAAGCTTCCATTTGATGAGCAATAGGTTTCTGTCACAAGATAGAGACCGGGTGACAATAGCTGAGGGCATCCAGAGCTTGATACTGTGGACGTCTTCTTCTGTATTATCAGAGGTAGCATCGATCATCTCACGAAGACGTACGACACACGGCATGTAAAGGGTTTGAATCTTGATCCAGTGTTCGATTCGACGACGAAGTGTGTTTGTCCGCTGCTGAAGTGTAGATAGCTCGATTTCAGTAGCGTGTGCACCTATGCTTGAGGTTTCATGAATAAGCTGGCGCCTGTCAACAAAAACAATTTGTAAATTACATTGAGGATCGGAGAATAATGGTACTTACTGCTGAGTCTCGAGCTCGATTCTGACAACTATCAGGACACTTGGTGAAACCTCAGAGTGCAAGGACATGTCGAGTCCGCGTTTGAGTTGGTTTGCTTCAACTTGTGAGAGCTCCAGTCGAACAGAAGCTTGCGTCATGGGTGAAGATGCTGAGTCGAATGGGTTTGCGTTAGATCGGTCAGTCTCCCAACCCTCTACCATTGTACGCCAGGTTGCGAGGCTCTCGGCTGGAATTGCATCTTCAAAATCGACAAGGTCCGAAATATGTTGATCACGTTGAGGGATGGCATCCTTGAGCTTTTGCAAAAGAAATACACCTGTTGAAAGCGCCAGTCAGATAACTATTGATGACGAGGGTAATGACTTACCAAAGTTAGACACCTTCCGCCAGTTCCAGTCGCCAAAGTGGTCGTCGAGCGCATCACACCTCGAACCAGCTCCCATCTCCCGTGTGCTAGTAGCCATGGGATTAATATTGGACCATCCGCGTTCGGGCGCTTCGCCATCGGTTCGGGCCATCCCTTTGATAAGATTGAAGGAGAATTTAGTCTGGCATGGAGCGACGTGGGCGGGGAGGTGGAATTTCGGCACGAGGAAGGTTATTGTCTTGCTGGTGTGCGCCAGATGAATGTTGGAGGGATACTGAGACATGCGCTCCCAAAGATGTTTGTTCCACTGGCACGCGATGTCATACGAGACGTTGACAACAACAATGTCGCTCGAGTGTGTCATTGTTGAAAAAAATAAGTAATCCATGTTAACATATCTCTCCCCCTTCTGGAGATCTCCTACCACCGAGGGACGCTTGAAGTTATGCCTTGCACAAACAACGGCACCAATGCCCGTCGCTGCAAGGCCGCGCACTCGCTTCGAATCCGCAAGGTTCACTGCGTTATGACTTGCGCAGCTGCTCTTCTCCCGTGTGAGCCCCGCGTGCATGTCTAGGACGCTCTTGAACCCGGAATCCTCAACAAAATATGCCCAGCCCTGACTAAAACTGGGATCCGCTTGCTCCGATGATTTGTTCCGACGACACATTCGAAAATTCGCGTCGATCCCGACAAACAGGCTATACAACCACCTATGTGGATCAAGATAAGCCCTCGTGTATAGGTGAATGGACTGGACTTACTGTTTTTCTTTAGGGGTGTCTGCCCAGTGTGGTGGAAGGTTTTTCCAGGTTGGGGACAAGCCGGGAAAACCACGGCAAGTTCGCCTGACTCCGTCCCCAAAATCCCAGAGATGTCGTGAGCCCGGCCTGCTCTTTTGAGGGCAATTAGATGGCGGTACTGGTGGCTAATGCGAAGGAGGGATTCGTAGCGGTCCTAGTATATAGTTAGTCATAATATGTATGAAATAGCGAAAGACTTACCTTGGGCCTCTTTGCGCCTGTGTTGTCAGTCAAGCGAGACAAAGCTTGATGATACTCGAATGCAGAACCCTTGGATTCGAACGTATACATTTGAAAATGATCTAGGAGTCGGAAGGTAGCAGCCGTTCGAGGGTCAGTACTTGTAGCAGGGTACCATCGAGCACGCAATAACTGAATGGCGTGAGTCTGTGCGGCTTCGCAGTTGCAAAAATCGAGCGCAACACTGTGAATACCGTTAGTGTTAAGAACTGTGAATTCGGCATCAAATGCTGGCACTGGGTTACAACATGAGACCCCCGGGGGATGCCTGAGTTGCATGCGTAGCCCAAGATCGCGAAGGGAGGTGCGCTGAAAGTATTCGCCTGTCCAGACCTGTGTGTAATCGAAGATCAGAACTTAGAAGGCAAATAAACTTTCAAAACAATACCTCGACATGATGCAGGGGCATGGCACAATGGAGAGCTACCACGCACGATTGACAATACATTTGAAGTCCTTCACAGTCGCTACAACAATATACGGGCTCGTTGTCACAGCCATGGAGGCCGTGACAGAATTGAGACAACATCGTGTCCCCACAGCTTTCGAGCCTGATGAATTTGCGAAGGAAAATGTCTCTCTCCAGAAGCCACAGTTTTTTAGGGTCGTCCTTTAATTGCAAAAAATTAGCGACAGGTAAAAGAACGTGAAGTGAGATGCACATACTCCTGGTGAGCGTTTGCTTGTCTTTCCGACTGGCTCTGGATTGAAGTTCGTGTCCGCAATATAATCTATATAAGCGTCTTCAACGACGAAATCAGTTTCCAACTCGGAGGGTGTAGAAATAAGTGTTGATGGCACATAATTAGCGGCTGGTGAGATTACATTGGGCGCAGAGAAATATGTCGTTTTGGCTAAAGGACGGAGTCTGTTAGTGACGTCAACAGACATGTGCGTGTGACATGAAGTGCCAGGCCCCGCATCATCATGCCCAGCTGCTGCAGCTTGTTGTGCTGCATTAGCAAGATTTTCTGCAATAAACTGGCGTTGATATTTGTCGAATTTGCGCTTGCGAGATGGGGCCATGATCGATCAACAAAAAAGATCGATCAACAGAAACGATTGATCAACAAAAAAAAGCTTGTCACGTGAGTACACAGCGATTCGAATATGTAATTAATGATCAGGGCCTCTGCCAGACTAAGTTATTGGTAAATAATGCATCGTCGAGGACATTTGGTCCTTCATCCATAAGCCGGAGAATTTCCTCCTCTGATGCAAGCCAGAGACGAGCACGGCAGAGGAGACGCGAACATTCGGTCATTAGCTGGACAGTACAGGGACCCTCCAAATTGGTAACTGAACTTGCCAGTGTCTCGACTTCTTCAAGTAAAATCCTCGCCTCCGCTAATTCACCCGTAAACCCAGGTCTAACCGCACTCCAGCCCTGTTCGTCCACATTTTGAAGAAGGGCAATAATGTGAGGTTCACATCCGTTGTGATTTCGGCTACCTCCAGTGTAAGTTCTGGTCCATAGGTCTTCCATAGTATGAAAAGCATCGAGGGTAGCCTATAAAATGAATAAAAATGTCTTAAACCTCCAAAATTATGAACACACCTCTGTAGCACCCTGACGCCGCCTCCATCTATGCCATGCTTTGATTCGTTCATAGCCCAGATGCCTTGCGTTTGAGTAATAGTTACTGAATTGAATGAAAAAGAATGAAAAAAAAACCACTTACCGTGCATAGTGTATACATTTTGAGTGTTTACATGCTTCTTTGTGCTCTGGCGAAGGCTTCCGATGCCACCCCATTTTTTTGGGTGAAGTGAGAGTGTGAGTGGTATGATCAGGAGGCGAAGTTTGCGGTGAGGCAAAGGTGTGGCAAATGCTATAAAGCACAAACACAATTACATAGTACTTACTTAGGTGGCACTGCCACAGCTTCGGGACAATTACTTTGGTAGCATTGTTGCATCGTGCGTGCTGTACTAGCTTGAGACGGGCTTCACCAGGCGTTAGAGTAGCATGTTTGCAGAATTATATACTGCTCACATTCAGAATTTTTTACATATCCCGAGACATCTTCATGAATGTACGCCCAGAGTCCAATTTGAACAACATTTGTCACACGACGGACTAGAATTTGGCTGTCTCAGGTGACAATGTATTTGTGAACAAGAAAATGTGATTGATTGACAAGAATATGACAAAATAGACTACATAGATACATCTACATTGTGCAGCGTGGACTCTCACATCATGCCGGCACCTGCATCACTCCACCAGCAGCCAGTGCCTCTGTGTACGCTCCTTCAGCAGCAGCACGAGTGGGGTGACGAGCAAAACATGCACCCGGGACTCCAACAACATGAATATGAGCACTGTGCCTAACAATTAGTTAGAGTGAATTCAAAGAAACACGGTTAGGGTGTCAGAGAACATACCAGCCCTGAAAGACGCCTGTCTCACGCCCAACGGTGATAGTGTACCAGCGTGAAGAGGCAGGAGGGTTGGCATGCGCTTGTGCCAGAGGCTGCGCAGTGACAGTTGGAACAGGTTGCGCAGCTGGTAATGTGGATGGTTGAGCGGTTTGCGCAGCTGAATCAAGTAATGTGGATGGTTGAGCAGTCCAGGCTGGAACAATGTCAGGAGGAGGCTGCGTCTGGGCTGGAACAATGCCAGGAGGAGGCTGCGAGACAGTTAACTCGTCGTCACTGAGGTCATCACCGGCAGGATCAGCCGCACCTTCATATGAAATCAGCGTCAGTGTTAGGTTTGATTGACATAATGACACTTACCGTCGGCTCGGGCAGGGCTATTCTGGGCAAAGGTCAACTGGTGGGATCCGTTGTCAATAGCCGCTTGTTATATATACAATCTCAGATACACAAATAAAATGATGACGAGAAAACTTACCATTCTGGCGTATCAGTTGTAATGCACTCCAAAGCTCAGTCAAGGTGAAGGTGTCGTCCTCATCAGGGTAGACCTTCATATTGATCAAACAGGAGGAATGTTGCGAATTTGAACTAGCTGTGAATGTTGACATTAAGTTTCTCATACACACGCGGCTTATAAGGCTGAAAAATAAACGCCTCATCTGATTGGCTGAATTGGAAATAGAGTTGAAACTCCGTCCTATATGGGGCATTCATACAAGTCGGAGGTGTCGGTGTTATCAAACATCAAAAAACATACTGTATGTGTGTCACACGATCTTGTATTGATACCTACTTACCTTGATGGGAACAATAGATGCCTGGAGCCTCGTGGACGACTCACGAACAGACTGTTTGGTTGAAGTCTAAGATGGATGGCTTCCGCTTGAGTCAGCTGCAGGGTTCTGTCTCCGCATACTTGAACCAGTTGTGCTTAGAATGGTTTGTGAAATGGCCAGAAGTTGGCATCCATTTCAAAGATAGCACAACTGGGATACCTCTTACCGAGGCTGAATTAATGAGTGATCAAATAAAAGAATTAGGTAAACTCGTTAAGCAGCGCAAGGGAGTACGTTACATACATTTTCATTTCGGTTCACAGCTAAACCACCTTAATGCAGCAACTGCGCTCTTACTGTTATCGAGGAGCGTCTTCTGCTGGTAGGGCACGCCACACCCAGTTCACCAAGACCATCACCAAGTTGATGGCAACTTCGACTGCTCGGACACGTGGACCTACCGCTGTGGAACATTTCTTACAAACGGACTACAAGGAAGACTCCTCGATCAAAGAAGAAGTTGCGGCCCAAGTGGAGAATGGTGAGTACACAAAAAACACCCGCATGTCCAGCATTCGTGCAGAAGCCAGCAAGGTGATGGCAGCCTGCGGCGAAGCCTATGTGATGCAGATGGAGGAGCAGGCGAAGGCCGAATGTCGGCGTCGTGCTGAAAGGGCAAAATGTGAACTTGAGGGGTTGCGGAATCCCTCAGACTCTCTCAAACTTCAGTACGTTTGTTTTTCGTTCACTCAAGTTTCTAAGTGCAGCTAACATACAAATAGATATATTCAAGGTTTGGGTGGGGTAGCCGGGCAACTACTAGAGACAATATTTGAGACAACTGGTTGGCACAGGAGCATATACCTAGGTGGCCCGGATCCACGTGCAAATGGGGACGTTCGTGTTTTCAGGTGAGTATATGCTGCTACCTCATTGGAAAAGGTATTCTAATGCGCGGACAGTTTTCACCATGGGAAGGGGAGCACTGGGTTCACCTTCTGCGACTCACTTCCCGACCACACCAAACGGATTGTTGAACCATTCACCATGTTTCTGAAGGGCGCATTTGGTAAGTACACGACCTTTTAATTATAAGTGAAATTTTAAAACTTTCACAGCTACTAGCGCTACATCTGCACCACCTGAAGTATTGGAGCACATCGACGTTTTCAGTGGGGTCGACACGTTCGATCCCACTCCTCTTACATTCGATCCCATCCCTCCAACAACTTCTGACTCTGTGCCCATCGTGGAAGGTGGAGGTGTATCCATACACCCCGCTGAAAACGAGCTTCGTACAATGATTCACCCAACTTCCCATGGCCCGCATGAGTATACATTCCCCAACAGTTCCTTCAATTCTGGGTTCTACGAGTCTCTCAACCCTTACCTTAGTTTACCTGAGCCTGAACCTGACACGGAGTCCGGCCTTCCAATACTCCCTCCCTCCCTTTCTCAGAATAGCCCAGACACGCCCATCACTGCATGGAAGAAGGACTTAGATGCTGGTAGGATTACCAGCTTTTCTCCACCTCGTCTTAGTGCCACCTTTGCGCGTGTGGCTTCACATAGTCCTTCTGGCCGCGGCAAGACAATACCCCGCGCGTGTCCTGTCACTTTGGGTAAAGCTAAGGCCCCTTCTATCTATGATCACCTCTGTGATTCAACATCAACGTCTCCCCGTGCACCTCCGGCAGTCCCGGTATCGACGGTTCCTATGGTTCCGGCTGTGCCTGTGCCTGCAACTCGCGGGTCTGCATCTCCCACCCCACCTCCGTCTGCTTCTGCTACTCTTACAGCTAACACGTCTGCACCTCCTGCCACACCTGCAGCGTCTCCATTTGCTTCTGCTGCTCCTGCAACTCACGGGTCTGCAACTCCTGCCACACCTGCAGCAGATGTGCCTCCGTTTGCCTATCCTCCTACCTCACCTACAGCAGTCGCGCCTGTAGCAGATGTATCTCTGTCTGCTTCTCCTCCTACAACCACGATTTATTTGGCGCCGAAGGCCCCCGTGTCTAACATGTCCACGAGCATCGAAATGTGCCCTGCCAGCACCACTGTGGACCAGACAACGGAGGAGGTGCACCCATTTGATGATGTACTCAATCAGTCGTTCCGTCGCGGCAGTCGAATGCGCCTCCCATCAACCCATCTGACGGATGCTAACAAGATTGGCAGCACTTCAAAGAGGTAAGTCAATTATTCTCAGTGTGGTGTAGAAGGGTCACAGCGTCTTTTTGCAGATCTCGCAAGTCCGTCGCGTGAAGAAGGCCACTGTAAGCTCATTGGGAGCATTTTCTCAATGTTCTTGTCACCATGTATATGCGCGCGCTGTCTTAATCTTGTACCATGTATTAATCAATGCAAATATATTCATTCTTGATGATACAATTGTTTGATTGGCGCCAACAGCACATGCTACTGTATTGATACATGATGGGCCCAGGACTTACTAGTAGCGAAGCATGTTGCTTTTAATACTGTACAGTCTACAGGACTTAGCAAAATTTTGGTTGCAAATGGCACGTGCTAATGTATTGATACAACGAGAAGACGAGAAGCAGACAGTCTACAGGACTTAGCAAAATTTTGGTGGCAAATGTCACGTGCTTATGTATTGATACAATGAGAAGAAATATCATAGGGTCAAATGTCACATGCGTATGTATTGATACAATGAGAAGAAATATCATAGGGCTTGTTTTGGAATGCGTCAATCTAAAGAACCAAGGTATGCGACATATTTAGACAGGATAAGAAGGTGTATCCTAAATAGGAACAGAAAACCGAAGGTATGTGATATATTTAGATGGGAGAAGAAGGTGTATCCCAAATAGGATGGGTGAGGAATGCTCGGCTTGCTGCTTGCCGGATAATTGATACCGAGAAGCGCAGAAGCACGGCAGGAATTAAGGTACATCCTGAATAGGATAGCCGGTGATGCCCGAGAAGCTGTTTTTCAGCCCTGGCATGAGTATTGATACAGAGAAGCCTGTATGCATACTGGCCGAAAAGCTGCTTTCTAGCCCTTGCATGAGTATTGATACAGAGAAGCCTGTATGCATACTATTGTAGGGGCTGGGGATCCTCGCTAAGTATCAAAAACTGTCCTGTTACTATCCCTGGGTTTGTATTGATAAATATGCCAGTATACCCACAAGTTCCATATTCGCGCTGTAGAATCCCATGACCCACTCGCCAGCAACTTGCTGTCCGTGGAGATATCAATGCAGGTGATTATACTTGAGTGACCTTCAAATCCTTTCACAATCCCCGTCTCAACCTCACAGGCTTTCAGCTCCCCGTGATTGTGATGTCCACCAGCAGTAACAACCCATCGACTATCCCTTGATACCGCCACTGCATACAACTTCTTCTCGCAAACAACCCGCGCTTCCTCAAGCTCCTTACCCGCCTTCAGATCCCATTGCCGAGCGGTCTTGTCCCAAGATCCACTGATCATTCGCTGGCCATCAGGAAAGTAGGATATGGATCTAATCGGCCCTCCATCACTCGAATTCAAAGTCTTTTTTGGGTTCAGAATCAATTTAGTGGCAGCTGCCATCCTCAATGTGGAAGCCATGGCTGCGTCTCCACGAGAGAAACTGTCAACTAGTAAAATCCAGGAGGTGCTCTCTGGATGCGCTTGAATGTACGGTGCGCTCTCTTTGTGTGCTGTAGGTCTGAATGTTGGTCGTTTTGAAGATTCCCGCTGGAACACTTGCGAGAGCAGTGTGCCTCTAGTAGGTCTGATTGTTAGTTCAGCTACGCTGCAAGTTCAGGTGAGAGTTATCAAGAGGATGAGAGAGGGAAGAATTCTACAATGTGAGCACAGCAAGACGGGCTATTTCTTAAATCTGCACAGGAACTTCGCTCGTGGGTGTGAATACAAAAGCTAGAGCGTCAATCTCTTGTTTATTTCCCACATTCCAGTGTTGCCGTGTGCTTGTGGGACCCTGCTGCGTCCAGATGACCTGAAAAATGATTCATATGCCGTAGCATTTCATCTTTCCTCGTTGTTCACTCGTCATCCTGGCAGTTTTGTGTGGGGACAGCGCGGAGATCCCTTATCCCATACCCTCAACCGTTTTTGGCGCACGTTCATCCAATGTTTTCTCGCTTTCCCGGCGCATCACTAACCCACATCACCTTTCAACATCGTCCATTTTTGCTTTTATCAGGCCCTGATCACGCCGAAAGTCAAAGGCGGTGCAAATATAATCATGTAACTACCGTCACACGAGACCCGCTCTCCCAGGCCACAGCTGCGAATACTGATGTACGACTAGAGCATGCACATAGAGAGTATATTGAAATGACCAATAGAGTGTAGGCAGAACACTCACTGCAGTATGATATCATCAGCTGGGTACTCGCCTCGCAGAATCAGTCTCGAATATTTGTTGTTAATTTCCAGATCTATTGACTATGTAATCTCGCACAGCCACCGCACTTTGAGATTAAATAATGGGAGAGGAATATGTAGGGGAAATTCCAAATAACCAGCAGATTTCAATGAGATAAACATACAATAATGACAATCACTGCATTTTGTGCCTGTCTGATGGCCTATGGGAAGATATAGCTACTTATAGTGGACTAGAGTCCCCGAACGGTACGACGACCTGACGGTTGCCAGTGCACGTGTACCTCTGTTCAGGTTCTCCTGCTTTGACTGTGTCTACCATACGCAGAGGATTTCTATCGGGCCCCTGCGACCAAGGAAGAGATTAGGGAAGATCAGGTGAGGGATCCTCATCCCAGGTATGCGGGAGGATGATATCCTTTTTGTACCGCCCTAGTAACGAGATCAGTGCAGATCTTCTATCCAGCTGTACAAGCCCTCCGACGTAAATATATCCAAATCAATCAATCAACGACTCGGAAATTCAAATTTTAACTTGATAACGTCCTTACCTTCTACTACCACTATGTCTTCAACTCAGGCTGATTCAGATATTGTTGACTGCACCGACAGTGCTGATTTCCGCGACAACATTATCGTTATGGAAGTCGACAATCTCCTCGTAGGATGGCCGGCATACGAAATCAAATTCACGCCTAAAAAACCAGGTCCCGTGGTAAGTACTAAGTAGACACATTCAGTTGGTTGTATGCTAACAATTCTCCTATAGAAACTCATCATTCGTCTGAAAGATGCTGTCAAATTCATGCATGTTGAAGAGTCCACTGACAGTGAAGCTGAGTTGTTGTTTTCGAGCAATGGACGGAAGAGGGCCCGCAAGAACAAGAAAATCAAGACGTAAGTATTTTGAGTGTTCTCGTTCCATGTTCCTACTAACTTATTTACAGTGGCTCCGCTATTGAAGCAAACACGATCATGAACACTCTCGCAGCTCTCAAAATCATGTCTACCAGTTCTGAGTAAGACCTTTTTTTTTAATCTTTAAATCACAAATTAACACAAAACGCATCTACAGTAGTACCTTGTTCCACGCGAATCCTGTACGATTGGTCGGAATCAGGGAGCGTCCACCTGCTCCTGTGCGTGTTCCTCTCAAACCCAAGTTTAGCGATGACAACATACCATGGCCGCCTATTTGCCCTCGTCACGCTCTCAGAGATATCAAGACGGACGAAGGAACTAACCTGTTTGAGATGATCAAAGCCATTCCTGCCGCTGTTGCCCCTGACAACACATACACTTAGAACGCTCCTCGCAGCCCTTGTATTTGTTTGCCTAGTACGCCTTTCGCATGTTTTCACTTCCATTCTCGCATGTTTTTGCTCACATTTTCGCATTGGACATTCATCATATAAATTACATGCCCTGTACAAATGGTCGCTGCGCACCAAATATTGTAATATCCGTCTAACAGCATCGCTAGAAAATCTGTAAACCTTATGTTCCTCGATTCGGTGATGTCCGGTGTAATCACGAACTCCTTTTTGCTAAGTACGCGATGGATTGAACTTGGCAAACACCTCTCAGGCTGTACAAGTACCCTTAACCCTTACCCATCAAGACCCGCCTGAGCACTCTCTACACCTCGCACATGGCCAAGAACAAGAAGGAGAAGAATCGAAGTACGAAAAGTGATGTAAGTACATCTTACATTTGAGAAATCTCGCTGTTACTGACAAAAATCAACTAGTATGCGACTTATCACAAAACTGAGGTTTTTTGCAAGTGTTCCGAATGTACTGGAGAATGCGGTCCCAAGGGCAAGTCGATACCGAAGTGGAAGGAACGGGAACATCGCAAGAAGGAGGGGGAACGCAAGAAGGCCCCAAGAATGCGTTCAGAGTCCATCAAAACCATCGAGACACTTGCTGCACACCAGATAATGCAGCAACCTGAGGCGGGACCCTCTCGGCATGTCGTAGAAGGTGCGTGGAGACTGACTCTGGTGGACGATCATCCTGATCAGCTACAGCAACACACCACCATCCTTTTCGATTGTCTGAGCCACCTGAGCTACATCATTCACCCTCTCCACAGCAGCTCGAGTCTGCTCCTGATATGGATGTAGATGATTTTGACATTGGCGAGAGTTGGAACGACCTGCCCGATGTTGGAAGTGCGGTTCCTAGTATTGAAAGAATGATCGGAGAGACTTCTGGAGTCTCTGCATCTGGGGATTCAGCTCCAGAGCCCCAGCTTACTACCCTGCGTGCTGATGATGACTTCGCTGATGATTTATACAGTGTCGACATCGATTTTATACCCGACGATGGCCAGGATGATGTGATGTTTCTCGATGGTGGTCACAACGGCTCACAGGCACTGGTGGTGCCCACCCAAACTCACAATCCGCAGATGCACCTGGAAGATGCCACCACCCATGAAACGACCGTCGAAGGGGAGCTAGTGCTGGAGCTTCCTCGTCCCCCTTCAGTAGTCTTAGCTGCAGCATCCCCTCACTGGTTTTGGAAAATCACCCTGCTGCTCATCGCGTGGCTAAATCTTCACTACCATCTGCCGCATCTCGCGTGCACTCTTATCCTCAAGATCACAAGACATATCCTTGTTGGCCTCACTGTACTCGCACCTGACGAGAAGGTAGCCGGGTCGCTCAATACCGTATTCAACCACCTCGACATCAAGGATAACTTTGATATTCACCCAGTTTGCCCGGTTTGCCACCGCATTTATCCTCACGATTCTCAAGGTGACGCAAAATGTTTGAATTGCTCTGAACCTTTATTTGAGCCCAGCGCATCAAGAACCAAACCACGGCCATGTCTACAGTGTCCACAGAATCCACTCTTGAATGCGATCCTTCGTCTTCTCTCTCACGCAGGAATTGAGGAGGAACTTGATGCTTGGCACCATCACGTTCCAGAACCTGGGAAGCGCGCGTCGATTCAAGATGGAGAGATATGGAAAACCATCAAGGGAAACGATGGCGAGCTCTTCTTCGACAATAGTCCAGAACGTCCCGACAAAGACGAGCTTCGCATTGGTATCACACTAGGATTCGATGGGTATTATTCCTCCCCAGCGACGCTATACTCTCTGCTAATTGTTGATCTTAGATTTGGTTATCAGCGCAGTCGTAATGCAGGAACGCACAGCTCGGGCATCCTCTCAAATTGTATTGTGAACTTGCCGACACATTTGCGGTACATACTTGCTACAGTTGATGTTCGCTTCCTGACTTTGAATACTCGTCTAGATACCGACCACAAAATCTGATGGTCTTTGGTATCACGCCAGGGCCAAAAGAGTTTGATAGTGATGAGTTACAATTTTTCATGAAAAACTACGTCGACAACTTAATCTCACTCTACGAAAATGGAATCGTGGTCAAGATGCCAAATTATCCCAACGGTACACCATCAAGCAATTCTCTAAGTTACTTCAGCTAACACGATGTGTCTGCAGGCCGTCGAGTTCGTATGATCCTGGTCGCCGTCTGCGCTCTGTAAAGTCTGCGGGTTCGGAGGTCATCACAAGGAAGAGGGATTTTGCACTAGGTGCCACATTAAACGCAGCGAGTTGAAGACGAGGGATGCAATGGACTATGATAGTAAGTCACCTTTTACTTGTGTGAATATAACTGAATCTATTCAATCAGAATTTCCTCCTCGATACGGGGAGGAGCATACAAAACGAGCCCAGGAGTATCTGGACCTGGATGACAAGGAACGCGAGGCCTTCTTTAAGCTGCATAGCGCACGCTACTTCGAGCTTTCACGCTTGAAGTATTTTGACCCAGTGCGCATGTCAGTCATTGACCCAATGCACAGTTTCCTTCTCGGTGAGTCGACCTGCTCCCTATGCTGTCGTTACTCACATCAACTGTAAGGTATCATACATTGTCACTGGTACGATTCGTGGATTCAAACTAATACTATACGAAAGCGGACCGACAAAAACAAACGCGAACTGGATCAGATTCATGAGTATCTAACAACGGTATGTTTTCATTTCATTCAAGCTTTTATCTTACTGGCATCTGCCCGTTTGACCAGTTTGAAATGCCCAACTGGGTTGGACGCCTCCCTGAACAAGTCGGCTATCCTTCTGGAGGCTCGTTGACGTCAGACGAGTGGAAGGGACTTGCCTTAGTATTCTGTCCGATCGTGGTATGTTCATTTTATTGTAGCACAACAAGAACTGATCTAATTCTAATTCTAATACCTCAAAGATACCCTTTCTATGGCAGGAGTGGTACCCGAAGGCCAACACTACATACGACAAGGCATTAACGTCCTGGGAGAACAGAGAGAGACAACGTCTCATTTGTCTCACCGCTGGAAAAGCGAAAAAGGGTGACGACAAACCGTCAACGAAGCCCGTTCCTCAGATGCATCCGTCGGCACCTGACAATTTTTTGAAACTTGCTGCAGCCCTCAAAATCATCCTCGGACGTTCCTTCAGAGATGCTGATATTCCACGCGCCAAGGAATTGCTCCGCGACTACCTTATGGAATATCTCGAGGTGCGTTGACGTACGGCTCTCTAAGCTTGCTCATTCTGATCACACATGGGCTGCTAGCTTTACCCCGACGATGTAAAGCCCACGCATCATTGGGTAACTCACATTTTCGATCAACTACAAGACTACGGACCTGTGTACAACTTTTGGACGTTTCTCTTCGAGCGCTTGAACAAAGTCCTCAAGAGTTACTCGACGAATAATCACAGCAACGGCGAGATCGAAGTCACGTTCATGCGTGCATTTCAGAAGGATGTTGCATTGTGTGATATGGTGCGTGATATTCTATGCATCGGATTCGATCCTCATTCTTCCTTTAGCTTGCGAATCTAAACACTGCGCCCGATATGCAAGATGAATCATCGGCCGAGAACATGCTGCTGTTAGAAGCTGTGAGAATTATCTTGGCCACTGATGGCGACACACGCGGGACGGTAGCCTCTCTCGCTCACGAAATGGATCAAGCTGCAGAAGACTTTGATGCACGCTTCTCGCTTGGCGCCTCTGCTTTCACAACTCTCTCTCGGCAGCAGCAAGACCAACTAATTAAGTTCTATGAATCCTCGTACCCTAACGCTAAAGTTGTCTCGCGCGCAGCATCAACTAATGCAAACGACCCGAATTTCCTCAATAGCCGTGCTCGAACTTTCACACATATCGTTGTCGATGGACATCACATCCTACCATCTTCCTCGCTGAATAATGCATCAAGTTCTCTTGTACAAGCTGATATCGGAGGCAGGTGTTACGTTGGGCAAGTCATGTCTATAATATCTCATGCACCATCAGGAAAAACCTCCCCTGTGTAATACCTGGAAATTACGCGGAAATTACGTGAAAATTGTGTGAATTGCTATGTTTTATTATGTTTTATTATGTTTTACCATGTTTTATCACAATATCTCACATTACTGACATTTACTTAGTAAACTGCAGTCCCCCGTCGACACCGTCACGGTAAAGTGGAGGAAAACACGAAAAAACACGAAAAAAAACGCGAAATGTTTGTAGCATCCATACTGTGCCATTCGCGGCCATTGAATATCACACCGATGTAAACAAAAAACATTATATTGTCATCCAGACTCAATATATATATGATATCGTAATGATGGTAGAGTAGCGGTACTAGAAGTAATAGTAGATAGGAAGTAACTGGTGTATTAAATAAACCTAATCAGACTCGCCGAGTCGCCGCCCGCAAAAGGAACTTCAACGATGGGTGGCACTGCATGATCGAGTCGCCAGGTGAATATGTGTCGTACGTGGGCTGTGAAGGTCGTAGGAGTAGCAGCAAGTGGTGGGGCGGTGGGCGGTGCTGGTGTGGGTACAGGTGGTGGAGAAACTGGACGAGGACTCCTTGTCATAGCGAGCCTGAGTTTCTTGAAGCGCCCCGAGTGCTGCTGAGGTCGTGGTGTGGAAATCTGAGATTGAGGAAGGAAGTACATGCGCCAAGACGACTTGGATCAGCATGGCTCGAGCTCGAAGAAGGATCAAGACACTCACGGCCTGCGAAGAGTGGGCAATGATTGGAATCAGCATGGCTTAAGCTCGAAGGAGGATCAAGACACTCACGGCCTGCAAAGAGTGGGCAACGACTTGAGTCAACATGGCCTGAGCTCGAAGGAGAAAGGCCAGGGTGCTCTGGGGGAGGTGCAGGGGTGCTGGGTTTGCGGGCGCGGCAGATGCAGGTGTGGGTGCAGAGGTGGTCGAGGCTTGTTGTGAACGCATGGGAGGGAGCAATTGGGTGAAGTGTGGTAGGTTTTGGGGCTATGGGGAAGGGAGATAGTCAGTATGTAGGAATAAAGAGAGTGGTGGGAATAGACCACCGAGCATGTCGTGAATGTCATCCATTGAAGAGCTCATAGTTCTGTGCCAGTGTCACGGCTCTTCTGGAGTTCACCTGGATGTTGGGAGGAAGAGAGGCGGATGTTGGGATGGCCTCTACGTGGGCAGCGAGATGTGCGTCTTCGTCTGTGAATACACACATGACACGGGCAGCAACTTTGTGGTGGATGGTGGTCTTGTTGTCTTCACCGATAATGTCGATACTGAATTCCTGCAGGGGGGTTGGATGGGTCAGACGGAGGGAAATGGGGCAGACATACCAGAGCTCGCGGCTGCCAGCGCTTCCACCGATACACGTTGCGTCAGGGAAATTCGTCAGCTGTGCAGGTGGAATAGGTTGTGATGTCGAGGGCATTGGGGGCAATGCGCCATTCTGTTGAGAAGATTGCGGAGTGACGGCGGCGACGGCTGCAGTGGCACAGACATCTAAGTGAGTTATGGTGTGCACTGTGAAGGACTTAATATTGGAGGGACACGCAAATATTTCTGTTGAATTCAACCGTGGGAGCTTTTCACGATTAGTCAACATTGACTGTTTACACAAACAACTAAGTTCGCTGTGTACATACAGTACTTACAGGTAATATACCATTTCTACGAGTACTAGTGCTGTGTTTCCGCTCGTTCACGCTTGCCTGTGCTTGTCCATGCGCTTGTATGCACCTCCCGCCAGTAATTGCTTCAGGGTATCTTTACAGGTAAGTACTTCAAGTTTATATCTTAACCAATACTTGCAATTTACATCTACAGTACTCAGGCCGCGGCTCAGGCCACCGCTGGTGACACTCACAGTGGTGAGGACTGAGCGCAGAACGGATACGCCGTTCCCATTCCCTCCTTCCACTCTCATCCATCATCTGTACTTGTCTGAGCCACGTCAGCAGTTGCTGACGTGAACTGGGCGTTTACGCATGGTGTTGGGAATGGTGTGCATCTCCCATTCATACCGGATTTCGGTGCTGTTGTCCCGTGGCCACGAGAATGGACGAGCGACACCGTCCTCGATGCTGCAGTCTCTTTCTTTATAATACTTGGAATTTCAGACTATTAGATAAAATTTTGAAAATCACAACATTTTTTCTAAAATTATAACACTTTTCGCTCGGGAGGGTTTTCCTGATGGGCCAAGGAGCTGTTCCTGCAGAGTGGACGAGTTTAGACGTTCTCGATGCATGCCCCTCATTTCTTTTGAACGTTTTCAAAGACATGTACACTTACTTCAATTAGGATAGGACACGCATCATGAACATGTAGTTTTACATGGCGATAACTGAAAAAAACTGAGTAAAGTCAAGCAAAACAATGTAAAGTCGAGCAAAACAATGTAAAGTAAAACAATGTAATGTTGTGGATATATGGGTAATTCCCTGGGGAGGTTTTTCCTGATGACAGTGTCACGTACCACGTGAGATAACCCTTCTGGAGATCCGGTGGCTCAAAGAGAAGCTAGACGTCGACATGAGGGACTGGGTTAAATAGTAAGTAAACTCATTCATACGTTGGTATTTTTTTAATTGTTTTGCAGTCCGGAGCTTGAAGTTCGGTTGTGGGACCACGAAGTCTTCCTCGATCCGACAGTTGATGGTCCTCAACGTTTCATTTTGCCGTCCCACCTGATCTCCCAAGTCTGTCGAGCGTCGATCACGAAGAAAAATGACGAGATCGTACAGAAGATGTGGGTAACGATTGGGCTTAGTCGAGTGAGTACTTAGCGTCATTCATCGCGCAAGTTCAACACTAATTAACGCAAATACAGGAAGTTTCAATTTTCTAGCACGACGCAACACAGCAGCACAGCGCACAGAACAGCAAGTGTATCCTACATGTCACCATAATCCATATCATCACCGTAATTCGCTTCTCCACCGCCGTATTCGGGAGTTGTTCCAGGGCCGTCGTTCTCTTGTTCTTGAGTGTCCGGCTGATCGTCTTTGGGTCCAAAGCCTCTCGGATTGGACGTCTTGATATCGAGTGAAGCACCAGGATTCTCGAGGTTGAACTTGGCCAACACCGGAATTTCAGGTGCGTTGTCTTTGACAGTTCCGATGTTGACTCGTTTAGTATGGACTCGTTTGTTCTTCGCTTCGTGACGCAGCCTTCGCCTGATCTTGTCGATCCGCTCCACGATGTCGTTGAACTAGCACCATCAAGTCAGCAACATCAACAACAGCAAGGGTAGGTTTGTCTCTTCGGTCCTACATCCTTGGATCTCCACTCCTGACGAACCACTTCCCACACAACAGCATCTTCTTCGTCACTCCCAACGAAGCCAGCTTTCTGCAATAGGATCTTATGGTGAGCCTTCTTCTTCTCCTTGTTATCGGTTTCGAGCTCTGATATCTCTTCAGACATATACTCGGTCTCCAAGAGAAGTGTCGGATCCGCGCCATATTCTTTGGTGTATGCTTCGATGACTGACGGGTCTGCTCAATCCTTGCAACGCTGTAGGTGGTGTGATATAATAGGTTCGTGTTCATTTTCGATAAATGCACCTGCTTACGGCGCTTCTTCCTCTTGTTCACCACCTTCTGTTTCTGACGCTTCGCTCGTTTAGAAGAGTCTGTCACTTCGGCATACTTACGCTTCAAGTTCCGAAACTTGTCTTTGGCGAACGCGACGATGTCTTTCTTCGTGAAACTGACGTCCTTGTGTCCGAGGGTGCAAGTCTCTGCATCATGATCCTTTCCGAATGCCACGTATGTGAACTAACTATTTGATGATCCATTGAACACTCACATGTTGTTCGTTCCACACAATATTGGCTGCGCGATCAATGATCTTCTTGTTGCGCAATGCTTGTACCCCCTTGTCACCACCAAACGCAAACTGCAACTTCTCGCCCTCTCGCGGATCTTCTCCACCGTCGCCCCCATTGCTCTCATCAGTCTCAATCGTGTCCATGGAAGTCCCTGTGACATCGAAGATCGCTGCATCAAGACATTCCTGCACCACGTTTGAAGGTAAGTACGCATATATGTGCCCGCATTTTTGATGAACTCACCTGCAGTTCTTCGCGTGTAGTCTTCTCGGCTGCTGAGAGTTCTTGAAGAGGACGGTTGAGAAGGTATGTCCGTATCTTGCCCTTTGCCAGCTTCTTTTTCTTTTTCTGACGCACACCTTTATCTACAGGCTCATCCTCATAATCTGCCTCGTCACCGTCATCTTGGTGAGCACGTTTCAGGCGATTCACCTCAAGCTGGAGGTTCTCGCATATACCCTGTAGTGCCTGTACATCCGACGCAGTTTCTAAGTCCGGTTGGATAGCGTGTTGTCCACTGGGGGGCAGGGATTGAGGTATGTGATTTTGACGGGGCAGATTCTGTTGAGGCTGACCCTGCACAGCCTGTGCCGCAAGAGCAAGTAAAACTTCTGGCATCAAGGTTGCCAGCAAGGCGTGCAATGCAATGGGCGGAGGATCATTTGGACCACCAGACAGGGGTGGATGTTGTGGTGGAGGACCTGGTGGAGGACCCTGCTGTTTCCTGCCGCCGTTGATGCGCATTTTTGCTGGGTATATGCGCTGATTCGGACAGGTATATGCACTCGATCTTGGGCTCGGTGATGGGGTTTGGGAGAAAAGGTGAACGGATGAGTAGCATACATGTACTCGACCCATATCAGGATATGTACGCACAACGTGGTTACCTGTCCTAATTCATGCATATTCAGGATATGTACGCACAACATGGCTACCTGTCCTGATTCATGCATATTAAACCACCTCGAATGGCAGTGTGCGCACCTTAGTTGACCTCAAGTATACCATAAGTAGCTGTAGTATACACCAGTTTATCTCGCCATACTATTTATACCTGGGATCCTTATAGGATCCATATCTCTCCTTCACCGGTATATATTATGTGATTGTACATGTGTGTACCTATGGTAGATTTTGTACCCACGGGTGTCCTACCCATGTTTCACATAGGTCCATAACGCGGTGAATGCCAATATCTCATATTTAGTCACAGTTTACAGCACATATACTCCGAATAAAGTCTTTGACTTTCCTTGAATAACCAGAACTCGTTATTTCCAGATGCAAGTGTAGCGAAACAGCTCAAAATTTCGATAGCTAGATATCAATCAATTCCATGTTCTAACCCTACTACATCCTGCATACTTCAACTCATCCACCTATGCTCCACCCTTCCCAGGCCTCGACAGAAATGCACCCAAGAAGCCAGCCAATGAGCCTTCAAGGTACCAAGTATTATCAATGCACGATCAGCGATGGACTTGAAGAGGAAGCCAGACGCTGTACCTAACGTGTCTGATGTGACGCAAGCGTCACCCACCAGAAAAAGAGAAAATGAAATAAGTCCAACCCTGCAACGTCCCTTGATTCGTTTCGAACACAACTGGGAATCCTGTGATAGAACCTCCCCGGGAAATTGAGTCGAAAATGACTATTGCAGAATCACAGATACTCACCAGATGGTAGCAGCAGCATCTGGAATGAATGGTACTCCAGCGAAAGAGTCGGAGAGGAAAGGGACAAAGATCCAGATGCATACATCAATCTAATTCTTCTCGAGGAGGGCCGTCAGTTGATGATAATCGAGCAATATGATCACATACTCTGAATCTAAAGCCGCTTGACTGCATGTTTGCCCTCGGCATGAAACCTATGGCTAGTGCAAATCAGTTGTTACTCACCACTGATCACAATATGAACATCCTTACGGTGCTCTTCAAGGATGTCCAGTCAAGTGGTGGATCGAACTTTGGGATTGGTTGAATAAGAGGATATATGCGCTATGAGGATGCAGTTAGTGTATTTACTGAACCACAACATGTGTTTATATACGCACCAGCGGCATGAAATCTGGATCATCTGAGGCCTGTCATGTTCGGGGGGAAAGAAGGTACCTACTAGTTGATTGACAGTACAGGGGTCGACATCGCAGAAGTGTTAAGACCCCTATGCACACAGTACCTACCAGCATGCATCAACGACGTTGTGGTGGAAGACGAAGATGGGCAGCTTAAGTAATTAGCTGGGCAGAGGGTTGGATCTAGCTGTACTTAAGTCCAGAATTCGACTTCGAGGTTTTTTTGATGAACATGAAGGATTTGATGTAGATCAGTATTATTTTCTGTTTACTTCGCGTTTCCCAAAAATAATGGTTCCCATTATTTTGCCTGAAAGTCCAATGAGCCAAGCAGTTGATATGTGGACGTAGTCAGAATCGGGTCGGCTACACATTCGTTCTACACAGGACAACAAGTCAGAGACAAGCAAGCACGGTAAAAAGACAAACATTGTACTTGCTAATTGTGATCGACTGCGATAATTCTCCACGTGTGCCACTTCTGATACCATGGAGTTACACTGGATTCAGCCGAGGGTTATTTTAGACGGTGTCCACGCCATGTAGCATGCGCTTCACTAATGCTTGGACAACAAGCCACCAGCGACCCATCTGATCTTGATGCTTCATAACCTCCTGGGCTGGGACACTAGCAACAGCATAGCGGCTAGAAAAGACACAAAGTTTGCATAGGTGTTCAAACTTTCAAGGTCCAACTATGATTTAAAACATCTTTGCGTTAGAACACCTCGATAAAATGAGAAGCGTGAGTTACACGACGTCAATGTAATTAGAGTAGGCGTCCGTGTCACATGCAAAGCAACAGCACTTGCTAGTTGGAGTGTGATCATTGTATGTCGCTTAAAAACGCTATCTGCAGCAACTCACCATGTTCAGAATGAGCTGTGTGCGCGAGCACCTGAATACATATTACCCACATCACGTTGTGATCTGTGGTAGCCCTCACATTGATAATCATCGTAAGTTTTGTAAATACTCGACTCACCTAAGAGTGCATTGTCTGCTGCAGCCGATTCGGATCATTCGTCCATCCGCGCTGGAAGTTCAGATGAGGTTGAATACACTTTGTCCTTTATAATCAGGCTCCTCGATGGTCAATATCGATTACGTTTGTTTTGCCCTTGATGCCAGATCATTCTACACAAAAAGGCGAGTCAGAGATGGGCAAGCACAATGAGACGGAACAGAGATACAGGTCATGATGGTGGACGTTGGTTCTCCGATAATTCTAATGTCTGACGTCGTGGAGTAAACCAAGAATTATTAGAGGACATCAACACCATCCACTGTGTGCTTCGCTAACGCTGGCAAGTTGAATCATATTTGTTGTGTATATTTCAACAACAGATCGATTCAACCCACCAGCGTCAAAACGACAGATATACACACCACCCAGATACATTTTGTGAATGACTTACATATTCGCAATGAATCAACATCAGAAGGTGGAGTCACAACAACAACTGTTTAAAAGTCACTTGAGTGTACAAAAAAGAGAAGGAACCTGCAAAGAAGAACACGCTGGCAGGTAGATGGTAGACTGCGCATCCGGGTCATAAATTGTGCATGTGCACCACTGGCACCGACGGGTCAGGCCGAGTCCCCCAACTCAATACCACCAGAACGACAGGCTGAGGCGTGCGAGATCACCTGGATATATTTAATGGTGTCCGTTTAGAATGTCAGAATCCCTCACCAACCAAAAACGACAGCGTGAGGCGTGCACCGTCACCTAGATACATTTAATGTAAGCAATAATTTAAAGTGTGGCACGACGTACCTGTGTGCAACAAATAAGCATCAGGCAGAGTAGCATCACTCAAAATACTGTTCAGGATTATGGGCAGCGCATCAGTGAACCCGTGAGGAAAGTAGAAGGCCATACATTACAATATATAGTACATAATCATGAGAATTAGCATAATTCTGCTATGGACAATTACATTGTTATGTTTGGCCTTATAGAGGTAAGATACTTGCCTGATTTTCCTATAAATTTTTATGATCGAGAGAAGCGCGTGATTTTGCTCAAACTCCAAAGGCATCAAATAATTGACCCGAAATTATAAAGGTTTACAAAGCTTTGTCTAACCGTCAAATTTATATGGTACCTGTCAGATTGATACTACCCAGAGTAAGTTAGACATGTACAGAACTACCAAAGTGCCAGCATGACAGATTGCCTGCAACTACCTGCCATTTTATCACCAGCACCAGATAATTCTCAACCTCAAACACTCATTTTGTGAAGAAAATCAATTTTATTTATATTGAAATACATATGTAGTTACAGGACACAAAAAGAAACAGGGAAATATAGTGGAGAGGGAATATCACAAGAGGGAGAGACTAAGGCCAGCAAGGAACCATGAGGAAAGGCCAGGGAAGGAGCACCACGAATGGCCAGGAAAGGCCAGGGAGGGATCACCACGAACGGCCAGGAAGGAACCACCAGGAAAGGCCAGGGAGAAACCACGAACGGCCGGGAAGGAACCACGAGGAAAGGTCAGGGAGGGACCACCATGAACAGGAGGAACCACAAGCAAACAGCAGATGCTGAGCTCGAGTCTCAAGAGGTGGTGGTTGTAGGACCACCACGAACAGGAGGAACCACAAGCAAACAGCAGATGCTGAGCTCGAGTCTCAAGAGGTGGTGGTTGTAGCTATAGCGGTGAAACAAGCTTGAAATGAACTTAGCGTGAAAATTTCTGTCTTGCACAAACAATGACAAACCAATTTCAACCACTTGCGGTAGTCACATGATTTGAGGTTGTCCGATAATACTACAGTAAGATTTGAGGCTGAGGTGATGGTCATGTGCATGATCTTAGATGACATTGTAATTCACGCAATATTTGAATCTACTTGTAAGTCAAATATAAATGAAGGAATATGATGTTGGAGTGATGAGTGCCCTGTTACCCTTCCGAAATACTTCGGCTCCCAAATCACTGGCACAAACAAGGTACGTGCAAACATCAAATTATATAACGCACCAAGACTCCAGTCACCAGTACTCAACACGTAAATCATTTTCTATTGGAGTACTACCCCACCCATTCCCCTTTCAGAATACCCAGAGTGTTCCTCATTCACGTATGGGTTATCATCCCGCACCGTTGGTGAGTTCTTATTAGCCGTTCGTCATTCCACATGTTCAACTTTGGAAACAGCGCCACCCAAACCCCAATCAACTCAACCTTCCACAAGACACTTTGACCCATTTTATGGTCACGAGCAGCCTTCGCCGTTGTGCGCGCGGTTCAAAAACCATCTGTTTGTTTGTCCTGAATACCCCCCATCATTCTTCTAACTCTCAAGTGAAGCTCCCGCATTTCATCGCATATGCCCTCCACCGCACGAAGTTGCACTCATCTGATTATCATCCCACACTGTTGGTGAGTTCTTATTAGCCGCTCGTCATTCCACATGTTCAACTTCAAAAATCATAGGCACTATCTAAATCCTAATCAACTCAACCCTCCACAAGACACTCTGACCCATTTTACTCATCGAGTCGGGCGCATATTGTCACCTGTTCACAGAATTGAAGCTTATGTAGTTCGTGGTAGGGCTTCCTAATTTTTTTTTACCTGACGGCCGAAATTTTCATACCTGGTTAGGGGTATTCCATATATAGAAATCCGTTCCAGAACGGATTTTCATATGCGGCCAATGAAAAAGGACTCGCGAAGGGAAAAGGCACACTGAATGGCACACATGACGAGGCACAGGCTTTACAGTTGGACAGGAGGTAGAGAGAGAGAAAAAATGTATCTGGATCTCAAAATGAGTAGTAATAAACAGGACTACACAATTACAGCTAAACAATATATGAACAAAATGACTCGTAGCATGATCCCACCCTCGATGGTGAAATTCTCGTCAAACGCGTGACGAGCTCGATGACAAGACAAGACAAGACATTGTATAAGAGAGAAGTTAGTGGGGGACGAATGCATGGGCAAAATGTAGCGCAGGCCCTTAAGGCCTTATATGTCAGAAAATAAGCGGACTTACTAAGATTTACTCGGCTTAGAAACACTAGCCAAGGAGTTGCTGGGGTCTTGGGGTGACTAAGTAACATCAACTAGCACGTACCTTGTTTATGGGAGCCGAAGTACTTCGGAATGGTAACAGGGCACCTACAACTCTGATGTTGCTCACCAAACATTACCTAATTACACGAATTCATGACCTCGTCGGAAATTCTCATAAGAATATATTTTAGGTTTCAAGTGCTAACGGTGCTTTCCACGATAAAGTCTTATATCACCTTATATCTCTTTGTAGTTTAAAACATAAATTAAGGGATATGGTATGAGTCAACAAGTATGACTTAACGATGCTACTGCACATTGATCGCTGCGACGGCGCTATGTCGTTATCTTGTCGCGAACTCCTGATGGTAAAATGAATTTTCAGACATCTATTGCTATGTACTGATCACTAATATTTCTTGCCGTATACATATGAGGTTTATTCAGCGGTAGCAAAATTATTTCTCACTATATTTCTCACAGTTACCATATCACGGACTCCTCAATTCTCTGATAGCGTATACATGATACGAAATATACGCCCAGTAGCTCAACTTGTCAGTGTCAGAATGGGCGGGATACGCGACCGCACAGGTACACAGCCAGTTTTCATACATGGGCATGAACTTGTTAGCTAAAATAGGATCGGCGGGTAGAGGAGTGGCTCTTGAGAGTGCAGAAGGGTTGAAATAGACATTGAACAAAATGATCTGTAGTATTATTTGTCATTGTTTGGTATATACAGACGCTTCCCAATTTTTCATTCAACGCCCAAATTTAAACCGTTCTCCCTCAATTTGTCACACCACAGATAAATTCCTGCTCTGCAGATCCTAAGCCCAAGCCCGATACGCATATACTATCGCCCACCTCCGCCCCACCTACATTCTGCTATCAACGCCGCACCCCGCGCATACTCACCACTCACTTCTTCCGAGTCTCTACACACGCACAACACCGTTGTGTGCGCTGCCACGCTTCCATTTGGCACGAGTGTTTACCTTGTACTTTACGTTTCGATTACTCAGCCACCCTCACCACTTCTACCCAACTCCCACTCCACCAATCCGATGTAACCTCTCCCACCATAGAGGGCGTTTCCGATATACCTACGTGACGCAGTCATTTTCCCGCGTTCTATTCAAGTCTATGCAACACTTCAGACAAAACCTGCGTACGTGGAGTTGGGCAAGAGAAGACGAATTTTATCGCGCACGGCGGTGGGTTTGTAGTTGGAGGATGGGTATGTTTCACGTCGATTAAAATGATATATTCTTGACTACAAGCCTTCAGGCAATATTCGCTGTACCGTTGGCTTCCAGCGCTGAGCATCCAGCGAGTACCGTGGAATTTCAAACACTGGCTAGTTTTACTCCTCTTTGATCTGTCCAGAAAAACCACAGGATTATTACTCGAGCCTACATTCGACGCGGGTGACATCTCAAAGACTTGCGCTTCATCGACTATGGAAGCATCCTTCTGTCTCCTCTCGGCACCATTACCCACAACCCACAGCGACCAACACCACATGCTCATCATCATCAGTGACTACCGTCTCTGCCAAGATACCGCAACTGCAATTACCATATCCTTGCAAACACACGCACCTCCTCGATCTCCTTACACGTCTTCAGATGCCATCGTTGCGCAACTGCTCTAGCCCTCTTCGCACCAATCCTGGTACACCAATTCTGATCATAGATGAAGCCAACCCCGGCATATTTAGGAATTTCCCCCGTCTGTGCTATGTTTCAAGTTGCCGTTCGCTCATATCCATCCGATCTGGGAATCATCACCTGCTGCCGCAAAACCCAGTCTCGCGCCGCTTTCTTCCCAGCTTCTTGACGAACTGTCCAAAGACCGCACTGATAGCGTTCAGATCAAATGCACCGGCAATGCTTCGGCTTGGGCAACTTCTGAGCTGGAAGAGACTTATGCAATGATGACCCCGTCCGGCACGGCATTGCACCTTGACCGAGCTTCATTTGACAAGATCTTACGCGACACTGTGGACACCATTTGCGCAGGCTCCGTCTCGCTTGTCAAAAGCACATTCATTAGCATCGACAAAGTCGACGACGACAACCACTTGGCTATATCGGTGAAAATGGCGTCCGACGACAGAAAAGTGTACCACTCGAAATGGGTTGTTGACGCATGAGGCCGAAAATCATCGGTCGCTCGCAAGGTATGATATCATGCCTTGTCAGGATAAAATTCGCTTCTGAGGTGCTTCTAGAGAGCAAGACAACAAAGTGCTCGATTGAAATTTGCTGCGCCGACGTGAGTGAGACGTGTATGATAGGCAGAGTACGGGTTTATGTATGTTATAACGATGTTTAGCAGCGGAGAACGAGTGGATATTCCTTGATGACAGGCGTAGATATTTCAGGCATCCCTTGTCAAACTTCACGTCTCCAACTTGAGCTTGAATATCTAACCTGCATTACCTATCTGCCAATGTAAATGAGTGAGCAAACGACAATATTTACTTGTCCAAAACACAATTTATTCTACACAGAAAGGCGAGTTACATGGTGTCATAAAGCTACAGGTGCAATGCGAGATTCAACAGATGGAATGACCAACGAATGGAGTATGTTACGAAGACTGCGCCTTTGGGTGTTCGTCAACTACCGCTAGGCGAGATGGTCCTGCCTCTGGCTGTGACTGAGTAGCCATTGATGACAATTCAATTTCTTCGAGCTGGACCCTAAATGGCTGCATCAGTTGATCAATTGAGTGAAAAAATAGGTGTATTATACTTTGGAGGAGGTACAGCGACTCGATTGAGAATATCTTCCTCATCTTCGTCGTCCTCAGGGTCGTCATCATAGACTGGCCGTGGCACCTCCTTCTTCTCCTTCTTCTGGAACCAGCTGAGGCAAAAGAAGAGAACATAGGGTCGTATTCCGTCGTCCACACCGACAGCGTCGCCCTAACAAATGATGCGGTCAGATCTTATGAACACGACGGGATTGTAGAAAACAAACATAGGTGGCTTGTCCGAGGGGAACATCGACGACTTTTACAGGTTCTCGTTTCCGTTCGCGCGCCTTTTGCTTCCCCTTGTCTGACGACGACAGAATGGGATCGAAAAAGGCCCTGCCACCGGGCAAGTTGAAGGGAGTCGACGAAGGGCTTGCTGCAGGACGGCGATTGGAAGGTAAGGGCAACGTAGCAGGGAACTGCATTGCAATTATCTAGTCAAATGAGAAATGAGCAAAAAAAGGGGACATACATCTAGAAGACCGCGAGGCTCAATATGATTGCGGACAGGAAGAATTGGGGCTGTGCGAGAAGAGAAGGGAAGAAGTTTGCGGAGGCGATGGAATATGGGTTTCTGCGGGTCGATTGTAGGTGGAGGTATCTGCGTCATAGGTACGATAGGTATTTGAGGTCTGCGGCGCACGGCAGGAGGACGACGAGTTGCGTCAGACTGCAATGATAACTATGTGTGAGTGGTGTAATGAGTAAATGAATGAGACACGTACGTTTAGAAGATCATCGATGGTTGACTTTTTGCGTGCACTGGTCTGTAAGGGAATATTAGCACACGAGCAGATGTTTTCGGGGACATACACGGGCCTCAGCAAGCACATCGGGTGGAGTATCGCATATGTAAATCTTGTACTCATCGTTCTTGTCGAACCATTTCGTGCAAGCTATTTTGCGTGAGTCGGGTGAGAGGGCAAGGGCATAGGGATCTTGAACGTCGTAGGAAGCGAGGAGTTGGCGGGACTCGAAGGCCCAGAGCTTGATGGTGCCGTCCCAAGAAGAGCTAGCGAGGAGAATGTTGTCGGATGAAAGTGCTAGATCTGTGACAACCTTGGTGTGCCCTTCGAAGGGAGTTCCGAGAATCTCCAACGTCGAAGCGTCAAACTCGTAAATTGTCTTGGCACTGTCATGCATATCTTCCGTGAAGCTGAATGTGGCCAAGATGTTTCTGTTTTTGTTTGTCCAGAAAATTGGCGCTGGAATCACACTCCCTCCAGCTCGTTTCCCTACACTCACATCCAATTTCTGTTCTTGGATATCCCAGACCTCAAGGCACTTCCCCACAATTGACTTGATTGCGAGCTTCTTCGAATCCATCGAGAATCGAACTGCGCCCACCCACATAACACTCTGGAATGGACCAGCCACGAGTTTGCCGGTCTCCAAATTCCATATCCGCGCTGTTTCATCATGTGACCCACTCGCCAGCAGCTTGCTGTCCGTGGAGATATCAATGCATGTGATCCTCTTTGAGTGGCCTTCAAAATTTTTCACAATCCCCGTCTCAACCTCACAGGCTTTCAGCTCCCCGGTTTCCTCATCCCCACCAGCAGTAACAACCCATCGATCATTCCTTGATACCACCACTGCCCATACCTTCTTCTCGCAAACACCCCGGGCTTCCTCAATCTCCTTACCCGCCTTCAGATCCCATTGCCGAGCGGTCGTGTCCCAAGATCCGCTGATCATTCGCTGGCCTTCAGCAAAGTAGGATATGGATTGAATCCAACCTCCATGACCCTTCAAAGTCATTACCGGTTTCAGAATCAATTTCGTGGTGGCTGCCTTCATCGATGTAGAAGCTATGGCTGCGTCTCTGCGAGCGAAACGGTTAAGTAGGAGCAAGGTGTTCTTTGGATATATTTGAAGGACTGTGGTGAGCTCTCCTCTGTGCTGTGGGACTGACGTTGATCGTCGTTTGAAGATTCCCAACTCGCTCCAGAACACTTTGCCTATAGTAGAGCTGATCGTCAGTTCATCCGTGCTGGAACTTCAGATGAGAGTTGATATTACCAAGAGGCGAGAGAGAGGGATGGATGCTACAATGTGAGTACAGCTGTCGTCCTTGAGAAATGTGCTATCTCTCAAATTTATTTCCTCTTGCTTTTTGACTCACCGCCTCTCGCGGCCGTGGGCGGTATTCCTGTGCTAGAGCGCCAATCTCGTTTCTATTTCCCACACGCCAGTGTTGCTGTATGCCTGTGAGCCTCTGGCGGATCTAGATGGCCCGACACTATAGCATTCGACCAACCTGCATTCAACCTTTGTCGTTGCTCGCTCTTCGTTTGTAGCATCATTTGGCCGCCAGCAGACACATGAACAACTGCTATTAACATTGTATACCCTACAGAGACGACAAAGACCATCTTTCCTTGTCCCATTGTCTCGATCATTCTTGGGTACACGCTCATCCAGGCTTTCTCACTTTCTGGCTCTACTGACCGACGTTGAACGTTGAATGCATCTCTAACGCTGCAATGCAAAAGCGAAGGGTCCACCCGCAGAATTAGAAAAGTCGAACGTGACGCGAGGATTATCGTGCAACCAGCCGTCACCTGAGAACCCTCTATCCATGGCCACCGCTGCGTAGCCTTACGGACGACTGGGATCAGAGAACCACGCTGATGAAAGGGATGTGAAGCTATACGGGAGAGAGCGTTTTGATAACAGCGCTGGCACTGGCAGAGCTCTCTGTATGAATGCCACCAATTTGGTTCTTGAACCTGTGCGTCGCACATATCAACTGTTCAAACCGTATGTAGTCTTCCGCAGTCGCTGATATCGGGACGCAACCTCTCATGTGTCCTGGAGAGAATATTTGCGACTGCCGAATGATCCTTCGCTGCATATAAGTACCACAGCACAACAACGCTCGTCGCCCATACAAATCAGATGCATCCACTGCACAGTCGAAGGATGAGAAGGTTAGACAGCCAAAGAATTGCATACAAGATGAGAAATTTTGAAAGAGAACAGCTGAATTAGCCAGTTCAGGCGCCGATGGCAGCAACTAGAGGTCGTCATTAGTAGTTGGAGATGTGTAAACTGAGAGCGTCACAGATGGTATAGCATGACCGTCGCTGGTGCTAGCGAAGTTGGTTCAGATTGATTGTCCTGTTTAATTTCATCAAAATAGAATCCCACTCTGAATATCAAGCGCCCGCAAGGTCTGGATGCATGAAGAATGAAGTGCATTTTTGTGCATATTCTCGCATCCTCAAAACGCCATCAAAGGGGTTTTCAACGCGCACCAGGTCACCAAAAAGCGTACAGACCAGACGACCGACTCCATTTCACTCCTTCCAAAAGTGGATCACGCCGGCTCCACATTCATTGGTTTGCCATCTGGGTGCCTGGTAGCCACTCGAAAGCGGCGGCAGCGGATATGACAGTAGTGGCGACAGAACACAGGTCGAGGGCCTGTTTAGACATCGTTTGTTAGTCGTCCCCGCCACAAAATAATGGGAATGTGTCTGGCCAACGTTGCCAGGCAAAGGATCAGAAAGTAATTCAGATTTATGACAATGTGAGGGTACTGCGTGTAAAGAGAGTTATGAGAGCATCGTCATAAGGAGGGCGTGCTCAATGGACACTGAATTAAATTGCCCTAACGACACTCATAGTTAGCGGGGATTTCAAAAGCTCAAACTCACTGCCAAGTGGGCGCGATCACTCACATTGGACAGGAGCCACAAATGATAGCCAACGTGTTTCTTTCCCGCGTGCCGTTCATCGTTGCGATCAGGCCATGGGTGACAGGTGCTTGTCTTAGCGACTCGGGAAGTGGTTGTTCATGAAGGAAAAATAGTTGTTCCACCGTATCCACTGATGAGGCCTAGGGGTTGGCATGTAAGGGAGGAGACTCGTACACTGAAATACGTGAATAGAGGTTTCCTATGCATTCGTGTCTCTTGTAAGTTCATTGTGCCATGGTCACTTTCACTGTTTTTGTGAAAAGTTCGTAGGAAACTGATAGCGGAGGTTCGGCATCGAGTACGTACTACATTCGATTAGTAAGCACCTGTATGTCGTCGGAGTTCTGACAAAAAACCTTGAACTCATATAATCGCCATGTCAGTAATTATGTTATCCTGCAGTACGTATACGTCCGAAGTTCAAATTTTGTTGCCAATGTTTCCAAACTAGGGGTCGGCGATGCCGACTTACACCTTGCTTGATCCGAGTTGATCCTATTTATTTCTCTTGAATCAATTTTACGCTAGGATGAATGTCTCGCGGTTGTTAGGCAAGCGGAGTCCCCCAGCTCCATGCTCGGGGGACCCGGATAAGTTTTATTGCGAATCGAGAGACAGGAAATACAAGTCAAGGCAGCATAAGGCAACATAGATGTGAGACTGGAGGATGTGCGTTTTGAAAGCAATAAAACTACAAGCAGACTCCAGCAGGCAAGAGTGAAATAAGACATGAGTGACGAAGGCACGATAGACATACTAAAGGGCTAATTTGTTTTTTTTTTTTTTTTTCAATAGATTTATGTTGTTTTTATGATTTTGTGGTCTTGGTGCCTTTCTTGATGCGAATGCGTGGATAAGAATGAAAAGAAACAGTTGTTAAGAGTTGCTGTGAGATTCAAGAGACGTTGTTGTGTTGGTGCCAAAAGACGTTGTTGCGAGAGACGTTGTTGCGTGGGAATTCGAAGGCGCGCGAGCTGAGCCGTGAAGTAGAGCGTTTAGTAAGAACGCGTGTTGGCGTATATACTTTTTAAATTCATCAGAGGACCACCGACCTGCTGCCTGAATAAGATCTGGGGTCATTCCCGCGATAGCGAGTGCCGTAGCACCTCCAGCTCTCATCGAATGACCTGACATCGCCGCTCCACAATGTTTGCGCAACCGTGCGAGAAACCAGCTTCTGGTCGGTATGGAGCCGTCGCTTGTTAACCACAGCGCTGGGCGGAAGGTGAAGGCCGTGTCACGGAATGTAAAGTACCGTTGTAGCAAAGGTAGCGGATTGAGGCCAGTTACGGAGTTGGACAATATCAGGATGGTCGTTCCAGTCCCGAAAGTGTCGTTCTTCTGATAAGGTAGTGTGTAGGAGATAGAGTTGGGTGTGATGACGAGGGTGTGTCGCAAAGGAATCTTTCTGTACGTCTGATGCTTGATGGCATCTGGCCATGTTAATTCTCCGAGTCGTTGCAGAGATAGAAAACCGGTGAATAGTAAGGCTAAGAAAAGGCTGTCGTCATGTTCTGGTGATGATCCTAACTGTGCGCGAGCTCGTTGAAGATCATCCACGCACAGAGGTAAATTTCTCTGTACTGGTTTAGACATGCGGCGTTTGCAGCCACGAAGGGTGCGCGCAACCAGAGATGAACGACGGGCAGCTCGTACTGATGGATAAGAGTCTTCTAGGCGATTTGCGATACCCGAAAGGTAAGAGTCGACGGAACGAGGCTCGATGTGGTGTGAGAGCCAAACGACGTAGAATGAAAGTGTGTCGGTTGTAGGTTCGATAGAGAGTTGATGCAGCCGACAAAATGTAATATAAGAGTTGAGGTGGGAGTCGTAAACAGAAGCTGTAGTGGATTCGACCGCGAAGCCGAGTGCGATTGAACGCTCATATAAGAGACGCTCAGTTGTCCAGGCCTCCCGAATGGGTTGCCTGGACGACGCAGACAATTCCATCATTTTTGGGCTGCCCCCAGCGCATCTCGAGGGGGTTCGAAGTCAAAAAAGCTGGCCGTTGGGACCAACTCCAAAACACGTTCGTTTTGGAATCGCGAGAGAGCGTCTGCGACACGATTCTCGCACCCACTAATATGTTCGACACGCAAATCCACTTCGTATTCCACCAGAACATCGACTACCGAAAGCAGGATGGAGTTGTAGGGAGGATGTGCACGAAGCGAGTTGAACATAGCCACGGTATTGGTGTTGTCTGTATAGATGAGCATTCTCGACGGAGTTTCCGTCATGTTGCGGATAGCATGTACCGCTGAGCAGACAGCAAGGGCCTCAAAAAAGAAGATGGTGTCCTTGGGGGCATCGTTAGGCAAAGGTGCCTGACCCGCGAAGCTATCATGAGGAAACCAAAGGCCCATTCCCACTCCTGATGCATCCGTGTAGGCAACGACGACGTCATCTGAAAGTGGGTTGAAATCCAATGATTTATAGAACAACAATCCAGGGAGTTGCTCAATATGAGTTGCCATCCACGTGAGCTCGTCAATGATGGCGTTGTTGATATGGAGTCTTGCGTGAGGATTAGTTTTTCCTCGGATCTTCTCGTACACAGCAGAGAGTCCTGGCTTAAGGAGCGGGAAGATATTGAAAGACCATTCACACCATCCAGCAAGTTGCTGAAACTCGCGAAGTGTCCACCGAAAATTCTTGCCTGCGAAGCGACGCAAGTGCAAGACGAGTTCCTCCTTTTTGTGTGGTGGTAGTGTTGCGGACATGGCGTTTGGGTCGACGTCAAAACCAATGACTGTCAGCGGTGATCCGAATAGCTGTTGTGGACGGTCGTGAGGAACACCGATCTCGTCCCAAAGCTGTAAAAGACGAGTTTGTTTGGCGGGGAAGTGACACTGATATGGGGCATAGTATAGCATCTGTCCTGCTACCTCAAAAGAAAACGAGTCATCCATATAGAGCTTCAGAGCTTCGATCAATGTTTGATGAATCGCGATCCACGCAACGAGTGACATAAACGATATCCACACTTTGGGTGAACCTCGCCCTCCGAAGTTATTATTACGGTCAACGTATCGTTGACCACGAACCGTTAACACCTGCTTGGCTTGCCACAGCGGGTGCATAGGTAAACGTCGAAATGCTTGAGAAACGTCGGATTTGAAGAGCACTAAGTTTTCATCAGGATGCTCCTGCCGAAATTGAAGCAGTGAAGCACCGAGCGAATGTAAGCCATCGAGTTTGGTTCCCTTGATAGCGTCTGAGTCGATCATTGAATTCAACGAGAAGTCCCCAGCAGTGTGGTCGACGACGAGGCGCATCTTGTCAGAATTGGGTTTGGGTACCGTATGCATCGGAACGCTATACATTCCGGGAAACAAATCAGTTCCAAAACTTTCTGACACTCGTCCCAGTTTAATCTCTTCTTCGAGCTGCTCCTCGATGAATTTTTGCTGGTCGTCTGATTTCGCGCATGTTCGCATCGAATTATCATTGATCGAAGGATAGGACTCATCTGACGTGTCTGCCCACGGCCAGAAACCTTCGCGCAGGGCACGACACACCGATTGTACAAAAGGCTGATTAGGGTGGTCCACTAAGAGACTTTGAAAACGATCAACATTGATCGGAGTGACTATTTTGAAGAGTTCCGGATGATTAGCGACAGTAAGGGCTGCATCGCTATTGGCAAGGTCCAAAGGCGCCGTAGGAACTGGGTCTGCATACTCCGAGGAGCGTGCTGTAGGACTGAAAGAAATATCTGTCGGAGACCAAACCAACCCTCGACGATAACGAGGACGCGTGAGAGATCCCTCAGGTTGATTTGGCCTTAATGTCGTCGTTATGCTTCGTTTTGACATGTCGGCGGGCACAGACCCGGCCGTCTGTCTCAACGTTGCAGACATGTGCATAGTGGCAGCTGGCTGCGCTGCGTGTGCACTCTCCGATATTCCATTTTCGGCAGGGATCACGTTTGATCGAACTTGATGATTCTCGTCCTGCGGACTTACTTGATTCTCCGGTGTCATTGTGTAGTCTTCCACCGGCGGAGAAGTGCGAGCTGTAGATGTCCTTGAAATACTCAAAATCGGACAACTCATACCTGCGAGTATTTCCGACTCTGAATCTAACGGACTTATCATACCGGAGGACTCGTCCATGGCATGTGTCCAATTGTTGGTCGAATTGCTCATTGATGTGTTCTGCGTAGGCATTAAGTTCATCCTGTCGATAAGGGAAAGCAAATTTGAGGGCTCGAGCCGCTCTATTCCAAGCCGCATTCCATTGTCCCTGCGTGGTAATCTTCTTCGTGGCCGTTTCTGAGATTCCGTACGTGAATTCAACATCTCCAATTTTTTCGGTATGTTTATCGACGGCACGTGAAGTGGTGATGATGGTATGGATGGCGTCAAGGTTGATACTTCTTCCCACGACAATATCTGCCCACCCTGATTCGTGAAACTCCGGACTTCGCTCGTGGTACATGAGCTTAAGTTTTGCTTGTTTCTGGTCCTGCGACCAGTTCTGGAGAATCCGGATGGTTTGTTTGAGGTTGGCGGATAGGGGCTTATTTGATTCCTGGTGTACTGTCGGTTTGAGATCAAGACAGGTGAAGTCGAGCTTAACTCGCTTCCGAACAGGTAGTCCTGGTTCGACACTGGCTCGTTGACTCCCGAGATCCTCTCCAGGAGATTCTTCTTCGTCGTGTGAGTTTGACGTTGGTTCAACCGAACGTCGTTCTCTACTGGCTCCCGATCCTCGTCGACTAGCTCGAAACTGCTCTGACTCCCACTCATCGAGCATGGTAAGGTAGATAGCCGCGATATCAGTGGGGTCTTCAATTGAGGTTGAGGGCACACATTCCCTGATGATTCCAGAGATGACATATGATGCCTCAAATTTAGTACCTTTTCCGGCTCTGAAGTCTTGGACGACGTCGAGGCATCTCTTCGCCACGTCCTGTTCCGATGTATGCGTTCCATCAGTGTCGGTTTCAACTGAAGTCCCTCGCATTCCGGGACCCCTAAGAGACGATTGTGTTTGCGCCGAACTGCTGGCATTGTTGCTTGAGTTTGCCGGGTTTGACATGTATTTTGGAAGAATGACCGATATTTGAGTGAAGCGAAGATTCAATTTTTGACGAAAAAACAAACGGTGCAAAATGTGCACGAGCAAACGGTGCTCGAAGGACAGGAGTGCGAACGTGAAGAGACGAGTCTCATCTGTTAGACACTTATATCCAAAATGTAAGGGGCCTCTAATGATGACGCTGAGTCACGAGGCTAAAAGCTTTTTCGACCAGCGTCGCGAATTGATTCAACTTGTATAAACAAGTTTAACCCCGATTAATTTGCTCATGTTGCACATTGTGATTGTGGCACGCATTTACTGAATATACCGTTGCTAGCTAACGAGCATCGCGAGCTCATTAGGGATCTCTCTGACCCAGAGGTTATTGGCGAGAGAGAGCATGGGAGTCTTGTTGACGTTGATATTGTCAAGACAAGATCCACAAATGTATCCATAGGGATCCTCTCCTTTGTTGAAGACAGCTTGATGATATAACAGCATATCGTCGAGCAATTTTTGATGCGGATGAACTTGAAACGGTCTAAGAACATTTTTGTTATGGATATCGCGAAGAGCGATTTCGGTTGCCTCTGACGCGAAATACTCTCCAGCACAGGTAATGCAAACAGCTTGTCGAGTCGCATCATTTTCTGTACGATCGATGAAATTTGACAGGCATTTTTCGTGTACCGACTTTTCCACCTCTTCAAGAAAATGGTCGTCATCCGTCGACTGCGGCTCCTGTTGCAAGCAAACTCTCTTCAAAGCTCTTTCCCGATCTTCATGTACCCTTTCTTCTTTTGCTGCTGCAGCAGAAATCATCAACTTCTGTAATTCTGGGGATCGTTCGACGGCCTCTATCAAGGTTGATCGTCTGCGTTTGTTAACTCTCGAGAATTTTCCACCACCTGCTGTCGTCAAATATTCTTTCACCGTAAGCTGCTGCAAAGCGTGGTGGAGTTCTGATGGATTCGAAGTCTCAACTACGTCCGGTGTCTTCTTCTTACCAGCCGCGATGATGAGTTGACGAGCAGCTTCTGAATCCCGTACAGTGTCCAGCAAGGCACTTCGTTTTCGTTTGCTGTTTCGAGTCAAAGGTAACTCGATGTCCTCAGTAACTGCAACGATCACCTTCATACTCAATCGTTCCAGAGCATTTTCGAATTGATTACCAGCCATTGGAATTTATGTGAAGATAATGGGAGTGGTTCAAAACGTGAAAAATTGAGTTCATTGTTTAACGATATTTGGCTTTATTTGGTCTGCCAGTGGTCCGTCAGATTTACCCACCTGGCATATGACCTTGCAAGCAAGGTGATATTGTCCGCGGGTGTTTCTACACCGAATCAATCTACTGTGACTTCAGAAAGGTCCAGGTTGGCAAGTCTTGTCGCATTCCACGTTTTGCGTGACTCGATGAGAGCGCTCTCGTTAATCGAACCAATTCCACGTCACTTTCCTCGCCATATAGACGACTTCCAACACGACCCCACGCGACGCACACATTCCCACACCCTGCTCAAAAACGCGCAACACCAAACCTTTCTGCAAACAGGAACCGTGTATTTGGAGTGCAGCAAGGGAAGACCGAAGTCTCACATCTCATACTCAAGAAGGAACGACCACCTCCATTCGTCTACTACACTCGGGATCAGTCCTCGAGCCCGAGGCAGCCATAACTGGGGCATGCATGGGCGTTCGGCACGAAAAATTTCTGCAGAACTCCGCTTCACCGAAATCACAAGTCTCAGCAAAGCTGTCGGATCTCCAAATGTCTCCTCTCGACATCATCACTCACAGAGACCGACACCACATGCTCATTAGCAGCAGCAGCCACTGTCTCTGCCAAAGCATGACAACCCTAAACCACGTCACATTTCACATTCGTGTCATAGGCCAATCACGCAGCAGCCAAGTCACCAAGACAAATTCCAGGCTGTACTTGAATATGCTGGCGTTCTCTACATGAAATGTATAGAGGACCGTGCAGGCATTTGCGAGGTTGCTGCTGATTGGTAAGGTTTTTTTTACTCTCACCTATTTCATCAATCTTCCCAAACAGTAGCACACGACGAGGCACTTGGCCAGTGACCTCTCACATTCCTGTTCGGTGAGGAATGGCCTTGTTCTTAATTCCCGTTGTATCTTTACCTGAGCTTTCCAAGAAGAACCGAAACTCTCCCATATACGTCTGCGAGAGCCATCCATCGAGACAAATGGGGTGGCACTCTTTCAGTTCCCCGTTATGTCGCGCCTACCTCCGAATCGCTCTCGTTCGGTGCGGTCACTACTCAGGTGGGTTCAATCGCTGCGAGGATGCGAGTGTTGATTGCCGTGATCTAATTTCAACTAACAATTTTCAGTCGCAATCGGCAACACGACCGCCTGGCCTCCAGTCGCCTGCTGCCGCTTCCACTAACCTCACACCACATATCAACCTGGTAGTCTCTTCGTGTGGATCATGCATGAAGCCGATTATCGATGTTCCTCTTACACTGGGTAAACAGGTACGTTCAGTTGCTTTTCTCGTCCAAAATCACAATCCACAGGAGCCCAGATTAATACTGGAGAACTTGGAAGCAGCCGCTGGCGCTTTTCAAGTTGCCTGTGGATCAGCTTCAAAGGCGTTCCCTGATAATTCAGTTGCAATTGTAGTCCCTTGTCGTATCTCGTATGGTCACTACACCCCTTGAATCGCATCTCATCACGAATTGGTGACATTATATTTCGCCCAACCAAAACCAATACGTGGATTAGCGCGCAGAACTTCCCAAATATCGATCTCGGTTTAGTGAAGGTATACTGCATGCGCGGATGCATAGTTGATCCCAATCTGCCAGAGAGGAGAGAATGCAGCTGCTGGTTCGTTTTTCACAGACGATAGACGTTACTCGGTCTGGAGGCTCTTACTACAAAATGGAGAAGAACCATCACTGATTGAGAATGTGCTGAATTTATCTGATTCGTGTCCTGGATTCCGGAATTGAAGTTTCAAGGACGAGAAAAATTCTAGATATACGAACAACACATTTGCCTCTCATCGCTTCTCGGCTCACAGCCATGACCAAATTTACAATCAGTGCTAACGCGTCAATCTACAGGCATTCAACTTTGATCGTTGCTCGCTTATAGGTTTGGTTTTGCCCCGCATGAACGTGTACAGAAACCAGATTTCCTTATCCCATCGCATCAAACGGTTCTGAATACGCGCGCACACAACGTTGCAGACACGTGGATGTTTCAGCGGCCACTTTGTTTGTCTTTGACTGCGCCCCAACCACATTATGAATTCACGTCACTTTCGATCTTTCAGCCTTTCTGACGCTGATATCGAGCACTCATCCACAAGATTCAAGATCGCCAGTTCCATACATCTGCTTGTAGGAAACTAGAAGGATGAGAGTAGAAACGCAAGATCTTAACCGACAGCATATATCATGGAAGAGAATACCGGAATTGGGTAGCCCGCCCAGGTATCGATAACAGCAACAGGCGTCCTGGAGGTTGTCATTGACGGTCAGAGATGTGTAGACTGCGAGAGCGTGTCCGTGTCATACATGGTGTGGCATGTACATCCCTACCAGGTGTTGGCGAGTTCGGTTCGGTGTCCTGTGCAATTTCACCGACATCCCACCCCAATAGCGCCAGAACGACAGCCTGAGGCGCGAATACATTGTATTAGACCATGATTAAATTCGGCGTGGATTTGATGAGAAAACAAGAAGTACAGCGATGATTGAGAAGAAGGGACCTCCGCATCCAACAGCGGGACTGCCTACTTGCAAGAGAAGACTGGCCAACCCTGCTCTGCGCTCAACACCCACCAACAGATAAGAACATGACATTAGCCCACATCTTGAAAAACGAATTGCAAACTTTGGTCCACTCACCAGAGAAGACTTGCTCTGCACTCAACACGCCAACGGTAGGTGAAGCGAGGTAGCCGTGCTATCTTTTTCGCAAGGACACAGCTAACTCGTGAAAAGATCAGTATTGCTCTTGTCACGAACCTGAAGGTCAAGGGGTACACCAACCAGCATACACGATGGAAGGCACAACAATCTGAGATGCATCTGTTTCTCTGTGCGTCCGTTGATGAACGATATTTGGATTATTCACTGCGTTCGAAGCAGCAACACGTTGTGATCTGTGAGTAGTCCCAACGTTGATAATGATGGTGATCTTTGTAAATACTCAACTCCGATAAGGCTGAATGCACTTCGTCCCTTATAATCGGGCTCCTCGACATTCAATACCGATTACGTTTGCTTTGCCCTTGATGCTATATAATTCTGCACAGAAAGGCGAGTCAGAAATGGGCAAGCGCAGTGAGACGAAACAGAGATACAGGTCATAATGGTCGACATTGGTTACCCGAGCATTCTAATGTCTTGACGCCCTAGAGTCAACCAAGAATTATTTGAGAGGACGTCCATACCATCCACTGTGTGCTTCGCTAACGCTGGAAAGTTGAATCACATTTGTTGTTTATATCCCAGCAACAAGTGGACTCAACCCACCAGCGTCAGAACGACAGATATGCACATCACTCAAATACATTTTATGTGAGCTACTTACTGGCAAAACATCAGCATCGGAAGGCGGAGTCACAACAACTGTTGGAGAGGTACTTGAAAAGAAAAGGGGAACGAGCGAAGAACGCCCTGATAAATTGTGCATGTGCACCACTGGCGCTGACGGATCAGGTCGAGTCCCCCAACTCACTGGCACCAGAACGACAGATCGAGGCGTACGAGATCACCTGGATGTAGTTAATGGTATTCATGTAGGACGAGATGAGACACGCACTTACTTGCAACTGACCAACGGTGGAGTAGCATGTGCTTCGCTAGCTCTGGGTAGTTGGATTGGTTTTCCGGTGCATCTGCGCATCAGAATCCCTCACCAACGCACAAACGACAGCTTGAGGCGTGCACCATCACCTAAATACATTTGATGTGAGCATTAATTGAAAATGTAGGACGACGTACCTGTGAATAACTGATCAGCGTCATTGGCGGCAGGCGGAGGGGCATCACTAAAATACTGATCAGAGTCATGAAAGCGGTATATGCCTGAGCATGCTGTATCCAAAGTGATGATACTGTCGGCAAGGACCACCAAATAAGAGCGCCCTAACAGTGCTCAAAGTTAGCAGAGGATTATAGAATCTCGCCCATCTGACCTTGGACGCGAGGACAGACACAATAGCATAGCGATGAGTAAAGTGTGCATTGGCGTGTTTAGAATCCAGCAATGATTTAAACCATCGCTATCTTCAAACACCCCAAATGCAAACGATATGCTCGGAAAAGTAGGAGCTGACAGTAGGAAAATTGAGGCGATGGATTTTGCTCTACGGGTTAAGCTGCGAGGTACGCATGATACGGAATATACGTCCAGTAGCTCAACTTGTCAGCGTCAGAATGGGCGGGATACGCGACCGCCAGGTACGCAGCCAGTTTTTCAAACATGGGCATGAACTTGTTCGCCAAAATAGAACCGGCAGGTACGTAGAGGAGTGGCTGTTGAGAGTACTTGCAGGGGGAGTTCGAAGGGGAGTTCCAGGACCCTCTAAAGGGTTCTGGTTTCTGGATGTTGAGCCATGAAACACCGATCATCCCGGACTCTTTATGTTGTTTGTTTGTATTTGTCTTTTTTGGTGGCTTTCTAACGCCTTGGGTCTCCTGTCTATTGTTTTTTTGTTCACCCCCTTTGTGAGCCATGGCTACTAGTTCTTCGACATCTCATTCTGCAAGCGATGGCTTTGTTCCGCCCGTTGCCATGGTCGTTTCTGAGCAAGAAATACCCGATGATGGGTTTTCTGTCGTGTCGACGTGCGTTTTACGCAAGTTTTTCGGGTATTTCGGGATCACTCGAGTTCGTTTGCGTTTTTTGAATCAGTTTCCGTCGGGGGATTTTTTGCCTGTCACTGTTCCAAGTGTCGGTCATCTCATTGATCATTTTTGTATGTTTACTCGTGAGCAATACATTGAAATTGCGCGCGCTCATTCGCGCGGGCTATAAACTATGCAGACACAATGAGATTCGTGCACTGATGAAGCGTTTTAGCACACCTGCGTTATTTGTTATGGTTAATCCACATGACCTCACCAATAGTATGATTCCTGTTGTCGCTGGAATTGATGGGGAAGAATGGAAGTTGATGACATCATTTGCGAGAGCCAAGATCATCGCCAGTCGGCCAGACACTGCAGCTATTGCTTTTGATCTTCAAATTCGTGGTTTTATTGATATTATATTAAGATATAAGCATGGGCCCGAGCCGGGGGTATTTGGGCATTGTGAGGCGTTTTATGGCATGGTAGAGGCGCAGGGTAGAGGTACCCTGCATTGTCACTTTTTGCTTTGGATAGCAGGGAATCCTAGACCGCAAGAATTACGCAATCGTATGGCGAATGAAGACGGTTTCGCTGGTAAGATGTTCTCATGGTTGGAGAGTATCATTAGCTGCGAATTGCCAGAGGATACCGGGCCAATTCCAGAAACGTCGTCTGATCAGGCGAAAAAACCTCAACGAAACGTGGAAGATTTAGATCCACGGTTGGAAATGCCTCCGCAGGTAATCGAGATGGATCGAAAATCATTTGAACATGAATTTACCGACTTTTTGACCCGCTTAGCCATAGAATGCAACTGGCACGTTCATAACCAAACATGTTTCAAACATGTGAAGAATGGTGAAAAAAAGGATGACTCAACGTGTAGGATGCGTCTTGATGGCTCTGTACAGGATGTGACGACGCTCGATCCTCAAACAGGCTCAATCGAATTGAGACGTTGGCGTGGACGGGTGAATAACTTTACTGATCTCGTTTTGTTTCTTATGCAATGTAATACTGATTCGCAGTTCATCGGCTCTGGCGAAGCTGCTAAGGCTACAGTGTTTTATACGACCGAGTATATTACGAAAAGTGACTTACCATTGTACGTCGGTTTACAAGCTTTGGATTACGCAACTAAAATGCATGAGATGAATGCAAATGGTTTTGCTGATGGGGGTCAGAAGGATCGCAATTTGATTATGAAATCTGTGAACGCGATGATGGGTAAACAAGAAATGTCTCATCAACAAGTAATGAGCTACCTGGTTGGTGGGGGTGACTATTATACTAGTCATGTCTTTCACACATTTAAATGGTACGAATTTCTTGACGCTGTGTCAAAAATTGACAATATTTCCTTGGATTCGATGGATGATGTTGATGAACAGAGCGAAAAGGGGGATATGTTAGCAGATGGCGAACAAGTAACGGTGAATATATCTCGTGACAATGTCGAGTTTTCGAGCGATTTCATGGATTATAGTATGCGGCCAGACGACGACTGTTTTTCCCTCTTGTCTTTGTGGGAATTTATGGAGGGCACAGTGAAAGAGAAAGGGAGCGTATTACAGGAAAACGATGATTTAACTGCAAGTGACAGTGATGAGGACGCTGATAATATGTCATCGAGACGACGAATCAGAAGACGATTACCTAGGGCACAATTTTTACCGCAGCATACCCAATTTGGAACGCATATATTGTGTTTGCGCAATAAACCAGTGATCCCAGTGTTATTGGGAAACACATTGCCTCGTCCTGATCGAACCTGTGAGGAGTATGAAGAGTACTGTCGTGCGATGTTGCTATTGTTTAAGCCATGGCGAATATTACGGGAGTTAAAAGGCGATGGAATCACCTGGCATGAAGTCTTTGAAAGAGAAAAATTCTCACCGAAACTGTTGGCCATTATTAGAAACATGAACATAGAAAACGAATGCAAAGATGCTCGCGATGCACATGCTGCTTTGGTGCGGGAACATCAAGCGAAACCACACATTTATGGTGATAGAGACCACGAGACCCAAATTGATATGGATGCATTTGACGAAGCGTTGTTGGGAGATGCATCCCTTGATGCGAGAGAAGATAGCAATGAATTGGATGAGGTGGCGACCAAACAAGATTCGATAGATAAGAGTTCACAGGATATTCAATCTTGCTTGCGAGCGGCGAGGGATGGTGGTTTATTCTCAGTAGCAGATCAAGCTTTATCAAATGCGTCCTTTGCAGAAGAGTCGCACACATACCTCATAAATGACGATAAAGAGGGTCATCTGCCACAATACGCATCACTGATGAAAGAAATGCGAAAGCGAAAAAGACCAGTGGACATTGGCAACCAAGATAGAGAGGTTAAGCGGGCTCGTATGGCATCAAGTGAAGACGCACCTAATTTGACCTTTCATCAGATGGAAGATGAAGCTGAGATTACATCAGTTTATCACAAACCAGAACTTTCACAGAAGGATAAAGAAATTATATTGAATGAAATAATTGAGGAGTTTAAATTGAGTGATAACGATGAACAAGAGATGAGCTTACGCATTGTCGCCGAGCATTTTATGCGCGAAGATGTAGAGCAGTTGCTCATGTTTATTACTGGAATTGGAGGATCAGGCAAGAGTCATGTAATTCGTGCAATTGTGGAAATGTTTCGAAGATGCGGGGCGCCAGAAAAACTAACATTGAGCGCCCCAACAGGCAGTGCTGCAGTGTTAATTGATGGATATACGATCCATGCCCTGACGTTTTTGCCAAAGCGTCATGCACCAATCAAACAACATGATTTAGAATTTATTTGGCGTACTGTACAATATCTTATCTTAGACGAAGTGTCGTTGATGTCTGCTGATTTGCTGAGCTCAGTGTCTCAACGAATCTGTCAAGCGAAGTCATGGGATGAATCCTCCCATGACAAACCGCTTGGAGGAGTCAATGTCATATTTGCAGGTGATTTTGGTCAATTGCGTCCGCCGAAATCTAATGCATTATATAGCTATAAATTAGTGAAGCAACTAGCTCCCGCTACATTGCAGACTATTGCCGGACAAGCTGCTCTCCATGATGCATTTTTGTGGCGACAAGTGAGCACAGTTGTTGAATTAAAGCAAAATTGGCGGGCTAAACATGATGCACTGTTTGTTGAAATGCTCAATCGAATTCGAATTGGAAAGGCACGTAGAGGTGATTTGGGCATCGAACATCCAAGTGACTATGATATATTGAAAACTCGCCTACTTAGTGAGATCAAAATTCATTGTCCTAAAGAATTTGAAAAATTCAAAGACGCGCCTATCGTTGTCACCAAAAAGTTCTTAAGAGATGCCATCAACGAATCAAAAGCGCGTTCATTTGCATATGATTCGAAGCAAAAATTTGAAGTCTATAAGGCGCATGACTCTATCAGTGGCAAAAAAGCGACGTCTGATCAACAAAAGTGTTTGTGGAAAATGCAAAGCACGCACACCAATGACGCCCTCGGGGAATTGCCATTGATTCCTGGAATGCCAGTTATGATAACTGACAATGCTGCGATGAGCTGTAAAATAGTGAACGGCAGTAGAGGTACATTGAAATCGATTCATTATGAAGCAGATAGCGAGGGGAATCGGTATGCTTTATATGCATTAGTGGATCTCCCTGGAAATGCTCTGCACGTGCCGGGTTTACAGGCTGACGTGGTACCAATTTTGCCAATAACATCTGGATTTAAATTTCATACGAAGGAGATATCATTCAGCATAAGACGCAAGCAATTGCCGATACTACCAGGATGGGCTTTCACTGATTTTAAAGTGCAGGGAAGTTTGATATCTCCTGTGATTGTTGATTTGACATGGGCAAAATCATTGCAGAGTATTTATGTGATGTTGTCTCGAGCATCTACATTGAAGGATGTAGCGGTTCTTAGGTGGTTTTCTTCGAAAACATTGAATTCTGACCTTCAAGGAGATGCGCGCGATGAGTTAAAGCGCTTGAGTCTTGTAGCAGCAGAAACACGCAAGAGATTTATATCTTCCACTAGCAAGCAATCAAAGTCTAAGGAATGAAGAGGGAATATCTCATCTTGAGCAGATTCATCGTTTGCCAAGATCTGAACACCCGTTTTTCGCCAGTCTATGAAGATCTTTCGGGTGACGACGGCAGCTAGTTGACACTGTAATCTATCTAGCAGTTGGAGGCGAGACTCCTTTGATGAAGAAGATGAGGGTGGATGTGAAGATGTTACATAGAGTGAGATGTTGATTTTGTCTAATAAGGATATAAACAGCCGAATTGAGTTATGGTTAGAGAGACTGACCTTCGAAGCACTCCCCTCATGAACACATCAAAAGGAGATGATAGGACGATGGCCGTTGGTAACAAAAAAAGCAGCATCGACCAAGCGATGATTTATTTGCACTTGTTTGACATAGCCTTTAGCTTTCAACAAAGCAAAACAACGCCAGGACGCGATAGGACTTCAGAAACACGACACCGCGTTGCCTGCATGTTATCCTGCCGGAAAATTCCAACAAGGGCTCCCATCTACCTTGCATGTCGATTAAGATCACTTGCTTCATATCGATTCCTCTCTGCGACCAATGATACTTCCACAAGCAAACCATTCTACATCACCACACCCATCTTCTATCCGAACGCAGGTATCTACCTCATTTTCTTCATACCTTCTAAACTAACGAGTCCTAATACCACACATAAGTCACCTCTACTCACTCGTCACCGCTGACATATTTGCTCGCTTTACACGTATCTCTGAGCCGAACCGTCTAGTGCATTTTTTGGCAAGAACAGACGAACATGGTTTGAAGATCCAAAAGGCTGCCAAGGACCGCGGCATAGAGCCTTCTGTACTCTGTGATACTCTAAGCGAACAATTTCGTGTGTGTCCCAGCGCGTTTCTCCTTAAACCCATTGACATAAAATGTGTTATAGAGGCTGGGTGCTCGTGCTAACATCAGTAACACGGTATTTTTGCGCACGACAGAAGCAAGACATAGAGAGGCTGTTGAAAACGTTTGGGTGTGTACATTTCTCATTAAACATTCAATGTTCTCAACTCATCTCGCGTAGCGCCATCTCGCCGCCCAAGATCTCATCTACAAAGGCACATATTCTGGATGGTACTCCATTTCTGATGAATGTTTCTATAACGACAGTCAGATCACTCATCCGCCCTCCTCTCTAATCCCCGTCTCTATTGAAACTGGCTCTGCAGTTGAGTGGTCCAACGAGTCGAACTACAAGTTTCGTCTCTCTAGCTTCCGGGAACGCTTGCTAGACTACTACACTGCCAATCCGAACTCAATATACCCGTCTGCTCACCGCGAAAAGCTGATACAGACCCTGAAAGATGAACCTCTCGATGTCCTATCAATTTCACGACCACAGGAGAGATTGAGCTGGGGAATTCCCGTTCCGGGTGACAAAAAAAAAAACAGTGTAGGTGCATGGACCTAGAATGGAAAAGATCAGATTGAGTAAAATAAGACAAAGGGTGGACATGCGCAAAAAAATATGTAGTAGATGGAGTATCCAAGAATTGCAACACAGACAGAGACATGGCTGATGTTGACCAAAGTCAAGTCATCACGCCGGCGTCTCTTTTCCTTTTAAATACAATTAAGATTTGGAGCTAACATATATCAGATGGTACTCTCACATCAAGTCTTATAGTGCGGAGCATATAGATTTACCTGGCACCTTTGGTTCAATTGGCACTGGCTCCTGCCCCGCATACTTCCCTTCCTTGTTCTCGCTTTGAGCGTCCACATAATTGTTTACACCTTGTTGGTGCGAATCCCTAACCCTAACCCTAATCGATATACAGTACCCTTCAAGACCAGGGAATGATCTCTGTGCAATCTGCTACGCCTCCTATGAGACCTACACCAGGGCAAGCAATCAAGTTCCTCCGATTGCCCGGATTACAAAGAAATTAGCCATTCGACTGTTTACTCTGAAAGCCAGGCTAGCAGCAGGAAATGTATATTGATGAGGAAAGTAATTGATTTCCCGGATGTCAGAGAAATCAGAGAAATCATGATTTCCACTGTTTACCCTAACAGCCAGGCTAGCAGCTGTCTTTCTGGCCGGATGAGATTGCTCTCTAGCGAGGGCGGAAATGCCTTGATGTTATGATACAAATGCATGAGTATTTATATGGGCTGCATCAGTGTTAATATATAATGCTGTTGAGTGAATTTGTCAAGCGACATACCTCATGTTGACAGATTGTGACTGCCGATGGGAGAAAAAAGGAGGAAACTGCGGCGCGACCTACCCGGGTTCCCAATAGAACGGTGTGAAATAAACCATATAGTCTCTGATGGATCAATGCTTTTTGATAAACATGGAAACATATTCACTTGCGTACCCAGAGACGATTGGAAAGGTATTGAGTCTGACATGCTAGTATTGGAAAGCGGCCACGGTTGGCCAAGGGCGATTTTCCAATCTGGAACAACTGATAATCTTTTACGAGAATCATCACACGAGGAATGTAATAGTGTCAGGGATGTGTGCATGATCAAATGAAGACAAACGCTCCTTCAAGAGTGCTCAAGCTCAGTTCTCGCAATCGTAATCACTGACCCACTTACCTGACCATGATGTATTACGCCACCATCAACCAGAGAGAGCGCCATTTCACATACAAAATGCAGTTGACGATAAAAATGTGATACGGTTGGGAAAGTGGGGGACATCAGTAAATGTTTGACAGATTATACACCCAGATCAATCAATCTTTATTGGCGCCCCGTGGGATGGTAATTATATTTCAGGATGCTGATGGTCTAGTTGATATACACATGCTGGTGGGAGGCGCACCACGAGTTAAGATCATGCTACTTCTCGGAGCCTTTGACTAATTCGATTGCTTCATGTTCGCCTCGTCTGAGATCCAGAATGCAAGTGCCAACAAGGGCTGACGGTATCGCCAAACTGGACGTCTTGTGCAATTCATGGATCAGGCGTCTGAGGATGCTCATGGATGTATCGTCCACCCTGAATGCCCGACGTCCACCCAAACGCGAGACCCAAAGATGTTGCTGGGCTGAACAAAGAATAATACTCTCTCCCAAGCCTGACCTTGACCGTAACCAGGTCATACGGGCTGTCTTTTGGGGTTGTGATCGAGTCAGCAACTTCTCGTTCGAAGGAGTGAGAGCCGGTGCGATGGGATTCTTGAAGAGGAGCAAAGTGCGTCGAGAGAGGATGCTGAAACCGGAGGGTGGGATGCAGCGAATGGATGGCCGAGGCCCGCTGCACACGTTTACCCCAGATCTGCCTACAAAAGGCATCCCCAGGCGTGCACATCCTACCGAAACGCTTCGCCAACAGAAGGCTTAGCGACTCGGGAAGAGTCGAACGGGAGGATGGAGGGGAGTAGAGATATTATGGAGTGTAGGAGAGACGGTTGAAGGTACGGTGAGGGTGCTGAAACCGGAGGGTGGGCACCACTAGTGGCGATGTGCAGCAAATGGATTTACGGTGAAGTGTTGAGATGATGGGGAAGGAGAGTGTTTACGCCTGAGACAGTGTCGTTCGGTTGGTGGAGAAGCTACGCTAAGTGATGTGGTGAAGTGTTGAGATGATGGGGAAGGAGAGCGTTTACGCCTGAGACAGTGTCGTTCGGTTGGTGGAGAAGCTACGCTAAGTGATGTGGTGAAGTGTTGAGATGATGGGGAAGGAGAGCGTTTACGCCTGAGACAGTGTCGTTCGGTTGGTGGAGAAGCTACGCTGAGTGATGTGGTGAAGTGTTGAGATGATGGGGAAGGAGAGCGTTTACGCCTGAGACAGTATCGTTCGGTTGGTGGAGAAGCTACGCTGAGTGATGTGGTGAAGTGTTGAGATGATGGGGAAGGAGAGCGTTTACGCCTGAGACAGTGTCGTTCGGTTGGTGGAGAAGCTACGCTGAGTGATGTGGACGCAGAGTCGTAGGTTGCCATGGTGGATGTTGGATCGATGCCCTCGACAGCCCGAGGCGTGTTGGCCAGAAAGAGACATAAAAATTGTAACCTCGCTCATTGGTGCCAGCGCGCCGACTTACAGCACAACCGGCACCTCACGAAGTAGTAGCATGAGCTAGAATAAATGTAAAGTTAGTAATTTGAAATGAGGGTTCCCAGGGCGCTCTGGTGCTCAGGGACCGAGTCGCACAAGTTAACAGCGCACGGTCGTGGATTAGGGCCTAAGCACCTAAAAGTGTCCCGATGATGGGGAGCCACGCGTAAGGCATGTATTGGCGACTGGTGTGAGCGAACTCCCAGTGGTACTAACTGAGGAGCAAGAACGAAAACTTTGAAAATTTCGATTCCAACAAATCACGTGACTCACGGATCAACACGCATCAATAACACGATCAATCGATCATGATCGATCGACATTGTTACTCCAACCCAACAGGAGCCGCTTTCCAATCCTAACATGTCAGGCTCAATACCCTCCCAATCGCCTCTGCATATGATTTACGAGCACAAATGTTTTATCAAATGAATATATTTCCATGCTTATCAAAAAGCATTGATCGATCACAGATTATGTAGTCTCTTTAACACCGTTCTATTGGGAACCCGGGTAGGTCGCGCCGCAGTTTCTTCCTGTGTTCTCCCATTGACAGTTGCAATCGCTTGACAAATTCACTCGACAGCATTACATACATTCCATCGAGAGCTAAACTGAGCTAAAGCGCTCTAACACCGTTCTATTAGGAACCCGGGTAGGTCGGGACGCAGGCAGCCAAAGGCAGGTCTTTTTCGCTCAAGCCTTTTGACAGTGCTAATCTGTTGAAAACATCAAAGGATACTTTGTCATTGCCCAAAACCTTATTGGACATAGGCAGCCTAGCGTTGACGTTCAAGTCCAGACATCGGCAAATGACCTCGTGCCCTATCTTCAGGCTGCTAAGTATGATATCACCATTGATTACTCAATGGGTGGGCGCGTAGTATTATCGCTTCTCAAGTTCCTGTCAAAAACTAGGCCTACTCCAATTGTTCTCGTCGACTCACTTGTGGAGTTGACTGCAGAGCAGATAGCGCATCGGAGAGACATATTTTCTAGTGATGCTACAACTAGGCTAACCCCACCGCAGAAGATTACATGGCGTTGAATCCTCTATGGACAAGAAATGATGCTATTTGGAGAGTGTTGGGGACCCGTATTGGTAGGGTGAATCATGATTATCACATGAACGTCAGTGTTTGCTAGTAGCGCTCCAATATCAACAGTGCTGATGGTTTTTCACAGGGCAACGTGCCATGGACATCTCACATATGTTCATCCAGAAGCCTGCTGCTGCTGCATTGATGTTTCTGGTCGCGGATCCGTGACTTTGTGATGCTTTGATTTAGCGGCATTTGAAATGGCATGACAAACACGTGCAACATTGTTCGGTATGACGTAGAACAAATGATTGGGACAACATATATGAATGGGTTAATGGTTGTCGAAATTGTGCACACTCTCCTTTCTTCATTATGTCTTTTTTAACAGGTGAGCTGATATCTAATTTCGATAACATCTATTGACCACAGTTACTGTAGCATCTGAAAATAAGAAGACATTCGATCTCTGGCCAACCACAATAACAAAAGAAATTCACAGAATGCAGGGGAACGGCGAGTTCGATTTTTGGGAATTATTCCCCTATTCTTTGCAAACTTTGGCAGAGTGGGCGGATGTCTATCAAGATCGCGAGCGCAAAGACAAATCAAGAGACCGCATTCTTATCTATAAAAATCTATCAGATGCTAAGCCGGGCACAGTCTATCCAGTCGCTATCCGTTTGCAAGGTTTCCTACGACAATTTCGTGTTGATAGATTTGGAAATTGGTCTGGGTGAGCATTATCTTGGCACAAAAGACCTACTCTGAATCCAATAGTCGCGAGCCTGATGTAAAATGTGCGGTTCAACATATCAGTATAGGTTCTGGTGGACATTCCGATGTTTGGGCAGCGACAATATGTTCACTCAATCTCGCTTGTGAGTATGTCAGCCGGCGATTGCATCTACCGATGCAAGGAATACCGTGCAGGAAAGAGTTATATTTGCAAAGACGCGCGTTCACCAAAGTATGTTACTTCCGCGTTGTTAAAAACGAATAGTCTTAACGATGTATTGGCAGAGGGGTGAACCACACAAGAGTAAAGAACCTATACTTTCAGAAGCACAAGATCCAGCGAGAAAATACTTGCCCGTGCAGGAACATTGGAATGTGATGGATCCGTTGACGACAGCCGAGTTAACAGAAGCTGGAAAAATATTGCCTATTGATTCCATCATCTTGACTGAGGGTGATTTTGTCGATGTCGGAGCGGAGTTGGATTTTGTGGTGAGCAGAGAGCGGAACAAAGAAACCACGCTCAAGTGTTTTCTAACATGCACGCACGTTGTGCGGCTGATTGCGGCACACAATATCGAACATTTGGATCTTGTGAGAACGCAGTGTATTCAATGTGATTCAATGCTAATCATCTACACAAGGAAAACAAGAAGCCTGATCGAAAACATGCTACAACCCCCCCTGTACAGGAAAGAGCGGTCAAGAAAACTCATACGACCCTCATTTTCGACCGCAAATAATTTACACATTTAACTGAACCCTAATAAATACATTCCATCACAAATTGGCTATACTTCGTGAATCCTCGCGATGCATATAGGCTTGCGCGAAGTGGTGAGATCATGTGTTAGCGGCTTGTGATTTTGCCACCAACCATTAGCATCCACAAGCGTAGGGTTGACTTCCTGGATATGGTGAAACATGAGAAAGGACCATGCGAGCAAGGTCAAAATAAGAGACATACCAAAGTCCAGAACGACGAGCTAATGAATCGCCTCACAGAGCAGAGGTACTATCCTTTGCGGAAGGTGGGGCCAACATTCACGTGTGAGATTTTGGTGAGTGACAAATCGTCTTTGCGAATAGGGTCGCTTTGCTCACCTTACTCTTCACAACACTATGACAAAGACAAAAATTGACAATGTCCCTGACCACGAAGCGAATTCTGAGACACGGTCCAGCAAAAGAACAAAACTGTCCAACATAGGTACGTATTGTGTTTTGCTGGACTGTCGCGAGGTTTATTCCAACATACATGATAGGAGATGATGGAACAAGCGCAGAATGTACGAAGGAAAGCAACAACAATCAGCATCAAGCCATTAACAACGAGTAAGCATGGTCACGATCAACATAGAAATCATCTTAACTTTAAACAGGGCGAATAACACGACGCTCAACCGCGAGGGAGAATCAGCAATGACTACTACCCCTGATGTCAAACGAGGATCTGGTGCAACCCAGCCTACTCTGAGCGTTCGATCTGTACTGCCTAACCCTACCAAGTGTTTAATTGAAGATTCAGAGGTCGAAGAATATGATGACATATTGATCGCGTATGTTTCAATTCTTCGACCATATATTTTATATTGATGTACACTGACAGCCGACTTCACAAACTTTCCGAATATACGAACACACACGCCAATATATATGCGTTAGGAAAGCTGTTGCCGACCGCGACATGGGGGCAATATAGACCAATCAATGACCGCAGCAAGATTCTATGCGATCCCGCAACTGGAGAGCCTCTGACTATTTGGATTGTTGGAAGAATTGCGAAAATGTGGTTCACCAAATTCGGCAATCCAGAGAAACAGGCATCCATGACGATTATGCCACTCTCAAAAACACTGGCACAACAAAGTGGAATATTGTTGGCGAAGATGTCAAACCCTATAATGAGTAAGTAACCATTTACAACATGTACATAAATTTGACAGTCGACAGGTATTAATCAACAAGCCACACAAATCATCCGTGCCATCAAGTGGCAAAATCCTAAGAACAGCGACACCGGAACAGAAGTGAGTACATCTTAAATTGACTCATTTTAGAGACTCAAGCAATAAAAGGCAATGCTGTTCGATGCCGTGTACGACGCCAGAGCGGAAGGATCTTTAAAAACATATAGCGAGCGGCCTTTGTGGAACCTCACAGATCTCAAGCCTGGAGATGAAGATGACACGGTATTCCAAAAAACAAGAAGACAAATGGCATTCACGTGCGCAATATGAAATGATTGCAATTTCTCTTCTTAACATGGGAGAAATGCCATCCGAGGACACGCAAGGCGTGAGTCCGATTGACGGGTTAGCTATTTGAAGAAGATGAATCAGTGTGACGCGCGAAAGATGTTTTGGCATTTCGTTGCCCCCTATGTATTTTTATGATGTATTTTTATGACGTCAATTGCAACATGTGTATCTGTGATGACGCGAGACGAGACGGACAAACCTTTAGTTAGGTTATAAATCGATTCAACTAACTTGCACATCGTCGTTATCATGGAACAACAACCAACAAAAGTAGACCTTCTGCTCGCTATTGCCAATATCGAGCGAAAGGAAAATTGCACTTATCGCGAAATGACCAAGAAGATCAACGAACAGAATCCGACTTGGTCGATTAGCATTAGGGTAAGACGACTCGAAGAGAACATCACATGAATACTGATATGAAACTTAGCGAATCAAAAGATTAAGAGGAGAGCTGAGAACAACAGAAGCGAATACAGGATGTATCTCTGTCAAGATTCCAACTGATATGATACTATCCACAAGCGTCACACAAGGACTCATACTTCTGCTAGCAAACCTCATTCCCGTGAAACAGACGAGACCAACATCAAACGCGGACGCATTGCAAGTCATAGAGGAGTTGCTACCAAAAGGAGAGCCTCAACAACCTCTTGTTTTGTTTCCAAAAGAACGACATATAACTGAATGGTATTACCACATCTACTTTACATCAAGACAGAATGACGAACGACCTTTTCATCCTGTATTGATGGAAATTTTCGGGTCCAAGAACTGTCCGCGTGGAGAAGTCGTAATTGTGAAGAACGGAGAGCGGTTTGTACCAAGTTCCCCTGATTTTGACTTAGATTGCGAAGGCTTAGGAAAGACATTGTGGTGGTATATCAGAAGTGGAACAAATCCCATGCAAGAAGCTAGCGAGAGGCGCCTGATGAATTACATTCAAAAATTGTAACATAATATATAGAAATCTTGTTATCAACCAAGTTTAGCGCATATTCCAACAGATTTCACTGAGCATGCGAAAGACTGAAACGAGCAAACTGATAAGAACAATGATAACAAATTGATTCCGTCGGAAAATACAAACCATGACAAAATAGCATCGATGAGGCCAGTCTCATGACTACCAATAGATTGATAAGTCTTGAGATTCTGACCGCAATGCTTCACAACAAGGACATTGCCGAACCATTGGGAAGCGTAGACGTTTGAAGGATTAGTGTAAATCGCATGGTTAATGGGAAGAGCGGGATGAGGATGATAAAATATGACGCTGTAAGCATCAGAGAATCTACTGATAGGAGATTCAGGAAATCCGAAAACAGAGATGATGCGAGTCGACAAGCGTGTCCGTGGTGAATAAAGACCAGACCCAACAAACATGTGCGCACGGACAATTCCATCCACATCTTGAGGGACATAGGTTAAAATAGATTCAGAGCAGTCGCAACCATAAAACAGGGCACGATGATAAGTTCGCCCGCGCTGAAAACAACATCATAAATGAAGAGGAAATGATGAAAGAAAGAGATATACTCACCGGTGTAGGGAACTAGTTCCCTGTGGCCTTGTATTGACAGTTTCTACCTAGCTTCACTTACCCCTTTCCTTTGTTTATGTTGGCATTTGACTGCTTACCTAATCATCAAATCTTCGCCCTACACTTCCACTCATTACCAGGATTCAGTTCATATTCTGGTAGCTCCCCTTCAAGGGTTAAGTAGTAGCTTCCCCAGTTTGTAGCTTCTCTGGTTGTAGCTTCTTAGCTCACTAGTTTGCTCCTGATACCAAGTTCTAGCCTCATTGTCTGGAGTGACACCCTCCCTCTCTCTCTCTCTCACACACACACACACACTCTCTCTCTCTCTCTCCCTGCTTGAGCACTCCCTAGTCAAGAAAGCCTGGGTCTTACATTGTCTCTCAAGGCATAGCAGCTAGGCAGCAAGACCCAACACCTTCTGCTACTCAGCAGATTTGTTGTCCCCACACCGGCTCATGAGAGAACATATCATTCTCGATTGCATAGACATCGAGAGCAGTGAATGGAGTGCGAAATATCATGACAGCGCGAAGATCAAGCGAGCAGCCAGTATTATATAACGAGCTGTGCACATTGACAAACACCACCACAAACAAGCTCCAGAAACATCCGTTAGAATGGATGTCTCACAAGACGGAAGCAAAAGGAGAATCATCCGCCATCCGAAATGAATAGCAGGCTCCTAAGACTTATGTGAACAAAAACGATTTAAAAAGAAAAGATAACACAACATCAATCACACACAAAATGGATACACGAACGATCACAGCATGCTTAGTCTCAAACTCGCCTGCCAATGGGTTTGTGGATGTCATCATCAGAGAACCTTTCGATCGGCAAAACCTGCTTATCCGCTCCAAGAAATTCTTTCACGTTGACGCCAACATCAAAGAATGCAGAATCACGTTGTCGCACACTGAAGAACAGAATAATCATTTCCAACTTATGATCTTATACGATCACGAATTACACGGAAAGCACAATTGCCCTTACCTCGCGTACAAATTCATCGATAAGTCCAACGTTGATGATCTTGGAAGGGAAGACTATATGGTGGTGATGAAAGCAATAGACATGTGAGTAATGTTGTAGAACCTGTGAATCATATCTAACATAGATCCTTAATCATAAGGATGAAACGTAAAATACGACCCACTGATCAAGTTGTCCAGGACGAAACGAAAGAAGACAATGAAACACAATAGGCGCATACATATTTTACTGCCGGGACGAGAATGTGTTTGTTAAAGTTGGTACTGCTTGTTTTGTAAAATACTCTGACAAACAGCGATCAAGTAAATCTAAATAGATAGGAGAAAATAAGAATTGGACGTCACCGCTGAGAGAACCACCAACTTCCCAACCTTCCCAAATTACTCCTAAACACTAAAATGCAACAATTTAACGGGTTCATTGGATGGCTCAGTCCAGAGGTACAAATGCTCCTCCTGAAAGAAATGACACTGTCAGATCTTATGACATTCGCAAAGACAAGAGAAGAAAATAAAGAAGGAGTTAAAGACTATATGATGAAACGCCGAGAGAAACTGTTCAGAACATTCGTTAACGATGTCGACGGTCTCATCGAAATCATGGACATCACTGGCACAGTGATTTCAGGTTCAAGCGCACTGAGCCTCGTACAAGCAGAAACAGAAGCGGTCAATGCGAAGGACCTGGACGTCTACACAACGGAAGGATTTGAGGATGACGTTGTCAAACACTTCAAAGAGAAAGAAAATTACATTGGAGTGCAAAATATCGTGCGTCAGCAGCAATACGACAGTTCAGCAATCACCAAGATCATCAAACTCGAAAAAAGAGGCAAAAAGGTTGACATTATCGTAACACACTGGTCGTGCGCAATCGCGCCCATCATCCAATTCCACACGACGTGTGTGATGAACTATATCACATCGCGATCACTTGTCTGCCTGTATCCATGTTGGACATGCGCAAACGAAGGATTCATTAATCCACTGCTATATGTCGACGGGAAAACGACCCTGTACACTGTCGACGCGTTGATGAAGTATACAAGAAGAGGATTCAAACTCACTGCAGATCCATGGCGCCTGGGAGATCATGATTGTGAGGATGAAGCAACGGGAGAGGAAAAAAGTGGTTATTGTCCCCACAAGCTGAGGAGCACGATAGACGACGAAGTACTGTGCTGGAGGTATGCGCCAACGCAAACATTGGCAGGAACGACAATCTCGTGTGAAAGTATAGGGATCATGGCATGGTACCTTGGAGGATTTCAGTGCAGAGAGGGTGATAAGGAAGAAACAATGTCTTTGCTGTTTGTATCACCTTGAGAAAGTATAAAGGAAAATGGGAAAGAAGATGTTGGGGTTGTAGTTGTTTTTTTTTTGTTTTATTATTATTTTGAATTGAGAATATGCTTGTGAAACTTGTTTGAATGACAAAGGTGTATGAAAGATATCAAATGCACAAGCAGAGCCATATGAGTCGGAAAGGTCCTGGAATGCCCGTAGAGCCGTACTATTGAAATAAACAAATATTGAACGACGTGACGTTATCTGTACTATTTGTTGTTGTTTGGTATGTACAGCGCTTGCCCAATTCTTCACCCAACGACGTCAAAAATTTGCAACCGTTCTCCCTCATCGGATATGAGATGAATTCCTGCTCTGCAGATCATAAGCCCAAGTCTGACACGCACATACCGTCTCCCACCCCCACCCACCTACGTTCTGCCATCAACGCCGCCATTCACACGCATACTCACCACCCACTTCTTCCCAGTCTGCACACGTACAACACCGTTGCATGCGTTGCCACGCTTCCTTTGGGCACGAATATTTAACTCGTACTTTACGTTTCGAATGCTGGAGAGCCACCCTCACCATTTCTACACAACTCCCACTCCACCAATGCCATGTAACCTCTCCCACTATAGAGGGCGTTTCCGATATGCCCACGCGACGCAGACATTTTACCACGTTCTCTGCAAGTCCACACATCACTGCAGACAAGACCCGCGTACATGGAGTGGTGCAAGGGAAGAGCAAAGTTTCTCGCACACGGTGCGGGTTGGTAGTTGGAGCATTATGGGGTATGTTTCGCATCGGTTAAAATGATATATACTTAATTCACCGTGCCGTTAGCTTCCAGCGCCAAGCATCCAGCGAGTACCGTGGAATTTCAAACGCCGACCAGTTTTACTTGTTCTTGATCTGTCCAGGAAAACCACAGGATTAAAACTCGAGCCTACATTCAACACGGGTGACATCTCGAATACTTACACTTCATCGACGACGGCAGCATCAGCGGAGCTGTCAGAGCTTCTACCTCCTCGACACCGTTACCCACAGGGACCGACGACTACTGTCTCTACCAATCTCATGACAACTTCGAGGTGCACTAGTCTATTGCACCGAGTCACCTTTCCCATCCTGCATCCGTCGCCTTACGAGCCAACAACACCAATCGCCTTTTCGAGCAGGAGTTCCAGGCCACCCATGAACGCGCTTTCAGTCAACTATCCTCTGGTGCTGGAGCAGTACCATTCTGTATCAAAATGGCTGTAGCCACAAGTGACGACACCATACTACTCACCGGAGCCTGGCTCGTTCCGCTCAACACTGATCCATCGGCCCCGACACGATCCTACCTGCATGTTACCGTATCGCGGTCGTATCATCTTCGAAATGATACACATAAGTATCTTTTTCCTAATGTCCCGCCGCATCTCCTGCTTCTAATATACCTGAACGTGTCGAGTAGTTGACTTGTCCATGTACATGTACATTTGCGACGACCTCAATATAGCGGATGCAAATTGTTTTACAGAGGAGATGGCCACGGCGAAGAATGAGATGCACTAAAGGCGAAAGAGGGTACACTGAGCTTCAATACGGTGACCAATCTTCACGACGGAGTCCTTGACCATTGCACTAGAGTCACGCGCAGAAGCGGGAGAAAGTCAAACCGATCCCTGCGAGACTAGCGTGTAATGGGGAGCACGCGTTTCATCATCGAACTAGGGCAGGGCAGGTGACGTCCGAGATACTTCGTGAAAGGACTGATATATAGAATGGGCCATTTCAATCTTGACCAGATCACCATTCTGCGGGGGATAATGTCAGCTAGGATGAGCGCACGGGAGGATGATAATCCAAATCATCCAAGTTCTTGTTTGATGGGATTTGGCAGACAGCACGGAATATCGCAGATGGCGCAAAATTAATATATAAGTATGAAATCGTCAGTTATGAAGGATACTGTAGTGGATGTACGCAAAATTAACCCTGACCACGAGTACCACTAGAGCTGGCATTTGTCGTGCCGTCTTGGCGAGGTCTCTCAACGCGCTCCAAGCGCCATCGAGGAGGCATCCTCAGCCTGCCATGAGACCAGCACGAATAGTAGCACAGGAACGCCTTGCACCAGTGCACGTCTGGGAGTGAATCGTTGTCAGATGAGTCGTTATCCTGCGGCACTCTAGCCTGAGGCGGATGTCGGGTGTCATCTACTTTTCTGTATTCTGGTAGATTGGCAGCAACCAGCCGCTATCGGGTTCAAATCAGCAAAGGGGTAATGACAGCAAAAAAAATGCAAGTTACATTGAACTTCCGCCCTGGTGCGACTTCCATGACTGGTGGCCCATTGCTGTGCCTTGGCACAAGGAAAGGAAGGTGGTGTCGCAGGAATTGCGTGACTGGACCGTTCGAGGGAGGTGGAGAACTTATTTCGAACTGGAATCACATTCAGTCATGCGTTGTGAGTTTACTAAATTTGAACACTGACACGTTCAAACCGAGTTTCGTCCTGTCCCAGAGAGGATGGTAGGGGTAATGTAGCAGGGACCTGCATTGCCATGATCGAGTCAAACGCGAAAGAACTGAGATACACGACCTACATCTAGAGGGTTATGAAGTTGGACAGCTGCATTCGTGCGAGGAGAGAAGCGAAAAAGTTGGCGGAGGCGAAGCGAAATAGGTTGCTGCGGGTCGATTATAGGCGGAGTCCTCTGCGCCGTAGGTATGACAGGTATTGGTGGTCTGTGGCGCACGGTAGTAGGATGACGAGTTGCGTCAGACTGTGATGATAACGATGTATGAGTGGTGTAATGAGTAAAATAATGAGGCACGTACATTTAGAAGATCATTGAGGGTTGACTTTTTGCGTGCACTGGTCTGTAATTATAGGGAATATGATTAGCACACGAGCAGTAGATGTTTTCGGGGAATGCGTACACGGGCCTGAGCAAGCACATTGGGTGGAATATCGCATATAGAAATTTTTTGCTCATGGTCGTTGTTATCGTAATATGTGTAAGCTAGTTTGCGCGAGTCAGGTGAGAGGACAAGGGAATCAGGATATTGAACGTCGAAGGAAGCGAGGAGTTGGCGGGACTCGAAGGCCCAGAGTTTGATGGTGTCATCATCTGAAGTACTGGCGAGGAGAGTGTTGTCGGATGAAAGTACTAGACCGTGAATGAGGTCGGTGTGCCCTTCGAAGGGAGTTCTGACAGTCTCCAACGTCGAGCTCAAGGCGTCAAACTCGTAGATTGTCTTGGCATCAAGATCTTCCGTGAAGTTGAATGCCGCCACGATGTTTTTGTTGTTGTTTGTCCAGAAAATGGGCGCATTCGTCATACTCCCTCCACCTTGTTTCCCTATGCTTGCATCCAATTTCTGTTTTTGGATATTCCAGACCTGAAGCTCCTTCCCCATGAATGAGTTTACTGCGAGCTTCTTCGAATCCGTCGAGAATCGAACTGCGCCCGCGTATTGAACACTCTCGAATGGACCGGCCACGAGTTCGCCGGTCTCCAAGTTCCATATCCGCGCTGTAGAATCAAGTGACCCACTCGCCAGTAGCTTGCTATCCACGGATATATCAATGCAGGTGATTATATCTGAGTGGCCTTCGAATTCTTTCACAATCCCCGTCTCGACCTCACAGGCTTCCAGCCCCCCGGTTGACGTTTCGTCATTTCCACCAGCAGTAACAACCCATCGACTATCCCTTGATACCGCCACTGCATATACCTCCTTATCGCAAACACCCCGCGCTTCCTCAAGCTCCTTACCCGACTTCATATCCCATTGCCGAGTGGTCTTGTCCCGAGATCCGCTGATCATTCGCTGACCATCAGGAAAGTAGGATATGGATCCAATCCGCTCCCCATGACCCTTCAAAGTCATTACCGGTTTCAGAATCGGTTTCGTAACGGCTGCCTTCTTCGACGTGGAAGCCATGGCTGCGTCTCTGCGAGTGGTAGTCAAGTTCGGGAAAGGTAGTCGTTGTATGTGTTCCTCGGTGAGGTCTCCTGGCGTCAGTGTGCTTTATGACTGATGTGAACAGCGAGTCGAAGATGAGCCCTCTAGTGAAGCCAGACATCAGTTCATTTGCGCTGGAAGTTCAAAGGAGATTTTCGTGTACCTAAAGGTTAGCGCTTTAGCAGCGAAGAACTTTGAGAGGGATGGGTTCTCGAATGTGAGTGCAGTTGTTGGCCTTGGGCGCCACCTTGCATATATCTATACAAAAATCCTCACACGCCCTCCGCAAGGGCATCTGTGCATTGCGTCATGCATCACATTTGATTCTCATCGTTTCTCAGCTCACAGCCATGACCAAATTTACAATCAGTGCTAACGCGTCAATCTGCAGGCATTCGACTTTGATCTGTGCTCGCTTGTAGGTATCGTTTTGCCCGCATGAACGTTTACGGAGACCACCTTTCCTCATCCAAACTGTTCTGAGTACGCACGCACAACATTTCAGGCACGTGGATGTTCCAGCGGCCTTTTGTTCGTCTTTGACTACGCCCAACAACCTTATGGATTCACGTCACTTTCGATCTTTTCTTTCTGGCGCTGATATTAAGCGCTCATTCACAGGATTCAAGATCGCTATTTCCATGCATCTGCTTGTAGGAAACTGGAAGCATGGGAATAGAAAGGGTGGTTCATTGTGGCAGGATTCAAGTGAGCACAGCAAGACGTGCTATTTCTTAAATCTGCACAGGAACTTTGCTCATGGCGCGAGTCCAAAAGCTAGAGCGTCAATATCTTGTTTATTTCCCACCCACCAGTGTTGCTGTGTGTGGGACTCCGGCACGTCCAGATGGCCCGAACAATGTTTCATATGCTGTGGCATTTCGCCTTTCCTCGTTGTTCGCTCGTCATTGCGGTGTTGTGTGGGGACAGCGCAGAGATTACATTGCATCGTCCCATACTCTCAACCGTTCTTGGTGCACGTTCATCCAAAATTTTCTCGCTTTCCCGGCACATCACTAACCCACATCGCCTTTCAGCATCGTCCATTTTTGCTTTGATCACGCCCAGATCCTCAATGTTCCGAATGTTGAATATCTCTCTAATCCTGCGATTCAAAAATGAAACGCCCAAACCTAAAATTCAAAAGTCGACAGCGATGCGAATATAACATGAAATAGCCGTCACCTGAGACCCGCTCTCCAAGGCCACTGCTGGGAAGCTTACTGATGAATGACTGGGCAGAACATCACGCTAATGAAATAGATGTAGAGCTATGCACTCAGAGAGTGTATATATTGACATGAACAATAGAGCACAGGCAGAACGCTTACTGCAGTGTGATATCATCAGATAGGTACTCGCCTCGTAGAATCGGCCTCGACTATTTGTCGTGAAATTGAAATCTTCAGCTATATTGAGTCATCATGCAGTCAATATTATTGACTGCATGATCTCGCACAGCTAAGTTGCTGATGTGGGCGTAGTCAGACTCGAGTCGGCCAGATATTCGTTCTACACAGGACAACGTGAGAGACAAGCAAGCACGGTGAAAAGACATAAATGACGTACGTGCTAATTGTGTTCAACTACGATAATTCTCCTCGTGTGCCACTTCTGACGCCCTGGAGTTAACCTGGATTCAACCAAGGGTCATTTTAGACGGCATCCACGTCATGTAGCATGCGCTTCACTGATTCTTGGACAACATGAGCACAACCACTCCAATATATTTTATGTGAGCCACGTACTAATTAATCAGCAACGCGAATTCATCAGAGGGCGAGGTCGCGCCAACTGCTCAATGCTACGAGAGTGGTACCTGAGCATGCAAATAGAGAGTAGGGGAAACCTACTGAATGCAAGCCAGGTGGAGATAGTGGATTGTGCGTACTAGTAAATTGAGTGGCATATCACTGTCGCTGGCAAGCTGGATTAGGTTTCTGCATACTATCGAAAACCTAATCAAACACACCAGCGCCAGAACAACAGCATGCATGAGGCGTGCACAATTACCTAGATATAAGAGTTATTTACAATGAATGGGACGCGAATTTACTTATTAGCAGCTGATCAGTGTCGGAATTGGTGTGAAATGTGCATCGCTAGTGTTGTTGGGTTGGGTTGGGTTGCCTGCATACTGCAACTGAACCCCTAACTCACCAGCACCAACGACAGCGTGAGGCGTGTCTGATCACCTGGTTGCACTTGATGTCAGCTTTTGGTTTAGTGGAGACTGCTCAGGGTCATCATGGAAGCGGTATCTGAGTGTGGTGAGTGTAAAGTCTTTCCATTACCAGAAACACGCACTAGGACCGCCGAATAAGTCATGGTCAGCATATAATCACAGAATTTCACCCGTCTGACCTTGGATGAGATGATGGTTCATAACCTCCTGGTACACTGGCAACAGCATGGCGACTTGAAAAAAAACCACAAAGTTCACATTGGTGTGTTCAAGGCCCAGCAACGATTCGAAACATCATCGCGGTAGTAATTGTAGTAAACTGTGTGAAAGGGCGTCCATATCACATGCAAAGTGACAGCGCTGGCGAGTTATTCTGTACCGTACAAAGTCGCACATGCAGCTGTACCTCCTGGCACTGCGAGATATCAGGGTATGAGGATCACCCAGTTAGTAGCAACAGCGAATCGATGAGGTGATGCGTAACGATTCAGACTGAAAGATCGTAGCTTCTCCTCAAACACCCGAACAAAACAGGGTTTTCGCAGGAGGATTAGAAACTGTAAGTACAGATTACGTGAAATTTGGTTTCCTCACCCCAGTTTCAGTTACCGCAGAATGAATTCTTGTCATGTATAGCGAGAAGGCGAATTATTTGAGGTAAGTTGCTCAAGAAAACAGGTTTCGACACCATATGCATGGAAACGAGCGAGTGGAGACAGCGTCGTACACGCGCGTACGGTTTGACCTGTGTTTGACATTGTTTGGTACACAGCGTTGAACTCTGTTTTCTTTCAAAGTTGCTTCCAGCTGATTAGTATATATCGATATCGGTCCCTTCCCTCGATGTTTGTTTCCCAATTTCCATCAGTACTCGTAATACGCAGATACCCTCGCCCACCTCTTCCCACACATCAATTTCCCCACAACCTCCCGACGCGCATTCACCACACCGCCATCACAACTCCATTATGTGCCCTAGGTCGTGCGACGCGCGTCATAACATCTCAAACCTGGACACATCTTGCCGCACCTGTCAGGCTACTGCGGAGAGAGTGTGGAGGTAGAGTCGGAGGGGACGGTGGATATGGGTCCTTCTGCTTGGTGGTGCTATACTAAGGGTACGTTTCCCTTGTGCTTGCAATGCTATCTTATTCAACAACATGGTTGTCAAACACGTGTACTTCTGCGCAAATTTGACCAATCCTTTCAGTTCCCCACTACGTCACGCCTACCTCCAATCCGCTCTCATTCGGCGCATGCTATGACTCAGGTGCGTTCATACATATGTATTCATGCGAGGATGCAAGCATTGACCACAGTGGCCTCATTTCATCTTACATTTTCAGTCTCAATCTGCCCCACCACCACCTGGTTTCCGGTCGTCTTCTGCTCCCACTGCTGTCACACCACTCATCAACCTGATGGCCTCTTCGTGCGAATCATGCGTCGAGGCCCATTATCGATGTTCCTCTTGCACAGAATCAAGAGCTACGTTAAGTTGCTTTCATCCCCCGCGCATACTCACCACTCACTTCTTCCGAGTTCACACACGCACAACACTGTTGCGTGCGTTGCCATGCTTCCTTCGGGCACAAATATTCAACTTGTCTTTACGTTTCGAATACTCAGCCGCCCTCACCACTTCTACCCAACTCCCACTCCACCAATCTCATGCAACCTCTCCCACAATAGAGGGTGTTTCTGACACACCCACAGATATTGCACCGCGTCCTGCCTAAGTTCACGCAACACTGCAGACAAGACCCGCGTACGTGGAGTGGGGCAAAGGAAGAGCGAAGTTTCTCGTGCGTAGCGGCGGGTTTGTATTTGGAGGGTGGGTATGTTTCGCGTCGATTAAAGGCTGGCTTCACTTGTCTTTGGTCTGTCTGAGGAAACCACAGGTTTATTACTCGAGCCCACATTCGACGCGGGTGACATCTCGAAGACTTACACTTCATCGACGACGGCAGCATCAGCAGAGCTGTCGGAGCTTCTACCTCCTCGACACTGTTACCCACAGCGACCAACGACTACCGTCTCTGCCAATCTCATGACAACTTCGAGGTGCACCAGTCTATTGCACCGAGTCACCTTTCCCATCCTGCATCCGTCGCCTCACGAGCCAACAATATCAACAGCCATTTCGAGCAGGAGTTCCAGGCCGCCCATGAATGCGCTTTTAGTCATATCTTCGTCTATCCTCTATGCACTCGTACAGTGCATGATGAGGTGCTGGAACAGTGCCATTCTGTAGTAAATGGCTGTAGCCACAAGTGACGACACCATACTACTCACCGGAGCCTGGCTCGTTCCGCTCGGCACTGATCCATCGACCCCGACACGATCCTACCTGCATGTTACCATATCGCGGTTGTTTCATCTTCGAAATGATTCACATAAGTAACTTTTACCTGATGTCACGCCGCATCTCCTGCTTCCACTATACCTGAACGTGTCGAGTAATTGACTTGTCCATGCACATGTACATTTGCGACGACCTCAATATAGCCAATACAAATTTCTTGCAGAAGACCACGGCGAAGAATGAGATACACTACAGGTCGGTGAAAGAGAACCGTACTAAGCTTCAATACGGTGATTAATATTCATGACGGAGTCCTTGACCACGGCACTAGAGTCATTCGTAGAAGCAACAGAAAGTCGAAATGATCCTGGCGAAACTAGCATTTAATGGGGAGCACGCATGCATTGGATTAGGGCAGGGCAGGTGATGTCCGAGATACTTCGTGAAAGGGATAATGTAGAACGAGGTCATTTCAATCTTGACCAGATCACCCTTCTGCGGGGATAACGTCAGCTAGGATGAGCACACGGGAGGATGATAATCCGAATCATCCAAGTTCATGTTATGATGGGATCTGGCAGACAGCACGCAATATCGCAGATGGCGTACAATTGATATATAAGTGTGAAATTGTGAGTTATGAAGGATACAGTAGTGGATGGATGCACGCAAAATCAACTATGACCACGAGTACCACTAGAGCTGCCATTTGTCGTGCCGTCTTGGCGAGGTCTCTCAACGCGCTCCAAGTGCCATCGAGGAGGCATCCTCAACCTGCCATGAGACCAGCACGAATAGTAGCACAGGAACGCCTTGCACCAGTGCACGTCTGGGAGTGAATCGTTGTCAGATGAGTCGATGTCCTGCGGCACTCCAGCCTGAGGCGGATGTCGGGTGTCGTCTACTTTTTTGTATTCTGGTAGATTGGCAGCAACCAGCCGCTATCGGGTACAAATCAGCAAAGAGGTAATAACAGCAAAGAAGATGCAAGTTACATTGAACTTCCGCCCTGGTGCGACTTCCATGACTGGTGGCGCATTGCTGTGTCTTGGCACGAGGAAAGGAAGGTGGTGTCGCAGGAATTGCGTGACTGGACCGTTCGAGGGAGGTGGAGAACTTATTTCGAACTGGAATCACATTCAGTCATGCGTTGTGAGTTTACTAAATTTGAACACTGACACGTTCAAACCGAGTTTCGTCCTGTCCCAGAGAGGATGGTAGGGGTAATGTAGCAGGGACCTGCGTTACCATGATCGAGTCAAACGCGAAAGAATCGAGATACACGACCTACATCTAGAGGGTTATGAAGTTGGACAGCTGTATTCTTGCGAGGAGAGAAGCGAAAAAGTTGGCGGAGGCGAATGGAAATAGGTTGTTGGGGGTCCATTGTAGGCGGAGGCCTCTGCACCATAGGTGTGACGGGTGTCTGTGGTCTGCGGCGTACTGAAGGAGGACGACGAGTTGCGTCAGACTGCAATAATAGTGATGGATGAGTGGTGTAATGAGTAAAAGAATGAGCCACGTACGTTTAGAAGATCATTGAGGGTTGAATTTTTGCGTGCACCGGCCTGTAAGGGAATATTAGCACACGAGCAGTAGATGTTTTCGGGGAATGCGTACACGGGCCTGAGCAAGCACATCGGGTGGAATATCACATATGTAAATCTCGTACTCATCGTCGTTCTCGATATCGTAATCCGTGTAAGCTAGTTGGCGCGAGTCGGGTGAGAGGACAAGGGTGAAAGAATTCTGAACGTCGAAGGAAGCGAGGAGTTGGCGGGACTCGAAGGCCCAGAGCTTGATGGTGTGGTCAAGTGAAGAGCTAGCGAGGAGAGTGTTGTCGGATGAAAGTGCTAGGCCGTAAATGACTTTGGTGTGCCCTTTGAAGGGAGTTCCGAGAATCTCCAATGTTGAGGCGTCAAACTCGTAAATTGTACTGGAACCGTCATCCGTGTCGAAGGTGAATGCGGCCAAGATATTTTTGTTTGTATTTGTCCAGAATATTGGCGCATACGTCACATCCCTTCCAATTGGTTTCCCTATGCTCGCATCCAATTTCTGTTTGCGGATATCCCAGACCTGAAGGCACGTCCCCACATCCGACTTGATTGCGAGCTTCCTCGAATCCGTCGAAAACCGAACTGCGCCCACCCAACTAACACTCTTGAATGGACCGGCCACGAGTTTGCCGGTCTCCAAGTTCCATATCCGTGCTGTCCAATCATCTGACCCGCTTGCCAGCAGCTTGCTGTCCGTGGAGATATCAATGCATATGATCCTTTTTGAGTGGCCTTCAAAATTTTTCACAATCCCCGTCTCAACCTCATAGACTTTCAGCTCCCCGGTTAACGTTTCTTCCTCTCCACCAGCCGTAACAACCCATCGACTATCCCTTGATACCGCCACTGCCAATACCTCCTTCTCGCAAACACCCCGCGCTTCCTCAATCTCCCTACCCGCCTTCAGATCCCATTGCCGAGCGGTCTTATCTTCAGATCCGCTGATCATTCGCTGGCCGTCAGCAAAGTAGGATATGGATCGAATCCACTTTTCATGACCCTTCAAAGTCTTTGCCGGTGTCACAATCGATTTCGTGGCGGCTGCCTTTGTAGATGCGGAAGCCATGGCTGCGTCTCTGCGAGCGAAACAGTTAAGTAGGAGCAAGGTGTTCTTTGGATGTATTTGAAGGACCGTGGTGAGCTCTCCTCATGTGTTGTGGGACTGACGTTGATCGCCGTTTGAAGATTCCCAACTCGCTCCAGAGTCCAGAACACTTTGCCTATAGTAGAGCTGATCGTCAGTTCATCCGTGCTGGAACTTCAGATGAGAGTTGATATTACCAAGAGGCGAGAAATGATAGAGAGGGGTGGATGCTACAATGTGAGTACAGCCGTCGTCCTTGAGAAATGTGCTATCTCTCAAATTTATTTCCTCTTGCTTTTTGACTCACCGCCTTTCACAGCCATGAACGATATTCCTGTGCTAGAGCGCCAATCTCGTTTCTATTTCCCACACACCAGTGTTGCTGTATGCCTGTGAGTCTCTGGCGGATCTAGATGGCCCGATACTATTGCATTCGACCAACCTGCATTCAACCTTTTTCGTAGCTCGCTCTTCGTTTGTAGCATCATTTGGCCGCCAGCAGACACATGAACAACTGCTATTAACCTTGTATACCCTACAGAGACGACAAAGACCATCTTTTCTTATCCCATTGTCTCGATCATTCTTGGGTACACGCTCATCCAGGCTTTCTCACTTTCTGGCTCTAGAGAATTATCGTGCAACCAGCCGTCACCTGAGATCCCTCTATCCAGGGCCACCGCTGCGTAGCCTTACGGACGACTGGGATCAGAGCACCACGCTGATGAAAGGAAAGGCATGTGAAGCTATACGGGAGAGAGCGTTTTGATAATAGCGCTGGCACTGGCAGAGCTCTCTGTATGAATGCCACCAATTGGGTTCTTGAACCTGTGCGTTGCACATATCAACTCTTCAAACCGTATGTGGTCTTCTGTGGTCGCTAATATCGGGACGCAACCTCTCATGTGTCCTGGAGAGAATGCGACTGCCCAACTATCCTTCGCTGCATGTAAGTACCACAGCACAACAACGCTCGTCGCCCGTACAAATCAGATGCATCCACTGCACAGTCGAGGATGAGAAGGTTTGACAGCCAAAGAATTGGGGGCGTCAGGATCACAACCTGAGGCATGCGTTACTACAGGCCTCTCATGCGAGCATGATTTATAACTTGAATATCGTGATGTGATGTCAATGATATCTATTATCCACGAAACTGGTGTACTCACCTCCATGGTTCTTTTCCTGGTTCCATGCTCGAGTTGTTGGAAATTGAAGCAAAATTGAAAATTGAGGACTTCACATCGATCCACAAATCAGCAATATGGCGATGAATAGAAAACGTGCCATTTTCCTGCAATGTACATCCTGATGAGCTGTGATCTACTCGCCAGGAGAAAACTGCTCTGCACTCGACACATGAACGGTTGGCCATGTTCAGGAAGACAGTGAGCACAGCTTAATGTTATACAAAGAAATACATCCACTGACCTTTCACATGTGCACATTTTGTCAACGGACAATCTTACGACACAGGCCACCCTGATATTTATTTCCCCACTTGGCTGGGGGATCTTCGATCAGGGAGATTGTCGAGAAGATTGCAGTAAGTCATTTATGATCAAACAGTAAACGCGAAGCGCTGGATCTCTATTTGAGATTACTTTCCCTTGGCTGGGTATGTTCTTGCATATGAACCTGTCGGTCGTTTTCTCAAGATGTCCCCGACAGTCATTGCCATCCAAAATTGCACACTCAAAATCTGATTGACAAAGTTTAGTAACATAAATGCATTGGACAAGAGGTCGCATACTTATTGACACTAACGAAAATATGTTTCTCCAACCACCGATGCATCTCTCCACCGGGCTCAAGTCACATTGCATATCCGGGTTGCCAGGAACAGGTCCACACGACATCGAATGCGATCTGCACATAACACTATCACAGAACGGTGAGTCGTTGTGTTCATGATAGGCAGATACAACTTACTGCCACCAGATCAGAACATTCGCATTACACCCAAACCAATTTACGACACTTGGATTTGCAACTCAGAGAAGAGTCTCTGCCAGGTCTTGCCTACCGAACACACTCAGCATCCACAAGCGTGGGGTTAGCTTCCTGTATGTAGGGGAATATGTGAAAGAACCACGCGAGCAAGGTCAAGGTAAGAGACGTACCAATGTCGAGCACGACGAGTAACTTTGTTTCATGAATCACCTCGCAGATGTGGTACCCTTGGCAGAAGGTAAGGCCGACGTTTACCTGTGAGATTTCGGTGAGTGCTGATCATTGATTTGACATTTGATGTGACCTGGAATGAATTTGTATAGGATAAATTGCCTGCCCGCCGCGCACTTTGGCCCTCCTATGACAGATCAAAGTGTCTTTATATCCAAGAAGCACAGTGAAGCCGGACAACCACGATATAGAGGTCTGAGCAAGCCGCCATGTTTCATTCCTTCGGGCCGTTCATCATTGCAGTCAGGCCTGGCTTAGGAACACGAGGTAAAGTTTACTGACGCCCATAGGTTTACTGATTCCCGAGACATGATTTTCTGTCGTGGCCAAGACACAAGCGCAAGGACAGCCGAAAGGACCAAACAAGTGCTGTGACCTAGGCCTGGTACATGAAGTATTTCGTACCATACAAAGTTGCACGCGCAGCTGTACCTCCCGGCACCACAAGGTGTCAGGGCATGATCACCCAAATAGTAGCACCAGCGAAGCGATGAGGTGGTAAAATTGGTGCGTAACGATTCAGACTAAAATATCGTAACTTCTGCTCAAACACCCCAACGAAACAGGGTTTTCGCAGGAAAAGTAGAAACTGTAAGTAGAAATCACACGAGATTTGGTTTCCTCACCCCGGTTTCAGTCACCCGCAGAATTTTGTGATGTATAGCGAGAAGGCGAGTTATTTGCTCAAGAAAACACGTTTCGACACATGGAAACGAACGAGAGACAGCGTCGTGCACGCTTTGACCTGTGTTTGACATTATTTGGCACACAACGTCGAACACTTCTTTCAAAGTTACACATCGGCGGTTTCGGAGTTTTGACACAAGCTAGACTTTAATCAAAATGTGATTGATAAACAAGGGATATTCAATTTGAATTTCAACATTGGAAACAATAGTGGTACTCAAAATAAGATCCAAAACTTTTTGGAAACTCGCGTAGAGCACGGCTAAACCCTTCCAACACGGCTAAAGGTATCGGCTTGATGACTATTGAAAGTCAGGCCGGCATGGCACGGCGGAGTTTTAATCCATGCCTGCTGCCCGCCAACGTGTTCGCCGTTCTGCACGGCTCAGAGCCAACGCTCGAGTTACTCGAGCGAGCTCAACGACGATGGACCTTCAAGAATCCCCCTCCGAAGGACTCCCTCCAGAAACATCTGGACCCAGGATGTCAATCCAGTGGCAAAGTGAACATGCCCTCACTGACATCCTGGTGAACTACCTTACCACCCATCCCACTGACTGCCGGATCCTGTTCTATTCTGAGGGGAAGAAGAAAGCGGCCCTCGACAATGACGCCCCCTCTAACAGGGACAAAGGGGACGTATATGGCGCCATCGCCCACCTCATATTCGCCGATCACATCAAGTACCGCTCTGCATACCGCCAAAATCAGAAGAAATTCAGCGATTTGGTCTCCAATCGCATCACAAAGTAAGTCTTCTCTTTTTTTTTTTTTATTCACGCATACACTAACAAATACATCAAGCCTTAGAAATAAGTACAAGAAGCACAAGAACAAGTTCACTGCGACTGGCTCTGGCATCATGCCGCTTGATGGGCCATCTGCCCAAAATCTTCTACGTGAGTTCGTCTTCCCCCCCCCCCCAGTTAACAGCTGATTTATTTTTATAGAAGTCGTATGTGCGGACCTTCCATGGTACCAGGACCTTGACGCAATCTGGCACGGCAATCCCGCCATGGCGGCAAAGACACATTCGTCTAAGCCGGGCGTGGACCACGCCGCAGCCCTATATTCCCTCGTGCAACCACGTGGTGGGGCTGGCCCCTCCATGCACTTTGGTGCTTCTGCTGGGGCTGGCCCCTCCAGCGCGCATCTGCCCCCCAGCCCATACCCAGCCCCCAGCGCACATCTGCCCCCCAGCCCATACCCAGCCCCCAGCGCACATCTGCCCCCTGGCCCATACCCAGCCCCAGCCCCCAGCCCATATCCAGCCCCAGTTCCCAGCGCACATCTGCCCCCCAGCCCATACCCAGCCCCCAGCGCACATCTGCCCCCTGGCCCATACCCAGCCCCAGCCCCCAGCCCATATCCAGCCCCAGCTCCCAGCGCACATCTGCCCCCTGGCCCATACCCAGCCCCAGCCCCCAGCCCATATCCAGCCCCAGCCCCCAGCACACATCTGCCCCCTAGCCCATACCCAGCCCCAGCCCCAGCCCCCAGCGCACATATGCCCCCCAACCCATACCCAGCCCCCAGCGCGGATCCGCCACCCAACCCATACCCCCCCCAAAACGCGTGCCCACCGTTCCACCTTCCCGGGCTCGACAACTCCGACGACGTCGACATCACCGACGATTTCGGACGCGCTGATAATAGCACTGGTCTGTTTTCCGCCCCCATCGACGGTGACGATGACGACATGATGGACGCTGACGCTGGCACCCACACCAGCCCTTCCCGGGTTGCGGGTAAGAAGCGCCAGTTGCCTTCTTCCCCGTCCCCTCCTCCTCACCCCCCCCACCCGTTCGAATTGCCCCCGAAGTCCCCGGCGTCGTTTTACGACAGTCGGGCAGCCTTTGGGGCGCAGAGGCCGATTTCTCGTGGGGGCCGACGCAAGGCATCGACCGACATGTCCCGCAGCATGTCGACACCGTCATCGACGACCCGCAACACCACCACCTCCTCGTCTGACTACAACATGTCCCCCCACCCCGCAAACGTCACAGAAAACGAGCGCCGGCTCCAAAAAGAAGAAGGCGAAGTCCGACGTCGCTCAACAGATCGACCACGTCCATGACGAGATCGAGAGCCTGCATTCGGACGCGAGGTCACGCCACGACCACAAGCAAGAGCGCTTCCTTGCGAAGCTCGACGCCAAGACCGAACACCATCGCGACACGAGGAAGTATGAGTATCTACGCAGCGTGCGAGAGCATGAGGCCTCGTTAGCAACCGCCAACCATCAGCGTGAGCAAGAGAAGCAGGATGCTGAGATCCGTCTTCGCGAGACTGACATTCGAGTGCACGAAGCTCATTCACTGGTGCTTGATAAGGAGGCTGAAAACCTCCGCCTCAAGATCCAGTTCCACCAGATGACACAGGGCAACAGGTCAGATGGAGGTGTATGATTTTTTCGTCTCGTTTTTTTTTTTTTTTCATTTGTTCTTGCTACCATATGTTTCTTTTGTTGTTGTTTTTGTGTTCTCACTGTTGCATGTATGTTTTTCTCCTACACTAGTATCTGATTCAAGTTGATGTTACATAGGTACATATGTGTTGTACATTTAGTAGTAGTACATGTCAAGTAGTACATGTGAATGTGATCCTTATCCTGCTCTCCTTTGTGCATTAGATTGAGGACTGTCAAAGAGCTCATCCATTAGCCTTGCACGAGTAGCCTGACCTGGAGTGCCATCATATGTCCTGTCACCAACTACTTCATCACCATCTGGAGCCTCATACTCTTGAGGAATGAAATCTTCGCCCTCTACACGAGCCCACTTTAGAGAACTCTCGTATGTTCCATCCTGTTTGTGATGGTCGGTTTCGAAGCGGATGATCATGTTGTGCAGGATGATACAACACTTAATCCACTGCACAGCAAACTCGAGGTCTTTCTCGGTCTGAATTCTGAACCGTAGCTCTCGAAGAGACTGGAACCGTCCCTTCAAAACAGCAAATGTGTGTTCAACACGAACACGAATCTAAATAAATGTAAATCAATTGAAAACCACCAAAAAAAAAACATACCTTAGAGAGGTGATAATTGAATGTCTTCTGGTTCTTCGTCAGCCGTCCATTGCGAGGCTTCTTGAAAGGGGGAATACACCATGGTTCCAATGGATAAGCACTGTCCGCCCAAACCCAATGACCATCAGGCAGAAGATCAGCGTGCTCGTTATAGAGGCAAGTGGATCGAAAAGCAAATGCATCATGGACACTCCCGGGATGACCAAGAGAGTAATCAACAATCAGGAGGTTGTGGGGTAAGTTGACTGCCTAGAATCAAATTAATTTTTGCACATGAAGATGACAAAAAAAATGTTACCTGACAGCCAAGGGAATACTTCGACTTCCTATCATAAAATGTCTCACCATAATAACCCGGTTTCGTGAACAGATCTATGGTTGAGCCATCAATGGCTAGAAAACCACCTCTCCACTCTGGACAAGTACGTGACTCGGCAAATTTGCGAGCCAGGTCACTATCCTCAGAGTCACCTGCTGGGAAGCAGATAAACTGATCATGGGCATCGAGCACCGCGACCATCACACGATTAGTGCAATTGACCACTGACCCGACACTCACGCCTGCCCATTGAGCGACATCCTCGAGAGAAATGGCATTGCCATAGTGGCCTGCACGATTAAGAAAAATGGCAAGCTGGATGGAGACGGGGAGCTGAGGATTGTTGGACTGGTTCTGGAAGATAGGGTGATTAGAGATATGATCGAGGATATCATCGAAGATCTCCGGGTTGACACGAAGTTTCTGCCGAAACAAGTGAGGGCGATGTTCCTCGTGGTGAACCAGCATGTGAAGTTGAGATGCTCGCGGAGGAGGCTCATCAGGCTTGTGGAGTACACGTGCCCTCTTGACCTCATCACGAAGAGCAGCGATGGTGTCCTGGAGCCTGTCGTAAGGTGCAGCGATGTCATCGGATTCGTCACTGGAAGAATCCGCAATCCCCGTCCCAGGGGAGAGGGGAGAGATGGGAGAGATGGGAGAGAGGGGGGATTGGGGGGATGGGGAGCTAAATGACAGGCTGAAAGAGTCGTCATGATCATCGCCTGAAGCAGAAAGCGAGTTCGAGTCGGAGTCGGTATCAGACTCAAAGTCCGACCAGTCGTCCAGCATATCCTGATACTGCAACCTAGCCACGGAAAGTGCAGCCTGATCGACAATATTCAGGAGGTCTTTACGAGTGGATGGGCGAGGCATAGTTATGGTGGGGGGCTATGGTGCGTGTGGGATCAAAACTCCTATCTGCGTGTATATGTGACGCAGTTTTGAGCGGAGTTTAAAAGTTGCGGAAAGTTCCGATGTTTCGTCTCGCGCTGTCTATTCTTATCCAGATCCCACACGCATCCCACCTGACCAGCAGCGCCTTACCTTCGCTGGAAAGCAGCTTGAAGATGGCCGTACTCTCAGCGACTACAACATCCAGAAGGAGTCTACCCTTCGCTCAGTCTTGCGTCTCCGCAGAGGCATGCAGATCTTTCCCCCTCAGCGACTACAACATCCAGAAGGAGTCTACCCTTCGCTCAGTCTTGCGTCTCCGCGGAGGCATGCAGATCTTCCCCCCTCAGTGACTACAACATCCAGAAGGAGTCTACCCTTCGCTCAGTCTTGCGTCTCCGCGGAGGCATGCAGATCTTCCCCCCTCAGCGACTACAACATCCAGAAGGAGTCTACCCTTCACTCAGTCTTGCGTCTCCGTGGAGGCATGCAGATATTCCTCCCCCATCGCGCATCTGCCCTCTCAACGCATACCCAGCCCCCATTGCGCATCCGCCCCCCCAAACGCATACCTGCCCCCAGCGCACATCTGCCCCCTAGCCCATACCCAGCCCCAGCCCCCAGCGCATACCCAGCCCCCATCGTGCATCCGCCCCCCCAAACGCATACCTGCCCCCAGCGCACATCTGCCCCCTAGCCCATACCCAGCCCCATCCCCCAGCGCAAATCTGCCCCATCACGCATCCGCCCCTCAAACGCATACCTAGCCCAGCTCAAATCTGCCCCCCACATATCCCTCCCAACACTTATCCTCTCCTTCCCCCCCGCTCTTCCCCTCAGCACTTATTTTGTTCCATCTGGCGCTCCCTACCTACGGCTGATTTCATTGGGGCGGGGCCTTAGTTTTTTTTACAAGTGTATTACTACTACCATTTGAAATACAAGTATGTTGGAGGATCTGCTACTCGTTTTGAAGCTACTAGATCATGGTTACTTTTTCTATTCTCTCTAAAGTACACTTTCCCCTATGTATATTCACGCTTTGAAAAAAATCACAAGTGTTGTTTTAAAGGTCCGACTTTGTGCCGACTCGTGCCGAGCATGTTCTGTTAAACTTTAGCCGTGTTGGAAGGGTTTAGCCGTGCTCTACGCGAGTTTCCAAAAAGTTTTGGATCTTATTTTGAGTACCACTAATAATAAATTTAGATGATGGTGAAATGGCAGAGCAAAGTAACACATTTTGACAAAGATTCCAAGTCCTGTCTAAATAGATTGAAATATTTGAAGTTTTCCGCTCAGGAAAATGTCAATATAAAATACAAAATTTGAGCGTGGAAAATATTCAGAAAAATATTATATAATGGCCAGCATTCCCATTCCAGTTAAAAACTCAAATTTTCTTGATCGTGCATCAGTAAACCCCAATTTTCTCCACAGACATCGACATTTCCCACAGTTTCCCACAGTTTCCCACAGCGCCCCACAGCGGCACAGAGCTCACAGTAAATTTCTCCACAGACATCAACATTTTCGACAGTAACCCACAGTGGGACAGAGCTCACAGTAAATTTCTCCCAGCATCAACATTTTTTGATAGTTCCCCACAGTAACCTACAGAGGGACAGAGCTCACAGGATGTACAGCTGCTTACAGTGTTTGTCAGTAAAATACTACCATTTCTCGAGCGCTACTACTACTATATAGTTCGGGCTATAATTAGAATACATTTGAAGCACAATTTGAAGCACACTGGCATCCGCCAAGGTCAAGACAAAACAAAATCTCATGTCCGAATCATATTTTACTACTACTAGATACTAGTACTGCCAAATACAAGGTTTCTATTTGATACAACTCAAAAGAAGGTACTTGTCATTAGTCCAACTGGATGGTGACCTGATGGCAGGATGCGAATGAGTCTATAATACGAAGGTGTTAGTTGGTAGTACTATAAATGATAGGTGTACTTACCATGAAGATTGTGTGGCACTGGGTGGTGAGAAAGACCGTGTTTCTTGAATGTGATGCGCATATGACCTAGTCCTACATCCGCCTTGTCAAGCTTCCGCTTAGAAATGGTGGACTTGTATTTCGAAAGATTCGTCATGACCTCGTATTCTCGGACGACACAATCAGCAAGTGTTTTCTCTGCATTGAATATATCCCGTCGGGCCCTTGCGAGGTCCATGATGAGGTTAGCTTCAAGTTCATCAACATCGTTGATGGTCTGTGGGCACGTGAACAAATATTGCCTAGTAAGATATCAGTCACTTACCATCGAGCCAATAGCGTCAACTACATCATACAAATCTGCGATACCACTGCCAGAGTCACCCAGAACATGGCTGGCTTGCCACTTATTGGTATGTCGAGGGCGCATACATGACGCTGATGGTACATCACTAGAGATATTTAAATGGATTGGTGCGTGGCTCGACTCGGACATGAGGGTTAGAAAAACTAAGGTGTTCGGATTCCGGAATCAATATCATTACAGTTCAACTTCTCAGAATTCTCACGTGCACGCTATTATGTCGTCATTCCAGTGTCCTTCATGTGGCAAGGGCGGTTTCAAGAATGACGTCGCTGTTGCTCGTCACATGAGCCAACCTCGCTCTGGGTGCAGTACGTGGCTGCAGGATTTGATATGCTTGCGCTCCGAGTCTGATTCCTGTATGGACTCGGATGACGAACCGAATATTTCCATGGATATGGACGATGCCAGTGAACCGAATATGCCCGACATCGAGTCTGGTGGTTTGGGGGATTGGGATGAGATGTCTCGAGGGAGTACTAGTGGTAGTGAGAGCCAGGAAATGCCAACTCACAACTCGGAAGTTATCGACTCATATTCTGACTGCGCTCAATCATACGGCAGGGGCTACACGTTCCTTGATCTATTCAATTCCGACAATAACAGCAAACACCGTGCAATGAATCCGTATTACCCATTCAGCGGCTGGAAAGACTGGGAAGTTGGGTCGTGGCTCCTTCGCTCAGGATTGAGCATGGGGAAGATAGACAATTTTCTTTTGCTCGAGATGGTGAGTAACAAATTCTTTGATAATATTTACATTTTTCTTAAGTGGTTCAGATAAAGACCCTTCCATTAGTGGTAGTCAGAGTGAACGATTTTGAGACGATTCAGTGTGCGATTCAGAAATCGATTTCGGACACTGATAATCGGATTTGACATTGAATCGCGTTGAATTGTCGAAGCGCCTCTGGAGGTGCTTCACGCGATTCTGAATCGGATTTTGGACTGTAAACAGCTGCATTTCTCTTATTTAAAAATACAAATATCTAATTAAATATACTTGTCCTGCAAATAAGCACCTCCCCCTCCACACTCAAGTAGCATGGCACCCAAAGGAAAACACGTCCAACGAGCATCTCCGCTGAAAGCCCGTAAAAAAGTGCCCATTAAAAAAGGCAAAAAAGCGCTGCCAATGGGTACCAAGGTCGAAGTCGGAGATACCGCGGAGGCTATCGAAAAGGTCAACGATGAGAAAGATGACGAGGAAGTCCCTGATATCGAGTGCGTGAAATATATCAGAAACATAGTACATAACTCACCTTAGGAACTGCCAGTTGGACAGATACTTTGACGTGGTCCCTCGTTAGCGCTGTGACATCTGATGACACCATCTGAAAAGGATTGTACCCTGAACCAGGTGCGAATGCATCGACGAAAAACGGAGGAGGCGCGAAGAAAACAGAACACCACTGGGCACTCTGCAAGGTTCTGTTTGATGGCCATGCGGAGTATGGCAGTGCATTTGAAATTGCACTTGGCAACCTGAAAGAAAAAGGCCTGCGACAAGCATGGGTTTGAAAGATCAAAAACCGAATGCAGATGTACGCCATCGTTTGGTTCTGTGATGTTTTCATACTGACCTTTTGGCAGCTTAGAACGAAAAACCCTTGTCTATGTCAAGGAGATGGGAACAACAGGAGCTGGCATTGAGCGTGAGGAAGATATCGACATGAGTCAGGTGAACAACTTTACCACAAGATGGGGTAAGTACCACTAACTCGGACATTGTTTTCCGTACTGAGACAACTTCGCCGGCACAAATTAAAGAAGAATTTCCGTGGTTCTTCGAGATGCGTGCTCTTGTCGCCAATTGTCCTAGTCGGATTCCTACCGGTGTTGGTAATGCAGATTCGGCTGCCGACTTTTCAATTTTGTTACCGAATGATGGCGAAGAATTTTCCGAGTCACTGAGTGAGCCCGTGGGATTATCTGATGTAGAGCCTGATGGAGATACTTCTGTGGCTAGTGGCGAGGACACAAAACCCCCAAAACACCAGCGGTCAACAAAGATCGAAGATCTCGCTGACGAAGATTGCAAGCCTGCGAAGAAGTTAAAGGTTACAACGAGCACCAAACCATCCAAGACGAAATCATTCCTAGACAGGTATGCCGAAGTGGCTGAGCAAGAAGAGCTGACTGCACAGAAACGGGCTGATGCACTCACAGCCAAGGCATCACTTGCTGTTGTCAAAGCAAAAGCCAAGGCCCAGATCAAGCTGGAGAAGGAGAGACGCGAGACGGAGAAGGAGAGGAGGAAGACTGAGTATGCATTGAGGAAGCTCGAGCTTGAGCATCAATTTCGAATGGCTCAATTGCCTCGCATTGACCAGGCTGGCCCTTCACAAGCACACTATCGAACAAATGATTTCCTCTCCGATGATGATCCATATGGACTTCCAATTCTCCCGCAACCAGAGAACTCTGAGGGGGGAAGTTCAACTAGCTACCATTACTAAAATTCTGAATGACAACGAGCTCTTTTTTCTTTGTATTTGAATAGTGCTCCTTTCAGCTGCTCCCGAAACCTTTTTGCTGATTTTAAACGCTGCTGCCGTCCATTTTGTGCAACTTCGAAAGGGTCATCTTCTGAATCCGAAGATGACGAGAGACCCTCCTCGATGAATGGATCACGTATCGGTGCATCATAATCATCCTCCGCCAGCTCATCCGCCTCACACATCATAGCAAAGGCATGTAAAGTAATGCATGCCACTGGTCCAGTATGTGGCAATCCGGTGAGTTGCTTTGTCTCGGATATTGACACGAATACCTTTGAGCGAGTGAAAACGCCCCTTCAGGTAGCCAATGGCATGTTCAGATCGAATACGAACCATGGAAACATGGTTGTTAAACACCCGATTATAAGGTTCCTCCCATTCCGGCATTTTATAGGGTGCTACCACCCAGGTTTGTATCTGGAGCTCGATGGTTAGTCTAAGCAAATAAATGTGACAAGCTCTTACAGGGTATGTGGAGTCTGCCCAAATGAATTCCCCATCTTCGAGTATGTCGTCGTGGTTCTGAGCAATGAATGTCTCTTGCCAAGCACTAGCATCGTGAGTGCTCCCAGTATGCCCATAGCTAAAATCAATAATTCGGAGATTTGGGAGCGAGACGATCTATTAAAATAGTCAGCTCAAATATATTCTCGGACTGAAATTAAAATTAAATTAAAATACTTGAACATTCAATGAATAATTTGATTTTCGGTCAAAGTAGCTTTCTCCATACCAATGAGGACGATCGTAAAGAGGAATGAGGGTGCCATCAACAAGGCACCACCCGTTCCTCCATGCACGACAGGAGTGAGCTTCAACCCAGGACTTTGCAAGTTCTTTTTCGTCTGCAGTAGGGAATCGAACAGCAGACTTGCGGAAAGATGGGCGAAGGACAGCTGTCATGACTCTGCGGGTGATGAGGTGGACAGTTCCTTTGCCAAGCCCAGCCCAATCCGCAACTGCCTGCATGCTAGCCCCGTTACCATTGTGTCCGAATCGATATAGTGTGACCGCGAGCTGGTCAGTGAGGGGAATTTGTTCATTCTGGGACTTGTTGGTGAACACTGGATCAGATGCGAGTTCGGTGCAGATTTTGTCAAAGGTGTATGGGGAGACTCGAAGACTCTCGCGAAACTTGTCAGGACGTTGTGGCTTCAGCACGTCTAGCACATGGCGCATCTGAGACGGGCCACGAGGAAGCTGATTGTGAGCCATCTGGTAGCGGTGTGAATAAGAATCCCGAATGAATTCGCGGACAAGCTGGCTGAGTTGTGCCTCCGCAGTGGGTGCACTGGCAGCAATGTTGTCATCGTCGAGCTCGTCATCAGCATCAGTGCCTGAGGTAGACTGAGACTCAGATACTGCAGATTCAGAGTCTGTGTCCGAGTAAGTGCTCGAGTCAAGCCCTGACACAGTACTCAAGCTGGATGGATCTGAGTATACAGACGAGTCATCTGAAAATTCATTGGAGTCTGAGCCAGAAGACGAGGAAATGGTGCTGCTGCTGGGGGAACTTGTGTCGGACATACTAGTATCCGAGTCAAGGTCTGAACAGGATGTTGACACTAGTACTGAGTCTCCGTCCTCGAGAACAGCATCCAAGCTATTGAATTCACGTTCTGTAAGGCTTTCGAGCCTCCGTTGGCGACGCAAGCAGATTTGTGCTCGTTTTTTCTTTACCTGCAATGCAAACATAATTAGATTCTGTACTTGCACTTGCCTTTGCGTCCGTCGCGGCATCTTGAGTGGTCCGAGGTAAGGTACTTAGCATACACACATATACACGAGAATCGCGTTGAAAATCCGTCAGCCGCTATGGGGTGTTCAAAGCAACTGCGATTTTCACACGATTTTCGCATTTTGAATCGTCCTGTAATCGCACGCTGAATCGTCTCAAAATCGTTCACTCTGACTACCACTATTATCTTCGTCTCACGTTGAGACTTAGTACAGAGCTCTTACCTGAGTCTACGCTTTCAGCATAACAAAAGATTCAAGTTTTCCATCAGCTCCTCATATCTTGAGGGCCAACAGTCAACACGTCTTCATCCCGGAGAGAAGATTCTGACGACATTGTCTTAACCTCTGATAGCTCATCCGAAAGCTCCGACGATATCCCAGAACCCACCCCAAGACAGTTCTTTCCTCCTCCCCCACCTCCACCAAGTGGGTTCGTTGTCCCACCCAGAACACCTGTTGGACCTCCACCAAACCCATTCAGACCACTGGTACCTCCACCAGCAGGACCGCTGACCATGTCGAAAATCCCAGAACTCAAGATTGGTTCCCCTAAGGATTTCAATGGACATACTTCCCAAGCAACAAGATGGTTGTTTAGCATTAAAGCTTATCGTTTTGCCAACTCTGAAACCGATACCGACAATAAGAAGAAAATCATCACCGCCCTCGCCTATATGACCGAAGGAACTGCCGCACTTTGGGCAGAAACATTCTATACCAATGCGTACAGTGGTTCAGTTCTGACCTTCGGATCATGGACAGACTTTGAAAAAAGCTTCAAAGAAGCATTCCAATCCATTGACACGCAGACCGACGCCTTGAACAAACTAGAAAATCTCAGGCAGACTGGAGAAATCGCTGAGTACATTGCCGAGTTCAAGCTCCTCACCGCGTTATCCGGAATGAAGGAAGGAATTGGACTCAAATACTTCTTCAAAAGAGGATTGAAAGATGGATTGAGGAAAGCGATTCATGGACTCTCTGAAGTCCCTGATACCATAGACAAATGGTACACCACAGCGACCCAGCAAAGCGCCAATTGGCAAATGGAACAGTCATTCAGAAACAACCGAAGTCAGACGAAGAAGGGATCTGGGAATCGCTCCAATCAAGGGCGAAGCAATCCCAAAACTAACTTCCACCACCATCAGCGCGACCCTGACGCAATGGACGTGGACAGAACCTTATCCCCCCAACAACGTGATGACCATTTCAAGAAAGGGCTCTGCTTCAATTGCTCAAAACAGGGCCATCGTTCCAGGGACTGCCCTGACAAGAAAACCAAGACCAGAGCCGCAGGAGCGTCAGAAGGAAGGAAAGGAAAGGGAAGGGCTAAAACCCCTGATGATGAAACCGACGAAGAAGAAGATATGGATACCAACCGAGTGGATTTTTAAACAGAGGACCTGTATCAACGTCAGACCCCTCCCTTTATGTGCTGTATACTAAGACTGTAGGACGAAGCAATGAATTCCGTGTCCCAGTGACACTCTTCTCTACAAAAAGCACGAAAACCGTTGAAACCACCGCTATCATTCATTCTGGAGCAGGAGGCTCTTTTATTGATAAAGACTTCGTCAAGAAGCACAAGATTAACTCCCACAAACTCCGAAAACCTTTCCATATTACCACCGTGGATGGAAGCAACTTGAAAGCGGGAATGATCTCCCATTATTGCGTCCTACCCATCAGACTTGACAAAAGATGCATGTGGGGAAAATTCAATATTACCCAACTCTCTGCTCGAGACAACGTCCTCCTTGGGAAACCCTGGCTCTCCGCCATGAATCCAGACATCGACTGGACTAAGAACATGATATCCCTTCCTTCATCACCCCGATCCAAACTCGTTGAGACCGAGATCAATCTTGAAAGAAAAACCATGTAGAACCCTTCTTATTCGAAGCCAAGAAAGCAGCTATTGAAGAAGAGGAAACCGGTTCTTTTCATCCGCTCAAGACGCTCTCAAATGAAAAAGAACATTGTATTGAAGAAATCAAGAAGAAGAAGAAATCCAAGAAACCTAAAGAAACTACTCCCGAACTCCCTAATTTCAATGCTATGGAAGATGTATGGGTTGGAAACACCCAATTCCTCCCACACCCGGACGATATCGCCACCTATCCTCTATCCGATGACGAAGTACTAATCGATTATGCTACGGATGGAACCAATGTTCGAATAACCGAGAACATCTCCTTCAACTCTCCTTTGACCCGTGATGGGACTTCCAAGAGAGAAATCTCTGCCAAACAAACTCCGCTTAGAAACATTTGGATACTCGCTGCTTCGCAAGAATACACCAAAACAAGCAACAAAGCGCAGGAGTTTGCTATGGAAGACACCCAGGCAAAGAAGAAGAAAACATTTCGAAGAACTCGTTCCCGAATACCTCCATGACTTCGCAGATATCTTCGCAACAGATGGCTTGAACAAACTTCCTCCCTCTCGCCCTGGATTTGACCACAGAATCGACACCAAAGAAGGTTTCATTCCGAAATCATCCAGAGCGTATCCTCTATCCCTGAAAGAAACCGAACGCATTAAAAGCTTTTCTAGACTGAACACGTAGCGAAAGATTTTATTACCTCGTCAAAATCTCCACAAGCATCTGGCTTCTTCTTCGTTGGAAAGAAAGACGGATCGCTTAGACCTTGCCAAGATTATCGGTACATTAACGAATGGACCGTGAAGAACGCCTACCCTCTCCCATTGATTCCCCCTCTCATTGCGAAATCGAGCGATGCCAAATTCTTCACCAAGCATAGATGTCCGTTCCGGATATAACAACATTCTCATTCATCCCGACGATAGATGGAAAGCTGCATTCTCTACCTCCTTTGGCCTCTTTGAACCAAAAGTCATGTTCTTCGGCCTCTGCAATTCCCCAGCAACTTTCCAAGCATACATGAACCAAACCTTTGCGACCGAAATCAATGAAGGATGGCTCATCGTTTATATGGATGACATCCTTATTTTCTCGGATACCTTGGAAGAACAAAAAGAACGAACTAGACAGGTCCTGGAGAAACTTAGAAAAGAGTCACTCTTCCTCAAACCAGAGAAATGTACTTTCGATGCGCAAGAAGTTGAATATCTCGGCATGATTATCCGACCTGGGCAAGTTGCAATGGACCCAGCGAAACTGAAAGGAATCAGCGACTGGACTTCCCCCTCCTCAGTCAAAGAAGTCTGATCATTCCTTGGATTTTGCAACTTCTACCGACACTTCATTTCCCATTACTCTGATATTGCTCGCCCGCTGATTGACCTCACAAAGAAGGACAACGTCTTCTCTTGGTCAAGCATTTGTGAAGAAGCTTTCCAGAAGCTAAAGCACTGCTTCCTCTCTGAACCCGTCCTCCAAAATCCCAATCCTACTCGACAATTCGCCCTCGCAACTGATGCATCATTGTTTGCTACTGGAGCAGTACTCCTTCAAACAGACGAGAATGGAGCGTATCACCCTTGCGGGTATCTTTCCCAATCCCTGAACCCAGCCGAACGGAATTATCAGATCTATGATAGAGAACTCCTTGCTGTTATCCGCGCCCTGCAAGCTTGGAGACACTTTCTCGAAGGAAATTCTCATCCGGTTATCATCTTCACCGATCATAAGAACCTTCTATATTTCAGATCTGCACAGAAACTCACTAGAAGGCAAGCTCGTTGGCAGCTAATGCTATGCAACTATGATCTCACCTTCCATCACGTTCCTGGGTCCAAACTCGCCGCTCCAGACGCCCTTTCCCGACGGTCTGATCATGCTTTTTCTGGATCTGATAACGAAGATCTTATCCTCCTTCCTGATTCATTGTTTGTCAACCTCATTGATGCTGAACTTGCGGAAGATTTCAAGCTCCTTCATGACGCATCTGACGATGCTACCATTCGCACCGCATTAGACGCTTTAAACGGTGTATGCGCTCCTCCTATGAAATCTGCACTTTCTGATTGGAAATTCGAGGATGATGTTCTTTTCTACAAGAATCGTGCTTATGTTCCCTCTGATCTCCGCCATCATATCCTTACTCTCCATCATGATCATCCTACGGCCGGTCATCCAGGCCGCACTATCACGGAATGGAACGTGAAGAAAGCCTATTGGTGGCCTGGGATGGGAACATATATTAGGAAATATGTTGACGGATGTGCAACTTGTCAGCAAATGAAGCCGAATACGCATCCTACTACCCCTCCCTTATAACCGATCTCCTCCACCACCTCTCGCCCCTTTTCACAGGTCTCCGTTGATCTTATCACCGACCTTCCCCCGTCCCTTGACTTTGATTCTATCATGGTCGTGGTAGACCATGGCCTTACGAAGGGGGTAATTCTCTGCCCTTGCAGAAAAACGATCACCGCAGAAGGAGTAGCCCAACTTTTCTTTGAAAAGGTCTTCCTTAGATTCGGCCTCTATGACAAGATTATCTCCGATAGAGGACCACAGTTCGCCTCTAAACTCGCAAAAGAGCTCGGAAAGCTCCTAAACTATCAAGTCGCCCTTTCTACCGCCTATCACCCCCAGACTGATGGACAAACTGAACGAATGAATCAAGAACTAGAAACCTATCTCCGAATATATTGTCGAACGAACCCTAATGATTGGGCAAATCACCTTCCCATGGCAGAATTTGTCCACAATTCCAGAAAAGGCAGCGCCAGAAACGACTCTCCATTCTCTCTTATGATGGGATACGAACCTCGCAGATACCCACACGCCTTCCCTGACTCCACTCTTCCAGCCGCAGAAGACCGCATCAAACACCTTCAGAAGATCAGAGAAGAAGCCCTAGCTTCTCACAGCCTTGCTCAACAACGAATGGCAGAAAGATCTCATAGACAGAAGTACGAACCATGGAAATGTGGTGATAAAGTTTGGCTTTCCGCAGCACACCTCATCACTCGACTCCCCTCAAAGAAGTTAGCTCCCAAACGATACGGCCCTTTCGAAATCACAGAAGTTCTATCGCCTATCACGTTCAAATTGAAGCTACCGAAAACCTGGAGAGTTCACTCCACATTCCATGCTTCTGAACTATCCTCCTATCAAGAGACAGAGATACACGGCCCGAACTTCACCGAACCACCTCCTGACCTTATCAACGGAGAAGAACATTACGAAATCAAAGCCATACTCTCGCACAAAGGGGCAGGCATGAGACGTCGTTATCTTGTATCTTGGGTTGGGTACCCTGAATCTGAGAACTCATGGATCCTTGAAACGGAACTTGAAAACGCAGCGGAGCTTCTCAATGCCTATAAGAAGAGACTTAAGCTTGTCTCTAGAGCATTAGGCCTCTAAACCTACCTTAACTCGAAACCAACATGTCTGACCGCTCCAGCTGCTCTTATGGTTCCAACCACAGTATCACCAACTTCTTTGAAAACAACCCCTTTACTCGTCCCCAGACCCCTGGCCAGCATCGGGCCATGTGGGAAGCCGTTATTGTCGACATCCAGTATGCTATGAGGCTTGACGCCTATGTAGAGAGGGTCGGCAATTCCACCCTCAAAGAACTCATCATCATTTTCCGGGCAGCAGACGCCCTCACTCCCGCAGCAATGCAGTTCCAACTCGACCCCTCCACCAGTCTTGGTGCGATCCCCATCAGATACAACCAAAGCAAGATCAAGAATGCAGTCTTGAACGCTATCCGACTCACCGTTGATTTCGATGATGCAATCAGGAGGATAGAGGATGAAAATGAGTTTAATCCACCTCCCGAGCCATTCATCGCAGCAATGAGGCATACGACTCCGACCCCTCCCCTAGTCATCAAAGAAGATGAAGAAGTAGTAGAGCGCAGCAGCTCACTCTATGTGCCATACACACCCCCTCCTGTAGCCCAGCCACCTCAGGATTATTATTCGTTCCTCGGCCTATCTCCTCCCAGTACACCTCCCCCCAAAGTTGAAGAAGAAGAGCAGCAACTTCCCATTGATATTTCCCCGTCCCAGTCAAGGACACTCTCCCCTGAACTTTTACATTACTCTCCATTGCAGAACGCTGCCCCTATCCCTGTCCCACCCCCTACTACACCTGTCGATCTCGACAATAGGATGGACGTTCTCCGCAGAGCGCAAAGGCTTACTCGGATGAAGCCTAGATTGCTTTTCTCTATGGGGCTTCCTTTAAGCCAACATCATTACAAACATTACGACTTCGAATCTGCACCAGGATGCACCACCGCCGCACAATACTCCATCGAGAGGGCACAGTATGAAGCAGGAGAAACAACTCAAACCTATCCCTTCAACTGTGTCTGTCGTACTTGCAACAATTGGGGGCATAAGCAAAAGCACTGCAAGAGGTACCAGTGCCGCATTTGTGGCAAATACGCTCCCAAGCACCTCACCCCATTCTGTCCCCTCCTCAAAGGCAAGAAGCTCCTTTGTCGCAGAAAATCCGCTGATAGGTTCCATGGAGAAATGGCTAAGCTCGAAGCTGCCTTTGACCATGAGCGTGCTCGCGTTGCAGAAGAACGGGAAGAGAATGAACTCGACGCCATCGCCATGTTGGCAGATATTGACGTTGACCCCATCTGCTATTCCAACCAGGATGATTGAAGTCGGTGACTTCAAACCTTTGAACGGGAGGTAATGTTACAATAACATACCTCGGACCGGCCCCCCCCCTATCTTTTCTCCTATCATGTACTACCATATGACGCCTTATCACCTTCTTGTACAGCATCCTTGATCGCCGTCTTATCTCGTATCTCTTATCTTGTACCCTGTACTCTTACCACTGCCTTGGTAGTCTTGCCCTGAACTGACCTTTACCTATAAGTAGTCGATCGTCTTGCTTTGTATTCTTTAACTTGAATCTACTCAGTCTTCTGATAGACCTTCCTTGAGCAAGACAGCTCTCGTATACGATTTCACTAAAGACTCTTCGTCTTAAGTGCCTTTACTTGATCGATACCATTAGTCTTGTCTTTGCTTGCCGACCCTTGTCACCAAGCCTTGACCCCAAAGATAACGATAACGAAACTCTGCATTATCTTCGTCTTACGTTAAGACTTAGTACAGAGCTCCTACCTGAGTTTACACTTCCAGCGTAACAAGATCCCCCACCTGGAACATGTTATAATAGTCGGACCGGGAGATTTGACACCATCTCAGACTTGTCAATCGACCATCACTACAGTTCACCAACCCCATTACCCCGAGGTGATCAGACGTTCCACAATTCAGATGTGCCCGCTTCTGCAAGAGCATGGCCAACACCCAGCGGTGTCAAATGGACTGCATCAGCTCTGGCGACACCAGACAGCCTCCAGGTGGTACAAAAGGTAAAGATTGGTGATGGTGGGAGTTGCGGGCAGATTCGATCCAGCAACTTCGATGGGCTGTACTCTGCCATCGTCCAACTGGCTGTCACCCACTATCAATGTATCTTGACTAATTCTTCAATCTACCCAAGCAAGACTGAATGTTGTGACTGGTCCGCCATGGCATGCAATGCAGCGTGCCGTGCCAACGGAGTGAAAATAGAGTATGACGAGGATGCCTACAAGTTGGTAAGTCACCCTTGTAATTCTGTCCTTTGTTTGCTTCTCATTGCGACGATAGATAACTTCCCGTGGTTCTAATTTACGGAGCAACTTGAAGAATCTCATGCGACCACTCGTTGAAGCCGAGTATGGCTTTGTCAACGAGAAGACACCCGACACCATCAAGACAAATGCTGCGCTAGCACTAGCAGCGCTCACAAACTGCAAGACGTTGACATACAAGGTATGATTCACTCACTCGCGATGATAAATGCTGATGGCTGGCAACAGGATCGCCAGCAGTGCAAGGGAGCATTCGAGGCCGACATCATCATGAAGGGGATGATAAAGTGGTGTTACAACAAGAAAGGATGTATGGGGATCAGATATCCCAGCTATTTCAAGGACGAAGAGACTGGCGGGGCTACATTGGGAATCATCGTTGCATTGCTAATGGCGGTAAGTCTGATAGTCGCTGATTCTTGACGTGGCACGAATGACTGACTGTGACTCTTTTAGATGGAAGCATGTGTCATGGAGTGAACCTCTGGAACGAGGGTGTTCATGAAATTCAACAAGGAGCAATACGCAGCCGTTTTCCAGGTGCATTATGACCTATTGGTCCACTTTCACAAAGGCACCAAGCACGCGGCATTGTCTCGAGAATCTGCAAAAGGCATTTGAAGCATGCCCGGTAAGTAATATCAGTTTTCAATGTCATTCACGTCTCTCATTCACGTCTCTCACTATCACACACTAGTCGTCATGCTAGCATTCCTGATGATCCCATTGCCCTAGGTCCCATTGAACATTTCACAATGGACGAATTCACGGCGGCGGCTGCAGAGTGGGAATATCGCGAGTCAGAATCGGAGGACGATGGAGTGTAGTTGTATCTATCGTGTTGAGGTACCAATGTACCATTGCAATGAAATTTTTGATTTTGAATGTTTTTCCGGGGCTGTAAATTCTGAGGGCCGGATACAGGTGGCCTAATAGTGGGAAAAATGACCAATTCCTCTGCCTATTGAAGGCCTATTCCTATGACTAAAATGCCTACTGCACCTATCATAGACCCATGCTATACAGGGCCTTCCTACATATCCGGGACTTACCTACTGGACTAACATGCCTACATAGGCTACATAGGCTCGCATAGGCACCGCACATTTTCCTGATGAAGATGCCGAAATATACAAAGTAGCGCTTCGAACGTCGAAAATTTCGTGTTCGAGAACCAAATTGTCAATGGCAAGCTGACGAAAGGCTACGAGGTTTTTGACTGTCTCCACTTTGTTTGTCGAGAGAGAGCGCAGGACAGTAGTGGCGATTGGCCAAAGGGTGAAGGGAATTGGAGAGTTAGTTTGATGCCAGAGCTTGACAGTGCGAACAGTCAGTTCTTTATCAGGTGGATCCTCCATGAAAGAGCAATAGGAGAACTTGAGGACGTCGAGCTGCTTCAATTCTGCCATCGCGTCCCAATGCTCTGTCTTCACAAACGAATTGTGGAACACCACTTTCCGAATGTTCGACATGCATGCCATTGCCTGGCAATACAGTGTTGCGAATGGAAAAATGGCCCACTGCTGATGAGCGTTGATACTCCAAGAATTGAAGGTGCATTTCTTGACATATAATGCAATGGATTTAGATGGTTCAGTATTTGCCAGCCTCCGCCCTGTTGATGGTATATGAGTTCCCCGAAAATGTGATGTGCTCGAATACGCGCGGCAACGCGATGGAGCAGAAAAAACGGCACACGAGTGCGAGGGCTGAGAAGGTTCAAATGATGTGCTCTCTTATAAGCAGTTCGTTAGTTGGCGCTATGCACTCAAAAATCGCAAGATATATTTCGTTTGGGATTAGAGGCAAGTTGGTATGACCGTTGTGGCGAAGAGGAGCTGGGGAATACACAAGCGTCACGATTGAAAGCTGAGAATTTTTTTGTTTAATAACTCACTGGACCAAGAGAAATCCATGATAAATCCAAATTATGCCGCGGAACGCAAGATTTTAACTAATTATAGCGGATGAGCGCTGAGGATGACAGTAAACTCGAGGTTCGGTTGCCGTTGTGAACAAAGTTGAGGGAAAAGGTATTACGTACTTACTAAATACAAGGACCCCAGGTTGAGTCAAGAGGGGTGAACGGCCCAGCGTTGGATCGGCGGTTGAACTATAGTTGTGGCGACATTAGGTCTTAGCTGAGTTTGAAAATATAATGTTTGACAAACACGTTACTAACTCGACCAAATAATCTGTTTTGGCAATTGGTCATCGTGAAACTCGCAACGCTGAACCCGAGCTCACCATCATGAATCCCGACCAACAGCCGCCAGAGAAGCGCCGACGCGGACGTCCAAAAGGGTCGAAGAACGGACCTAATGCTGGAACCACGGGCCGTCCAGTTGGACGCCCAAGAAATGACGGAAGTGTGCGAGTGCCCAAGACAGGTGAGTCCAGACATGCATATGCTGTGCAAGCGCTAATAATGTGCCGCTGTCAGTGCCTTCACGATCTGCCACCGCAGGGGCGGAAAGTCACAATAGTGACACCAGTCCACAGCCAGGTAAGTGGACAGTTCTGTAGTTTTGTGTGACTGATCCTTAAACTCTGTTGTTAGCAGCAACACCCGACTCTGCTGCCTCTGCATCAGGTGCGAGCCCTGCACCGTCGGCAGCAGGTGCAGATTTGCACCCGACAGATGTGAATAATGTGCAAACCAGCATGGTGAGCACAAATACAGGTAAGTTTGTTGAAAGTTGTCTGTCCTGCATCGATTTTTGATCATAAAAGAGGACTTTCTTCAGCCAGTTGTGGCTCCCGCGGCCAGCAATTCAGGTAAGCACGCGAATTTGTGATTGACCTGTTAGCACCTCCTGCTAACACTCGCCTCTCTCACAGGTCAGGGTGCGAGGTGCAAGCGCCTCAACCCACTCCGTCAATATGACGAGCAAGTTCTCTGCGACTACAACGAGGATGAAGATGACGACATTTTCGATGGCGCTGATGCGGAGGTCGAGTACATGCAGAGTGAATTTGCTCCTCTCGTCAACGACGACGATGACGTTCTGCAAGGAGCAGCTGTCCCGACGCCAGCCGAAAATGTCAAGGCAAAAATACCTCGATCCACGATGCCAACATGGCTTCATGACGAGTATGTGGATGCCCGCACTCGCCTCCAGTCTGAGATTGCGAAGACTGGGAGGCCAGCATGTTATGAACATGGACAATTCACTATGACTGCACCCCCACTCGTGTTCTCTCGTGTTGTACCTTACAAAATAGAGCCTATTGACTTCTACCGACCTCATTTTTTTGTGTGGCTGCCTCACCTCCTTCAGCGCATCCCTTGCCCTGAGTGCAAGGACGCGAAACGGCACACAAAGCAGGGGCAACCAGTCATGCTCCGAGTTCTTGGTTGGCCAAAGCAGCCACGACGTGTTGTCGACATGGAGCACCTGGTGTTCATCATAGGTCACCGCTATCGTTGTGTACACGACGAATGCAAGAAAACGTTCCAGAGCTGGTCACCGGCCATCATGCGAGTGCTTCCTCCGCCACTCGTTGCCTTATTTCCCTTTCACCTGACATATCGCTGTGGCCTCGCGGAACGCCTCATTGGTGTTCTGCGCACATCGTTTCAGGGGGGAATTGGACCCTCGCCGTTTTCAAAGTACATACGAACCATGCACATCCGTCACTACGAACAGCTGCATGTTGCATACCTCGAAACTGTGCGACAACGCATGCAAGCCAGTGCCTCTGGATTGCTGCCATCGAGCCGTCCTTTTCCGCGGTGGAATGATCCCAGTGGCTATGCTGGTTATGTCCCCTCGCACCGATATTTTCGTGCCTTCTATGACTCGCTGATTGAGTTGCACGCTGCCGAGATGGACCAGCACATGGCAATGCAGTCAGCTGAGGGCCTCAGCCATGATCACAGTTTCAAGGTTCGTCGTCCTGCGAAGTGGGTAAATTGTTCTCAAACACTTGAATATGCAGGTCACAGGAATACTCGGAAAGGTTAATGGTGTGGCAACATTTGGAGCCCTCCATACTGCATGCAATAACTATGGCGAGTGTCGGAAGATGACTCTGACACCAACGAAGGGCCACAATGATTGTATGCCAGCACTCGCAGAGATTCCGGTCACACTAGCCAAGTACGGTCACACTCCTGTCAAAGTTGTCTTCACGGACAATGTCCGTGGAGATAAATCTGCCCTTGAGCGAGCTTTCCCCAGTCTGCTCCATGATGTATCTCCTGTTCCGAGCTCGGCACTTGATGACTTGGCACTACCTGATGGCTGGCATGTGTGCCGTCTCAGTTCCACGTATCAAATCAATAGCAGACACATACTTCAGTCATAACC